CCTTCCCTCCTCGATCGTCTGTCCGACTTGCCCTGACACACTGCCTTCTGCAGACTGCTGTCGACGAGGACTGCGACGCCGAGGGCATCATCTCGCAGCAGCTCCTGCAGGTGCGCTCTTTCTCACTCTCTCTCTCTCTTTCCTCGGCCTCCTCTTGTCTTCCGCCTCGAGCCGTCCTGACACTCTCCTCCTCCTCCTCGCGCTCGCTCTCGCCTGCAGGTCGTCGCCGCCATGAAGCCCGTCTCGTTCCGCGAGTTCTCGCAGATCGAGGGCACGACCGACGACCAGTGCGGGTGGTGGAACGACAGCGGTGGCAAGGCGGCGTGCATCAAGGCGCGCAAGGACGCCGTCGCTGCTGCTGCTGCTGCGGCCGCCAACAAGGCGCCGGCGTCGGCGGCGGCCAAGGGCAAGAAGGCGGCGGCGCCGGCGGCGATGGGCGGTGCGGGCGCCAAAAAGCCCGGCGCGACGACGGTCGGCAAGGGTGCGACGTCCGCAGCTGCAGCGGCCGCAGCCGAAGCGTGCGTCCTCTCTTTCGCTCTCTTCTCCCCTGCAGCGCGACCACCTCACTGATCCTCTCGCCTCGCCGCACGCAGACGTCGCTCGGCCACCGCCTCCTCGTCCACCTCGCGCTCCGCTCCCGCCGCCAAGCCCGCGTCGTCTACCGCGTCCGGCGCCGCGTCGACGTCGCGCCAGGCGGCCACGAACGACCTGCAGCGGTTCGCGTTCCGGCCGAGCGGGGCGGGAGGCGGCTCGAGCGCCAAGGGCAGGCCGGCTGGAGGAGGAGGAGGAGGAGGAGGGGCCGGCGGTGGAGGGATCAAGCCCATGCCGGTCATGAAGCGCAAGTGAAGGCGCTTGGGTCGGCAGGAGGGACGTCGAGAAGGAGGGAGGGGTGGGGGAGCGAGGAGGTTCCCCTTGCTTCGATGTGACTTTCTCGCGCCGCTTTGTTGTTGTGCCTCCCCTAGTGCTCTCTCGTCCCTTTCCTTTCGTCGTTGCAATGCCTGCTCACTGTCTCTCGCGACCCACTGCAAGCCGAGAGAGAAAGAGCGAGAGACGCAGAGTGCACCTTCTCAAGTCGTCGGACGAGCTCTCGTGCACGCAGAGACCGAGGGACAGCACGTGCGCGTTACAGCTCCGTTCTAGTAAAGACGCTCCGACAGTCTGTGAGGTGGGAGAAAGGTGAGAAAGAAGGAGGGCGGCGCCACCTACGTCCTCGAGGGCGACGACCAGCGTCTAGTAAGCGTGAATCTGCGGCGGGAGCCAAGCTCGTCAGGTCTCTTTTCCTCGTGCACCGCGTCCTCGAGAAGAGAGAGAGACAGAGAGAGAGAGAGTGGGGACGCACCTTGCTCGCGACGCCGACCCACTCTGCGACCGCGCGCCCGACGTCGTCCTCCTCGTCGACGCGCGCGCCAGGCACGGGCCAGTCTGGGTTCCACACGTCGATGGCGGCAAAGGTGCACACGGGCACGAGGCGCTTCTCGTCGCGCGCGAGGGCGTCGGGCGCGTCGTGCGCGGCGTGCGCGGCGGTGGGGAGCGGGTCGTGCGAGGAGGGGGAGGGGGAGGTGGGGCGAGAGGCTGAGGGCGCGTGTTGTGCGACGGCGGGAGGAGAGGGGAGCGGCGTCGAGACGAGGAGCGTCGCTGACGAGGACGTCGTCGACAGGGTCGAGGCGGTGCGGTGCGGTGCTGGAGGAGGGGCGAGCGCGGCGATGGCGGCCACCGCAGCGTCGTCCTGCCCGACGAGCGGCTCGCGCTCCTGCACCTCGACCGCCTTGTCCAGCTTGTCCTCCTCCTCCCCCTCCTCGTCCTCGTCGCTGTCGAGCGAGAACCCCTTGCCCTTGCCCTTGCCCTTGCCCCTGCTCGCGATTCCCCTCGCCGCCGCACCCGCGCCCGCGCCCGCCTTGGCCCGCGCAGCCTGCACCGCCCTCGCCCTCGCGCGCGCCGCCGCACTCGCCGCCACGGTCCCCTTGCGCGGCGAGCGGCGGCGCCCTGCCCCCTCGTCGTCGTCGTCGTCGTCCGGCGGTGGGGAGGCCGACGCGCCGAGCGCAGCAGCGCTCGCAGCTGCGAGGCGGGCGCGCTTGGCTGCGCGGTCGGTGGTGGTGCTGCCCTCGTCGTCGCCCGGCGCGGTTGTGGGCGGGAGCGGCGCCGAGGTCGAGAAGACGAGGCCGCGGTACCCGACCGGGACGCGCAGCTCGCTGCTGACGATGCGGCGGCCGCGGAACGTCGCCTGGCGGTGTTGCTCGGGCGTGTCGCTGGTGGTGCTGGTGCTGGTCGAGGGGAATGGGCGCGGGAGGAAGAAGGTCGAGAGGGGCGCGGGGCCGTCGTGCGAGAGCGAGAAGGGGAGGAGCGAGATCGACGGGAGCGAGGGCAGTGGGGTGCTCGACAGGGCGAGGACCGTCTGCGGCGCGGGGGCCATCGCTGAGGGTACTCGTCGGTGACAGAGAGAGAGAGAGAGGGCGAAAGGAGAGGAGGAGGAGGAGGGGAGGCGCGCGTCAAGACGCGTCGCCGCTCGCTCGCAAGTTCCTCGCTCAGGTTTGCCCCTCTCGAAGTACTCACGAGGCAGCGTGAAAGCGGGAACGACGAAATAGTTGCAAGTGCGAGTAGAGAGGCGACAAGCGCCAGGGCATCAACGACACACAGAGACGGAAAACGCTACAAAAAACACCAGGAAAGGAGGTCAAAGCGGGGCACCCCTCCTCACAAGCGCGACAAGGCCGGCCCGTCCCTCTGCGCCTGCTGCGCCTGCTGGACCGCCCTCCCCTCGTCCATCTTCTTGCGGACCCACTTCTCGGCCGCCGCCTTCTTGAGCCCGACCGAGATGCGCGGGTCGACGCCCCCTCCCGCGCCCGCGCCCGCGCCCGCGCCCGCTCCACCGCCGCCGCCGCCTGCGGCCGCCATCTGGCGCAGCTTGGCCTTGCGCGTCCCGTCTGCGACGAGCGCGACGAGAAAGACGGGCAAGGTCCTGACGTCCTTGACCGTGTCAAACACGGTGCGGTCGTCCGGGTGGCCCGAGTCGAGGTCGACGAGGTCCTGGCCCGTCGTCGACAAGGGGATGTCGTTGTGCGCAAAGTCTGACAGGTACGAGATCAGGGCGGGCGAAATGTCCGACAGGTACTGGCCGAGCGGCGTGACGAGCTGCTCCTGCTGCAGGGGCGTGAGCGCCGGCGCGCCGGGCGCGGTCGACGCGGCGCGTGCGGCGGGCTGCGGCTGCGGCTGCGGCTGCGGTTGGGGCTGCGGCTGGTGCTGGTACTGGTGCGGCGGCGGCGCGTAGTGCTGCTGCTGCTGCTGATGCTGGTGGTGGACGTGCTGCTGCTGCTGCTGCTGCTGGTGAACGTACTGCTGCACGTGCGGCTGCGCAGGCGCCGGTGTGAAGAACGACGCCGTGTCGGGCGGCGACTTCGGGGCCGTCCCGCGACCGTGGAACGCCGCCGAGGCCGACGAGGGCGCGACCGACGACGACTGGTGGGCGAGGGTCGGGGTCGGGGTCGGGGTCGCGGCCGCCGAGGGGACCGAGGCCGCAAAGCCCTGCTGCGCGTGCGCGTGCGCGGGCACGGGCTCGGGCTCGGGCTCGCGAGCGGCGTGCGGGGCGGCGAACGAGCGCGGCTTGACGTCGCCGTCGGTGCTGCCCTCGTCACTCATGCCGGCGAATCCGCCGCGGGTTGGGACGGGCACGAGGGGCGGCGGGCGAGTGGCGGACGGGTCGTGCGGGTCGAGGTGCGCGAGGCGCGCGTTCTCCTTGTGGACGTCGAGTGGGAGGTACGGCGCGAGGTGGTCGTGCGAGGGGCGGAAGTTGGCCGTCGAGATGCGGAAGCCCGACTGGCCGGCGATGGACGGGTCGTCCTCGATGGTGAAGGTCGTCCAATCGGCGCTGATCGAGAACGGGCAACCGCTGTCGGGAGGTGGGGCGATGTCAGCTTGGGGCTTGTTGCGAGGACGAAAGTGAGAGAAGGGACGGACGGGTTGGTGGCGCACGTGAGGCGGGCACGGGTTGCGCCGTCGGTGTTGGCCTTGACATCGAAGCCCTCGGTCCACTGGTACGCGCTGTACACTGCAGGAGCATGAGGGCGTGAGCCTGGGTGCGACGAGAGGAGGGGGAGCGAGCGAAGGCGGAGCGTACTCTGGATGAAGTCGTCGAGGGAGCGGAACTTGGCGGTGGGGTTGGGGTGTGGGCCGGTGCGGTTGTCGAAGCGAAGCTTGAGGCGCTTGGCGGGCTTGGTAGCCGTCATTGTTGAGCGAGAGATGAGGGGAGGAGGCGGTGGAGGAGAGGGGGGAGCGCGGGTCAGGGTGGAGAGGTGGCGGGTGGGTGCTTGTGGGTGGCAGTGGGCGGTGTGAGTGCAGTGCTCTGTGCAGCTCCTCTGAGGCTGGAGTCAAGCGGGGAGAGGGACAAGAGCTCCGGCTCCCACTCCTCCTCCTCCTCCTTGTTCCCACTCGCGTCCATGTCGGCACCCTTGTTCCAGTTCCAGGCAGGCAGGGCAGAGCGCCAGGGCGACTCCAACACGGTCGTCCCCCAGCCAGGTCGCGGGTCCGTCCTCCCTCTCCTCCTCCTCGTCATCATCGCTCACCTCGTGTCGCACCTCGCACCACAGCCTCGTCTACCTCCAGGAGGAAGACGGCCTCCTCCACTTCTACTACAAGGACCTCGAATCCGAGTGCGCACCCCTCTCCCCTCTCCTCCCCTGCGCACCCCTCGCTCACCTTCAGCCCCCCGCGTTCAACAGCTCCATCGTCGACGACCTCATCATCTTCCCCGGCGACGCCACCTTTGACCAGGCGACCCCCGACCGCGTCCACGTCCTCAAGTTCCTCTCGTCCTCGGCCCGCCACTTCTACTGGGCCCAGAAGCGCGACCTCTCGCACGACGAGTTTACGTCCCAGCGTCGCCGCGTCAACGAGCTCATTGGCGCAGAGCCGGCCGGCGACGGCGACGAGCACGGCGCCATGGACGTCGAGGCGTGAGTCGCGCCCTCCCTCTCCCGCAGTGACCCTCCCTCCTTCCCCTCGTGTTGTAATGCCGACCCTCTCTCTCTCTCTCTCTCTCTCTGCGTGCCCACTCTCTCCTCACCAACGTCCAACTGTCCAAAGGACAACGTCGACAAGAGACTGAGAGAGAGAGAGAGGCTCTCGCTCCCTCGTCGCACTCGGCGCAGCAGCTCGTCCCTCGACAGAACCCTCGCTGACCCTCCCCTCGCACCCCTCCTGCGCAGCTCTGCCTCGACCGACGACGTGTTCATGTCCTCGGCCGCACCCTCCTCGTCGTCGGCCGCACCCGCACCCGCACGCGCACCCGCGACGACCTCGACCTCGACCGCGACCGCGACCTCGGGCGACGCGGCGCTCGGCAACTCGGCCCAGCTCGCGCAGCTGCAGAGCATCCTCGCCAACCTCGGCGGGGGCGGCGGTGGTGGTGTCGGTGGCGCGTCGGTCGGCGGCGTCCCTGGTGCGCTCCCCTCTCCTTCTCTCTCGCCCTCTCTCTCTCTCTCTCTCTCTCTCTCTCGGGCCTCTTTCCGGCCCGCCTCGCGCCCTCGCCGCCACGCTCACAATCCCTGACCCCGCTCTCTCCCGCGCCCCGCCACAGCCTTCACCCTCCCCGACGTCCTCCCTCCCTCAACCGCCACCTCGCTCCTCTCCTCCCTCCCGCCCTCCTCCCTCGCGCACCTCTCCTCCTTCCTCCCCCCCTCCCCTCACCTCCCGCTCACCTCCCCCACCACGCAGCGCGCGAGCCTCGCCCGCGCACTCCGCAGCCCAGAGTACCGCCGCGCGCTCGCGTCGCTCGACCGCGCGCTCCGGACCGGCGCGACCGGCCCGCTCGTCGTCGGCGCGCTCGGGCTCGGTGAGAGGGCCGCGAGGGGGACAGAGGAGTTTTTGGACGAGGTGAGGCGCGTGGCCGAGGAGGAGAGGGAGAGGGAGAGGGAGGGCGCGGCGGGAGGGGGAGCGGGGCAGGGCGAGGGCGAGGGCGAGGACAAGGGGCCGGCGGCGTAGCTCTTCTCGCTCTCGGTGAGCTGAACGCGCAAGGAAAAGACCTCGTTGCAGTCCTGCCTCGCGCCCCTCGAGAGCCGAGCTACTCGCGTCCCTCGAAAGCGCCGCCGCCGCCGCCGCCGCCGCTCGCGCGCTCGAACCCCTCGAGCACCCCTCGGACGCACGCCCCGACCGAGTCGAGCGCGTAGCCGCCTGCGCGCACGGCCGAACCGTCGTGCTGTCAGGGTCGTGCTCGTTCTTGCTCGGCGGCGACGCCGACCTCGAGAGCGAGGGCGAGGGAGAGGGAGAGACACGGGGAGAGGAACGGAGGAGGGAACGAAAGAGAGAGAGAGAGAGCGCGCGCGCGCCCGACGCACCCTCCAAGACGACAAACAGCGTCCTGAGCCCGACCGTCGCAATCGCCTGACCGATGCGAGGGTACGCCGCGAGCGACAGGCGAAAGTCGGTCAGCGGGTCGTCGACGAACGTGTCGACGCCGAGCCTGCGCGCGCGCGTCGCGTCGAAGGGAGGTTGTGAGGTGCGGCGGCGGGGAGGTGCAGGCTCGTCGGGGGACGAGGGAGGGAGGGAGGGAGGGAGGGAGGAAGAGAGAAAGCAAGGGGACGCACGACACGACGAGCACCTCGGCGCCCCACTCGCTCACGCGCCCAAAAGCGCCCTCGAGCGCCTCGACGTACGCCTCGTCGTCCGTCCCGAGCGGCAGCGGCTCGTTGACGTTGGCGCCCTCGGCGTCCGTGCCCGGCGCGCCGCGCTCGCTCGCCGCGCCCGTGTACCCTGCGGGCGCGCGGGGTGCGTGAGTGGCGGTGCGGGGTGCTGGCGAGGAGGCCGGGCGAGGGAGGGAGAGAGAGACAGAGAGAGCGGGCGTACAGGGATAGTCGGGCGAGCCGTGCAGCGAGACGTACAAGACCGTCGGGTCGTAAAAGACCTGGCTCGTCCCTGCGTGCATCGGTCCGACTCGCGTCAAGTCCGTCTCTCCTCGCCCGCATGGCCCGTCGAGAGGCGCAAAAAGGAAAAGCTCGAGCCGCACCGTTGCCGTGGTGGTAGTCGACGTCGAGCACGGCGATGCGCGGCTTGGGCTCGCCGTCGCCTCGCGCCCCGGCGCCGAGCAGGACGCGCTGCGCCTCGCGCGCCGCGACCGCCGCCGTGTTGACGAAGCAGTACCCGCCGCAGAGCGTCGGCGTCGCGTGATGGCCTGGTGGACGGCTGCGAGCGCGTTGGCGGGCGGGTGAGCGGGTGGGCGGTGGGCGAGGAGGGGGAAAGAGGAGGACGCACCAGAGCGCAAAGACGCCTTGGGCGGTCGATAAAGGGTCGAGCAAAGCCGAGAGCGCCGTGAGCGCGACGCGTGTTGACGCTAGAGCGCAGATGTAGGTGTCTGTGTGGGTGCGGCAGCGTGAGCGACAGGACGCGACGAGAGAGAGAGCGAGAAAGGGAGGGAGGAGGGCGAACCGGCCGTGACGGGCGATGAGAGGTCGAACGAGTGCCGCCCTGTGTCGACGTTCGAGAGTGTCAGTCTAGGTGTCTGTCGAGCGAGAAAGAGGGACAGAGGGACGCACCGATGCGGGCAATGGCGCTCCCCTGAACCTCGGTGCCGTCGCTCGGCTCGAGGAGCATGTCGGCGCGCAAGAATGTCTCTGGCAGGGCAGCGTCCTGTGCGTGTATCGAAGAGCATCAGGACGTGCGCAGAGTCGAGCTCGACGGCACAACGAGCGAGGCAGAGCGAGCAGCGAGGACGGACCCTCGACCCGCCCTCGGCTGTCCACTCGGAGTAGATTGAAGCGAGAAAGTCGAGGTAGCCGCCGTCGTGCACTGAGAGCACGGCGCTGTCGAGCTCGGGCGTGAGGACGTCGTCTCGGGTCCAGTCGAGGCAGCGTTCCTCGAAGGTGGAGCCAGGGTGGACGAGGGCGGCGAGGATGCGGCGGTAGCGCTCGGGCGACTCGAAGTAGGGCTGGACACAGCCAGAGAGGATCTCGTGCGGCGGGTCGTGCAACACCGACAGCGGCGTGTGGAACACAAGCATGGTTCTGGAGAGAGAGCGAGGTCGACGTCGACGAGCGAGTTCGTCGTCCCGGCACCACTCGCGCCTCGCCGACAGACATGAGCGCACGCGAGACCTTCACCTGAGCTATCACAAGCCTCTCGACCATCTGGGCGTTGCGCCCGTGCTCTCCCGCGCCTCTGGTCACCCGCCGCGTCGTCATCAGGCAACCTCGACGACCGACCACCCTCGACATCGACAACGACTCAAGGACCGGTGTACGTCTTCGGCATGGACTTTGGGAGGTCCAACAAGCGTCCGGAGCATGCCGGTGGCGCTGTGCGGGGCTTGGGAAACGGGTGCGTCCTCGTCCTCCCCACTACCTCCTCCTTCTTGGCCTCACGACCCGTCCTGACGCTTGTGGGACGTCCCGCAGTGCCACAGGTCAACCATCTTGCACCGTTCGTCCCCTCCCCTCACGCTCTGCAGGCCCTGGGCCTTTCTCTCGACGGCCGCCGGTCACTGACCTCGATTCCTCCCGTCTTGCAGCGGCCGACCTCGACGAGATCGCAGCGCTCGGTGCGACCTTTGGCTTGGGGGTGCTCACTTATGTCATGATGCGTCCTCGTCTCGCTCGGCGGCGAGGTCGGGCAGGCCTGAGAAGGTCGACTTACTGACCTCCTCCTTCTCCCTCCCTCCCTCTCCTCGTCTACAGGCTGCTCCTGTCGTCTGGGCCATCGATCGGTGCGTCGGCTTTCTCTCGTTCTCGGTCATCGTCGTCGTGAACTCGCGCACTGACCCTCCTCAACCCGCAGCCCGCTTCCTCCTCCGCCTCGAGCGGCCCTGACCTCTCCCTTTCTTCCCACCAAGCCTGGCCCACTCGCCCGGGCAAAGTCCCGATCAGCCTCTCTCTCTAGATGTCTGCGAGGACGAGAAACGCGACTCGGCCTGTTCGTCTCCCTTTCTCGAGTGCGAGGTTGGCTGGCGAGGTTGAGAGAGCTCGAGAGAGCTCGTCCCGCCGGCACTGTGTCTCTCGCGTGCTGTCTTTGGGTACCTCCGAGAGCACGTCCTGTGCGGCAGAAAGCGCATCGAGTCCTGGTTTGCGGGCAGCGCTTGGCTCCTGCTCACCTCGTTTCTGCTCCCAGCTCCTCCCCTCGCTCGCGCCTCCTCGAGTGTCGAGCTGCACTCCCTCGCTCCTGCCGCGTGAGCGCTCACAAGGGACGATGCAGCGTCGTCCCGGACAGTCGAGCTCGGCGAGTAGGCGCCCTCGCTCGCACGGACCCGCCAGCGGCTCTCGCTCGCTCGCTTGCAAAGCTCGTACGCCGCGCCGAGGACAGCTCTCGTCTCGTCAAAGCAGGTGCCGGTCGAGCGATGCGCTGCGTCGTTGAGGTCTCGACTCACAGTACGGCGCGCTGAACGAAGAGGAAGATGTATGCGAGAGATGGGGGGAATGCACGGAGAGGGGCGCGAGGATGCTGGTATGGACGACGAGGGCACGACGCAGGGGGGGATCGACTGAAATGGACGGCGACAGAGTGAGAGGGAGAGGGAGAAAAGATCGTGTACGGCAGAAGAGAGAGAGAGAGGGGGAGAGGGAAGGGAAGGGAAGGCGACCGGCGCCTCAAAGCGCCGTGAGCGGCCTGCTCCCTCGCCGACCGAGGATGCTCGAGATGAAGACGCCGATGCTGCCCTTGCGCGAGCCGACGGCGGGAAGGACCGCCGCCCCCGCCGTCGCCGCCGTCGGGCCAGGCGACGCACTGCTCGCTCGCGAAGGGCCGGTCGCGCTCGCGTCGACGACGACGACCGGCGGCGAGACGAGCCTCGTCTCGGGCTGCGGCGCGTACGCCGACAGCAGCGGTGGCGAGGCAGGTGCCGTCAAGCCCGAGGCGGACCGCGCGTCGCAGTGCGCCGGCGCGGTCGATGGCCGACCCGGTCGCGAGGCGAGGCGGGCGTGGCGCGGCGAGACGTACATGTCGGGCTCGGCGGGCGGCGCGTCGGACGAGTCGTCGATGGCGAACGGGTCGCGGAAGGACGAGGATGAGGGCGCGAGGACGGGGAGTGGAGGCTCGGGCGACGAGGGCGGGCTCGGCGAGGCGAGGTGCGCGGACGGGTCGTCGAGGAGGTCCATGCGGGCGTCGCCGTCCTCGCCATCTTCTGCTGCCGCCGGGAGCAGCGGCGCAGACGTCGAGGTGCGCAGGCCCTCGACGCTGGCCCCACCGCCGCCAAGCGACAGGCCGAGCATGCGGTCGGCCGACCCGAGCAGCGTCGAGCTCGAGCCCGCCAGCGGAGGCGACCGCAGCGGGTCGCTCGCCGTGCTCGAAGCAGTCGCGACCGACGCGATCGACATGTTCGACACGCTCTGCGACGAGTCGCCGAGGACCGACGACCGCTGCGAGCCCGCGCTGCGAGGGCGGTACCGCGCCGACGACGAGCGGCACGACCGTGCGCTGTGCCGGCTCATCTGCGGCGAGTGTGACGGCGAGAAGGGCGGGTGCGAGGGGGCCCTCGGCGCGAGGTGGGACGACGACGATGATGGGGCCGAGGGTGGCTCGGGCGACGTGACGAGGAACTCCATCATCGAGGGCGTGATGGGCCCGAGCGTCTCGAGCGTGCTCGAGCGCGACACACCCGGCGGGGCCGACGTGACGGACGACGGCGAGTGCATCGTCGCGTTCGGGAGCGGAAGCGGCGCCGGCGGATCTCGCCGCACGCGGGTCCGTGCGGGCGCGTCGTTGGCGTCCGAGTGCTCCGACATGCGGCGGCCGTGATGAGGACGGCGACAAGTGAGGTGAGGGAGGGGTGCGGTCGGTAGTCGGCGGTCAAGGCCGGCGTCGGGCGAGGCGAGAGGCGATGGAGGAGGACCGGGCGACGAGCGGTCGAACTTGAGCTCGAGGGCAAAGTCCGACGTGCGGCGGTCGCCTCGTCGGTCGGCGAGGCGAGAGAGGAGCGTCGCCGCCGTGCTCGTGCGAGAGCTGACTCGCGAGAGCTGCGGGTCGATGGCGGCGCACACGTGGACGGGGAGCGGCGCGAGGTCGACCGAGAACGAGCTGCCGTTGCGGAGCTTGTACGAGATCTGCGAGCGAGGGAACGAAGTGAGCGACCGCTCAAAAGGGAAAGAGAGAGGCACGAAGAGAGAGAGACCGGCGACGCACCTTGCCCGCGAGCGAGAACGAGATCCGGAACACGCTGCTCTCGCCCGTCTCGCCCACCGTCCACCGATGCGGCCCTTGGCCTGGGACCCGCACGTGGAACTTGCCCCGCTCGACGACCTCGGCCGTCTCGCGTGCAAAGAGCGGGAACCGGTGCGGCGCGAGCGCGACCGACGACTCGGGGTCGGACGGCGGCGACGGCGGGCGGCCGTGCAGGGTGCGCTCGTCTTCTGACGGCGGCGTCGTCGTCGCTGACGGGCCGACCGACGACGACGAGCGAGTGAACACCGAGGCGAAGCGCTTGCTCGAGCGTCCGGGTCGAACGAGCTCGTCCGACTCGATCGCAAAGTCGTGCGTCGTTTGGAACTGGGCGTTGCTCTTGAGGTTGGTGACGTCTCGCCGCAGCCAGAGCTTGAAGCTCTTGATCTGGACGCCGCTCGCCTCGGGCAGGCGAAAGTGCGTCTCGACGGCGAGCGGCTCGAGGACGCCGAAGGGCTCGCCCGAGATGCGCAGGTCGTAGCTGAACGGGACGGGCGACGCTGCGCTCGTCGAGGCGGCCCAGCCGCGTTGCACGGCGTCGGGAGGAAAGAGCGGGACGGTGGCGTGGCGGACGAGGCTGAGGTTGCGGGAATGCTGCGCCTCGATGCGGCCGACTTTGACCGTGTCGACGTCTGCGACGAGGGCGAGAGTCAGGGCCGCTCAAGCGAGAGGCGAGAGCGAGACGAGGGACGTACAGGCCTCGATGCGCCAAGTGACGCTCGCCTGGCAGGTCCCGACCTTGAACTGCATCTTGGACAGGCCGACGACGTCGTGCGGGACCCGGAGCGCGAACCGGTGCTCGCGCGGCTCGAGGCGCTCGGCGTCGGCGCCGCTCTCGGGCGTCCACAGGACACGCTCGTCGACGACGTCCTTGGTCACGTCGCGCGACGCCTTGCCGTCCCACGCGTCGACGCGGACGAGGCGCACGGCGATGCAGCGCACCTCGGGCGCCTTGCCCGACGCGCGCTCGTCGAGCCCGGCGACGACGCGGCCGCGCACGACGACATCGGTCACGCCGAGGACGCCCGTGTACGGGAAGTTGTTGACGTTGCCGCTGACGGGCAGGATCTGGAGCGTGATCATGGGCGAAGGTCGAGGAGGCGAGGGCGAGGACGGCGCGGCTGACGAGGGCGAGAGGGAGGGTGCACTCGGTCGTTCAGCAGCGGTTCATCGTCGGTCGTCGCAGGAGAAAGGGAGTGGTCGGGAGGAGCAGCGGGGGCCGCGGCCGCTCGGATGGCGGTGGTAGTGGTCGGGGGAGGGAGAGGCGAGGAAGGGCGGGTCTGCGTAGGGACGGCGCTCGTTAGCATGGACGACACGTCGGTGCGCAGGCTCGAACCCGACGCAGGCGAGGAGAGGGAGAGGACGCACCTCGTTCCACAACGAGCTAAATGCGAACCTCGACTCGCGTCTCGTCACGGCTCGACTGGCTGGCGTGCAGGGGCTTGAAGGAGAGGTGCACAGGACGAGGTGCTCAACGGAGGGCAGGCGGCCGTCGACAGACCGAACGACGAGGGAGCCCGCTAGCGCAAGTGCGGAGGCGGCCTCGAAGGCTCGGACGCGGGAGGGCGGTAGCGTCGCACTTGTTGCAAGCGGCGTCGTGCGACTCGAGCTGGGCGGTGCTGGCTACCGTTCCGAGTTGTTGGTGCGAGAGCGAGAGCGGCAGCGGCTCGTGACAACTGCGAGGCGAGCCACCCTCGGTCGGCAACCGACGCGCTCACACCGCCTCGGAGAGGGGAACGCTCACGGTTTCGGTCTTGCTGCTGCGCATCTAAGTTAGCGTGGTCCGCCAAACGCGCGTGCTCCCCGATCAATCCCAGCGGAGCCGGGGCCGACCATGTCAAAGGGCGGCGGCGATCCGTCCAAACCCAAACTCGCTCGCCCGCTTTGTCCTTCTCCTCAAGCTCTCGCACTCTGCTTCGAACGTGGGAAACACCGAGCGAGCGCGGGAAACGCCTCCTCGCTCGGCTCTCGAGCTGGCCAACTTGGGCCTCGCACAGGCGAGTCTCTCGCACCAGCTTGCTCGACATGTGCGAGACGAAGCAAGTTGCAAGCTCGCCCGGCTCGCGCGAGCGGACGCGCGGACCGGCCGAGGACAGGATCGTTCGCACGAAGCGCTCTCGCTCGCTCGCTCGTGTGACGGCGCTTCTTGTCGGTACTCGAGCTTGTTCGGGCGCTACGGCTCTAGTGCGCGACGGTAGAACGACGCACGGTGCACAGCTCGACGCTCGACGACGAAACACCGTCAGAGAGACAGAGAGCGGGGCACAGACGAGAGGAAGGGGCTCGACCGCGGCGGCTTGTCACGGCGAGAGGGACAAGGCGGAGGCTGCCAGGCTGACCAGCTGTAAATTACTACCAGGCTCGCCCGTAAATTCGAGAACCAGGGTCGATCCAGCGCTCGTCGTTCGCGATCGGACGCCCAACGCTAAACCGCAATCTGGACGTTCACCCTCGTCGTCGTTCTGAGCGCGGAAGAACGGATCGTGCTGCTGTGCGGGGCTCGCAAAGCCCGACGCTCGACGTTGGTTGCGTCGCGCTCGTCCGTCCCCGCGAGCGCAGGCGCCCGAGAGGAGAAGCGGGCCGAGCAACACAGCAGCTTCCTCGCGACGTCGACGTCGGCGGCGAGGGGGCCGAGGGCGACAAGGGGAACGCCAGCTGCCCCCTTGCACATGATCGTGCACTTCTGGCACACAGCAGCTCGCGTGACTGCCGGCCTCGCTCCGGCAGCGCTCGACGACTTAATCGACGACATGCAGTTGGTTCGCAGGGGTCCGTGCACACGACCGAACCGCCGAGGCGAGGCGCATCGCCGGTCGTCGCTTCGTTGCAGTTCAGACGCCGACGATGACAAGCAGCGAGAGCTCGAGTGAGCGGACCCGACGAGAGACGCAGAACCGGTCGACAGGAGAAAGGCGGAGTCCGCGGACTCGAGCAGGTTCGGGCGCGTCGTCGACCCTCGCTTCGGCGGTCGAGGTGCATCTAGTAGCGCAGCTCTGGATGTATCACAAAGCTTGAACGCCTCTGAACGGCCGCCTGCGAGAGAGCGAAGCGGTTCCCCCGCGGCCGCCGCCGGCCGGCTCTCGCCCTCCTCGTCCTCCTCCTCCACCACCGCTTCACCGCACCGGCTGCTCCGCACCCCGAGATGGCCGCCAACACGCCCACGCCATCGAGCGAGATCATCCACCTCGTGACGACATTCGCCGACTCGCTCGACTCGCTGCCGCCGTCCCTCACCCGCTCCCTCAGCGACCTCAAGGAGCTCGACGCCGTCCTCAACAGTGCGTCCCCTTCCCCTTGCATCTGTCACAGTACAGGTACCGCAGACCTGTGCTGCAAGCCCCGTCTCAGGGCCCTTCGAGCTGACGGCGGCTGCGCCCTTGCCTCCCCCGCAGGTTCGCTCCAGAGCATCACCGACAAGCTCCGCCTCGTGCACGACATGATGCACACGCCCGAGCCTGGCACCAAGCCCACCGCCGAGCCGCCCAAGTACACGCCGCTCGACCGCCTCAAGCTCCTGCGCGAGGTGGCAGAGGACGCTCGCGTGTTCCGCCTCGGCGGCGAGGACAAGATCCGCGTCGCGACCAACACATGCGAGACGGTGCGTCGAGCATCCTCCCGACTCGAGCCTGTACAGGCCAGGGACTCACCCCTTGTCCCGCCCGGCTGCAGATCGCGACGCACACCTCGCACCTCGCGACCCTGTCGACCCTCCTCCTCAGCTTCCTCCCCGAGCACCTCCAGCCGCACCTGCCCGCGCCATCCGCCCCGCACGGCTACCCCAAGTCGAACACGCCCTCGTCCGCCATCGCCCGCCGCCAGATGTTCGACTACCCGCCGGCGCGGCACCCGGGCCAGGGCAGCACGTCGCGCCTGTCGGGCGCGCTCGGCATGGTCCGCGAGCACTACGACCTGACGCGAGGCGGCGCAGCCGGCGGCGTTGGCGTCGGCGGCATCGCGGGTCCTGCTGGACTGGGCGGCATGGGCGGCGCGCGAGGGTACGGCCAGTCGGGGAGGAAGCGCGCCGCCCAGATCGACTACAGCATCTACGGCGACGACTACCCGCTCGCGGGCGGTGTCGGTGCGGCCGGGCACGGCCGCAAGGACAAGGAAAAGGACCCGGCGCAGCGCCACCCGAACCAGTACACCAAGAAGCGGCTCCAGGGCGCGGCAGCTGGCGGCGCCGGCGTCGGCGGCATGGGCGGCGTCGCGGGCGTGTACGGCGGCGGGTCGCCCTCGGGCGCCCTTGGCGGCGTCATCTCGGCCCAGTCCGCCAACGCGGCTGCGGGCGTCTACTCGAACGCTGTCCCGCACCCGATGGGCATGACGGCCGTCGAGGCCGTCAAGGAGAAGCGGCGCGGGCAGGAAGCGGCCGCCGGCGCGAGCTCGGCTTCGGCCGCCGCAGCCGCAGCGGCCATGGGCTCGACGAGTGGGCCCGTCAGTCGGTCGAGCAGCGTCGCGCCGGGAGCGGGCGGCGCGGCGATGGGCTACCAGGGCATGGCGAGCCAGAGCGAGTACGACCTCGCGACGCTCGGCGGGTCGCAGCAGCGCGCGCCGGCCAAGCGCAAGGTTGAGGACGTTGCCGGGGCGTCCAAGCGCCGCAAGAAGGGGTGCGTCCCGCCTTTCCCTCATTCCTCCTCCCGCGGCCTGAGCGCTCGTCCTCGAGCGCGCCCGACTGACTCGGCCCTCTTTCCCTCGCAGCGTCAACGACTCGCCCGAGCCTCCTGCGCGTTCCCTACCCGGCACTGTCCAAGCCGCCGGGCGCGCCCCTCGCCGCCAGAACTCGACCTCGACCCGGGCCGACGACCCGCCGTCGCCCGTCGCCGCGACGCAGCTCGCGCTTGACGACGACTTTGACGCGGCGCTCGACGGCGCAGACGACGACGGCGACAAGACGCTGTACTGCTTCTGCCAGCGCGTCAGCTTTGGCGAGATGATCGCGTGCGACGCGCCCGACTGCGAGCACGAGTGGGTGAGTCGGCCTCGTTTTCTCTTTGGCCTGCGCTCGGCGGCGCTCGACGGCTGCCGAGCAGGTCTAGCAAAGACCGCCGGCCTGTACTGACTTGCTGTCGTGTCGCGCAGTTCCATCTCCCGTGCGTCGGCCTCAAGAGCATCCCGGACGGCCGCTGGTTCTGCGACGAGTGCAGGGTGCGTCCTCTCTTCTCCGCCTCGGTCTCTCTCGAACACGTGGTCCCGACCTTGCTCCCCCTCTCTGTTGTACCAGCGCACGTCCAAGGCCGGCAAGAAGCGGCGGTAGTTGGTCGTCGAGATGGAAACGCGAGCAGTTTGGCGGTCACTTCTCCTGCGCCCGAACCGAGAGATAGCGCTCTTTGCAGTGAACACGACAGGTGCTACAGCGGCGAGTGAAAGCCCGCTGCCCTCGGCTTTGGACCGCTCGAGCGCAACCACCGCCGTCTCGGCGGAGGTGCCGGAGCGACTTGCGCCGGCTCCTCCTCTCGTCAACCTCGCCTCTGCCGCTGCGTGCCTTTGCTCTGGTCTGTACCACTACTTCAAGCTCCACGTCGCCATGCAGCGCGAGGTGTCGCCCGCATCGGTCGTCAGCACGGCAACTCGCCCCAAGAGCGTCTCATCAGCTCGCGGTCCTCCTGCACCCGCACCGCGGCCCGCCTTTAATCCAGGTGTGCCCAGCTCTCCCTGCATAGCCTCTCGGCGAGGCCCGCGTCGACCGACACGCGCCGGTGCGGTAGCTGACTCTCGTCCCCGCGCCTCACCCGGATCCTCGTTCAACCGGCCGCCAGTCGGTCTCGCCCTCAAGAAGTTGACGCTCGCCGGCGTCCTGTTCGTCGTCGTCTTCTTTGCGTGTGCGCTCTGGTTGTTCGGCAGCTTGGTGCGTCTCCCCCACTCGCGCCCGGTCCCGCCCGGTCCCGCCCGTCCCTTCTCGTCGACTCGCTGACCTCGCCTTCGTCCCTGCAGTACGAGAATTCGCACCACGTCCACAAATTCGGCGTCGTCGTCGTCGACTTTGACGGTGGATCAGTCGGTGCGTCCTTGCCGTGTCCTCCACCCCTCACCATCGCGTCCTCGCTCACTCGTCGCACCCTCGCAGGAAACGCCCTCCTCGGCGCCGTCAACGCCGTCAACGGCCAGGACAGCCTACCGACCTTTCACATCCTCGCCGCCAACTCGACCTCGCGCGACGAGGTGCTGCACAAGGTGTGGCAGGGGCGGTACTGGGGCAGCATCATCGCGACGGAGGGCGCTTCGAGTCGGTTCGAGGCGGCGGTCGCATCCGCCGACGCAGCGTCGACGTACGACGCGGCGCAGGCCCTCGAGTACAGCGGGCTCGAGGTGCGCTACACGACGGCGTGGTCGGGCGCAGTCCTGCCCGCGCTCCTCCAGGTCTCGCAGACGGCGTCGGCCCGGTTCAGCGCGGCCGTCGTCGCGCCGCTCCTCGAGTCGGGCACGTCGTACTCGGCGGCGTCGGCTCAGGTCCTCGTGCGGCCCGTCGCGGCAACGTTCGTCAACCAGACGCCGTTCACGTACGGCACGCGCATCGTCCTCAACACGATCGCGTTCGTCCTGCCCTTCCTCCTCCAGTTCTTCTTCCTCCTCGCGTGGAACAACATCTTCCTCGGCATCGGCGTGTACCGCAACATGTCGTTCGCGCGCCACCTCAAGTACCGCCTCGCCATCTCGCTCGCGTGGACCCTCCTCACGAGCCTCATGAGCACGACGTGGGGCGTCATGTTCGACGAGGGCTACGACCTCGCCGCCAAGCAGTTCTTTGCGCTGTGGACGGTCCACTGGTGCGTCCTCATTCTGTCCTTCTGTCCTCCTCGGGACTGACTCGTCGGTCGTCTCGCACTGCAGGGTCTTCTCGATGATCACGTTCGACACGCTCGACATCGTCACGACCTGGGTCCCGTTGCCGTTCGTCTCGTACTTTGTCGTTTCCCTCATCGTCACATCGGTTTCGGCCATAATATGGCCCTACGAGGTGCGCTCTCCTTGCCTCTCTCCTCTTCTCTCGTGAGCGCGTTCCTGACATGCCCCAGCACCCCTTGTCCCCTCGATGCAGCTCTCGAACGCCTTCTACCGGATCCACGTCATCTTTCCCTCGCACGCCGCGTGGTCCATCATCATGACGATCCTCGGCCGCGGTGCCGTCAACACGCTCAGCAGGGACGCTCCGATCCTCGCGGCGTGGCTCGTCGTCCTCAAGGCGGGTGTCCTCCTGTCGCTGCGCCGCCGCGCCCGGCAGGGCTTGGTCCTCGTCGACGTCGAGGACAAGGCGCCGACGGGCGGTCAAGGAGGAGCGCCGCAAGGGCAGCTTGCCGTCGAGAAGGTGTGAGGGATAGACGAGGGTCGAGCGGGAGGGAGAAGCGCTTGCCGGTCACGCTTGCAGCCTGCTCTCGATCAGAGACTCGCCTCGTTCTGTCTTTGCGAGGGCGCGTGTAACATAGGGTCTATCAAACAGAGCGTGTGTGTGCACAGGAGGAACAGGAAATGCGAGAGGAGGAAAGAGAGACAGACAGGTTCATCTACGAGTCGCCGGCCCGCTGCGACGGCACCTTGCGCATGCTGAGCGGCCCTCCGACGACGGGCAGCGCCCTCCCCGTGCCCGTCCCTCCTCCCTCTCGCTGCGGCCGGTCGACGGCGGCGAACCGGATCGACGGCCCCGCCGTCGAGTCGCCCGAGTTGTCGCGCTCGGGCGAGCCGGCGCGCGACGACGGCACCGACGGGCCGGGCGAGCGAGACCCGCCGCGAGCGCGGAACAGCTCGCGCACGCTCTGCATCGCCTTGCTGTTCTGGCGGGCCGGAACGGGGCGAAGGTGGTCGCCGCCGCTGGGCGCGGGCGCAGGTGCAGGTGCGGGTGCGGGTGCGGGTGCGGGCGACGCGTCGTCGTCCGAGGGCGGGTCGATGCGCTCCGAGCGGAACAGGGACAGGTCGGCCTGCGGCGAGGCCGAGCGCGGTGCGGCGACCGGCTCGGGCGAGGCGGTGCGGCGCTGCGACGAGAAGTAGTCGCCTTGGGGCGACCGACCGCGGGCCGGCGTCTCGGCTGGCGTGTCGCCCTCGCGGTGCGCAGCGAGCTTGGAGCCCGTCGCACGCTCGTCGCCTCGTGCGCTGTTGCGCGACGACGGCCGCTCGTACTTGGCGAGGTCGGCCTCGAGCTCCTCGACCGGGTGGCCGAGCGCGCGCAGGGCGTCGACGTGCTTCTTGGCCTTGCGGCGCTTCTCCTCGGGCGTCATGTCGCGCACGGTGATCTTGCCGTCGCCGCGCTCGGCGACGACCTGCGGGAGGGCGAGAGAAAGGGGGAGAGAGGCGAGGTCAGGACGCAATTCTCGAGGTCCGAGCGCGCGAGAGAGAGACAGAGAGAGGGCCCGGGCGCACCTTGTCGCCCTCGATCCACTCCTCGTAGTCGCGACCCTGCGGGCTCGAGTCGCGGTACTTGCGCTCCTTGCGGCACCACGCGTCGCGCTCGAGCTTCTCGAGCTTCTCGCGCCGCTTGCGCTCGCGCTCCGCGGGCGTCCCGCCCAGGGCCGACGGCGGCTCGTCGCGCAGCTTGAGCTTGGCGCCGACGGCAGAGCCCTGGCGCATCATCTTGGCGGCGACACGCTTGACGGCGTTGGCCTCGTGCTGGCCCTCGCCGTGCTTCTCGGTGAGGACGCGCTTCTGCTCCTCGATCTCGCCCTCGGGAACGTTGTGGACCGTCTTGTCGGGGTGCGCCTTGGCCTTGCGCTCCTTCTCGGGGTGCTCGTCGGCGTCGACGACCTCGACGTTGCCGTCGCCGTGGTCAATGATGATCTGCGGGCGAAAGGGAAGAGGTCAGTGCGGGCGCCGGCGAGACGACGACGACGACGACGAGAATGAGGAGAGGGACGCACCTTGCGGCCCTCCTGCCAGGTCTTGGTGCCACGACAGTAGCGCGCCTCGAGCTTGGGGTCGCGCTTGCCGCCCTTGCGCGGGCCCATCGGGACCGGGCTCGGCGACCTGCTCCTGCTCCTGCTCCTCTCCCTCGGCCGCCGACGCTCCTCGCGCTCCTTGCCCTTGCCCGAGCGCTTGTGCGCAGCGGCGTACCGCGCCTTGGACTCGGGCGAGTCGCTGTCGTCGGCGCCGTCGTCGCCGAGGATGTCGTGCGGCGGGTGCTCGTCCGCTTCGCGCCGGCGCGCCTCGGCCATCTCGCGCTTGTGCTCGGCGGCACGGCGCTTGCCGCGCTTGACGTCGCTCGCCGACTCGACCTCCTTCTCGACGTCGGTGCCGCCGCGCTCCTCGACGTCCGAGTCGCGGTCGCCTGCGGCGCCGCCGTCACGGTGCTTCTCCTTGCGCCGCTCGACGAGCTCCTCCTTCTTGCCGGCGCCGACCTTGTGCGACTTGGGCGGCGCGCCGAACATGGCCGTCGTGCCCTTGTCCTCCTCGACCTCGTCCTCGATCTCGCGCTCGACGTCCGAGTGCGACGGGCTGTGGCCGACCTTGCGGCGCGCCTCGTCCGTCGCGTGCCGCTCCTCCTCGTCCTCGCGGTCCACCTCGTCCTCGTCCTCCTCATCGATGCGGTCCTCGCGCCTGCCGCGCTCGGCCTCGTCCTTCTCGTCAAACGACCGACGGCTCGACGACGGGCTCGCGCCGGCGCCGACGCCCTTCTCGGCGAGGCTCTCGGGCGACTCGTCGTCGCGGTTGATGACGATGTCCTCGGCGCGCGTCGCACGCTTGACGCGCGACATCCAGCTCGGCTCCTCGTCCTTGGCGCGCTCGGCGCGGCTCGTCGTCCCGAACGAGAACGTGCGGCCGAACCCAGAGTTGCCCGACTGCGCCGTGAGGGTGCGCGAGAAGGATGCGACGCGCGAGTGGACGCGGCGGCCGAGCGTGAAGAACGAGATCGACAGGCCGTGTACGAGGATGGACGACAGGACGATGGCGTAGGTGACGGGCACGATCATGAGGGCGAGCGTCTCGACGCCGTTCTCGGGCGGAATGTTGGGCGTCGGGAGCTTCTCGGCGGCGAGAGTCGACTGCGAGCGAGGTACGGAAAGAGGGGGAAAGAGGCAGGGTCAGTAAGGCGGGACGGCGAGAGAAAGGCGAACGAGCTCGACGCACGATGAAGATGGCGCCGACGCCCATGGGCCCAAAGTGGCCGGCAAAGATGGCCTCGCGCGTCGTCTTGATGTCGGGGATCCAGTGGTACAGGGCGTACATGGTCGGGAGGCGCCGGAGCGCGAGGATGGCGATGCACAGGAGGAGGACGCGCCACCAGGTCAGGGTCGTGTTGGCGCTCTGCCACGCGTTGAACGGCATCGTCGCGCCGATGTAGATGAAGATGGCGCAGTTGGCGAGCAGGTCGATCGTCGACGAAAAGTTGGACTCCTCGATCGACTCGGTGAACCTGCAGAGGGGGCGAGCGAGTCAGTCAGGTCACTCGAAAAAGCACACGCAAGCTGGCGACGCCAGACCGCGAGAACAAGGGCCGAGAGAGAGGAGGACGCACCAGTCGTCCCACGCGAACGCCGTCCCGCACGCGAACGCCGCGAGCAAGTCGTCGCTACCGGCGAGCGTCGTCAAGCCCGTGACGAGGAGCGCGAGCGCGACATACATGGCGACCATCGACTCGCGGTCGATGAGCTCGCGGCGCTTGGAGAACTTGAGGATCTTGCGCGCGATGATGCCGACGGCGGCGCCGATGATGATGCCGAGGACGATCTGGTACAGGAGGACGAGGACGATCCAGTAGCCGATGGCGGACCCGACAGAGTGCTCGCCGCGCAGAAGGAGGAAGAGGGCGAGGTACTGTGGGCCAGAGGTCGGTCGTCAGCTCGCCGTGGTGGCGAGAGGGGAGGTGGACGAAGAGGGAGAGAGAGAGGACGAACCAAGAAGGGGAACGCCGCGCCATCGTTGCAGCCACTCTCGGCCTGGAGGAGGTGCCGAATGTGGCTCGGGACGTGCTCTTGAGCGTACTTGCCCTTGCCGACGACCGACGACGCGAGGATAGGGTCGGTGGGCGTCACGGCGGCGGCGAGGACGAGTGCGGGGAGGAACTCGAGGCCCGGGATGATGGCGTACATGAGGGCGCCGGCGACCATCCAGCCCATGAGCATGCTGCGAGGCGGACCAAGCGTCAGTCGAGGCGTCCGGCTGGGTGCGCAGAGCGAGGGGAGAGGGGGCGACGCACATGGGCCCGAGCAGCATCGCCAGGTCGCGCCAATGCCGCCAGACGTACGCTCTGTGCGAGAGAAGGCATCAGTCAAGTGCTCGAGACTGTGCGAGAGGCGAGAGAGGAGGACGCACTTGGGCAACTCGACGCCGATGGCGAATACCGAGAGCGCGATGACGATGCGGGTGAGCTCGAGCGTGAGCTCGTCCGTGTGGTGGCCTGTGGTCGCAAGACGCGAGTCAGTACGAGGGCAGGAGAGCCGCAAGAGGAGGAACGAGAAGACGCACCTTCGGCCCACGTCCTCGGCGCAAAGATGCCCGCTGCGTAGCCCCTGCAGGTTCACAACGCCCTCGTCAGTCACCGCCCGGCCACCGAGAACAGGGGACGAGGGGACGCACGAGAAGGCGATACCGAAGCAGGTCGCGATGATGGCCTCGCCGACGTACATGCGCTCCTTGACGAAGCCCCTGCGCGCGCCGTCTCGTCGTCAGTACTCGACTCGGCGCGAGTCGACGGGGACGGAGAGGAGGGTGCTCACGAGAAGAGGCCGAAGAAGGTGATGAAGACGGAGAGAATGACGATGGCGAGGTGAACGATGTTGACCTGCAAGACCCAAGAGGACGTCAGTCTCGCCGCGCTTCCGACTCTCGAGTGCAGGGGGAAGTAGAGCGCACCTCGGTGACGACGCTGAAGAGCTCATGACTGTGAACGAGGAGGCAAAGGACCCATGTCAGTCGTTGTGCGCGCGCAAACATGGCCCGCTCGCTTCCTCGGGCGAGAGCACCTCCGCCCGCCGTGCGGCCCACCCACCCTCTGAGCAGCCGCGCTCAACAGCGAAACGAGGACTCACGTCGCCTCCTCGACCGTGCCCGCGCCCGAGTACAGGCTCGAATTCTGGGCGTCGCCCCTCGCCGGTTCAAACTCCTCGGACCGCGGGAAGAGGGCGCCGGAACGCGCGAGGACAAAGTGGGCGAGGGCGCCCGTGGTCGCGTTGACCCCTGCTGAGAAGGCCGACATGGCGCTCGGGTGGCGCTGGGCGTGGCGTGGCGAGGTGAGGGCGAGAGGAGCGGGGACCGAGTTGCTCAGAGATGAGAGAGAAGTGGAGGGGCGAGGGGCGACAGCGGCCGGTGGCGGTGCGCGGCTGGCAGGCGCAGGTGCTGGATCGAGTGCAGCCGGTCGAGCTGGGCCTAAGGTGCACGGAGCTCGAGGTGAGGACGAGCGAGGAGCTGGCCACACTCGCTCCTCTCGCTCACGCTCACGCATGCGTTCGTGGGCCGAGAGATCTCACATTTCTCTACCGGCCGCAGCACAGAACGACACTCGATGGACAGCTTAGGATTGGCAAGGACGAGCAACACAGGACGAGTGGCGCAAACTAGATCTTCGACTTGGCCTCCTGCTCCTTCTTGTCGCCCTCGGCCTTGGAGAACGTCGGCGCGCTCTCGTACTGCGGGCACAGCGACGGCCTCGAGGTCAGTGTCGACTCGCGTAGGAGACAGAGGCACTGAGAGAGAGAAAGAGAGACGCACGTCGTCGGTGCGCTCGACGCCGAGCTCGATGAGCTTGGAGAAGACCTGTGAGTCGAGGAGGACGAGCGGGTCAGTGCGCGTCGAGGGACGAGAGAAGAGAAGCGAGGACGCACATCGGCAAAGTCCTTGTAGAACGCGTCGCGGTCCTCGGCGTCTGCAGGGCGGGTAAAAGGGAGCGTGAGCCTCGGCGGTCTGTGCGGCGCGACGGGCTCGAGACGACGGCGACGTACACTTCTTGACCCAGGGGATGAACTTCTCGTCCTCGATGAGCGCCATGTCGGTCCTGTGAGGGGAGACAGAAGTCAGGACGGGCTCGATAGGGAGTGGAAGAGCCAGTGAAAGAGGGAGAGGGGGGACGCACGGCAACATCATGAGCTCCTCGCCGAGGTCCTCGTTCTGCGGGCGCGCAGGGGCCTCGTCAGTACGACGCGAGTGCAATGAGAGAACGAGAGAGGACGCACCCGGAACTGGCGCGGGCCCTCCCACTTCTTCTCCTCCCACTTGAACTTGGTGAGCTGCGAGGCACGAGGACGAGATTGTCAGTCGAGGTGATTCTCGACGGCTGCCGTGCGCGAGACGGTCGGGAGAGAAGCGAGCGGCTCACCATCTTGTAGTACTGCGTGCTGAACTTGGTCGGCGTCACGCTCCACGGGCCCTCCCAGCCCGAGCGGTCCGAGTGGCACCGGCCGAGCGAGTGGGCGCCGGCGAGCGCGACAATCTCCTGGTCGTTGAAGCCCATGCGGTAGAAGATGAAGCGCAGGTGCTCGGCGGCCTGGGCACCGTCGGGCAGGCGGCCACGCGGCGGGCACTGCGGGCGCGAAGGAGGGAGGAGGGGGAGGGACAGGTTGGGTCAGGACGACGCCCTTAACATGGGAGGACGAGACGAGGAGAAGACGACGCACCTTGGAATCGTCGACAAAGTCGGTGCGGCCGGGCTTCCACTTGCAGTCGGGCCCGCCCATCTCCTTGATGGCGACGACGCCGGCGAGGGTCCACAGGTCGGCGTACGTGATCCACGGGTGCTTCTCCTTGACGGGCTCGAGGAACCGGCGCGCGTGCTCGAGACCGGCGCTGCGAGGGGTAAGGGCGAGGCGTCAGTCGGCTGCTGGACAAGGAGCCTGGAGGAAGGAGGGGCCAGGACGCACTTGGCCGGGTCGCCTCCCTCTGCCTCGTACCGCATGCCGGCGCCGTTGCTGCCGCCCGTCTTGGTCTCGGCGCAGTACGTGCCCGAGGCGTGCCATGCGAGGCTGCGCGCAGGAGGGGCATGGTCAGTCGTCGTCGCTCGTTCTCTGCCGGCTCGCCACAGCCGGTTGAGCGTGAATTCCCGGCGTGCGCCTCCTGCAGGGACGCGGCCGTGCGCCTGTCCGGTGCAGTTCTAGCTCGAGAAGAACCCGCTCGTCTCGCGCTGCACCGGGTCCAGCGGCGAGCAAGTGCCACATGCTCCGGCCCACGCACCAAGTCGCCGAGAGGGAGAAGGGGAGGCTCACCGGACGAGGACAGGGCCGATCGAGCCATCGTCGTAGTCGGGCTGGTCGAGGATGCTGGCAATGTCGTTGCGGACAGCGTCAAAGTCGCCCTTGCGCGAGGGCGAGGCGGCGTCCTTCTGGGTCTTGGGTGCCGACGGCATGGTGGCTGGAGCGGGGTGGTGCTGTGCGGGGGTGGGCGTGTGTGCGAGTGTGGACAGCGAGTGCAGTAGGTGCTGGCAGCAGCTGTGCTGTGTGTGGTGAGAGCAGGGCGGCGAGGCTGCTCCCCTTCCTCCTCCTCCTCAGAGGCCGGCAAGGTCGCGCGCCGGCGCCGATCTCTCTCGAAATCGGCCGCCGCTCGTTGGCTGCGAGGTCGACCATCTCTCGAGTAGCCAGCTGAGTACTGCACCGCGTCGCTCTGCCTGGTGCGAGGACGAGCAGAGGGAGCGCAAAGTCCGCGGAGTGCCGCTGCTTCGCCCGAGAGCACGAGCGCTCCTCCTCTCTCGCTTCCCCACCACAGCTCACGGGGCAGGCGAGCTCGACAGCGCAGCATACCTTGCGCGGCACCGCCAGCTACGCGACAGCTGGCCTCGCACCACGCGCGCCCAGCTCCCCCCGACCTCGACAACAGCAGCTTCATCTCGACAAGCCGCTGCGCGTCCAGCTCGCCTCGCGACCGCCGGTCCGACCTGCACATCTACCCGTTGCACTCGCACGCCGTCGCTCCACTTCGTGCCGCCGGGCAGGCGAGCCTCACCGCCTACCCTCCCGCTCCTTCGACCCTCCCCCCGCCCTCACGCTCATCTCGCCGTCCACCCCCAAGCCGCACGCCGCCATGTCGTCCGAGACCACTATCACTATCCTGCCGACCCACCTGCGCCTCGTCCACATCCCGCTCGCCCGCCAAGAGGCCCTGATGAGCCGCCTCCTCGAGTGCATGTGGTTCCGCCGCGAGTGCGTCCCTTCTCTCTCTCTCTCTCTGTCGTTGCCCTTTGTCTGCGCCGGTACGCCCGATCTGACTGGCACGCACGCCGCAGGAACGATCCCTTCTTTGCCCTGTGCCGCAACGAGGTCGAGCTGTCGCTCTTTGCCGACGCGGCGAGCGTGCGAGGCTGCTTTGGCGACTTCATGGGCCCGGCGGCGAGCTCGCGCAAGAAGGACCACGGTCCGGCGACGGTCAAGGGTAAGGAGCGCGCGAGGGACGACGGCGACGACGTCCTCGTCGGCGACGAGCTGTGGGTCGCGCTCGAGATCGCGTTCGGCGGCAACGGCTGGGGTGCGTCGCCCTGCTCCCTCCCTCTCTCGCGCCGCTCACGATGATCGGCCTGACTCGTCTGCCCCTGCAGAGGAAGCCGCACCTCGCTTGCACGCACTCACCTCGCCCCTCGCCGCCGCCTCGGTCTCGATCCTGTTCGTCTCGTCGTTCTACGCCGACTACGTCCTCGTCCGCGCGTCGGCCCTCGGCCTCGTCACCCACATCCTCGAGAGCGAGGGTTTCGCGTTCGCCGAGGCCGACAAGGCCATGGAGGACGAGCTCAAGGGCATGCGCGTCCGCGAGGGCGAGGAGCGCGCGGCGGGCGGCGGCGGCGGCGGGCGGTCGAGCGGCACGTCGACGCGCAGGATGAGCCGCTCGGACGGGACGGTGTACGACGAGGAGGACGAGGAGGAGGGCCTGAGCGACCTCGTCGGGAGCCTCGTCCTGAGCGATGCGGGCAGCGCGGGCACGGCTGGTGGGCGCGGCCGCAGAGGGTCGAACGAGGGTGCGGGCGCGTCGCGCTCGTCGTCGTTCTCGCTGTCGCGGTCCAACTCGCTCCACCTGTCGTCGACGACGACGCTCCCGGGAGCGACGTCGCCCAGCCTGCGCTCGCCCGCACCCTCGACGACCATGGCCCCGCCGCTGTCGCTCCTCCCCGACGAGCTCGTGTGCGTCGGCCTGTCGCCCGCTCACGAGACGCAGTGGCGCGCCAAGGTCGTCGAGGCCCTCTTCTTCGCCGACCGCGTCCTGCCCCGCCCTCCTCCCGGCTCCTCGCCGACCTCGCCGACGTCCCCCTCCCGCCCTCTCTCCTTCGCCTCCTTCTCGCCCGCCTCTGCCACCCTCCCTCTCTCCCGCCAAGCCTCCCTCAACCGCCACCGGCAGCGCTCGCACTCGAGCGCGCGCACCTCCCCTCCCGACGACCTCCCCGCCCCGCTCGAGTCGGCCACGCCCCGGGCTCGCCCCTCGCCGCCCTCGCGCACGGTGTCAACCTCGCTCCCGACGCCCCTCGCGCCGCACCCAGTCCCGTTCGTCGCCCTGACGCAGACGCCCGACGGCACGTCGCTCACGGCCGACGTGCGCCTCTTGCGGCGGCTGTTCCCGCCCGGGTGCGAGTCAGCAGGCGACGAGATGGTGTTTGCGACGGGCGAGGCTGGGCTCGGGGGCAAGTGGGAGGGCGAGGACGGGCTGAGAGGGTGGGAGGGCGAGTGGGAGGCGATGAGGCTCGCGCAGGAGGAGGAGGACGACGATGAGGATGAGGAAGGGGAAGGGGAAGAGGGGGCCGAGCTCCCGGTGAGCTCGTCCGAGGAGGAGCAGGGCAGCAGCACGGCGGACGAGAGCGAGGACGAGCAGGACGGCGACGAGTGGGAGGCCGTCTCGCCCTCGGTCGATTCGGCGACGCTGCCGAGCGCGGACGAGGACGACGACGACGACGACGACGATGGCGATCCGGGTTTGGCGACGACGGCGCACACGGCGAGCGACCGCACCCTCCTCAAGTGCCTCCAGCTCGACCTCATGAGCCTCGGACTCGGTGCGTCCCTTTTTCGCCCCCTCTATCTCTCCTCGGCAGCGCCTGACCCTCGCGCGCTTGCCCTCGCCCTCGCCGCAGACAAGCCCGGCCTCGTCGAGCACTACGCGCAGCTCCTCATCGACGGCGGCGTGCGCTCGCTCCTGTACCAGTCGACGTACGGCTCGGCCAACATCCTCGTCGCCAAGCGCGACGTTGGGCGCGCGAGGAGGCTGCTCCTGCGCGGGTGAGCCTCGCCGCTCTCCTTCCTCTCTTCGTCGGTCAAGCGGCCGTGCTGTCATTGCAATGGCGTTGCGTCTCGAGCGCGCGCATGGTCGACGCCTCGCCCGTCCGTTGAGAGCCGGGTGAGCTGCTGGCTGGCAAGTTCGAGGTCCGAGAGCGAGAGAGCGGATGAGCCGCGCGAGGTCGGCCGGGGCTTGCCTGAGAGCAAGCGCAAGGCGGTATCTGTGGCTTAGCCGAGCGCGTTGCAGATCCAGCGGGCGGTCGTTGCTGGCCCGCCCGCTCGAAGCCGGAATCGCGGGCGAGCCGCTCGAGGGCCGACTATCGGGAAGCGACCGAGCCCGCCTCGCTCGCCGTCCCCTCCCCTCTCTCCTTCACTCTCTATCTCTCCGTGCATAGCACCCACTCGACCCAGCGCACCGACCGCCCTCCCCCGATGTGCTCGCACGACCCCGCCGCCTCTGCCGCCGACACGCAGTCGGCCCTCCTCCAGGCCATCCTCACCGAGCTGCAGCACGTCAAGGCCAACCAGACCCTGTTTGAGCACAAGGTGAGCACTCTCGCCCTCCCTCCCTCGCCGCACGGCGCAGCCTCGTCGCCCTCCCTCGAGCTCCGGCTCCTCCGCCCCCACGTTGGCCGAACCAGCTGACCCTCCTCGCGCTACAGCTCGAGACGTTGACGGTGCCGCCCCTGTCGCCCTCGACCTCGACTGCCAACATCCCCGCCCTGAACGGCATCTCGCAGCAGTCGAACGGCGTCGTGTCGCCCTCGTCGACCCCGTTCGTCAAGCCGGCCGACCTCCCGACGTCGCCCTCGCTCGTCGCGCGCAAGGACGCCGCCAACGGCGGCTACTCGCAGCGCGTCGTCCTCACCACCTACCCGGGCCAGGTCGGCATCAACCCGATCCCGCTCAACTGGGGCGCGCCGACGCCCGAGCAGCGTGGACCCGTCGTCGCGTCGAGGCAGCCCAAGTCGCTCAAGGTCCGCAACGCCATCGGCGCGTACGGCGGCTCGTACTCGGTCTACCGCGCGCTCGCCTCCGCGAGTGGCGCCGTCGACCCGAACCACCGACCCGGTGCGTCGCCTCGTCCTCCTCGTCCTCCTCCTCCAGCCTGCGTGGGCGAGCCCTTGGCTCGCCCCTGCCCTCTCGAGACTCCTCTGGTGTACTCTCACTGACTCGTCCCACGGTGCCCGCAGACTATACCAACACCGAGCCGCCGTTCACGATCGCGCACAACCCGGCGTGGGACGACCCGAAGAAGATTGGCGCGATGGACCCGTACGGCCACTTGGCGCCGACGCTCTTCAAGTCGTACTTTGACGCCGGCATCGACGTGCGGCCGACCATCTCGATGACGCGCGCCCACCTCAAGCTGAGCGACTTTGACGACATGGTCCGCAACGGCACGCTCGAGGTCGACGGCAAGATTGTCGTGCGCACGCCGACCGACTGGATCAACCAGAACCGCGCCGCGTCGGCGGCGGCCAAGACGGCGCGGTCCGAGGACGACGAGGCCAACAAGCACGTCGAGCACGCCGCGTTCGACGCCGGCGTCGAGCTCAACGTGTCCAAGGCGGCCATCGACCCGGTGTGGAACCTGCCCGAGATTGCGAGGAGGTTCGGCGTCAGCGAGGGAACGCTTCGGTGCGTCCTCACTCCCGCTCCTCGTCGTCTCCCTCTTGTCGAGACTGACCCGCTCTTCCTCCTTCCTCGCAGTCGGTGCCTGTTCGAGGAGTGCGGCGGTGCCCTGCCTGAGCTTCTCACGCGCCACGACATCAAGACGTACCTGCCCCCGATCGGCGGCAGCACGGCCTACATCGTGCGTCCCTCGTCCTCTCTCGCCGCTCGAGCCCGCTCGTCGAGAAGGTCCTAACCCACTTCTCCTCCCTCTCTTCCTCACACTCGTCCACCTCTACTCGCCTCGGTCCCTCGCCGCCCTCCCTCCTACTCGTCACCTCGTCGCAGTTCGGCAACCCGGACCTGATCGCCAACCCGGAAACCGAGATCACCGTGCGCGTCCACGACGAGTGCAACGGCTCGGACGTCTTCAGCTCGGACGTGTGCACCTGCAGGCCGTACTTGATGTTCGGCATCGAGGAGGCCGTCAAGTGCGCGCAGCGAGGCGGTGTCGGCATCGTCGTCTACTTCCGGTGCGCCCGCCTCTCTCTCACTCTCTCGGTCTCTCCTGTCCTCGCCGGACCCTCGACCTGACTTCTACTCTCCCTCGTCGACAGCAAGGAGGGTCGTGCGCTCGGCGAGGTCCTCAAGTACCTCGTGTACAACGCCCGCAAGCGCTCGGGCGACAACGCCGCCGACTACTTCCGCAGGACGGCCGACATTGCCGGCGTCGAGGGTGCGTCCATCTCTTCCTCTCAGTCTCGACACTCTCCCGACGAGAGGCGAGCCCTAAACTTACCCACCCCGTCGTCGTCGTCCGCAGACATGCGCTTCCAGGTCCTGATGCCGGACGTCCTGCACTGGCTCGGCGTCAAGCACATCCACCGCCTCGTCAGCATGTCCAACCTCAAGTACAACGCCATCACTGGGTCCGGCATCACCGTCGGCCTGCGCTACGAGATCCCCGAGGACCTCGTGCGTCTCCCTCTTCCTCCCTCTCTCGTGGGCCGGGCTCGTGACGGCGGTCTCTTCTCCCGACCCTCACTGACAATCTCTCTCTCTCTCTCTCTGCTGCAGATCCCGCCCGACAGCCGTGTCGAGATTGACGCCAAGGTGCGTCGAGCCCCTCCTTTTCCCCCTCCTCGTCTCCCTGTCCTCGTCCCTGACCTTCTCCTCTCTCACTCGCCTTGCAGATCGCCCATGGCTACTTCAGCAAGACGCAGGTCGTCAACCTCGCCAACACGTCGGGCCGCATGTGGGAGGACCTCGCGCACTAGAGACGGGGTCAGAGCGCGCGAGGAGGGTCGACGAGGGGCAGGGTCCGGGTTGTACAGACAGGGTCGTTTCGCAGAGTCTCCTCTTTTGTGCCATGCAGGTCGTTACACGATCACGGTCGCTGCGGGTGGTGCTACTCGAGGAGAGTTGGCGTCGCGAGAGAAGAGAGGCTCGAGCAGCTCGACTTGAGAAGGTCGACTTTGAGCCGCTCTCGCTCTGCGCTCCCAAGCGGGGCTTCGTCAGCCCTGCTTCGGTCGACGGACGCTATGTACGGCGCCCGAGACGATGTGCGGCGCTTCGCCCAGGCAGAGCGCGGCTCGGCCTGACGGGACGAGGTTCACGCCGGCAAGAGGAGAAGGACGCGGTCGGCTCCGCTCGCGGCACACCCTGCAGCGGTCCCGACGCGTGCACAAGAGAGTCTCGAGCTTGCGCTAGTCGGCCGGTCTGTAAATGCTGCACCGCTTCGCAGCAAACTGTTCCTCGCGCTTTGACCCTTGTGCGTTCCTTCGCCGCGCGGCAGGCTGCCCTCCGAGAGAGCGAGGGTGCTTCCCCGGCACGACAGAATCCACGAAGACTTCCTTAGCAGTACCGCGAGAGAGCGCCCTGCCAGGAACCCGGCTGTGAAGCGTCTGCGAGTGCGCTCGGGCGCGGTCGCTCCGCGCTTCTTTCGCAGCTCGCACCGCAAGGGGTCGTGCTCGCGCCGCTCACCCTTTGCCGCAGCCTGTTCGTACTGTATCGTTCCTCGCTGGCCCCTGTTGCACTAGAAAGTGCAAGGGAAGGGAGCGCGGCGTGCCTCTTCTCGCACCTCCTGCGCCTCTCTCGCGGGCTGCACTCGCTTTGCGGCACGCTGTTCAAGCGCGCAAAGTCGACGTTGCGATCACCGGAGTAGCTACAAGTCTCCGAACGTCGAGTTCGTAGTCCGCTCGAGCGCGCTTGCGCACCCAGCGCGGCAGTCTGGTTCGAAATGCGCACGGACCCTCTCCCGCTCTCGCTTCTCGTTCTCTCTACATATGCGGTGCGCTGTGAGCAGAGCGCAGCCTGCTCGTCGTCGTCGAGCTCGTCTGCCCTGCGCACCGCTACATACACAGCGACGTTAAACGATCGAGCTGGCCGGAGAAGGCGGCGGACCCGCCGTTGCCCTCCCGCCGACGCTTTCCACTTCGTCCTCCACCGCCGCCCGCCGGACTTTTGTTGCCCTCGCCCGAGCGCGCACGCTTCGTCTGTCGACGCGCGCGTGGCAGGACGAAAGGCGAGCGGCGGTCGGGATCTGCGTCGATTTCATCTGCTCGCTCCGGAGGGCAAGGAGATCTCGCCGGGGCTATCATCGCGAGAGGCATCGACGCGATGCAGCGAGGTTGCAACCACATCGACCGCGAAGAAGCTTCTGCCCGGCTCGTCCAAGTCGCACGTCCTGCGCCCCCTCGCGGTCGCAGACGGTGGCTCTTCTCGTTCAGCTCACGCAGGCTGCGCGCACTTCTCGCTCGCCCTTGCGTGCCTTACGCGGCGAATTCCAGATAGCAAACCATGCAGCTGCGCTGCCCGACCGGCCTCGTGCCCGAGGAGCGAGAGATTATCGCAAGCTTGGTGGCCCGAAAGACGGCGCGCCCTGGCCCGCTTCGCCCGGGCCTTCTCTCTGCTTTTCTGCCTCGACCGAAAACGCGGACTGGGTTTCGTCTCTCTTGCAAGCGTCGCGCAGAGCGCGGTGGGCTGTTCGACGCTTGCTCTGTCCCTTTCGTCGCGCGCACGGCCGTCCTTCCTGCGCCCTCGACGAGCTGCGGATCTGCGAGCGGGTCTCGACGGGCATGCAGATGCCTCTCGGCGGGCAAAGCGGATGTGCATTTCGACGAGCGTGGACGGAGCCAGCTCTTGAAGGGGTTCTGAGTCTCGGCAGCGGCGAGTGGGAGCTTGCTCTGAGCCGTCGTGCACCGCATGCTCGCCTGCGCAGCGAGCGCTCGCCAAGGGCACCTACTCGAGAGCAGCATCCGAGCTCGCACGAGCTCTACAGGTTCATGCTGCGCCGACAGCAAAGCGAGCAGGGAGCGAGCGCTCGAGCCCCGGGCCGCAGACGGCTGATCCTCGGCTCCTCCTCCGGCACGGTCCCGCTCACGACACCTGTCTTTGCCAGCCCCCTCGACGAGTGCAGGAGACGCCTGAGACAAGTGGACAAGCCAAGTGCCGACCGCAAGGGCCCAAGCTGTCGCCCCTCCTCCTCCTCGTCTGTGGGCAAAAGGTCCGAGAGCCACGGATCCGAGACTCGCTCGAAAGCTCTTCCAGCCGCGCAATCCAGAGCGTCGGCCTGCGTACGTGCGACGACGTATGGCGCCTGGTACAGTACATGCGAGAGGCCGAGACGCTTCGCGACCGAGCGAAAGGGAAGCGCTCGCGGCGTCCATTCAGCTCGTTTCGCGACGCAGAGGCCAGCAGATCGTGTCGCAGTTGCGCCAGAACTTTCGCTCTGCAAGCTTGGACGACGTCGGCGAGCGAGCGTAGTTCGTTTGCCGAGGCGAGGACCGTGCGAGCGCCAGCTGGGCCACGTCAACTTCTCGCGCTCGCTCGTTCGCATTCAACGCTTGCTCCACGGCGATGCACGACGATGTTCGCTCTGGCGCGTCGCCAGATTGCATCTCTCTCGACAGCGAACGAAGCGAATCGGTCGGCGGCGAGCGAACGCTCGGCGCAAAATGAAGGAGTCGGAGCAGCTGCGCGGGGCGCCGGTCGACGGACCCCTGCGGCTGCCGAGCGCTCTCGCTTTCTGGCCGGCGTGCATGCCGAGACGCAGCCGATGCGAGCGCAGAGTCGACGCGAGAGTGCGAGAGCCCACGAGCCAAGGAGAAGCTGGCAGAGGGAGCGTGCTCGCAGCTTGAGAAGGCCGCTGCGCATGTCGGTGCGTGGCTGGCATGGCGAGCGGCGTCCTCGCCGGCTCATCGAAGTTGCCGACGTGTTCCATCGGGCGTCGGCGGAAGAGAGATCGACGTTCCTCCGCCGTGCGCGGTCGAGCGAAGCAGGCGAGCGCGGGTCCGAGCGCGGGCTGGACAGTCGGCGCGGCGAGGGTGAAAGCTGCGCCGACTCTCGCGATGGACAGGCTCCGTGAGTCGGAAGCTGTGCACGCTGTCGACGAGCGCTAACTACAGCCTGCGAGTGGGGAGGGAGCTGGGGACGAAACGACGAAGGCGGGCGAGCCTTTCTGCCCGGCCAACGCCTTCCCTTCTCGGGGTCTGCTTCCGATCAGATATATCGCCGTACCAAGGGCCCGTACCTGGCAAGGCACGCCCGGCCGGGGAAAGGTGCGCGCACCTTGCGAGAGAGAGAGAGGGAGAGTGCGGCGAGGACGAAGCGCCCGAAGTTCCGCTCGCTCACAGCGCCCGGCACGAGCTCCCTTGCCTGTCGTTGCGCAAGCTCGAGCTCTCGAGCTACTGCAAGGTGAGCTTCGACCCGTCTGCGCCCCACCCGGGTCCCGGCGGAGCTGACCTCCTGTCCAACCCTTCCACCCCTCCTCCCTTGCCCCCTCTCTCGCTCCCTCCACCCACCCTCTTTCGCCGCCCAGTCGTGCTCCAGGGCCAGCGCAGCGCGCGCTCGTCGCCATGAGCCTCGCCGACTTTGCCTTCCCGCCTCAGCCGCGGCTGCGCACCGTCTCCCAGCAGCTGCGCGGCCTCTCGGACGGCGCGGGACCCGCCCACGGCGACGACGACTCGGGCGCGCTCGCCTGGGGCGACTGGGGCAGCACCGGCTACAGCCCCGACCGCACCGCGGGCGCGCAGCAGCCGTACCAGGACCCGTACGCCGACCTGATGAGTGAAAACGCCTTCGACCCGAACCTCCCGTACTCGCCCCGCCAGGCGAGCGGCCACGCCGTGCCGACCTTCGACGCGACCATGCACCTCGCAGGCGGCGACGACGAGCCCGCCCAGTACCAGCTCGACTCGAACCACTTTCGTCCGCCTCCCGACGGCTCTCATCCGCCTCCGCCGCACCACCAGCCTCTGCCTCCAGCGCAACTTCCTCAGGTGCGTCCCCAGTCCTCTTACGGTGCTCGGGCAGCAGCGAGCGACGCGGGCAACCCGAGCTGACATCGCCCTCTCCCCCTTCCCTCCTCCCCCCCTCCTCCCGACCCTCGCTGCTCCAATTCGGGCACCCCGCATACAGTCGCACCCTGCGTCGCCCAACCGGTCGCGCGCCTCGAGCCTCCAGTCGAGCAACGCGCCCACGCCGCTGCACATGAGCGTCTTGACGTCGCCGTCGTCGCCGTTCTTCCCCGGCCCGTTGCCGTCGCCGTTCCACGACCACCGGGCGTCGTTCTCGTCGAGCACGATGAACCCGTCGCACTCGGTGCGCAGCTCGAGCCCGAGCGACTCGTCGTCCGTGTCGAACCTCAACATGTCGCGCCTCGACTCGAGCTCGGCGACGAGCAGCATCTACGGCGGCGAGAGCGGGTCGACGGCCCCGTCGACGCCGTACCGGTCCGGCTCGATCTCGCGCCAGAACAGCCAGCGCGGCTCGAGCCAGATGCACGCCCGCAGGCGCTCGTCGCCGATCAAGACGAGCGGCCGCCACTCGCGCAAGCTGTCGAACGCCGAGCGCAAGGCCATCTGCGAGTTCTCGAGGACCCACCCCGGCTGGAAGCAGGACGACATCGGCGCCCACTTCGGCTACGAGCGCAGCACCATCTCCAAGACGCTCAAGCACAAGGACCGGTACCTCGCCATGGACTCGGCCGACGAGGCCGGCGCGTCAGCCGTCCAGGCGTTCCTCCACACCGGCCCGTACCAGCAGCAGCAGCAGCAGCAGGGCGACGACCGCGACTCGTCCGAGGCGCCTTCACCCGCCGCGACCGACATCCCGTCGTCGTCGACGCCGCAGCCGTCGTTCGGCCTCGTCGCGTCGTCGTCGACCTCATCGCTCGTCTCGCTCGGCTCGACCGCGACGGCCGACCTCGGCGCCTCGACGTCGTCGAACCTGTCGTCAAGGGTCCTGTCGGGCGGGCGCTTCCCGCACATCGACAATGCGCTCGTCGCCTGGGCCGAGTCGCACGTCGCCAAGGGCAACAGCCTCGCCGACTCGGTCCTCCAGCGCCAGGCCCGCTCGATCGCGCGCGACCTGCCCGGCAACGAGTCGTTCAAGGCGAGCCAGTCGTGGCTCGACGGCTTCAAGACGCGCGCCGGCATCGTCCGCGGCGCGTTCGTCCACGACCGCGCGCCGTCGCCGATGGCGCCCGCCCTGTCCAACGCGCAGCGCTCGCTCGACCCGCCTCGCGAGGAGGACGACGAGGAGGACGACACGTCGGCCGACGCGCCCGTCCGCCGCAGCAAGCGCTCGCTCGGGAGCAAGACGGTCCGCCGCCTCGCGAGCGCCAAGTCGACGCTCGCGGCCTTTGCCGAGGGCTTTGGCGGCCGCAGCTCGTCGCCCGCAGCCGCGTCGTCGTCCCGCATGGACGCCGAGCTCGCGAGCGGCAGCTTCGGCGACCTGTCGATGGACTCGGAGGCGACGCCGACGCACTCGACCGCGCACTCGCGCGCCTCGACGCAAGGCGCCGAGCGCCCGCCGCAGGGCGCCGAGCGCCCGCCGCAGCTCGCCCAGCCGTTCTCGTACTCGCCCGGCGGCGACGGCCAAGGCGCCGGTACGCCGTCGCGCATGTCGCACTACGCCGGGCAGGAGGACACGCTCGCGCTCGGCAGCAGCCTCGGCGCCGGCAGCGACTACTCGCCGCCCGACGGCATGAACGCGCACGGGAACGCGGGCATGTACGGCGGCGGCGGCGTGTACGCGGGCGGGCTCACGCAGCCTTACTCGCCGTCGCCGCACGCCCTCGGCGCGAGCTACTCGTCGGCCCAGGGCGTCTCGGCCTCATCGTCGCGCTCGTCGCTCGGCACGTTCCCGCAGCAGCAGGGCATGTACGGCACGGCGTCGCCCGTCCCGTCGAACCAGCACCGCCGGTCGGGCTCGACGGCGTCGAGCACGAGCGTGTACTCGGGCTTGACGGCCTTCTCGTCGCAAAACGGGCCGGGCACGCCGCTGTCGGGCTCGATGTACGGCTCGTTCCGCGACAGCCAGGGCAACCTGTGCGCGTCGGTCCCGGGCACGCCCGCCAACCCGGCCCTCGCCTCGTCGACGTCGTCGGCGGCGCAGCTGGGCAGCTACTTCGGCTCCGAGCAGGCCCAGCTCCAGAACTCGTTCCTCTCGGCGTCGGCCTCGGGCGCCGGCACGACGCCGACGTCGCAGTACTCGGCCCTCGCGTCGTCGTCGTCGTCGTCCCTCGCCTCGGCCTCTCAGCCGTTCCAGCAGCAGCAGCAGCAGCAGCGATACCCTCAGCACTCTCCGGCATACCCGCAAGCCTCTTTCGATACCCAGCAACAGCAGCAGGCGAGCGCGACGGTTGCCACTGCCGCCGCCAACCGCCGCGCCACGATCTCGGGCGGCCTGCCCTTCAACAGCGCCGCGCGCAACTCGGTGCCGTCGAGCGCCGCCATGACGCCCTCGTCATCGTTCGGCGCCGGCTCGCGCACGAGCATGAGCGGCGCCAGCGGCGCGCCCGTCACGCTCGAGCAGGCCTTCTCGTCGCTCGAGATCGCGCTCGAGTACCTCTCGACGCGCGCCGGCCAGGACTACGTCTCGCCCAAGGACCTTGTCGTCCTCGCCGACCTGCGCGGCAAGATGGAGCGTGCGCGCAACGCCCAGGGCGTCAACCTCGCCGCCATCTCGTCGGCGCCGGCGACGCCGTCCGGCCTCGGCCCGAGCGGCGGCGGCCCGAGCTTCCACGCGCCGTTCATGCCGTCGCAGGTCAACGCGTCGTTCGCCGCCGCCGCCGCGGCCAACAACATGGTCGGCCCGGCCAAGCAGCAGCGCATGCGCCTGTCGCGCACACAGAGCACGAGCAGCGTGCCGTTCTTCGGCGGCGGCGGTCCCGGCGGCGTCCCTGGCCGTCGCCCGGGCTCGTCGCTCTCGCTGTACGAGGTCGACGGGCACTGAGCGGCACGCCGCTCCCTTCCCCTCTTGTCTGCATGGGTCGGCTCTCGGCGTGGAGCACTTCCCCCCCTTCCCTCTTCTCTCCCTCTTTCTCTCCTGCATCGGCGGTCGTATCATCGTGCATTTCCTCTCTCCTCCTTTTCCTCATCAGCAGTCGCCCATCATCGCCACCTCTTGTGCCATACCCTCGCCGTTTCGTTCATATTTCCCCGTCCTCCCTTGCGTTCATCAGCTCCCCTCGTTCATCTCTCTCTCGTTGTGCCGTGCCAATTTCACTCTCGCGCACTTTTCTTTGCCTTTCAATTTGACTCTCGAGAGTTTGAGAGGTCGAGAGCATGCGCGAGAGAGGGAGAGACCGAGAAAAGAGGACGAGGTCCGTGCGGAATTGCGGTGCGAGTACGAGGACAGGGCTACGCAAGGAGGGAGGAGGAGAAAGAGGAGGCGGGTAACGACGGAGAGAGAGAGAGAGTACATAGATGTAGGGCGAGCGTCAAGGGGTAACCAAGGAGAGCGAGGAAGTCGGAAGAGGGGAAGGTCGTGAGGAGAAGGAGAGCGAGAGGGCGGCGACGCTCAGGCCTTGCCGTTCGCCTCCCAGGCGTACAGCGGCTCGCGAGGCGGGAGACGCTGACGGAGGATGTACTTGCGGAAGTTGTAGCTGCGGGACACGGACGAGAGTCAGACAACGGGTTTGGGAAGGTCGAGAAGGCGTGACGAGGAAAAGGGGGCGCACCTGAGGCCGGCGACGTTGTAGGCGGTGTGACGAGCCGTCGGGATGCTGAACACGGCGTCGAGCTCCTCGAGCGAGAGGCCCTTGGTCTCGGGGACGAGGACTGGCGAGCGAGAGGTCAGCCAGGAGACGAGGAGGAGAACGGCAAGGGCGGGACTCACAGAAGATGAGGACCGTGCCGGCAGCGTTCCCTATCGAGAGAAGGGGAGGCAAGAGCGTCAGTCTGACGCGTCAAAGGTTGATACGAGGCCCGCCGAGGCGACTGAGAGTGATTAAGAAGGAGGAGGGGGACGCACAGGCGGCGTACCAGCCAAAGGCGCCGGTCGGCGTGAAGGCCGAGAGCAGGCGAGGGAACGTAAAGGCGACGACCTGTGGGCGCGAAGGAGGGGAAGGGAGGTGGGAGAGGACGAGGGGATAGAGAGAGAATTTGGGAAGGTCAACTCGGTCGTCCTCTGTGCGCGAACGCCAAGTGTGGGAGAGACGACGCACGAAGTTAAAGAGCCAGGTCACTGCAGTAGCGTAGGACATGCCGACGTCTGTCGAGGGAAGGAGAGAACGTCAGGGCCGCTTCTCATTCTCCGACGAGCGCGCAAGGGAGCGCACCGCGAACGTAAAGCGGGAACGCCTCGGCCCTGTCGCGATGTTGAGAACCATATCAGTACGCCGGGATGGAAGGGAAGGGAGAGTGCGTGAGGGACGAACGAGTAGGTGAACCTGCAGAAAGAGAAGACGGTCAGCGGGCGTCGACGCGACGAGCGCAGAGGACGAGGACGCACGGAACGGGACCCTCGCCGGGCGAATAGGCCATGCCTGCAAGTGGACGAGAGAGGGAGAGGGATCAGAGGGAGGGAGAGAGAGAAAACGGCGTTAGCGAGCGGGCCGGGGAGGAGGAGGACTGTGCACGACTTGCAGTGCAGGTACACGCCGAGCGCGATGACGCTCGTGCGAGCCGGACCTTCAGGAGCGTAAAACCCGAGGCCTGCGAGAAGGAGGAAGGCCGACATCATGGGGAAGGTGGTGAGAAGCAGGTTGCGGCTGCGGGTCGAGGAGGGTCAGTGCGCGGTCGACGACGACGCCGAGCGAGACCGCGAGGGAAGGATCGACGCACCGGCCGAAAGTGTCGATGGTCCAGACGGCAGGAGCAGCCTGTAGACGAGGAGAGGGAGAGAGGGAGAAGGAGGAAGTCAGTAAGTCGACCTTCTCAAACTTGCCAGCCTCGGCGCCGAGCGAGACGAGGACGCACCATGACAAAGTTGAGGGCGCCGAAGCCGAGGGTCGCGCCGAGCGCCGTAATGTCGTCGAAGCCGGCCTCTGCGATAAGCGGGAATGGCGAGAGGATCAGTCAAGGCACTCGAGCGCTCAAAAGAAGGGGAGGAGCCGACGACGTACCGCGGAAGATGGTCGCCGAGTAGTACTGCGCGCATCGTCGAGTGCGTGAGCGGTCGTACGTCGTACGTACACGGGAGAGGAGGGAGGACGCACAGCGATGACGTTGATGCCTGAGGGGGAGAGAGCTCGTCAGCGTCGCTCGGGCAGAACGAGAAGCGGGAGGGGAGGTACCGCAGACTGTGAGGGGCGAGAGGTTCGTCAGTATGGGCCTTGCAGATCGAAAATGGGAAGGGGGCGCACACTGCTGCATGAACATGACGGTGCTGCGAGATTGCCGAGGCGAGGGAGGAGGAGGAGCGTCAGGCTCGCGCCGGTCGACGGCGGGGAGACGGGCGAGACAACGACGCACCCGGAAGCGACAGTCGCACGACGGTTGCGAGGAACGCTGAAGAGCTCGACGATGGCCGACTTGCCCGTGACGAGGCTCGCCTCCTCCTCGAGAAGAGCGTTGATCATGAACAGGTCGCGAGCGGCCTGGAGCTTGGTGTGGCGCAGGCGGCACAGGCTCTCGAACGCCTCGCGGTGACGGTTGCGCGAGATGAGCCAACGGGGCGACTCGGGGCAGAAGTAGACCTGCGGGGCGGACCGTGCGAGGTTTAGTCTTGGGTTCGGGCTCGACGCCGACGAGGGGACGCACCTGGGCCATGACGAAGAAGGCAGGGAGGGCAGCACTGCGCGTGTGAGAGTGCACGAGGCGGCGGAAAGGGGACGGGGCAGGGAGGAAAAAGTCAAAATTTGACCTTCTCGAGTTGAGGAGAGGGGGACGCACGAGCCGAGCATGAGGCGCCAGTTGAGGCCGGTGATGGCGACGCCGGACGGGTCGCCGACGCGGAAGAACATGAGGCTCGTCGCTGCGTGGGCGAGGTGGCGAAGGAGGCAGAGGCCGAGGAAGAGGAGGACGAGAGAGTCAGAATCGGGCCGTCGCGCTCGCAAAAGGCGAGATCGTCACGCACCGGTGCCGACCATGATGCCGAACGCCGTCCAGACTTGCCACTGCAGAACGAGGAGGAGGAAGGGTCGGGAGAAGGCGGTCAGCTGGCTTTCCTCCTCGTCGACCAGGAGCAGGAACGATGGGGGCCGGGACGCACCTGCATGACGAGCGCGCCGCGAATGATGGGAGGCGCCGTCTCGGCAGCGTAGACGGGCACCGTAGCCGACTTGGGACCTGCAGGCGAGGTAAGGGCCGAGCGTCGTCGGCGTCAGTCGGTCGTTCCGAGGCTCGTCGCCTGAGAGGAACGAGGTCGACGCACCGATACCGAGACCGAGGACGAAGCGAGCGGCGAACAGGTGCCACTTGCTGTTGACGCACGCCATCCTGTTGCGTAGAGTCGAGATGGTCAGTCGGGATCCGCTGTGGGTCGGAAAATCGACCGAGGGGGACATAAAAAGAGATTCGGCGGGGACGCACCAGATGCAGGTGAGCGCCGAGACGAGGGCGGTGACGAAGATGGTGCCGCGACGTCCGAGACTGTGTGCGCGCGTCGAGAGAGTCAGTATGGGACCTGGCGAGGCCCGGCCGAGCCTGGGAAACGCTCGAGGGCGACGAGAGGATCGTGGACGCACAGGCGGTTGAGCGGCGCGCTGATCCAACACCCTAGCAGGGCGCACGCCAAGTAAGGCGCACCGTTGATGAACCCGAGGATCCACTGGTCGTTGTCGCGAGCGGCCGTGTCGATCCCGAACTGCTGAGGCCAGAAGAGGTTGGCGCCGTTGGTGACGCTCTCGTCCATGCCCTGGATTGCCGCAGACATCGAGCAGCAGATGGTGAGGAAGTAGAGCTGCCACGGTTGGTGCCACTTGTGGGTCTGTGAGGGGAGGAAGAGTCAGAAAGGCGCGCCGGGTCGAGACGAGAGTACGACGGACGTACGACCTCGCGGCGCAGGACGTTGCGGTCCTCCTCGCCGAGCATCGTGAGCGACTCGAACGCGAGCGGGTCTTGAGCGACCTGGGCGCCTGCGGGGAGTAGGAGGGTGAGCGGGATCCTCGGGAAGGCGAGTGCGCTGAGGGGGAGGGACGGACCCTTGGCGAACTCTTCCTCGTAGTCCTGCAGGCCCTTCTCGCGGGCGAAGGCGCGACCCATGGCTGTTACGAGGAGGGGAGAGGTGTCAGCTAGGGCCGGGCTGCCGTCCCTCGACGAAGAAGTCCTCATCAGTTGGAGGCGCCAAAGTCGAGGCGACTCCTCCCACCTCGACTCTGGAGGACTCGACTCACCCTCGAGGCGGTCGAGCGAGATGCCCTGTCGACGATGAACAGTCAGGGACCAGGCCGGCAGGGCTGTGACGGCCGGGAGAGGAGAAAGGACGTGGAGGAGGGAGGACGCACATGGAGCGGGTTCTCAAGGAGCGCGTTCTTGTTGACGATCGAGCTGGCCTTGTGCAGGTACTCGTCGTCGCCGACGAGCTCGCGCTTCTCCTGCGTGCCCGTCGCCTTCTGCTTGAGAGCGTCCTCCGTCATCCTCGCGACCGAGGGCTCGACGTGCTGGTGGTGCGAGTCGGCGGCGCGCGACATGCTGTAGCGGGACGTCGTGCGGCGTGCGGGTGCAGGAAAGAGGAGCAGGAGAGGCGAGCGCGAGAACAGCGAGTTGCGGAGGCCCCTGGGAGCAGCAGGTGGGGGGAGCGTACGGTCGATCGTAGGAGAGGGTCCGCCAAGAAGGCTTGGTCGGTCGCTAGCACGCACGGTGCCGCTGGGCCGGCAGGGCCGGCCGACCTTCCGGAAGGTCTCCTGTCCGACAGAGACGTCCGCGTCACCGAAAAGCGACGAGCGTGGGAGGAAAGTGCCTCGAGGCGAGGAGGAGGAGGGAGGCGGCGCGCTCGCCGGCGTCTGCTGCTGCGCCTGCGACGCTTGTCGCGCAGCGCCCTCGAGCCAGCTCAGCGCACAGCGACCGTCTGCAGCTCTCGCGCCACCGACAGCCGAAAGCCGCCGTCTGCTCCTGGCGCCGCCACGTACGACGCACGCGCCTCCTCCGTCGACATGAGGCCGCCCGTCCGTCTCGGCGCGACTTGGCCTCGTCCTTCTCGCGGTGTGCCGAACGTGGGCGAGAATGAGGCTCACCTTGGCGGCGAACAGGAGAGCTGGAAAAGCCGCAAGCCACCGAGGGCGGCGACGGCGGCGAGAAGGTCACGCGGCGACGAGGGACGAGGGACGTGGCTAAAATTGCACGACCGCCGACTGGAGGGGGTACTGATTGCGAGAGAACTAAGGTGGGAGAGTAGGGAGAACTGGAAGTAACGAGTCGAGGCGACGAGAAGAGACGGTTGCGAGGGCGAGACGAGGACGACGTCGAGCGGCGGCCGAGTGGCTCAGTCGCGGGCGTACGTCGTGTCCTCCCACGAGTAGAGCGGCTTGCGCGGCGGGAGGCGCTGGCGCAGGATGTACTTACGGAAGTTGTAGCTGGTGGGAGAGAGAGCGAAGGTCAGAGTCGGCGCGAGGCGAAAAAGGGCTCGAGAGACAGCGAGACGCACCCGAGGCCCTTGAGGTGGTACGCGGCGTGAATCTTGGTCGGGACCGAGAAGACTGCGAGGGCGAGGAGAGGTTATGCGCGTGCTCGAGGAAAGAGTCGAGCGAGGGGGACGCACCCTGGTCGAGCTCCTCGAGCGAGAGGCCCTTGGTCTCGGGGACGAAGAAGAGGACGAGGAAGGTGCCGACGACGTTCCCTGCGAGAGCGAGAGGCGTCAGGTTCGGGTCGAGCCGAGCAGGGCCAGGAAGAAGAGAGAAAAGGGGACGCACAGCCGGCGTACCAGCCGAACGCGCCCTGGCGGGTAAAGGCCGACAGGAGGCGAGGGAACGTGAGCGCGACGATGAACTGTGGGGGAGAAGCCGGAGCTTGAGTCAGGCTACTGTCTTCAACTCGAGCCGTCGCCCTCGGCAGGAAATGCCGAGGGCCGTCGACGGCGAGATTCAGGACCGGTACTCACGTTGAAAACCCAAGTCGTGGCGGTAGCGAACGACATGCCGACGTCTGCGAGGGGAGAGAGAGGGTCAGGGTCGGCTCGTGGGGGTTCGAGGACCTCTCGGCTGCTTGGCGTCGGGGCGAGAGGCAGGAGGACTAACCGCGGACGTAGAGAGGGAACGCCTCGGCCCTGTAGGCGAGAGAGGGCGAAAACAAGTCAGTGCGAGATCGCCGAGGAGGACGGGAGCGGCGAATATGGCGCACGAGTAGACGAAGCTGCGAGGTCAAGGGAAATGTCAGGGCGCGCTCTCATTTGCGTCGACAACGAGCGAGAGGAGAGCGAGTGAGAGGACGCACGGAACGGGACCCTCGCCAGGCGAGTAGGCCATGCCTGGAGGAGGAAAGGGAGCGAGGTCAGAGTCGCTCGAGGAGGAAGAGATTCGGGAGGAGGGGACGCACAGTGGAGGTAGATGCCGAGCGCGACGACGGCGATACGGGCGTTGCCCTCGGGGATGAAGAACGCCATGCCCGTCATGAGGAGGAAGATGGCCATCAAGGGGAAGGTGAGGAGGAGGAGGAAGCGGCTGCGGATCGAGGAGGGTCAGTGCACGAGTCGACGACGACGACGACCCAGAGCGTGAGAAATACGACGCACCGACCGAACGTGTCGATGGTCCAGACGGCAGGAGCAGCCTATAGACGAGGAGAGGGAGGGAGGGAGAAGAGGAAGAGGTCAGTAAGTCGACCTTCTCAAACTCGCCGACCTCGACGCCGAGCGAGACGAGGACGCACCATGACAAAGTTGAGCGCGCCGAAGCCGAGGGTCGCACCGAGCGCCGTGATCTCGTCGAAGCCGGCCTCTGCAGGACATGGGAAATCGAGGTGAGCGACGGCCGACCGGAAGGCCACGGGAGGAAAGGCGACGAACGGCGGAAGATGGTCGACGAGTAGTACTGCGGGACGTCGTACGAGCGTCAGGAAGTGTCGCGAGGGTATCAGGGACGAGAGGGTGAGGACGAGGACGCACAGCGATGACGTTGATGCCTGAGGGGACAGAGAGAGTTTGTCAGTGTCGCTCGTGCGGGACGGGCAACGGGCAAGGACATACCGCAGACTGTGGGCGAAAGAGACCCGTCAGTAAGGCTTGTGCAGCTCGAGGAAGGGGAAAGAGGACGCACACTGCTGCATGAACATGACGATCTGTGGGCGCGAGGAGGCGCACGAGGAGGAGGAGAAAGTCAGGGTCGTGGACGACGACGACGAGGGGACCGAGCGAGACGAGGACGTACTCCTGCGCCGAGAGCACCACGACGGTTGCGGGCGACGGTAAAGAGCTCGACGATGGCCGACTTGCCCGTGGCGATGTTGGCCTCCTCCTCGAGGAGGGCGTTGATGAGGAACAGGTCGCGAGCGGCCTGGAGCTTGGTGTGGCGCAGGCGGCAGAGCGACTTGTAGGCGTCGCCGTAGCGGCCACGGCCGATGAGCCAACGCGGCGACTCGGGGCAGAAGTAGACCTGGAAGGAGGAGAGGAGGGGGAGTCAGTCACGGCGGGTGCGGGCGGTAGAGCGAGGAAGAGAGGCGCACCTGGGCCATCACGAAGAAGGCGGGAAGTGCGGCACTGTTGAACGGGATCGAGGGGAAGGAGAGAGGCGAGTCAGCGACGACCTTTTCAAATCGAAAATCGCGAGGACGGCCACGCACGAGCCGAGCATGAGGCGCCAGTTGAGGCCGGTGATGGCGGCGCTAGTAGGGTCGGGAACCTGGAAGGAAGAGCGAGAGAATAAGACTCTGTGCGCGTCGAGGGGGAAGGAGAGGCGACGCACCTTGTAGAACGCGAGCGACGCGACAGTTCCGAGCATGATGCCGAACGCCTGTAGGAACGGACGAGTCAGGTGCATCCCGGGCTGTCTGAGGGGCGAGAGAGAGAGAGAGAGAGAGAGAGCGAGACGCACAGTCCAAACTTGCCACTGCGGGATGGGAGGGTCGGTCGACGACGAGGTCAGCGTCGGCGAGAGAGGGGACGGCGGCGTTCGGGACCCACCTGCATGACGAGCGCGCCGCGGATGATGGGAGGCGCCGTCTCGGCGGCGTAGACGGGAACGGTAGCCGACTTGGGGCCTGTAGGCGAGGAGGGGGGACCGAGCGCCGCCGGCGTCAGTCGGTCGTTCGGGGCCTTGTCGAGACACAGGGAAACGAGCTGGACGCACCAATACCGAGACCAAGGACGAAGCGAGCGGCGAACAGGTGCCAGGTCGAGTTGGTGCAGGCCGACCTGGTTGAAGGGAAAGTCGACGAAAACGAAGGTCAGGCTCGCTTCGCGAGAACGGCGGCGACGGCAAGAGAGCGAGAGGACGCACCAGATGCAGGTGAGCGCCGAGATGGTCGCCGTGAGGAAGATGGTGCCACGACGGCCGAGCCTGCAGGAAGAAGGGGACGAAAGTGAGCGGGCGTCGACGGCGAGGGACGCAGAAGAGGTCGGGACGCACCAAGTGTTGAGCGGCGCAGTGAGCCAACAACCCAGAACTGCGCAAGCCAAGTATGGCGCACCGTTAACGAGGCCGAGGTACCACTCGTTCGTACTCGCGTTGGGCGCGCCCTCGGCCGTGTTGAGGCCGAACTCTGCGAGAGGATGCTCGAGGTCAATTCATCGAGTGTGCAAGGGGCTCGGAGAGAGAGAGAAAGAGAGAGAGAGAGAGAGAGAGAGAGAGAGACGCACGAGGAGCCCAGAAGAGGTTGGCGCCGTTCGTGACGCTCTCGTCCATGCCCTGCACAGCTGCCGCCATGGAGCAGCAGATGGTGAGGAAGTAGAGCTGCCACGGCTGGTGCCACTTGTGCGTCTGTGGGACGAGAGAGGGTCAGAAAAAGGCGCGCCGAGTCGAAAAGGAGCGAGAGGGAGAGAGAGAAAGCGGGACGCACGATCTCGCGGCGGAGGACGTTGCGGTCCTCGTCGTTGAGCATCGTGAGCGACTCGAACGCGAGCGGGTCCTGGGCGACCTGGGCACCTGCAAGTTGACGAGGAAGTGTCAGTACGAGGTCGGGAGCCAGGCGCGAGACGACGAGGGACCGCACGGACCCTTGGCGAACTCCTCCTCGTACTCGCCGAGGCCCTTCTCGCGCGCAAACGCACGGCCCATCGCTGCAGGGAACAGAGCGTCAGCGCGTTGACCTCCAGATGAGCCGCATGCTGCGCCCTGGCCGAGCCAAGCCGTCGGCCCGAAAGTGGGGGGTCGACGGCGAGCGAACTGGCCGGGCTCGAGAGCGGCGAGTGAAAGTACGAGTGCGACTCACCCTCGAGGCGCTCGTGCGAGATGCCCTGTCGACGCAAGGTAGAAAAAGGGTCAGGATCGGACGAGGTGGCGCGGTCGGACGAGCGGGCGCACGAGCCCGCACGTCGTTCTCTCGACGAGAGGAGGGGTGGACGCACCTGGAGCGGGTTCTCGAGGAGGGCGTTGGGGTTGTGGGCGACGTTGTCGAGGTGCTTGTCCTGGTAGTCGCCCTCGCCAGCGAGCTCGCGCTTCTCCTGCGTGCCGCTGTTGTTCTTCTGGCGAGCGGCGTCCTCCTTCATCTTCTCGATCGACGGCTGGACCGGGTACGGGTTCGACATGCTGGGCGCTCTGTCGAGAGAGAGGGAGAGGAGCTTGGAGAGGAGAGGAGAGGAGAGAGAGAGAGTGAGGGAAGCGCGAGGAGAGAAAACGCGGCTCCCCTTGAAGCGCCCCACGGGCCGGCGTCCTTCCGAGCTAGCGGCAAGCCCAAAAAAGCACTGGCGATCGAAGGGCGGACGCTCGTCATGGTCTCCTCTCTCATTGAGAGGACGCTGCGGCGAGCACGAGAAAGTTCGCAACGCGGGCGGAACTGAGCGCAGCAGCGCACCGAGACGAGCTGAGGAGGAGCGATGGAAGCGTGGCCGGCGCAGGCGGCAGCACCCTGCGACTCGGGCAAGTAGCGTGGTGGAGGCTTATTTCCCCCTAACGCTCGCTCCGCGAGCCCGCCTTCCTCCACCTGGGGCAGAAGTGGAGCGTATCGATCCGGGGCAGGAGCGGGCGTACGAGGCATGTGCGTGCGAGGCTGGGCGGGCGTGGGCGGAGAGGAGAGAGAACGTCCGTCGCCGTCTGCCGCCACCGTCCCTGTCGCCGTCGGACTGCCGACAGCCACGAGGGCGAGAAGAGGCGAGAACGGCGAATGTCGGCGTCGGGAAAGGGCGAGGGGCGAGGCTGAGAGGCCTAGGGTGGTGGGAGGCGAGAAGGCGAGGTCGAGGAGGTCGAGTGTCGAGAGAGGACGGCTGCACCGCCAGAGAGCTGCGCGTTGACGGCGACGAGCTCATCGCGAGGGGGAAGGGCGAGTGGGCGGGCGGGGGCCTGAGCGAACATGGCCGGCCACAGCCGGAAGGCCAACCCGCCGTCGAGGTCCGCCGACAGAGTGTCGAGCGGACCGACATGGGCAGCGTCGAGCCTCGTAGAGTCGAAAGAGGGAGAAAGAGAGAGAGAGAGAGGCGCCCGCGAGCGTCAGAGAGACGGGTCCCAAGAGCCAAGAAACGCAAGCCCAAGGCCATGGCGCGGCGAGTGCGCTGCCGGGCCGCCCCTCGTGCGCCGCCCCGACGGTGCGACGTCCGCCTAGCGTGCGCGAGGCGGAGCTCGAGGGCACGGGCGCCGCCTGGAGGAGCCAGGAGCGAGCGAGAGCCGCGAGGCGGAGCTCGAGTCGACGGCAGCGCAGAGCGAGCGAGGCGACAGCTGTGCCGCAGACCGGCGCAGGATGCGCGAGCCCGGCAGGTACGAGCTCCCGGCATGGTCTCCCGGCTCGATCGCGCGAATGGCCTGCGGCTCGTGGAAGACGAGCGAGGCCTCGCCGCGGCGAGAGAGGACAACCTCGCTGAGCAGGGAACGGCACCCTTCAGGCGGCCGGGACCTGCCGCTCTGAGATCTATAGCGTCGGTCGTCGCAGACAGTCGAGAGCCGCACGGGCGTGTGGAGGAGGAGCTGAGGGCGAGCGAGAGGGAGGAGGTGGAGAGGAGTAGGCGAGCGAGGGGAGGCGACGCGTGCAAGGGGCGGTGGCGCGCCAGATCGAGAGCATAGAGCTGCGAGCGTGCTGCCTGCGAGGCTGCAGCCTGGCCGAGCCAGTAGGGAGGAGGAGAGGCCAGTCCCCCGCCTCATCTCGTCGTCGTCGTCGCTTCGTCGGCTCGACCCCCTCTCGCTCCTCAACAACGCTACAAGGATGGGCGGCGGACTGTGAGTCATACTGGCTGCACCGACCACCCCGCCACCGGAACTGACCTGCCTCGCGCCTGGCCACAGCATCTTCCTCATCCTCCTCGTCGCCATCGGTGCCGCAGCCGGCGGCTGGTTCGCGACCCCCAAGGGCGACAACCAAGTGTGCGTACCTGCTCTCTGTCACTCTCCATCCACGGTCCCGCAGCCCTGTGCCGTCGCGCTCGACCCGACCCCGCTGACACCGCCTCGTTCCCCTTCCCTCGCAACAGCACCATCCGCACCTCGCTCCTCCTCGCCATCAGCTGCTGCTGGCTCATGTGCGTCACCCTGCCTCTCTCTCTTCATCGACCGGCGCAGGCAGAGCGGGACTGACCCGGCCGCCTCTTTCGCTCGCAGGTGGGCCATCGCCTACCTCGCCCAGCTGCATCCTCTCATCAGTGCGCACCCTTTCCTCCCAGTCTTCCCTCCCTCGCGTCGTTGTCCGCGGTGCGGGCACGGTGCTCGGCACACCGGGCGCTGACCCTCGCTCGCCGCGCAGAGCCGATCCGCTCCAACCTGCGACCAGTCGAAGACTTCTGAGCGCTCCGTCGTCGACCAAGGACACTCGCCCGGCTCACGGGACCCACGGCGAGACGTTCTACATGGAGGACGAGCAGGGGGACATGGTGGCGCTGTACACGACCCGCGGTGCATGTGCTTGTAAGCTGTTTCTGTTCACGATCGTCTCGCTCTCTCTCGCGTCGTCGGCGCCGGTCCTCGCATGGTCGTCGGTCCGCGTCGAGCTTCTTCGCCGGCAGGAGTGGACCGGCCGAGGATGCAGCCGGGCCCTCGGCCATTCTCCCTTCCGCCCGAGCGACTGAGAGAGAGACTGCCCGTGCGACGAGGAGAGCTGCAAGCGAAAGCGAGAGGATCTTCTGCCGCCTCCTGTACTCGCAATCCCACACACAGCGAGGAGGCGCGCGCCGATCTTCCACGAGAATGCGAGTCGCGCCGCTCTGTCGCCGACGCGAGGCGGCCGTCGTTGGTTGACCTAGTCCAGCCGACCTCGTCTCGGCCAGCGCAGAGCGGGCCTACCTTGCGCGCAAAGCCTGCTTGCGAGTATCGTCGCCCATCGCGCTCGCCCAACAGCCGCCCCAGCTCTCACCGCCGCCCGACTCTCATCAGCTCGCGGCGAGCTCCCTCGTCCGCCGACCTCTCGCCACGCCTCGCGCAGGCTTGCGTGCACCCGCAGCCAGTACAGCGAGCCAGCAGCCACCAGCTCGCCATGTCGTCCCTCGACAAGCTCGCCATTCGCGGCATGTGCGTCCCCACTTCGCCTCCCCTCTCCTCCTCCTCCTCGCGCCCGGCTGACCCACCCTGCCCACACGGTGCCACAGCCGGTCGTTCGACTCGAACGAGATCTCGGTCATGCAGTTTTACACGCCGCTCACCGTCATCGTCGGCCACAACGGCAGCGGCAAGACGACCATCATCGAGTGCCTCAAGTACGCGACGACGGGCGACCTGCCGCCCAACTCCAAGGGTGGAGCCTTCATTCACGACCCGTCGGTGCGTCCTACCCTTTCCCCTCGATCCGTTCCGCACGAGGTCGAGCGAGTCGAGTCGAGCGGCCGACGAGCGTGTCGGGCGTCGCTCGCTCTGCGCTCGCTCTGCGCTCGCTCTGCGCTCGCTCTGCGCTCGAGCGTCGTGAGCAGGCGCGCAAGCTGACACGCTCTCGCCGCACACCCAGATCGCCGGCGTCAACGAGGTCAAGGCGCAGGTCAAGCTCCGCTTCAACAACGCGCGCAAGGAGAAGATGCTCGTCGAGCGTCGCCTCCAGGTCACCAAGAAGAAGGGCACGGCGACGGGCCTCTCGATGAAGACGCTCGAGGGCACGATCGCGTTCGCTGACCCGGAAGGCGTCGACAAGCGCGTGAGTCGGCCTCTTGCTCGGTGGTCGAGGCGGGCCGAGGGTGCAGCAGCATCTGCGGTCGAGCATCCCTCGTCGACGCACGCCGGCACGAGACTGACCACCTTGGCTCTCGCCCGCAGAAACGTCAAACGCTGTCGACCAAGTGCGCCAACATCGACGAGGAGGTGCCGGCGCAGCTCGGCGTCTCCAAGGCCATCCTCCAGAACGTCATCTTCTGCCACCAGGAGGAGAGCAACTGGCCCCTGAGCGAGCCGGCGTCGCTCAAGAAGAAGTTTGACGACATCTTCGAGGCGAGCGAGTACGTCCCACCTCTCGCCCCGCCTTCTCTTTCGCGACTCGGGGCCGCACGGTTCGACTCACCGCGAGCGGGTCTTGGAGCCCAGAGGGCCGCAAACTGACACTCGCACGCCTCCCGCAGCTACACCAAGGTCCTCGACGAGATCAGGAAGATCCGTCGGGACCAGAACGTCGAGATCAAGGTCGACCGCGAGAAGCTGTCGGCGCTCAAGACGGACCGTGACCGGGCCTTCAAGGTGCGTCCGCCTCTCTCCTCCCGCCCGCCGCCCATCCGTCCTCTCACTAAACCCGACCTCCTCGTACAGTTGCGCGAGAACCTCAAGAAGGTGTCGTCCCAGATCGCGGTCAAGCAGGCGACGTACGACGAGCTCGAGGAGCGCATCGCCAAGCTCGTCAAGGAGAACAAGACGTTCTTTGACCAGGCGACCAAGTACTCGGACATCATCGGCAAGGTCGACACGCTGCGCCAGCGCCGCAACCTGGTCGAGGACAACCTCAACAACCTCGTCGCCGGCACCAAGGAGCTGTCCGGTGCGTCGAGTCGTCCCTCTGTCGCTCTCGCGCGCCCTCGTTCGCGCGCAGACCTGACTCTGGTTACCGCTCGGATGCACAGACTCGGAGCCCGAGCTCAAGGCCAAGATCGAGAACCACTCGGCGAGCCTCGACGAGCTGCGCTCGGAGCGCGAGGGGACTAAGCAGCGCCTCGGCGACGAGCAGGACTCGCTCGCCGTCCACGAGCGCAAGCGCTCGCAGGCGCAGACGACGCACGGTCGGCTCCTCGCGCTCAAGCAGCGGTACCAGGACATGCTCGAGCAGCGCAAGGCGCTCGTGCGCGACCTCGCCGAGAAGCACGGCATCGCCGGCTACGACCACGACCTGAGCGACGCCGAGATCAAGGCGTTCGAGGAAAAGCTCGACGAGGCCGTCGTCGCCCAGCAGAAGAAGATCGACAAGATCAAGGTGCGTCCCTCCATCTCTTCTTCCCCTCCCCTCTTTCTCTCGCCCGCCCTCTCGCCTCAGCTTCCGACCCTCTTCTCGAGTCAGACCTGACATGCTGCTCTCCCGCAGAACGAGGCGCGCGCTGCCGAGAACAAGTACCAGGACGAGATCCAGTCGCTCAAGAGCGCCAAAGCCGCCGACGAGCGCGCCAAGGCCACCATCGCCGACCAGATCGTGCGTCGACCGTCCACTCGTCTATTCCTCACGTGTCCCTGACTGACGCGAGGCTCGTGCCGCACCGACCCTGCAGCGCTCGGCCAACGCCCGCATCGCCAACATCTCGCGCCAGCTCGACGCGACGACGACGTCGGTCGCCGACATCACGTACCTCGAGTCGCAGCTCGCCGAGGAAAAGGAGCGCCAGGCGACGCTCAACGACAAGCAGCGCAACGACCAGTACGCCGAGCAGCTCCAGGCCCGTGCGCGCGAGGCCAAGGAGGTCGAGGAGAAGCGCGACGCGCTCCACACCGAGCTCGCCGGCCTCAACGCCCAGGCCAACACGCGCGCAAAGCTGCAGCTGCGCCGCACCGAGAAGACGCGCAAGGACGAGGCCGTCGCGAGCCTGATCGAGCGCAGCGCGGCGAGCTACCGCAAGTTCCTCAAGGCCGACCCGACGCGGGACAAGATGGAGGCCGAGGTCACCGAGCTCATCAAGTGCGTCCTTGCCCTCTCTCTCTTCACGAGCCCGTCCTGCGCCCGCACCGTGACTGACCCCTGCCCTCGCCTGCCCCGCAGCGAGCTCGAGCGCGACGTCGGCTTTGCCGAGCGCTCGGCGCGCGATGCCGGTCGCGAGCTGCAGAACGTCGAGACGAGCGTCAGTTTCGCCAAGAAGAAGGTCCGCGACCTCACGGCGCAAGCAGACTGTGCGTCCCTCGCTCATCGGCCTCGTCGTCGTCCCAGTGCCTCGCCCTGACTCGCTTTGAGCCTCGCAGCGGCCAAGATCAAGGTTGGCGACGGCCTCAAGCGGCTCGACGTCCAGACTGCGACGGTCGAGGCGGCGGTCCAGGAGGCGGAGGAGGAGCTCGCGGCCATCCACTCGTGCGTCCGCTCTGCCTCACACACTCTCTCTCGCTCACCTCGCTCACCTCGCCTCCTTACCCTCACAGGGACCTCGCCGGCGCCGACTCGATCCAGAAGTTCTACGACGCCGTCCTCGTCAAGGCGCAGAAGAACCACACGTGCATCGGCTGTGACCGCCCCGTCTCGCGCGAGGAACTGCCCGACCTCGAGCGTTACGTGCGTCCCCCTCGCTCTCGCCTCCCTCTCGTGCCTCGAGCACCCTCGACTGACTCGGAGCTCGTCCACAGGTCAAGCGCCGCAAGGAGAAGGGCCCGCAGGAGATGCGCGCGCTCAAGGAGGACCAGCGGACGTGGGAGAAGCAGCTCGCCGACCTCAAGACGCTCCTGCCCGCCGAGCTCACCTACAACCGCCTCGCCAAGGACGAGATCCCGGCGGCCGAGACGGCGGCGTCGAACCAGGACGAGAAGCTCGCGCCGGCGCGCGAGAAGGCCGAGGAGACGACCTCGCACCTGAACGAGCTCAAGGACCGCCTGCGCGACGTCCAGACGCTCAAGAAGACGGCGGCCGACGTCAGCCGCCTCCACCGCGAGTGCGAGGACGTTGCGCGCGACATCGGCAAGCTCGAGACCGAGCTGTCCGTCACGGGCTCGACGGCGACGACCGAGGAGATCCAGGAGCAACTCCGTCAGCTCGGCGAGCAGCTGTGCGTCCGCTGTCTCTTTTCCTCTCGCCTCGCGCGATGCCCCTCTCTGACTCGCTCCTGCCCGCACAGCCGCACGATCAAGGCCGCGACCGACAAGATCCGCACCGACCAGCAAAAGACGACGAGCATGCTCCAGTCGCTGTCGAGCAACATCCACGCGCACGAGCTCGACCTGTCGAAGCGCCGCCAGGAGCTCAAGGACAAGGAGGCGCTCGAGCAGACGCAGGTCGAGGCGCGCGAGCAAATCGCCAAGCTTGAGAAGCAGTCCAAGGTGCGCCCTCGTCTCGCGCACTCTCTCTCCTGTCCTCCCCCTCCTGACGATGTTCGCGACCTCCCTTAGGACCTCGACAAGAAGCTCAACGACGCCGTCGCGCCCATCCGCCAGAAGGAGAACGAGCTGTCGACGATCCGCAACGAGTTCACGCGCGACGAGGCGGCCGCGAGCCGTCAGCTGCAGACGTACAACAAGAGCATGGAGCAGCTCGACTCGAACAGTCGCGAGATCAAGGGGTGCGTCCACGACGACCTCTCCTCGTGCCCGAGCGAGCCCGTCTCAACGTGACCCTGACCGTGTTGCCCTCCCCCGTCGCAGCTACGAGAACCGCGGCGGCGAGACTGAGCTCGCCAAGTGCGAGCGCGACCTCAAGCAGCACGACACGGTCATTGGCGACGCCAAGAAGCGCATCGCCCAGTTGCAGGCCCAGATCTCGACGATCGACCAGACGCTCGCCGACTCGAAGGCCGTCCTCCGCAACTTCCAGGACAACCTGCGCCTGCGCGTCGAGCGTCGCTCGCTCGAGTCTCTCGAGCAGCAGATCGACGAGCTCGACGAGGACGCCGCGAGGAAGGCGTACCGCAAGTTCGAGAGCGACTACAACGAGCAGCGTCGCAAGCAGACGGAGCTGCAGGCCGAGGTGCGCCCCCTCTCCCTCTCTCTCTCTCTCTCTTTCGGCTCTTCTCGCCTCTCGCGCTCACGACCTCTCTCCCCCTCTCCCCAGCAAGCGCGACTCGGCGGCGAGATCCAGACGCTCGGCAACGACGTCAAGGAGAAGGGCCAGGAGCTCGTCAACGAGTACAAGGACATCGACCAGCGGTACCGGCGCGAGCTCATCAACCTCAAGGTGCGCCCCCTCCTACACTCTCTTTCGTCTCTCGGGCGGCACTGACTCGGTACGACATGTCGCAGACGGCCGAGATGTCGAACCAGGACCTCGAGAAGCTCTCGAAGGCGCTCGACGGGTGCGTCCGGCAGCTTCTCTGTCTCGCTCGCCGCCTCGCGCCCTCACTGACCCTCGAGGTCACCTGCAGGGCCATCATGCGCTTCCACGGCCTCAAGATGAAGGAGATCAACGACACGATCGCCGACTTGTGGACCAAGACGTACCAGGGGACGGGTGCGTCCCGCTCGCTCCCCCTCGCCCTTTCCCCGGATCCAGCTCACGTCTTCTGCCGCTCGCAGACATCGACAAGATCATGATCAAGTCGGACTCAGAGGGCAAGACGTCTGGCACGAAGCGCACGTACAACTATCGCGTGCGTCCCCCTCCCTCGCCCTCTCTCTCTCTCCTGCCCTCGAGCAGCTCGCTCACCGTGTCTTTCTCTGCCCGCAGGTCGTCATGTTCAAGGACACGACCGAGATGGACATGCGCGGTCGCTGCAGCGCCGGACAAAAAGTCCTCGCGAGCATCATCATCCGCCTCGCGCTCGCCGAGTCATTCTCGATCAACTGCGGCATCATGGCGCTCGACGAGCCGACGACCAACCTCGACCACGACAACGTCCAGGCCCTCGCTGCCTCCCTCTCCGAGTGCGTCCCCTCCCGCGTCGCCCCGAGCCTGGCGCCGTACTGACCTCGCTCGGACCCTCAGGATCATCAAGGAGCGCAAGCACCAGGCCAACGTGCGTCTCTCTTTCTCTCTCTCTTACTCTCGAGCTCTCGTCGGCCTCGTACTGACCTCGTTGCTCTCCTCGCGCAGTTCCAGCTCATCGTCATCACGCACGACGAGGGCTTCCTCGAGACGCTCGGCGGGTCCGGCGTGCTCGACAAGTGCGTCCTCGTGCTCGCCTCGTCCCTCCCTCGTCGAACAGCACTCACACTCCCACCTCGTGCAGGTACTGGCGCGTCTCTCGCGGCGACGGCGGGCAGGTCTCGACCATCGAGCGCCAACGCCTCACTTGAGCTCCCCCTCCTTTCTGCTCCCTGCCCTTCTTTCGCTTTCTCCTCTCGTCTCGTCCGACTCTCTGTAGCTTTGGATACCCGGTTCGCTCGCACGCAATACCGATTCGTGGTTGCCTCGTCCACTCTCGTCGACCCTCTGGTTCTACAACAAGGTGCCCTCGCCGCTCGCTCGCCGTCCCGCTCATGCTCGCCGCAGCGGCCCGTCCTCGTCGCTCGCGTCGTCCTCATCGGTGCCCGACGCCGTCGCCGTCTCGAGCTCGAACGAGCCCTCGCGCGCCTCGTACCGCGCGGCGGCCGCCTCGGCGTAGACGGCGGCGGTCGCTCGCCGCAGGGCCGAGAGGTGCGCCGTGTTGATCGGGAAGGACTGGCCGTCGCCGGGTCTGTGTACGACGAGTCGGCGTCACCTCATGCCCCTAAAGCTCGACCGAGAGCTGCGGCGGGCAAGAAGCGCCGCTGCCCTCGGCTCGAAAGGGAGAGAGGGAAAGCTGCGACGCACGGCCAGCCGAGCGGCACGCCCCACAGCCACCACTTGTCGCCAAAGACCTGCTTAAAGTTGTCCTTGCGGCCGAGGTCGTAGATATTGTACTTGCGGCCGGCAGCGTGCAGGGCGCGGCGCTGCTTCGAGGTGAGGTCGTGAGGCTGGAGGCGCGTGGTCGGCGCGAGGAGCGCGAGCGAGGTCGGGTGCTCCATGGCCTCGATGGTCGAGCTGCGAGAGCGAGAGAGGGAATGCAAGTCAGGGCGTGCGTACGTGCGCGTCGAGGGAGAGGAAGGACGAGAAGAAAGACAAAGAGGATCGTCGCTCGACGCACCGGTTCTTCGAGACGAGGTACAGGTGATACAGGCCGAACGCGCCGACCGCAAAGCCAAAGATGGCGCCGAGGAGAGCGGCGAGCGCCCACGAGATGGGCGCGTACTCGAACCCCTGTCGTCAGTGCGAGGGTCAATGCGTGCGCTCTGCCAGGGACGAGAAGGGCAGACAGACGCACATCATCGGTGTTGTTGACAAAGTTGACGAGCTCGCGGAAGAGGACGACGGCGATGAAGCCGCCGAGGAGGCCCGTGTACGAGAGCGACAGAACGAAGAACCTGCGGGCGGGCGCGCCGGGAATCAGACACAATCCAGAACTCTCGAGATTAACGAGAGAGGTGCGCACTTGTAGTTGGCCCATCCCTGCGAGGCGAGACCGGGTCGAACTCAGGTCAGTGAGGCTCATTCGTGACGACGCGAGGCGAGAGAGAGAGAGAGACGAGGGGACGCACGACGCAGCCGCCGCCGAGCCAAGGACAGTGGTGGTCCATCTTGAGGACGCAGCGACGACAGGACGAGCAGTGATGGGCTCGGTCGGGCTTGGGAACGTTGCACTGCGCGCAGGAAGGGTTGTGTCAGGGGCTTCCCAGGCGTCGAGAAATGGGTGGCGGACGCACCTTGCGGCAGAAACGAGCAGTGCCGTCGCTCTTGACCTGGAGCATCCTGCGCGCGTGGCCTCGCTCTGGCCGTGCCCGCCCGACCTCGTCGCCCTCGAGCAGGCGCTCCGTCTCGATGGCGCCGTCGGGCCGCTCAACCGCCTCCTCCTCGCTGCTCCCTCGCCCGAGCAAGAACGTCTCGACGTCGGCCATGACGCCCTCGTCGGCGACGCGCGCCTCCTCGTCCGAGCGCTTGTAGTCGCCGGCGCCAGGAACGATGCCGCCGCCTCGCCAGTAGGCCATCCAGAAGCTGCCGCCGCACCCGTACAGGAGCCACGAGTAGATGACGGCGTAGATGAGGCCCTTTGTCGTCTCGCCGCGTTGCGCGAGGAGGTAGCTCTGCGAGAGATGGGGGAGAGGGGGGCGGTGCAAGGTGAGCTCGGCGAAGGCGGCGAGAGGAGGAGCGAGAGGGGACGCACGATGCAGAGGGACCACAGGCAGGCGTAAGTGGCAAACGCGAGCAGGCAGAAGATGCCGACGAGCGGCAAGAGGGCGACGACGCGGAATAGGGTCGACCGAGGTCGCTCGCCCTCTCGTCGTGGGAGGAGGGAGGCTCGTGGTGGTTCTGGCGGGAAGGACAGCAGCGGCTTGGCCGGCAGCGCTCGCCGCTGGGACTGCATCGGCGCGAGTGAGCGAGCGAGCTGAGCTCTCGCAGCTGCTGGCGGCGCGAGCCGAGGCGGGGAGATGTTCACTCTCTGCGCCATCTCGTGGGAAGTGTGCGGTACTGCCGTGCGGCTTGTGATAGTATCTCAGAACCCGCCTCGGCCTTGCAACCCCTGGCCAGGGAGAACGAGGCGAGCGGAACGTCGCTCGGTTCGCTTTCGAGTTTCGCTCGCTCGCCAGCTGTACAGTCTCCTCTCGCATGCTCTTCTCCCGACTCGAAAGAGTACTGTGCATCGACACCGAGTTGCAAGCGCGCCCCACCGGACAAGCTCAGCGGACCTCCTCGAACCTCCTCCTCCTCCTCGCCTCGACCTTCTCAAGCCTGCGTCGTCCTCGCCCGTCAACCGGCACGACTGCTCCACCTCCCATGCCTCGACGTCACGCCGTATAAGCCGACGTCTGCGCCGCGCGCCCGACCTTGGCCCTCCAGTCGTCGTCCCACTCCCTGCGCACCTCGACGCCGTACCTCGCGCACACGGCCCTCCCCCTCTGCGCCATCTCGTCCCTCACCTCGGCGTCGCTCACCTGATCCCTCTCGCCCCTGCCCTCCCTCTCGCTGACGGCGCGCCTCGCGTCGTCGACGGCGCGGCGCACGAGCCCGCCCTTGAGCGCGGCGGCGACGTTCGCCTCGCGGCGCAGGAGCTCGATGAGGTGGATCGTCGAGAGGAGGGACGTGTCGAGCGGGGCCGACGAGGGGACCTCGCGGACGGTGCGGCGCTGGATGGTCGAGGAAGGGGACGAGACGAGGAAGGTCGGGATCGGGAGGTGCGAGTACGGCTGAGGGGCCTGAAGGGTGCAAAGAGCGTCGGATCATCCTGCTCCACACGCAGAGTCTGCCCAAGCCGGTGACGGTCGACGGGACGACGGTGCGAGAGAGGGAAAGAGCCGACGCACCGCCGCCTGCGCGTCCTCCTCGACGAGGATCGTGCGCCTCGCGCCCTCACCGTGCTCGACGCCCATCGCGTCCCACACCTTGGCGAGGTCCTTGCACGTGACGACGTTGTCCTTGTAGTCGCCGTCGTCGAGGCCCATCATCTCGCGACTGAGGACGAGCGCGAGCGTGTCGTCGGCGGCCGGGCCCGGGTGGAACGGCGCGCTGACGGCGGGCGAGGGGACGAGGCCGATGGCGCGCAGGAGGGTGTTGACGTTGTGCGCACGGGCGGCCGAGTAGACGGCGACCTCGATCGGGCGGACCTTGTCGACCTTGGCGGCGTCGTCGACGCTGCCGACCTCGACCTTGATCTCGGCCTCGGACGAACCCGACTGCGACTGCGAGGCGACGAGGTACGACAGGAAGGTGGCGAGGAAGGGGCGGACGATCGGGTTGGCGCTGCCCTTGGTCGTGCGCTTCGAGCGGATGAGGAGCGTGTCGTTGAGCGAGAGGACGACGACGAGCGGCTCGACCTTCTTGTGGTCGCCGGAGGTGGCGTCGAGCGTCTCGGACGGCTCGGAGGCGACGTCGAGGTAGGTCGACGAGGGCGCAGGCGGGCCCATCGAGGGCTGTGGGCGAGAGCGGTGCGCCCGGGCGAGCGAGGGGAGGGCGTCGAAGAGGGACGAGGTGGAGAAGGACGAGGGGCTGGTCGGCGCGCGAGAGGCAGAAGACATGCGTGCGGCTGCTGCGTGGGTGTAGGTCGTCCCCTTGCGAGGGAAAGGAGGCGGGAGAGGAGGAGGAAAGAGAAAGAGAGGGAGGGAGCGAGGCGAGCCTCGGCTCGACGGCCGTCGCTTTGCGCGCCCGTCTCTCGCGGACAGGAGCTGGCTGAGCGAGTCTGGCAAGTCCGCGGAGCGGGCTCGAGCAGGGAAGCAGGCCGGGCGGCATGCACCGACCCTCGCAGCTCGCAAGCCCGACAAGCGGCGCAGCCAGGAGAGCACGCGCGCGAGGATGCAGTGCCTGCTCTCGCTGCTGCAGACGCTAGTGCATGCTCGCTGCTGGCTTGGCGAGAGCCGTGGCTAACGTACTAAGCTCTCATGTTTCACGTACTAAGCTCTCATGTTTGAACAATAAAATTAATATAAATCAGCAACTTAGGAGCCATGCAGACACGCAAGCCCCGCCTGACGGCTGCGCCCGTAGCGAGAGAGGCCGTGACGAGAACGGTGAGATGATGAAGACAACGGTCGCCTCGCCCGGCTCTCCCTCAACCGCTCACCAGCGTCCAGAGCCCGCCATCTGCGCCGAGCGAGCTCTCATGTCCGACCGCTACTCGCGCCGCTCGCCCTCGCCCGGCCCCTCGTCCTCCCGCCGCGACCGCTCCCCTCCTCCCCGCAACCGCGACTCGCGCCGCGACTACCACGACGACCGCCGCGGTGGCGACCGGCGCAACGGTGGCGGCGACTACTACGACGACCGGGACCGGCGCGGCGACGGCGGGCGGGCACGAGACGGTCCGCCGAGGGGGGACGACCGGCGGTCAGGCGCGAGGGACGACGACCGCAGGCGAGGGGACCGGCGCTCGCGCTCGCCCGGCGCAGGAGCGGCAGCGGTGCGCAGGCGGTCGCGCTCGCCGGCTGGACGAGGAGGGGCAGGCGGCGGCGCAGGACCGAGCGGCGGCGACGGCGGGTGGGGCAAGCGGGACGCGCTGCCGGACCAGGGGGCGCTCGTGCCTGGTGGAGGAGGTGGCAGGGGAGGCGAGGTGGGCGACCGCGCGCCGCCAAAGGTGGTCGAGCCCGACTTCAAGCCGAGTGGTGCGCTCGCGGCCGAGACTAAGTGCGTCCGCTCCTCTCCTCCTCTTCCTCTCGCGCTCTCTCTACGCGACCTACTTACGCCGGTTCTTCTCGTCGCGACAGCACGCTCAACGGTGTCGTCCTCAAGTATGCCGAGCCGCCCGAGGCGCGCAAGCCTGTGCGCAACTGGCGGCTGTACGTCTTCAAGGGCAAGGAGCAAGTCGGTGCGTCGCTCGGTCCTCGCGCCTCGGTCTCGCCGGTCCCTCTCGACCTGCAGAACTGATACGTAGTCCACGTGCGACGCAGAGCTCTTCCACGTGCACCGACAGTCGTGCTACCTCTTCGGCCGGGACCGCATCGTGCGCCGACCGTCCTCTGCCTCTCTCTCGTCGAGCGCGCCTTCCTGACGTCGTCGTCCCCGCAGGTCGCCGACATCCCTGTCGACCACCCGTCGGCGTCGAAGCAGCACGCCGTCCTCCAGTTCCGCCAAGTGACCGAGCGCAACGAGTTTGGCGACACCAAGTCGCTCACCAAGTGCGCCCACTGTCTCTCTCGCTCGCGCTCTACCGGCCCCGAGACTGGCTCGCTCACTCTCGAGCACGCCGACAGGCCCTTCTTGATCGACCTCGACAGCGCCAACGGCACCATGGTCAACGATGCGGCGGTCCCGGCCTCGCGCTTCTACGAGTTGCGCAGCGGCGACGGTGCGTCCCTCGGTCTCGCTCCGTCTCTCGCGCCTGCTCGACGCAGACCGTACTGACTCGTCCTGGATCGCGGCGCACAGTCCTCAAGTTTGCCTTCTCGTCGCGCGAGTACGTCCTCCTCGTCGAGCAGTGAGGGCGCCTCGCTCTCATGCCCGGCGAGCAAGGTGCGGGGCCCGAGGGCAAGTACTGCACTGGACCTTACGGCAACGAGCTCGGGTGTGCGACAAGTCGTCGGTGGGCTCGCCTGTCGATGCACAAAGGAGAGGGCGGGGTCACTTTCGAAACCTATCGTCGGCCCGGGTCGAGGTCGTCCTGAGAGAAAGAGAGCGGGCGACGTCGCTTGTGCTCGACGAGGTCGAGAGCGAGAGTGCCACGTCTGCGAGAGCAAGAGCTTGGGCAAGGCGGGCGAGCGACCGAGGGAGAAATGAAGAGGCACAGCAGCGGCCGGTTGAGTGATCCGGTGCAAGCGGAGAGAGTGCGGAGTCGGCGTTGGGACGCCGCGCGCGCGCGTTTCTGTCGTCGAACTCTCCCCTGGTTCGCCCACCGCCTTCCTTCCCTCTCGAGAGCCAGAGCTCGACCGTGCTCCCTGCTCGCTCGCGCACGTGGACAAGCCACCTTCGACGCCGCCCCCTGCACCACTCGCCCCGACGACACGCACCTCGCGCCGTCTGCCCCGCCCCGACGATCGCGACCGCGAAGGGCCAAACACCCGACGACGCCCTCCTCGCCCGCTCGTCCTCCTCGACGGCAGCGCAAGCCGCTCTACCCGGACCCCGCCAACCATGGCCGACGTCTACACGCACCAGCAACAGCACCACACCATCTCGCCCACCGTCCTCTCGTCGTCGCGCCCGACCACCCCGGGCACGTCGTCGTCCCTCGCCGGGCCCTCGTCTCAGCCCGCACTCGCGTTCGACCCCGAGGCCTACATCGACCTCGCCAACCTGCACAACCCGACCTCGTTCGACCCGGCCGCGCTCGGCTTCGTCCCTCAACAGCACGCCGGCCCGTCCGACCTCGGCGCCATCAACGGCGGCGGCGGCGGCGGCATGCCCTTTGCGACGGGCTCGATGGGCATGACGCGCACGGGCAGCAGCTCGTCCGGCGGGGGCAGCACCGGTGGACCGCGCACGCGCGCGAGGACGGGCGCGCTCCCGATCGCGCAGAACGGCGGCAGCTTCGTCTCGTTCGACCCGGACGACGGCGACGGCGCCCTCGACCAGGACGACGCGTCCGACGACGACGAGCGCGCCGTCGAGGGCCGGCCCCGCAAGCGCAAGTCGGTGCGCGACCTGCGCGGCGCGGCCAGCAACCAGTCGGCGGCGGCGCAGGCCCAAGCGCACCCGGCCCAGAAGGACGACGGCGGCGCAGGCGGCGACGAGGACAAGACGCGGAGGAAAATCTCGATCGAGTACATCGAGGAGAAGAGCAAGCGGCACATCACGTTCTCGAAGCGCAAGGCCGGCATCATGAAGAAGGTGCGCCCTCGAGCCTCTCTCTCTCTCTCTTCTCGTCTCTCTCGGTCCCACCCCTTTCTCGTGACTGACTCTCTTGCCTGTTCGCGGGTGCGCAGGCATACGAGCTGTCGACGCTCACGGGCACGCAGGTCCTGCTCCTCGTCGTCAGCGAGTCGGGCTGGGTCTACACGTTCACGACCGACAAGTTCAAGCCGCTCGTCAAGGAGGACGAGAACGGCCAGCTCTCGGCCGGGCAGAAGCTCATCGCGGCGTGCTTGGTCCGTCCTCGTCCGTCTTCTCTCGCTCGAGCGCGCCGACCCTGACCCTCTCTCTCTCTCTCGCCGCACTTGCAGGAGGCCAAGGACGGCCAGCCCGACCTCTCGGCGGCTTACCAGTCGGCGGCGTCGTCCACGGGCAACTTTGAGGCCAACTCGGCCGTCCACGGCGGCCAGATCTCGCTCAAGACGGGCGCTCGCGCTCGCCCCCTCGCGAGCAACCGCCGCGTCTCGTCCCGCGGTCGCGCCAACGTCCCGACGGCCATCCAGACCAACGGCGCCGGCCCCATGGACCCGTCGCTGCCGTGTCCGCCGGGCAGCGGCGGGATCCCGCCGCTGCCGCAGCTCCCGACGCCGATGTCGAGCAACTACCTCGACCCGATGTCGCCTCGCGGCCCGCACTCGGGCGGCGCCGGCCCTCGCAGCCTGTCGCACCCGCCGATCTCGCCCGCTCGCGGCGGCACGTACTCGCTCCAGCAGCAGCAGCAGCAGGCGCACGCCCAGCAGCAGCAGAACGACTACGCCGAGATGATGCAGCGCGCCGACCTGCTTCACCTCCAGCAGCAGCAGCACCAGCAGCACCAGCACCAGCAGCACCACGGCCAGCAGCAGAACGGCGGCGGCGGCGGGTACGGCCACTACGACGAAATGTACGGCCCGGCGTCGTCGCACCACAACATGTACCTCCAGGACCTGCCCCTGCCGCCTCCTCCTCCGCACCTCCAGCAGCAGCACGCCAACGGCGGCCCGCGCTCGCACGCGCTCCACCACCAGGCGTCGCACGATGGCCTCCCGCAGCCTCCTCCGCAGACGCTGCACCACGCTCGGTCCTTCTCGCACGGCGGCGGCGTCGGCGGCGGCGCCGCGCAGCACGGGCTTCGCCACCAGGCGTCGCACGGGCACCTCGGCGGTGGCGGCGGCGGCGGTGGCGGGTCCGGCGAGTACGGCTCGGGCGTCGGCGGCTCGGACCACTACGGCGGAGGAGGAGGAGGAGGTGGTGGGTCCGGCGCCGGCGGCAACTACACGCACGCGCCGCCGGGTCAGGGCAGCATGAGTGCGGCGGCGCTCGACCCGCGCAGGGGGAGCAACGCGTCGGGCGGGCAAGGGTGGCAGACGCCGCAGGGGCAGGTGTCGAGCGCGCAGGGGACGCCCATGTCGGCGCAGGGCCAGGGCGGGCAGGCGCTCTATGCCGGCGGCGACGACGGCTATGGACGCTAGCGTCTCGATGCGCGGCATCGGCCAGGCTGCGGCCGTCGTCGACCCTGATCCTCGTTCCACCTCCTCGTCTCCATCGGGTTCTCCTTCGTCTTCCCCTTTTCCCTTCACCTTTGTCGCCTCATCCCTTCGTTCATCTTTTCTTTCTTGGATACCCGTACCTACCCCCTCTCTCGCCGTCCTCACGCCCTCCTTCACGACCTCCCTCACGCTTCCTTGCCGTCCCTCCATTTCCCCTTCTTCACGCCCGCTCGCACGGATCCCCTTCTTCTCCCTCTTTCTACCCCTCGTTGCTGTCGCCTCGTATACCTCCTGCAACGCCCTTTCCTCTCTAGCGTCGCGTTATCGTCGAGAGAGGGCGAGCGAGAGTGAGCTCGGCAAGCGCAAGTCGCGTTTGGGAAGGCCCGCTCGGACCGCTGCTTCTCTCTCTCTCTCTCTCTCGCTCCCTCTCTCGATGCTAGCGCACGAAGGATGCGAGAAGGGCACGGCGCGTGGAATAACATTAGGCCGCTGCAGCGTGGCTAACCCTCCATGTCCTCGTCTCGCGCCTCGGGCGCTCCTGCTCCCGCGCTCGCCTCGCTGTCGGCAACACCGCCGCTGCTCGTCGTCGAGGCGCCCGAGTGCCGTCGCACGCCGTCGGCCGCCTCGCGGTCGAGCAAAAGGCGCTCGAGCTTGGCAAGCCGGTCCTCGAGGCTCGTCGACCCGCCGCCGACACGGCCCGCGCCGCCTTCGAGGCGCACGAGCCGGTCCTCAATCGCGGCCCACCGTCGCTCGCCTTCGCGCCGCACGTCGAGCACGGCGGCGTCGAGCGCCTGCTCGGCCTGCTGCAGCGTCGTGAGGAGCTGCGCGGCGCGCACGAGCTGCTGGTCGAGCGACGACGTGAGGACGCGAGAGTCGGACAGCGAGTCGTAGAAGTTTGAGAAGAGGGAGAGGAACGCCTGCTTGGTCGACGGCGAGGGGGCAGTCGGGTGGACGTGCTGACCGTGCGACGAGGTGGGAGGGTGGACAGGGGGGAGAGGCGCGCCGTGCGACGAGCCGGGTCGGGCGCCCTGGTGGTACGGCGCGTGCGGCGCGAGGCCGGCCGAGTGCGGCGGGAGGGTGGTGAAGGCAGGCGAGGGAAGAGGAGGACCGCCTGGGGCGCCGGGAGCGGGCATCGACTCGCCGAGAGGAGGAAGGGGCGAAAGTGGGCCGCCGGAAGGAGGTCCGTGCCACGACGACGACGACGACGACGCGTGCTGGTGCGCATGCAGCTGCGGGTGGTGCAGGTGATAGCCCTGCATGCTCGACTGCGACGAGTGCGACACGTGGTGGTGCTGGTGCGGCCCTCGGCTCGAGCCCGTCGAGCGCGTGAGCGACGGCAGGCGCACGTGCCGCCCTTGGTCCTTGGGCGGCGGCGCGCTCGAGCGCGGCGACGTCGCGGTCGCTGGCGGCGGCGGCGGGAAGCTGTGCCCTGGCCCGAGCGGCTGGTTGGGGCGGATGTAGTACGAGCTGCTCGAGACGAGCGGCGGCTGCGGGTGCACGGCCCCCTGGCTCTGCCGCCGAGGCGGCGGTCCCGGCTCGCGCGCCGTCGACGATGGCCCGCCGCCGTTGCGCATGGGCGGCAGCTCGGCGCCGCTAGCGCTCGCACGCTCGCGCGCTCGAGCGGCAAAGGTGGCCTCCATGGGCGAGCCGACGAGGACGCTCGGGATGTCGACCGGCGCCGAGCGTAGGGCCGAGAAGGGCGCGTCGCCGTGCACGGCGCTGAACGAGCCGCGGTGGGTGGCGGGCCCCGAAGGAAGTGGAGGACCCGTGGCGACGGTGGGAGGGCGGTGACCGCGACGTTTGGCGAGGCCGCTGCTGCCGGCGGCGGGATCTTGCTGCGACGCGACGACCGAGCCGCGACGAGAGCTCGGGACGGGTGCGGGAGCTTGAGGGGCTGACGGGGCTTGGCTGGCGGACGAGCGACGACGTTCGAGCTCGCGCTGGTGTTGCTCCTGGACGGGTTGGCCGAGGACGAGGGTCGAGAGCGGGATTCCTCCTTGCGTCGCTGTCGACGTCGACGGCGTGGGTGCGGCGGCGAGGAGGTCGGTTGCAGTCGTCGCGAGCGAGTCGAGCGGTGTCGGGCGACTGGTTCGGCGGCGCTTGTTGGCGGCGCTCGACGAGTCGGGGGACGAAGAGCCGATGCGAGGTCGGTGCGTCGCGACGACCGGGTCGGACTGGCGGTGGACGAGGGAAGGAGGAGCTGGTGGAGGTCGTCGAGGAGGCGGGAACGAAGAAGAGGCGACCATGCTGCGAGACGAGGAAAAAGGGAGAGTCAGTCGCAGTTGAGCCGAGCGCTGCCTCGGCTTCGCAGGTGGGCTGGCGCCTCAGGCACGACGGCGGCCGAGCAGGGATCTGCCGGGAACGACGCCCCGACCGACGAACACGGGCTCGAGGCCGGACGGACGAACGCGCGCGGACCTCCCGCCTGCCGCCTCGTCGACCGAAACCGAGAAGAGAGGACCAAGCGGACGCACCCGTCGTCACCAGAGCTCGCGGGCCTCCTCACCGCCGCCAGTTCGTCCTCGCCGTCCGAGATGAGCACGCGCTTGAGCGAGCCGCGCCTCACGCCGCCGTCGCCCGCCGTCGCCGCCGCTCCGTCCTCGAGGTCGACCCGCCTGCTCGCCGCCGCTGCGGGACCCTCGCCGACCCGCTCGATCACGAGTGCCTCGCGTGCGCCTCCAGCTCCAACACCGACGCCGGCAATCCCCAAACCCGTCGTCACGGCCGCCGAGCACGACGCGCGACCGCCGCTCGGGCCCGCTCGCTGGTCTTGCCGCGGGAGCGAAAAGACGAGCGGGTACGAGACGCGCCGAGGAGCTTGGTCGGCCTCGGCGAGCGACGCTGGGACCGCCGACGGGCCGGCTCGAGGTGCGACGGCGGGAGCGGCCTCGACGACGGTCGGTGCGCTGCTGCCGGCGGCGGCGCCGCGAAACGGCGGGATGGGCGGCACGACGTACGCCTCGCGCTTGACCTTGGGGAGCGGTGGCGACGAGGGTCGGACGGGAGCGTCGGCGGGCGGCAGGGAAGGGAGGGGAGGACGAGTCGAGGTTGAGGAGGAAGGTCGAGGAGGAGGAACGAGCGCGACGACGGGCGAGTGCTGTCGCGGCCGAGCCCAGTCGAGCGATGCGCTGCGAGGAGTGCTGCGCAGGGCGTTGAGCGCAGCACTGGTCGCGGGCGAGGAGGAACGCGGGATCGGGGAGCGAGGCGGAAGGTTGGTGGGGCGGTGCGAGATGTCGGCGTGCGCGAGAGTCGGCGCGCGCGCCGTCGAGGTGGCCATGGATGCTGCTGCTGCTGCACGCCCTGCGCGAGAGGAAAGAGGGTTCGCAGAGAGAGAGTCAGCTCGTGGAACTGTCCGTCGCGCCGCGGGTGGGGGAAACGCCGGCGGACGAACGCAATCGCCTCTCCCAACGTCGAGAGAGGGGAACGAGGGTGCTCACTCGATGCGTCTTGCGGCTGCTGCTGAGATGCTCGAGCAGGCGGATGTGCGTGGCGCGGCGCAAGGCGGAGCGGGCTGGTCGTTTGGCGCCTCGACTCGGCTAGGAAGGTCGTCGCGAGCGGGCGGGCTTTTTGTTCCCAGCTCGTGCGGCACCCCGCGTGTGGAGCGTTGTTCTGTCGGCTATTGACGATAGCCCGCAGTCGAATGAACTCGCACGTCGAGAAGCGAGCGAGGTCGAAGGCGGCGAGGAGGGAGGAAGGAGGGAGGGAGGGACGAGAAGGAAGGCGGCCGGGGAACAGCGACGACGACGACGTGCGGCTGGCTCGGAGAACGTTGACTTTCCCAAGCGGCACGCGATCGACGGACTTGGAGGTCGGCCGGGAGAGTGGCGCTGCGTCGAGAAACGGGACGTGGTCGGGTGCGGCGCGCGTTCTGCGTCGAACGGACGAGAGGCGAGGCTGGCAAGGTGCGGGACGGTAGCTCGCGACGAGCAAGCCTCCTGAGTCGACAAACGACAGGACAAAGAGAGATAAGGGAGCGTTCCCGCGCACCCAGCCGCCGCACGGACGCTGGAGACGGACGGACCGCTCCGACTTTCCCAGGCTGACCCGCCGCCGCTCTCTGCGTCGTCGTACCACGGGCCTCGATCTCGTAGTCTCTGCTCTTTCACTCTGTTGGGTCGGCCACTGCGCCAGAGCAGCACTGAGCCCTGAGCAGACGTGAGACAGCGCGGGCGCTTTGACCTCCCCTTCTCGAACGAGCAAAGTGCGTCGTCTCGCCTCGCTTGTTCCGGCGACCGAACGTCCAGCTTGTGAACCGTCGAGCTGCAGGGGCACGACGGTCGCTCGCTCTTGTCGCACCTTGCGCCTTCCCCTCCTCATTGCGAGCGCGGGACGCACACGGTGCCAGCCTCGCTGTCAACGTGGCTCCGCTCGACCGCTCGACCCGCTCGACCTCTCGACGCGCTCGACTGCTTTGCGTCAGAGTCCCGGTCGCATGAACACGCAGCTGTGCGCCGGCGTGCACGTGCCTCTCGTCATCACTGCGTCGACGTCGAGAGCGATCTCATTCCCAACTCTCTGATTCTCTCGAGCAAGTCACTGTCGATGCGCCGTGTAGGTTGCACCATTAGAGAGAAAGAGAACTAAAGAAAGAGAGGGAGCGAGGAACGAGGAAGAGAGGGAGGATCAAGCGGCTGGAGTGGGGAGGGGGGAGGGAGGCAGAGCGAAAGGCAAAGGCCGAGGCAGGGCAAGAGGACAGAGAGACAAAGCGGGAGAGGGCGAGAGGCATCTATGGTGTGGGGGTGGGCGAGGCGACGAGCGCGCTCGCCGTCTATGGGAGGCCGGAGAGAGAGGGAGAGGGACGAGGTCGTCGTCGTCGTCGAGGTCGAGGTCGAGGGCGAGGGCGAGGGCGAGAGCGTCCCTTTTGCGGCGAGGCGAGGCGAGGTGGCGAGGGCGTGTAGGTACAGGGAGGAAGGCGAGGAAGGGAGAGCGACCGAGTCGAGAGCAGCGACAGCGCGCCGCCTCTAGCGCATCTGCTCGTCCTCGCCGAGCGCGTCCTCGTCGCCGCTCGTCTGCCCGCGGTGGTGGTGCGGCTGAGGCTGGAGGTGCTGATGCGGCTGGAGGTGCTGCTGCGCCGCGAGCCCGGCGAGCCCGGCGTACTGGTGCTGCTGCTGCCCGCCCGGGCCCCTCGGGCTCGTCGGCCGACTGCCCGGCTGGCTCCCGTACCCGTCGCCGCCGCCGCCGCCGCCGGTCGTCGTCCCGCTGCTGCTCGCGCCTCGGCTACGGTCGGCGCCGCCGCCGGTCGAGCGGCTGCCGAGGCCGCCCATGGCGCTCAGGACGGGCGACCCGGGCTGCGAGCGGTACGGGTGGGCGCGCTCGCGGTGGTGCGCGCGGTGGTGGTGGTGGTCGAGGCCGTGCTTGCCCGCGTCGACCTCGGGGCTCGTCGCGCGCGAGTTGGTCGCGCTCGTCTCGCCGCTCGTGCCGCCCTCGGCCGCGCCGGGAAGCCGCAGCGGCGGGAGGTGGACCGGGCTCGCGGCGCGTGACGGCGCACGAGAGCCCTGGGCGCTCATGAGCGAGAGGCCCTTGAGCGGGCCGAGGACGGGCGACGTCGACGGCGTGAGCTGGTACGCGAGCTGCTGCTGGAGCTGCCCGATGGCGTGCTGCTGGCCGTGCCCGGGCTGCGACGCCATGCCGATGCCGGGGACGACGCCTGCGCCGGCGTGCACCGGCGGGAAGGGCGAGCTCGTCCCGCTCGACTGCGCCGACGGGTCGACGAGGCCGCCCGGGTGGCCCTGGTGGTGGTGGTGGAGCTGCTGCTGCTGCTGATGGTGGTGCTGGTGCTGCTGCTGCTGCGCCGAGTGGTCGCCCGCGCCGCCGGGGCCCGACGCGTCAGGGCTCGACGCCGGCGAGTTGGCGAGCGACTGGTCGGCGCTCGCCGGGAGCGAGTAGGGCGCGTACGCGTGGCGGTGCTGGTGGCGCGACAGCGAGCTGTGGTGGTTCGGGTGGCTCGGGTCGTGCGAGTGCGAGTGGCGCGACACGGCGTCGTCGGGCTGGAGCTGACCGGCGCCGTGCTGGGCGAGGAGCGGCTGAGCGTGCGACGGGCGACGCGACGCCGTGCCCTGCTGCTGCTGCTGCTGCTGGGCCATGGCCTGGGCGTGCGCCTGGGCCTGGGCCTGCGCCGCCTGGATCTGCTGCTGCTGCTGCTGCTGCGAGATGCCCGTCGCGAACGAGTACGGGCCCTGCCCCTGCATGCCCGCCTGCTGCTGAGCCTGCTGCTGGGCCTGCTGCTGCTGCTGCTGCTGCTGCTGCTGGGCCTGAGCGTAGGGCCAGTACCCGCTCGCCGCCGCCGCCGCCGCCGCCGCCGCCGTCTGGTCGTACGAGCCGTAAGGCGTGTTGACCTGGCTGCCGGGCTGGCTGTTGGACCCGGCGCTGCCGGCGGCCGAGCCGCCCGGCGCCGCGAGCGGCTTGATCTCGACTGGCCCGTCGCCCGTGCGCTGCTCGCGCTCGACGCGCTGCTGCTCGCGCTCGCGCTCCATCTCGTGCAGGCCGCTCGCGGCCGCGAGAGCGAGCGCGTTGAGCGGCCGGCCGTCGGCGCCGGCCTGGGGCTGCCCGGGCTGCCCAGCGCCCTGAGGCTGGCCGACGCCGCCCTGCTGCTGCTGCTGCTGCTGCTGCTGCTGCTGCTGAGGGCCGCCGGCGATGGCGGCGGCAGCGGCGGCGGCGACCTGGTTGGCGAGCTGCTGCTGCTGCTGCTGCTGGGCCTGCTGCTGCTGCTGCTGCTGTTGCTGCTGCGACATCTGCTGCGGCATGGGCGGGTAGCCGTAGGGCGTGTACGACGTGGCGACGGGAGGGTAGCCCGGGTACGACGAGGACGAGGTCGTGGCGGGCGGCGCGCCCGGGTAGGTCGAGGTGGGAGGAGGGACGGACGGGTAGCCGTACGGATACATGGGCATGGTCGGGTAAGGGTATCCAGGGTAGCCAGGCGGAGGCGGGTAGTAGGGTTGCTGCTTGAGACGGACAAATCGGTGTCAGGTCGACGAGGCTGAGAGGGGGAGGGGCAGGAGGGAAAGGGGGGGACGCACGTAGCCCATCATCGGCCCGCCGTACGGCGGCGCACCGCCCGAGATCGCCTGCGCGGCCGCATCGTCGTTCTGCTGCAGAGAGGGCAAGTGCAGGAGGGCGAGGGGTAGTTAGTGACAGACTCGAGGCGGTGCAGGTCTCGCACGGCCCGGTCCGGCGCGACGAGCTTCGTGCCCCGCGTTCGTGCGGCAGGACATCGTCGACGGGTGTGCAGGACCAGGGAGGAGAGAGGAAGGGAGGGAAGAGCGACGCACCTCGTCTCCCGGCGTCCCCTGCCGGCTCTGCTTGCCGCCCTTCTTGACCGGCTGCCCGTTGGCCGCCGCCGCCGCTGCTGCCGCCGCCGCCGCCTGCTGCTGCGCCGTCTTCTTGCGCCCGCGGTCCGACGAGTGGATGCGGACGTGGCGCGTCAACTCGTCAGAGCGCGAGAAGCGCTTCTCGCACCTGCGGGCGCGGGAACGAGGTCGAGTCAGTTGCGGCTCGTGCGACGACGAACGTGATGCGGGTCGAGTACAGGCTGCTCGAGAGGTTGCTCGGCTGAGAAAGGCGGCGCCGACGACGACCCATGTCCGAGGACTGCGCCGGTGACCGACCGAGCCAAACAAGTCCGAGGCCGCGCTCGACGCGTCTCGCCGACTCGGTCTCTCGGCGACGCCGACTCGACGAGAACGAGGAACCAGGAAGAGTGAGAGAGGACGAACCCTGGGTGGGTGCAGGCGTGAGGCTTCTCGCCCGTGTGGGTGCGGATGTGGCGAGTCTGGTGCTCGAGGCGGTAGAAGGCCCTCGGGCACAGCGGGCACTTGTACGGTCTGCACGAAAGGGAGGGAGAGAGTGTGTGTCAGTGTTGATCGCGCGGGGGAGAGGGGAGATGATCAGGTCGACGACCCGGGGGCGACGAGGTGAGCGATGGCGACTGACCGAGGGATCTGGTCGCGAGAGGGGAGGAGGCTGGCGGCCGTGACGCCGGCGGGTGTGTGGCCCTGAGCGTCGAGCGTGACCGACTGCGGGTTGGTCTGCGCCTGGCCCGGGCCCGGTGGAGGCGGGAGCGAGGACGCGAGGGCGTGTTGTTGCTGCTGCGAGCTAGAGGGGTCGCCGCCCGGTGGTGCCAGGAGCGGCGGAGGCGGCGCGTGGTCCATCGCGGGGCGAGTGCTGGCGGGTCTGCTGGTCGGGAGTGCGGGGGTTGGCGCAAGGCGGACCACAGTCGAGCGTGCGCGGCGAGGAGCGACGAGGGCGAGGGGAGGAGGGTAGGCTGGGGCACCTCCGGGGAAGGGGGAGCGGCGAGAGCTTGCGGCGCGCTCAGAGGGCTCGGCGGTGGTGCACAGCGGTCGACAGGCGGCGTGGGAGCACCGTCAGGGTGCGCGGACTGTGCTCGAGGGTGGTGGTGACGAGCTGGCGAGGTGGGAGGGTTTGAGCTGCGAGTCGCCGCCGCTCGCTCGCCTCGTCGTCGGCGGCGTCCCTCTTTCCCTTTCTCACTCGATAGCTGCTCTCTCTCTCCCTCTGCCCTCGCCGGTCCACTTGCGACACTGCTGCACAGTCGAGCCCCTCCTTCCCCCTTCTCCCCGGCGAGCACGGCAGCTTATCGCGCGTGCGCTCGTCCTCAGCTCGCTCCAGCTCTTTCACCCGCCCGCCCCTCTCACGCGCGCATTGCACCGCCCTGGCTCGGCTCCGCTCTCGCGGCCCCCTCGTCGCTCCCTTCGATCGCCCTTCCCACATGAACGGCGCCCGCACGCGGTCGCTTCCGGCCGCGGACCTTCTCGCACGACGCTTTGCCGACGTGTTCGAGCACCGCAGCTTGCTCCTCTGCAAACTCGACCGTTGCGCTCGGGCTCGAAACGAGGCAAGGCCGACCTCGAGAAGATGCGCGCATCGTTCGCGCCTCGGCCCCGGCTTGCATCGAAATTTGGATCTGCTCGTCCCTCGCTTGCTTGCGAGCAAACATGAACGAGAGGGCGCTGAGTGCATCGAGATCGACGTCGCAGAGGGAGCGGTGCAGCGACCGAGGTGCAGCCGCTCGAGCCCCTGGCCGGCACAAGCGCTTTCGCCTCGCTTGGCCTCGCCTTCTCTGCTGCAGACGCTCGCTGTGTACTGCACGCACATGCACTGCACGTCGTCGACAAGCTCCCGCCCTGCCTCGTGTCACCTCCCCTCGCCCTCGCCGCCCGTCCCGCTCCTCACCTCAAACACCCTCTCGCGCCCGCTCCACACCGGCCTCCTCGTCTCCCCATCGAGCACGTACGCGTCGCGCTCGCGCACGACGACCCGCCCCGTGCGGCGCTCGACGAGCACGAGCGACTGGACCCGGGTCGCGTACCAGTGCGCGCCCGGCGCGGTCGGGTCGGGCGAGGCGGATTCGGGAGGGCCGAGGGTGGGTGCGGCGGCGGGCGGCGAGGGTGGGGCGATGGAGGAGGGGAGGGTGGACGAGGTGCTGGTGCTGGACGGAGGAGGGAAAGGCGGTGCGTCGTCGGTCATGGGCGCCGAAGGATCGAAGAAGAGCGGGCGGACGAGGACCGTGTGGCGCAGGTGGGCTCGGTGCTCGATCGGGCTCGGGTGCGCCGTGCTGTACGTGTCGAGCCGTCAAGTCGTGCGACTTAGAGCTCGAGAGAGAGAGAGAGAAGGGGGGACGCACCTGAGCGCGTCGTACAGCCCCTTCGCAAGCCTCTCCTCGACCTCGTCGTCGCCGAGTCCCTCGCTCCTCCTCTCGTCCTCGACCCTCCTCGCGACGGCCTCGACCGCCGCTGCGCCGCTCTTGACCTTTGGCCACTCGGTGTCGCCCTTGTCGACTTCGAGCGTCGCGTTGCTCAGGCCGCGCACGTGCCCGGCCGTGCCGAGCGAGGGGAGGACGCGCGCGCGCTTCGAGGGCGTCTCGCGGTTCGAGATGTAGCCGAGGCGGACGGTCGGCGAGGGTGAGGCGGGCGAGGGCGAGGAAGAGGAGGAGGAAGAGGGAGGAGGTGCGGGCGCGGCCGAGGGGAACGAGAGCTCGCCGACGAGGAGGTTGAAGCCGGCGTAGGCCGACTTTGTCGCCTCGACGTGCTCGAGGTACTCGTCGAGCGAGGCGGCCCGGGAGGCGGTGGACGAGGCGGCGCAGTCGAGGTCGAGGAAGTCGCGCGTGAGGTTGCCCCTCGAGGGCCTTCGGGCGGGCGGGATCGACTCGGTAAAGTTGGTGAGGGTGGCGAAGCGGAGCGTGTGGTCGGAGGCGGCGGTGTCGTGCGAGTCGGGCTGGTGGATCGAGAGGCCGAGCCAGGTGCCGCCGGCCGAGAGGTCGAGGCCAGAGAGGACAGGGTGGGTGGGCGAGGGTTGCTGCGCGAGGCTGGTCGGGTCCCAGTGGTGCCAGGCTGCGGTGGTGGTGGGTCGGGCGAGGAACTCGTCGCGGTTCGAGGCGATGATGCTGTCGACGCGCAGCCGGGTCAGTGAGCCGGACGCTGAGGAGGAGGAGATGAGCGAGGAGGGACGCACAGGCTGTGCGAGTCGGTGGCGGTGAAGAAGACAATGCACATGGCCCGTCGGCGTGCAGTCGCAGCTAGCCGGTGCTCGTGGTCGAGGTGGACGAGGAGGAGAGGTCGAGGATGTGGAGCGCCTCGTCGTCCCTCCTCCTCGCACTCGTCTACCTTCTGTCTGTCGAGCTACAGTCGCCCTCACCTGCTGAGCCAAGCAACGACCATGCACCCGCGCAAGCGCACCCAGCCGGGAGACTGGGCCCTGTCCAACCCGCTCCGTCCTCCCGCTCTCCGCCAGTCCGACCTCGCCTCGTCCCTCTTTGCAAAGCCCTTCTCGCGCCAGACGGCCCTCGAGGCCCACCACTCGTGCGTCAACGCCCTCGCCCTCTCGAACGGCGACGACCCGAGGTGGCTCGCCACCGCAGGCGACGACCAGCGTGTCCTCCTCTGGAACGCTCTCGCGCACACCAACGGCGACGACGACCACCACAACGGGCTTGCTCCAGACCCAGTCGGCTGCTACCGCGGTGCAAGGGTGCGTCCCCCCCTTCCCCCCTCGACCTCAGAACCGTGCGACGGGAGCTCACGCACCTCCTCGCCGCAGTCCAACATCTTCGCCATCGCCTTCACGGCCGACAACTCGCGCATCCTGTCGTGCGGCAACGACGCCACCATCCTCGCCCACGACCTCGAGACGTCGAGCCGCACGTTCCCGCACAACCTCGACGAGGGCGTCCCTCCTCTCGACGCCTGGCTCGACCACGATGTGCGCTGCGACCCTTTCGTCTTGTCCCTCGCACGCGGTCGTGCCTCTGACACCCGCCACTTGACAAACAGGACGCCGTCATGTCGCTCTCGGCGCACCCGCACAACCCGCACCTCTTCCTCTCGGCCTCGACCGACGGCGCCATCCACCAGTACGACTCGCGCACGTCGCCCGGCCTCGTCGGCACCATCGTCGACACGTACGGCATGAACGACGTCGTGCATCACCCGGTCACGCCAGAGCTGTTCGTCTACTCGGCCGAGCTGGGCCATGTCGCGCTCGTCGACGGGAGGATGGCGTGGAGCGACGCGGGCGCAGAGGGGGCAAAGATCGCGAGCGAGGTCGCTGTCGTTCGCGTGCGTCCTCGCACGTCCTCTGCTCTACTCTCTCGAACCGGAACTGACTGAGCCTGTACCTCGCCGCGCAGTACGAGACGACCCTCTCGCGCCTCGCGCCGACTTCCTCCTCGCCCGCACCCGATCCAGCTCGCGCGCCGACCCAGACGGCCCGCCCCAACGTCTCGTCGAGTGCCCTCTCGCCCTCGGGCAACCTCGTGTGCGCCACCCTGTCGGGCCACCTCCCGACCCTGTACGAGCTCTCGGACCCCGTCCCGCTCGCGACATTCTCCGCGCCCGCCCTTTCCTCTCCCGCTCCACCTGCACCTTCCGCACCCTCGTCAGGGTATCGCAACACGACGACGACCAAGCACGGGTCGTTCGGCGGCGGGCGAGGCGCCGAGCCCGGGCGCGGCCTGTACTATGCGGCGGGGAGCGACGACTTTGGAACGTACTTGTGGGAGGTGCCGAGGCTCGAGGTGCTCAGGGAGGGGAGGAGGGAGGTGAGCGTCGACGAGCTCGAGAAGGGGCAGATCGGTGCATCGTCGTGGCTCGCCATTCCTCCTCGCGCCTGCCCGTGAGCGACATGACTGACTCTCCTCACCGTCTCACAGCTTTCCCGCACACGTGGACAACTCGCATCGACGACGACCCTCTCTCCCTCTTCCGGCCCCTCCCCGACCGTCTCACGGTCCCCGCCCTCGTCTCGCCCGCCCACGCGACCCTCAAGGCCCACCGCTCGATCGTCAACACGGCCCTGTTCCACCCGACGCTCCCCGTCCTGTACACGTCGGGTGTCGAGAAGCTCGTCGTCCAGCACGAGGCGCACCTCCCTGGCTCGGGCCTCTCGCGCCCTCGCTCCACTACCACCACCCCGGCGCCGGCGCGCCGCACGTGGCGGTACGTGCCGCGTGAAGCGGCGCGCTCGACCAGCATCGCCGACCTCCTCGTGCGCGCCAACGCGACGCTCGAGCCCGACCCGTCGTCGTCGTCGTCGGGCGGCGGCGGTGGCGGTCCGAGCGCGAGCGCGCGCGAGCGCGAGCGCGTGCGGGGCGAGGACGACGCCGAGCGGCGCCGTCGCGCCGAGGACACGGCCGTGCTCGAGTACTTTGACGGGCTCGTCGCCGAAGAGGCGGACGGCGAGGAGCTGTGGCGCGAGCGGGGCGACGACGACGAGGACATGAGCAGCGGCGAGGAGGAGGCGCTTGCGCTGAGGGAGATCGACGAGGAGCGGTGGGCGGCTGAGGAGGGCTGGGGCACGTAGTGCGAGGGGATGGGCGAGGGCGAGGGCGGGAGCGAGGAGGAGGAGGAGGAGACGGAGAGGAGGGCAGGGGAGGGTGCGCGCGGCTCGACGAGGAGGAAGCTCCGGGCTATCTACGCCCTCGAGGAGCAGGACCTCTCCTCGTCGTCGCACGACGACTATGGCGAGTCGTCGAGCGCAGCAGGAGACGGCGGGCTTGACGACGAGGAATAGAAGCGCTGGACGCTTTCCTCCTTCCTCTCGGTCTCTGCGGCGCGAGACGAGAGAGAGCGGGCGAGAACGAGGAGAGAGTATCGTGCGAGTTGCAGTGCGAGGGGGTAGACAGACGAACGACGAACCGAGAGAGAGAGAGAACGAGAACCTGCGAAAGGAGAACAACGAACAAGCGGAACCGGAACCTCCTCCTCCTCCCTCTCGCCTCCTCACCGAGCGCACCCACCAACAGGCTCACTCGCCGCCCTTGCCCTGCTCCTCGCCCTGAGGCACGACGGCGAAAAAATCCGTCAGCGCCTCGTTGCCCTCGTCGTCCGCCTTGGTCTTGTCCTTCTCCTTCCCCTTCTCCTTCTCGTCCGCCGCGCCGCCCTCGCCGCCCTCGCGCTCGCCCTGCTTACCACCTTGCTCGGCCGGCGGGTCCTTCTTGGCCCTCTTGGCCGCGCGCACCTCGCCCTCGCCCTCGTCGCCCGACGAGTCGCTCGCGATGTCGATCACGTCGACGCCGCCGCCGTCGCCGCTCGCGCTCCTCGAGCGCTTCGTGCCCTTGTCGCCCGACGCCGCCGCACCGCGGACGCTCGAGCTCGAGCCTGCGTCGGCGGCGGCGGGCGACAGCTCGGCGGCGACGGCCCCGACGCGCCCGGGCGTGTCCTCGTCGGCGTTGAACGCGGCCGGCTCGTCGTCCTGCTCGAGCTTGGGCGCGCCGACGCCGTCGCCGACGCTCGAGGCGGCGTCGTGCGCGTCGCGCTCGTCCTCCTGGAGCGGCTCGAGCGCGCCCTGCGGCTCGCGACGCGAGGTCGACGACGACAGCGGCGAGGCGGACGCCGACGTGGACGTGGACGACTTGGGCTTGACGGGCTTGGACGACGAGGTCGAGGTCGGAGCGGGCGGCTTGTGCGACGACGACGACGCCGACGACGATGAGGAGGCCTGCTTGGGCTTGGCGCCCGAGCCCGCGCCCGAGCCCGAGCCCGACGACGCCGTCTGGCGCGCAAAGAAGCTGTCGAGGGAACCCTTCTTCTGCGCGACGGGCTGAAGGAGGGGGGATGAGGTCGAGGATGAGGGCGAAGGCGAGGCAGAGAAGAGAGGGAGGACGACGGGTGGCGAGGGAGGGAACGGGGAAGCAGGGCAAACGTGTCAGGGCCTCGAGCCCGCTTTTACGGCAGAGCTCCTCGTGCCATCAAGCGCGCGTCGCCCCTGCCGAACAGGCCGCTCTCGAGAGCGAGAGGAACCAGGCCCCGAACGCACCTTGACAAAGTCCTCGCTCTCGTTGCCGGCCTTTCCGACGCCCTTGTCGACGGCGTAGCACTCGAGCTCGCCCTCAAAGGGGCGCACGAGCGTCTTGAGCTTGTCGTTCCAGCGGCTGTCGGACAGCCACGTGGCGATCTCGGCGCCGGACGAGAGGATGGCGGGCATGCGCGAGTGGAGCTGCGAGAGGGACGGGAGACGAGGGGCGGGGCGAGGGAGAGAGTCAGTGATGGGGAACGAGAGGGGAGAGGCCCGTCGTGCAGGAGAAGGCCGAGGGGAGGGAGGAAGAGGGCGAGAGCGGGACGCACGAAGCGCAGCTGCTTGTTGACCGGGACCGTGAGGATCGTGTAGCTCGTCACCGGGTCGTAGGCGCCTGCGAGCGAGAGGGTCGAGGGTGAGTGTCGGTGACGTGCGAGAGGGCGAGAGAGAGGGCGAGAGAGAGGGCGAGTGAGGACGGACCCTTGTAGCTGCGAGAGGGTGCCGAGGAGGGTCAGTCGCGCCCGAGTTGAGGAGAGGGAACGAGACTGAGACGTACTCGCAGTGGTCCCACAGGCCGGCTGTACGACATCATCGAGGAACAAGAGTCAGTGCTTCGCCCTGGACGAGCGAGAGACGGACCCGAGGGGAACCGACTGCAGACGCACCGAACGCCATGAGCTTGCCGTCCTTGCGCTTGACAAAGTGGGGGACCTTGTCCTTGCCCTTGTTGAGCCACTCGTAAAAGCCCTGGGCGACGACGACGCAGCGCTTTGAGTCGCGCGGGCCGCGCCAGGCCGGGGTGGCCTCGAAGACGGACTCGCACTGGGCGTTGATGGTGCTCAGGCCGGCGTCGGGCGGGGTCGCGTACCAGCTACGGGGTCGGGGCAGTTGCCAGTCAGTGAGACGAAGGGGAGGGAGAGAGTGGACGGGGGACGCACTGCGGAACGAGGCCCCAGCGGAGGAGGTCAAACTCGAACGTGGCGGGGTCGCGCTGGCTGCGCCTCAGGACGGGGACCTTGGTGGTGGGAGCGACCTGGGTGTGTGTGTGAGCGTGAGTGAGGGCGGGCGGGCGGGCGGAGCGAGGAGAGGGGACGGACGTTGAACCGAGGGCGGAAGGCCGACTGCGACTCGAGCGAGGCCCACTGGACCGGGTGGTCGGTGGTGGTGCTGCTTGAGGTGTGCTGTTGCTGAGGCTGGTGGTCGTGCTCCTGGTCGCGGTGGTCGGTGTGCGAAGGTGGGGACGAGGCGGGAGGGGGAGCGTGGGCAAAGTAGTCGCGGTGGGTGGCAGTGGCGAGGTCGTTGGCCTGTACGCCGAGAGCAAAGCGGCCGCACATGGCTCTGCCGTTGGCTCTGTGTGAGTGGCACGAGCAGGAGGAAGGCGACCCGACTTGATCAGCGGTGCCGTCATTCAAACGACAACTCGCTCTCTCTCTCTCGACTGTGCTGCCTGCCTTGGTCAGTGCCCAGGTACCACACTCGACAGCTCAGTCACCACCAGCCAGCAACCCGACCCGCGACACCACCTCGTCCTCTCCCTTCCCCCCACCTCAGCCTCCGACGCCATGCCCCGCCCGCGCTCCCTCTCGCCACGAGCAGCCCGCACCTCGCCTCTGGCCCCACCCTCAGTCCAGCTCACCTACTTCGTCGGCCGCGGCGAGCAAGGCGTCCTCTCGTTCGAGCCCTACAAGTCGTTCCTCCTCCCGCTGTGGCGCTTCAAGGACCCCGCCGTCGCCCGCCCGAGCTGCGACCGTCTCGAGCGCGAGTTCAACGCTTTCGTCGACGAGGGCGACTTTGTCGGCGCCGACATGGCCCGCAAGTTCCTCCAGGTGCGCCCCGAGATGTGCCCCTCACTGTGCGCGAGTTTCGTCGGGCACGACTGACTCTGCTCGCTTGACTGTATCGGCATCCTCGGCGCACAGATGGTGCGCCCCATCTCCCCCTCCCTCGATCTCACATGCCGGCGCCCTCCCTGACCCTCGCACCCCACCCCCTCCCTCTCCCTCTCCCTCTCGCCCGCCCGCCCGCTCGCCCACTCGCAGGGCATGACCCGCGCGCAGCGCTACGCCAACCACGCCGGCGGCCTCAAGTACTCTCGCACGACGGGCGCCCCGCTCCCTCGCGCGTCGTCCCCCTCGTCTGGCAACCCGGGCGCGGCCGACAAGCTCGCGAGCGCCGCCATCTTTCGCGCGGCGTGCGAGCGCGCAAAGGCCTGTACGCGGTACGCACAGCTGAGGGCCGAGTGGGAGGAGAGGAAGAGGGGGTGGGAGAGGGACAACCCGCGCGAGGTGGAGCGGCTGAGGAGGGAGAGGGACGAGAGCCGTGCGAGGAAGGGGACGAGGGGGGGCAAGGCGGTGACAGCCACGGCGAGCGCCAAGCGGGGGCGAGCGGCCAAGGTCGAGGAGGACGAGGGCGAGGCCGACGAGGGGCACGAGGAGGAGCAGGTCAAGGCCGGCGCAGACGACGAGGCGCCGACGCCGCCGGCGCGAGCGAGCAAGCGGCGGCGGGTCACGCGAGCGAGTGCGGCGGCCGACACGGCGCGGGACGTCAAGCAGGAGTGACACGCCGTGCAACGCAGAGCTGTGCGGCGCCGTTCGGTCTCTCGAGAGCTGCGCGAGCCGACTCGAGGGGGAGGAGGAGCAGAGAGTGTGGAGCGAGAAGCTGCGAGCGGGGCGCGAGCGAGCGAGAGCGGCTGGGCATGCTCGCTGTAGAAACAGGTCACTCTGTGCCGAGGGACGAGCTGGTCGAGAGCTGCTCGTCGTCGTCGTCGTCGTTGTTGGCCCGCTTGTCGCTGACGACGACGACGACGGCCTCTCCCCACTCCTGCGCTCTCCCACTCCCACCAAGCACGCAGTACACGCCAGCCATGGGTCCCACTCAGCACCAGTTCAACCCTTATGCCGTGCGTCCCCGCCCCTCCACTCTCTCCTCCCCCGGCGCGACGAGATGAGCAGCGCGGCAGATGAAGGCGGGCAACGACCCAGCGCGGCTCGGGCCGACTCTGTGCGCCGCTCGTGCAGCCCATGGCTGTGCAGCGGTGCTTTCCTTTTGCTGCCTGCGCTGCGCTGCGGCAACAGCGGGTCGGAGGCGGTGCCGGTCCTCGATGAGGGGGAGCAGTCGGGCGAGGGTTCAGCGCGTGCAGCGCTCGACGGGGCGGGGCCTGCACCAGCTCTGTCGCTCTACAAGGCGGCAGTGCCGGTGCTCCAGTTCACGCGCTTGCCGGCACTCGAGCCCACCTCCTCGTCCGCTGACGACACCCCGACTGACTCGCCCTCCTCCCCTCCCCTCCCGGACGCACGCACAGGACAACGGCGGCTCGATCCTCGCCATCTCGTCGTCCAAGTTTGCCGTCATTGCCGGCGACACGCGCCAGTCGTCCGGCTACTCGATCGAGACGCGCACCGCAAAGCGCGTGTACCAGCTCACGCCCGACTGCGCCGTCGCCGTACAGGGCTTCATGGGCGACGCCATGGCCTTTGTCAAGCGGTTGAAGCAGCGCCTCGAGGTGCGTCGTCGGTTCCCCTTGGCGGTCTCTTGCCGTGCGTCGCCTCGCTCGCCTCGACGGCGAGCGGCGAGAGCATGGCTACCACGTGCCGGCGTCGGACTGACAATCCCACTCGCACGCAGTGGTACGGCCACACCCACAACGAGGTGCCCCCACTCAAGTCGATCGCCCGCCTCGTCCAGACCATGCTCTACGGCAAGCGCTTCTTCCCCTACTACTCCTACGTGATCCGTGCGTCCTCTCCCTCTCTCTCTCCTCAAGGAGTCGTCGACCTGACTTGGCGACGTGCACGCAGTGGCCGGCATCGACCGCGACGGGACGGGCGCCGTCTACTCGTTCGACCCGGTCGGGAGCTACGAGCGCGAGAGCTGCCGTGCGCACGGCAGCGCCCAGTCGCTCGTCCAGCCCTTCCTCGACAACATGGTGCGTCGTCGAGCCGGCGTCGCTTTCCTTCCTCGTCCTCCCTCTCGCGAGCCGTCCTGACTCTCGCCTGCCTCCCCTTCCGCCGTCCTCCCTCTCCCGCTCGTCCTCCTGTCGCACCCTCCCCTCCTCCCCTCGCACCACTCGCCAACCCCGCGCAGATCTACAAGAAGAACCAGGTCCCCGACCCGTCGCAGCCGGCTCCCGTCGCCGGCGAGCGCCCCGAATTCGAGCTCGACGAGGTCAAGCAGCTCCTCACCGACGCCTTTACGGGCGCCGCCGAGCGCCACATCGAGGTCGGTGACGGGCTCGACATGCTCGTCATCGAGAAGGGCAAAGAGGGCAAGCCGACGAGCATGCAGTGGGTCAACTTGCGTGAGTCGCCGCGCACGGTTCCGCTCAGTCGGCGCGCTCGACTCGGTCGAGGTCGAGCGCGTGGGTTTGGAAAAGTGCGTCTGGGACTGACACACACACACTCTCTCTGCAGCGCTCAAGCGGGACTAGACGTTCGAGGCGCGCGAGACGACGAGGAGGACGAGGAGAGCGAGGGGCGAGCGGTCGCCCACCTTTGTACCATGCATCGACGAGCAGTCTTTTCTCACGCTCGCACACGTGTCTCTCGAGGCTCGATTGAGAGGCTGTGACAGTCGGCGTTACAGCGCGAGAGAGACAGCCCGTCGTCCGACTCATTCCTCTTCTTCTTCCTCCTCTTCGACCACCATCGCCGGCCTCGCCCACCGGCCCTGCTGCTGCCCGACCCCAGCTCCGCCACCGATGCTGCTGCCGACGGGCTGCGACGCTCCTGCAGCGCCTGCGCCGCCAACGAGGCTGAGCCCGGCGTACCGGCCCTCGAACCTGCTCGCGCCCCCTCCTGCTCCGCCAGCAGCTCCAGCTCCCGCGCCCGCACTCGTCGCCTCCCACATGCGCATCGCGACCGGGCTGTCGCCCATCCCGGCGCCACCGCCGCCGCCGCCACCACCGCCACTGCCGGCCCTCGGCTGCTCGTGCCCGCCGAGCGCCGCCGCCGACCCGGCAGCAGGCTGGCCGAGCCCGCCGCCGTACCCAGCGAGGTCGTCGTCCTCGTCGACCCACTCGCTCGACGCTGCTGCTGCTGCTGCTGCGCCGCCGCTCCCGCTCGCTGCGGCATCGTCGGCGGCCCCGCCGCCGCTCAGGCCGCTCCCGCCGGCGGCGGCGTGCTTCGAGAAGACGTCGCGCACGGGGCGGGTGGCGGCGGCGGCGCCGGTGCCGGGCGGGCGAGACGGCGCAGGTCGGGGCTGCAGCGGCGAGCCAAAGAGGTGCGTCGCCTTGTGCGCCGTAAAAGTCGTGCCCGTCGCCGAGGTGCCGGTCCCAGTCGAGAAGCGCGAGAGGGACGATGCGGGCGACGACGACGAGGCGTGCGACGTGTGGTGGTGCGAGTGGTGGTGGTGGTGGTGGTGGTGGTGGAAGGACGGGCCTGCGGCTGAGCCGGGGGAGAGAGAGGGCGAGGCGGACGGCGAGTGGCTCAGGGCGAGGCCGAGCCCTAGCGAGTTGGCGCGGTCGGACGAGCGGGTGCGGGCGACGGGTGGAGGCCGCGAACTTGAGCGCGCAGGCGGCGGTGGCGGCGAGAGGGACGACGAGGCGCTCGTGGACGCAGTAGACGGGCCGGGAGGAGCGGCAGACCCGGTCGCCGAGTCGTCCTGCGCCGTCTCGTCCTCCTCGAGGATGGGCGCCTCGCCCTCGTCAAAGTCGACGTAGAGCCCGCCCGCCGTGCCGTCAAAGTCCTCGTCCTCGTACTCGCTGTCGCCGCCCGTCCCTCCTCCCCCGCCGACGTCGCTCTCGCTGCTCGCACGGTGCGCCGAGCTCGCGCTGCTGCGTGTGCGCCGGTGATGGTCGCGGTGCTGCCCACCTCCTCCAGGCGTCGCGAGGACGTTGGCGCTCGACGAGCGGGCGCTCTCGCCCGACAGGCGCCCGTGCGACCCGCCGTGCCGCCGCCGCACCGTCGTCGTCGTCGGCGGCCGCCGGTACACCGCTGCGGGCCCGACGACGGCCGCGCCGCTCTCGAGCAAGAGTGACGCGACCGACGAGCTCGACGGCGCCCGGCTGTGGCTGTGGGCGTGCCCGTGCGCGTGGCGGGGCCCTCGGTGCGCAAGCTGCCCCGCCGACAGGCTCCGCACCGACGCCGGCCGCGACGCTCCTGCTCCTGCTCCCTCGCCGCCCTGCGCACCCGACGACGAGCCCCACGCGCCTCGCTCGCTCGCGCTCGTCCTCGAAGCGTCGCTCGCGCGCCTCGGCCGCCCGCTCCCGTACCCTCCTGCAGTGCCGCCGCCGCCGCCCGCTCGTCGGCTGCTCGGCGTGCGCGTGAGCGCCTCGCCCCGCGCACTGCTCACGCTCGACCGGCGCGACAGGCTCATGCCGGTGCCGCCGGGTCCGTGCGCGCCGAGGCTCCCGATCGGGCTCGACACGCTGTTGGCGCTCGAGCGGCGCGAGCCCATGCCCGGGCGCGACTGGCGCAGCGGCGACGCGACGTACATGCTCTGGCTGCGCGCGACGGCTGCGCTCGTGCCGTGACCGGCCGACGACGACGACGAGGCCGAGAACGAGATCGAGCCGCCCTTCGAGGCCGACGACGAGAGCGAGGCCGACGGCGGCGCGACGAGCGAGGCCCGCTTGCGCTTACGGGGCCCGTCGGCCGACTGGCCGAACCAGAGCTTGAACGTCGACAGGAGGTTGGCGCCCTTGAGGCTCTTCTTGCCGCCGCCGACACCCGCCGGTCCTGCGCCGCTCGAGCCGGGCACGAGCCGCAGCGACGAGGCCCGCCCCATGCCGTTCGGCGACGCCGACGGTCCCGACGTCGACGCCGTGTGGAACGTGCCCGAGTGCGACCGGACCGACTCGGACTGCGAGCGCGCCAACATCGAGGGCGACGTCGCGATGGTCGTGATTGGCCGGATCACCGCGCCGCTCAACGTCTCGGCCTCCTTGCCGTCGGACGTTCGACGAGGCGATGGACCGAGGGCAGGCGGTACGCCTGGGTCGGGCGTGTGCCCGGCGCTGACGCTGACCGGGTCCAGCAGCGGTGCGGCGACGTGTCGAGCGTGGGGCGTCGAGGGCGCAGAGAGGGACGGCGACGGCGACGCGAGAGGGACGGCGACGAGCGGCGGCGTGCGCAGGAGCGAGGTGGCGTGCGCGGGTGCGGGCACAGGCGCGAGCGCGTCGTGCGAGACAGGCTCGTCCGCCGCCGCCGTCGCCGTCGTCACTGCTGGCGGGCTCGCCTTGCGCGGGACCTGCGCCGCCGTGTTGCCCTCGTCGCTGCCGCCGGCAGCAGCGAGCGCGAGGTTGCCGCCGCTCGTCGAGCTCGACAGGCTCGCGAGCCCCTGCCCGATGGCGCTCGTCGCGCGCGCGAGATGCATGCCGATACTGCCCGCCCGGCGCCTCGGCGTCGACGACGACGAGCCTGCGTCGAGCTCGAGTGCGGCGCCGTCGCTGCGCTCGGGCGAGCCGGGCCCGCCGCCGCCGGTACTGCGCCCGAGCGGCTCGCCGCTCCTGCTCCTGCTCCTGCCCACCGACGAGCCGAGGCTCGCTGCGGCGCCTGCGCCGATGCGCGGCCGGCTCGGGCTGCCGGGAGCGCCGTCGGCGACGGGGAAGTAGCTGAGGAGGGGCTCGCTCTCGACGGGCGGGAGCGGCGTCGCCGGGTCGGCCTGGAGGAAGTACGACAGGCGTGCGGCGGCGACAGCGGGCGAGGGATGGGCGAGTGCCGGTGACAGGTGCGGGAGCGATAGGGGTGCGGGCGAGCTGGGCGTGCGCGGCGAGGCGTGCGAGGCGGTCGAGGGGCGTCGAGGGGGTGTGAGCGGAACGGCGAGGGTGTTTGAGGGGACGGAGGACGCCGCCGAGGTGACGGATGGCCGTCGTTGCTCCTCGGGGATCGTCTCGGGCAGGACGAGCGGCGAAGCGACGAGCTTTGGGGCTGCGGCAACGGCCGCGGTCGTGAGGAAGACGTCGTCGTCCGAGTCGGCGCCGGACCGCTCGTCGCCCTCGTGCTCCTCGTCCTCCTCGGTCTGCGACAGGAGCGCACTGCGCCGCTTCTCCTCGGTCGGCAAGCTCCTCAGGCTGCTCGTCCGGCTCGGCGCTCGGACCTCGCCCTCGCCCTCGCCCTCCTGCTCGCGCGCCTCCTCGCTCTGGCGCAGCGCGAGCTCCTCCTTCTTGCGCTTGAGCATCCACCATGCGGCGGCGCACGAGTCGCACGCGCTCGTGCGCACGCTGTGCGCGACCTGGCCCGTGTCGAAACCGATGTCGGCGAGCTGGGCGAGGAGGGCGACGTCCGAGGGCGACGTGAGCGGGCTGTCCTTGGTGCTCGACGGCGAGGTGGACCCGGGCGAGGTGAGGGCGAGGAGGAGCGAGAGGTAGTCGACGCGAGGCGAGTTGTCGTCGAGCGCGGCTGCAGGTGCCGAGGCCGGCGCAGCAGTCGTGGGCGGCTCGACGCCGTCCTCCTGCTCGTCCTCCTCCGACACAGCGCCGCCAAGCATCGCGCTCCTGACGCTCCTGACGCTCGCCGCCCCGACGCTCTTGCGCCTCTTCCTCGCGGCGACCGCGCCGCCCGGCCCGTCGCCTGGCCCGCCCGATCCGGCTCCCGCACCTGCACTCCCGTTGGCGCCCGCGCCGCCGAGCTGCAGGCTGCTGACGCTCGCGCCGCCCGTGCTGTGCGTCCTCACGACGGGCGGCGCGCTTGGCCCAAAGTCGATGCTCGCCGTCGACGGGTGCCGCCGCAGCGGGCTCGGCGACCATGGGTGCGGGTGCGGGCTCGAGCCCGAGGTCGAGTGGGCGGAGAGGGCGTGAGAGGAGGACGACGGGAAGAGGTGCGGCGGGATGGCCGAGGCGGGGAGGGAGATCGCGCTCGAGGAGGACGGGTGGGCCGGGGAGGGCGAGGGGGAGGGCGAGTGTGCGGGCGAGACGGGACCGGGACCGAGGTTGAGGTCGAGATCGACGGCGCGACGCTTGCCGAGCGAGACGGCGGATGCGGGTGCGTCGGGCGACGCGCTCGACGACGCCGGGGACGCCGAGGCCGGCGCAAAGTACGACTGCATCGGCGCGCCCGAGGCCGCGCTCGACGACGACGCGAGCGGGGTCGTCGGTGCGCCGAGAGACGCCGCCGGCGACGCGATGGGCGGGGCAGGCCCGCGCGCGGTCGTCGTCGGCGGCGAGGACGGGCCGGGCACCCTCGTGAAGAACGGGTGCGCGAGGATGTCGCGGAGCGACGGGCGCCGCAGCGGGTCGACGACGAGGATGCGCTGGACGAGGTCGGACGCGTCCGGGTCGAGGAAGGCCGGGACGGCGTAGCGACCCGCGAGGATGAGGGAGCGCATGACCGACTCGTCGTCGTCGTCGAACGGGAGGGACCCGGTCAGGAGCGCGTACAGGATGACGCCGAGGGACCAGATGTCGACCTCTGCGGGAGGAAGAACGAGTCAGTCGGGCGTAGGCAGGGAGGGAGGGGGGAGCGCGCAAGGGAAGGGAGAGGGGGACGCACGCTCGCCGAGGTAGCGGCTGCCGGCAACGATCTCTGGCGCCGTGTAGCCGAGAGTGCCGACCTTGGTCTCGAGCCACCTGCCGCGCTCAAACTCGCGGCCGAAGCCCATGTCGGCAATCTTGACGTTGACGTTCTCGTCGAGGAGGACGTTCTCGAGCTTGAGGTCGCGGTGGACGACGCCCTCGCTGTGGAGGTAGGCGACGCCGAGGACGAGCTGGCCAAAGATGCGGCGCGTCTCGGCGAGGGCGAGGCCGCCGGTGCCGGCGGGCGGGGCGCACTGCTCGACGAGGTAGTCGAACAGCTCGCCGCCCGAGCACAGCTCGGTGACGAGGTAGATGGACGACTCGGTCGCGACGAGCTCGTACAGCGAGAGGACGTGCGGGTGTCGGAGGCGGCGGTGATGGTGGATCTCGCGCGTGAGGAGCGACAGGGGGGAAGACGGGTCCGAGGGCGAGTAGGACGGGAGGCTCTTGGGAACCTGCTTGATGGCGACGCGGGTGCCGGTGAGACGATGGACGCCGAGACGGACCTTGCCGAAGGTGCCTGTGTGCGCGGGCGTGGTGAGCTCGAGGTGAGCAAGTCGAGGTCGCACGAGCGAGACTGAGAGTAAGAAGAGAGAGGACGGACCCTCGCCGATGACCCTCCCGAGCGAGTAGCCGCCGATAGACCTGATCTCGTGCTTTGTGAGCTCTACTGCGAGGGCAGCGTACGCGGCCGAGAGCTGTGCGGAGCGAGTGTGAGTGCGAGTTGCGGCCCCACGGCGAGGAGAGGGAGGGGGGACGCACCTCTTGTTGTCGCGCGCGCGCCGTGTTGCGCGGTGCAAGCATGGCAGCCTGGTGCACTGTGAGTAGCTCTTGTCGAGGTCTAGCTGGTCGAGCGAGTGCGGGTGCAGGTGACATCTCGCTGCTCGTCGTCGCCGCGTCGTCGTCTCGTCGCTCCTGCCAAGCCGCGCTCTGTCGCCAGCGTGCACCTGCTCGAGCTCAGCACCACCGCAACCTCGTCCACCATGCCGCCACAGAGCGGCCTCCCCGACTCGCGCGGTCCGTCCCCCCTCCCTCCCCTCCCCCTCCCCCTCGTCTCGCGCACTCTCGCTCACACACCGCCACCCGCCCTGCAGACCTCGGCGCAACCTGGAAGTTCCTCGAGGATGGTGTCGGTGAGCTCCCCTCTCTCTTGGCCCTCGCCCCATGTCGAGGCGCACCCACCTCCTCCTCATCTCTCCCCGTCGCCCTCGGGCTGACCAACTTGGGTCCTCGCACCACTGCAGACCAGATCATGACGCGCCTCAACGACGGCATGAGCTACAAGCAGTACATGGACCTGTACACCGTCTCGTACAACTACTGCACCTCGTCGCGCATGAACTCGGGCGGCATCAACGAGACGCTCGGCGCCGGCAGCGGCCGCAGCGGCGCAAACCTCATGGGCGCCGACCTGTACAAGCACCTCAGCCAGTACTTTGTCGCCCACCTCAAGCAGGTCCGCGCCGAGGCCCACGACCTGTCGGACGAGCCCCTCCTGCGCTACTACACGCGCGAGTGGGACCGCTACACGACCGGCGCCAGCTACGTCAACCGCCTCTTCACCTACCTCAACCGCCACTGGGTCAAGCGCGAGAAGGACGAGGGCCGCAAGAACGTCTACCACGTCTACATCCTCGCCCTCGTCTCGTGGAAGAACGAGTTCTACTCGGGCCTCCAGTCGGGCTCGGGCAACAAGCTCACGACGGCCGTCCTCAAGCTCATCGAGAAGCAGCGCCAGGGCGAGACGATCGAGACCGACCTCGTCAAAAAGGTCATCGACTCGTTCGTCGCCCTCGGCCTCGACGAGGCCGACACGAACCGCCAGAACCTCGACGTGTACCGCTCGGCGTTCGAGGTCCCGTTCCTCGCCGCGACCGAGGCGTTTTACTCGTCCGAGTCGGAGCAGTACCTCGCCGCCAACTCGGTCACCGAGTACATGAAGAAGGCCGACGCCCGCCTCGGCGAGGAGGAGAACCGCGTCGACCTGTACCTCCACGCGAGCACCCGCAAGGGCCTCGTCTCCAAGTGCGAGGAGGTCCTCGTCAAGAACCACGCCGAGCTCATGCAGGAGGAGTTCCAGCGGGTCCGTCTCCTCTCTCTCTCTGTCTCTCTCTCTCCTTGCCCGTGTTCCCTGTCCCCTCGTACCCCTCTCTGACCCTTGCCTCCCTCGCCCTCGCCCCGCAGCTCCTCGACCAGGAGCAAGAAGCCGACCTGCAGCGCATGTACCTCCTCCTGTCGCGCATCCCGTCGGGCCTCGACCCGCTCCGCGAGCGCTTCGAGACGCACGTCAAGAAGGCCGGCCTCGACTCGGTCGAGCGCGCAGTCGGCGCCGCGGCGGCCGGCGGCGCATCGGCGTCGGCCAACGGCACGCCGGCACCCGGCGGCGGCGACGACGTCAAGCCGAGCAAGGAGGCCAAGGACAAGGCCGACGCGGCGGCGGCGGGAGGCGTCGAGCCCAAGGCGTACGTCGACAGCCTGTTGGCGGTCCACAGGAGGAACAACGAGCTCGTCGCCAAGGCGTTCCGCGGCGACCAGGGCTTTGTCGCGAGCCTCGACCGGGTGCGTCCACTCTCTATCTCTCTCTCTCTGTCTTTCTCCCGGCGCTCTCGGCGCGCCCGTGTCGAGGGCGAAGCGAGTCAACGACAGAGAGTACGAGACTGAGTCTGTCGCCGTCTTTGCAGGCCTGCCGCGAGTACGTCAACCGCAACAAGGCGTGCGCGTCGCCCAACAAGTCGCCCGAGCTCCTCGCGCGCTACGCCGACTCGCTCCTGCGCAAGAGCAACAAGGCCTCGGAGGACGCCGACGTCGAGCAGGCCCTCACCGACACGGTGCGTCTCCCCCGCCTCGCCCTTGGCCTTCGTCTCCCTCGCCCGAGACTGACTCGTCCTCTCCCTCCCCGCTCCTTGCCCGTCGCCCCCTCTCAGATGACCGTCTTCAAGTACATCGAGGACAAGGACGTGTTCCAGAAGTTCTACTCGCGCATGCTCTCGAATAGGTTGATCAAGGAGACGTCGGCCTCGGAGGACGCCGAGGCGTCCATGATCGGCAAGCTCAAGGACGCGTGCGGGTTCGAGTACACGACCAAGCTGCACCGCATGTTCCAGGACATCCAGACGAGCCGCGACACCAACTCGCAGTTCAAGGACAAGATGCAGCAGACGCACGACGCGAGCGAGCTCAAGGGTGCGTCCGACTCTTTCGCCGACTCGTCTCTGCGACCTCGTTCTGGGCCGAGTCGCTCACTCGCCTTTCCTCGTCCCTTCCACACGCAGTCGACTTCCAGGTGCAGGTGCTCAGCACGGCGTCGTGGCCCCTCACGGCCCCGTCGACCAAGCTCATCCTCCCGCCCGAGCTCCTCAAGACCAAGGACCGGTTCGAGCAGTACTACACCAACAAGCACAGCGGCCGCAAGCTCACGTGGATCTGGCAGAACAGCCGCAACGAGTGCGTCCCTCTCTCTTTCTTCGTCGTCGTCGTCGTCGTCGTCGGGAACCGAGCGAGGCCTGACCTTGCCCTCTTTCTCGCCCTGCCACAGGCTCCGCATGCTCTACACGCCGCAGAAGTACTTCCTCGTGACGTCGACGTACCAGGCCTGCATTCTCCTCCAGTTCAACGCGTCCGACTCGCTGTCGTACGCCGACCTGTCGGCCGGGACCGGCATCGCCGACGACACGCTCAAGCCGCTCCTCGCCATGTTCACCAAGGCGCGCGTGCTCGACCTCAAGGAGGGCAACTACGAGATCAACCTCGGGTTCAAGAGCAAGAAGATCCGCGTCATGCTCAACGCGCCCATCAAGGCCGAGCAGAAGCAGGAGAGCGCCGACGTCATGAAGGTGCGCCCGGCTTCTTCTCGCCCTCTCCTTGTCTCGTCCTCGTCGCACGCCTCGAGCCTGACTTGATCTTGATGTCGTGTCCGTGCAGCACGTCGACGAGGACCGCAAGATCCTGATCCAGGCGACCATCGTCCGGTGCGCTCCCTCTCTCTCCCTTTCTCCCTCTCTCCGTCTTCTCGGCCTCGACTGACGCTCCTCGTCCCCTCTCATCTCGTCACAGCATCATGAAGTCGCGCAAGACGCTTAAGCACCAGCAGCTCATCGTCGAGACGGTCGACCAGCTCAAGCAGCGGTTCCAGCCTCGCGTCGCCGACGTCAAGAAGGCCATCGACACGCTCCTCGACAAGGAGTACCTCGAGCGGCACGAGACCGACAAGGCGACGTACAACTACCTCGCCTAGACCGTTCTCGTCGCGGCCCGGAGCCTCGTCGTCGTCGCCAGCCCTCGTTCCCCTCCCGTCCCTGTCCTCCTCGCTCGCAACCGCAACCTCCTTTGTCTTCCCTCGCTTGCCCCTAGCACCCCCTCGACCCGCTCCCCTTCCCGTTGTCCCATGATTGTACTCTTTCGCGTTCCCCTCCTCTCTTCCCCCTTCCTCCCTCGCCTACCCACCCCGTCGTCGTCGTCGTGTTCTGTAGATACCCTGCCCGCGACCTACCTCTTCTGCTTGCCGGTCTCGCTCTCTCGACGAAAAGCGTTGCACGCGATGAGGGCCTGAGCGAGAGATGATAGAGAGCGAGATGCGTCTTCGTGAGGCGAACGGACCGACGCCGTGGCTCTCTCGTGCGGCTCGCTTCCGGCCCTCGCCCCGTTTCAGAGGGTCGGCAAGATCGAGAGCAGCTTCGTGTCTGCCGGGAGACTGCAAACAGAGGTACGCGCGGCGCGAGCGCACGAGAGCGAGCAGAGACGCCCAGGAGCGGGAGAGGAGGAAGAGACAGTGCCAGGACCTCGTCGCGAGCAGACGTTACGCTTGTAGCACGTACTAGGTGTCAGTCTCAATGTCTAGCAGGCCCTGATCTTGGGAAGGGGCTCAGGCGAGACGGGCACGGTCGAGGAAGCGGCGGACACGTCAACTTGGGAAGGCCCGCTCGGACCTCGCTGGTTCGCCTCGCGACGAGCTGCGATGGCCGGGTCGACGTCGTCACGGCGGGGAGCAAGTGAGGAGCGACTGTGGCTGGTACTTTCGAGAGTGAGAGGCAGGCTCCGGAACAGCGAGAAAGGTCAACAGCGGCTACGAGCGACTTGCGACGACGGGTCCAGAGGGCCGCCGACGACCGCCAACTGGCACCGGTACTTGCGAGCGGGTGGCGCGGGTGGCGAGAGCGGCAAAAGGAGAGTGCCCCGAAGCAGGATCGAACTGCTGACCTCGGGATTGCAAGCGCAAGGCGCTCTCGGTCGTATCTCAGTGCAGCCTGACCGTCCTCCCGCTCGCAAGCGAGCAAAGAGTCGGATCAGACTGACGAATATGAGACCCACGTGATAACCAACTACACCATCGGGGCACTTGTTTCGTGCGCCGCCAGCCGCCTATTAAGTCCGCAGCCAGCGAGTAGAGAGGCCACGTCAGGTCGAGCGTGCGTCCGAGGCTCGACAGGCCCTCTGCGTCGCCCTCTGTTCCTCGCGCCGTCGACGGCGTGCAAGGTCAGACTCGTCTGCGAATCCCACGCGACGTCGGGGTCGAGTGCACTCTCGAGCGACGAGCTGAGAACCGGTTCTGTGCACCGCACGGACCTCCCGGAAACCGCTCGTTACAGCGAACGATCTCGCCGGCTCTCGTCTCTCGCATGCTCGGCTGCGTCGTCCTGCTTGGCGACGCAGTGACTGGTACCAAGCGAGGGTATCTGAAAGGAGCCGTGGCCAGCGAGGACGCCGAGCAAGTCGGGGCATCGCTCTACGCAGGGGCATCGCTCTATGCAGGCACCCGCCCAGATTCAAGCCCTTGTCGCTCACAGCCTTGTTGCGCACTTGCCGCATGCTCGCCGAGTCTCTGAACGTCGCAGTGCTCGGGCGTGGTGGCGCTCGAGCCTCGCGTTTCGATTCAGACTGGCGACGCTCGTTCGCTCTGCGTGCTCTCCTGCTCCTGCAGTGCGGCGCCTGGGACTCTCCTGCGAGTGCGCGCAAACACCTGGGTCGAGGCGACGATCGAGAGTTGCTTTGGTCCCTGAGAAGCCGTACCGCGAGCTCGAGAGCGACTCGTTCCTACTCTCCCTCGTTCTCAGCGCAAGTTCGTGCCGGCACCGTCTCGGGTCGCAGACAGGCCATCTAGCGCTGATATCGAGAGGTTCGAGGACTGGCGTAGGGCGGGCAAAGAGAAAGAGAGCGGCGTGCAGAGCGAGCCTGGGCAAGTGCGCTTTGGCCTCGCCGACGAGCCGGTCGTCCGTACCACCCGTCGCGCTGCTCTCCCGCGGCCTGTCACGTCCTCAAACGTCGAAGGCGAACCCAGAGCGTCAGACCGCGCACCCTTGGCCGCCGACGATGCGCCGGAGCCGGCGGCGAGCTGGAGCGTACGGTCCTCTCCTGGCTTTTCCTCGTGCTCGAATCGCTCGGCCGAGGTGCTGTACGATGGTCAGGCCTGCTTCAGAATCTCGATAACACGAATGCAAGCGTGCTCAGCGCGAGCCGCTCGCCCGCAAGGTTCCCCAAGTGCTCCGCCGAGTGCTCGAGCCAGGTGGTCGCATGGCGCAGGTCGAGAGCGGGCCGAACTCTGAACGTCTTGTTTGATCGTGCGCGAGCGACCAAAGCTGCAGAGCCGACTAGCGCGGGCAGCTCGACCGGCGTCTAGCACACCTCCTAGCGCTGCTGACGTGGCAACAACCGCGCGACTGGGCTGCTTGCCAGCCGACCCAGCTTTCATCAAGCAGCGATAGCTCAGTGGCAGAGCGGTCGACTGCAGCTTACGCTCACATCGTCAGGTCTCCGGTTCAAACCCGGATCGTTGCTTTTTTTGCGCCTCGTTCCTCTCAGTCGGTAGCGCTTGCCAGACCGCGCCCGGCCGTCTTTTTGGTCACGGAGCACGGTAGTTTCGTGTCGCATGGTCTAGGGCAGGCCCGCTCGAGGAGAGCGACACTGAGCCGACCTCTGCGCGTTGCGTCACGCTCGAGAGGAAGAGGACGCGCTGCTCTCGTCCATCTCTCCCGACCACAAGCGCACAGAGCTCACGTGCAGCTCGCACCTGCTTCTTGTGAGTCCATTCAGTCCTCTGCGCCAGATCAGTGCCCCTCCCGCGTCGAGTCGAGGTCGCCCTCTCGCCCCATCGGCTCTGGGTGATGGAGCACCCGCGCCGGGCAGGCAGGCGCACCAGAAGCTGACAGAGTACCTTCAACCGTCTCGCAGCACTACAACAAGCCCCTGCACCCCTTCCCCTCACCCTCCGAGCTCCACTTGCGCACCTCGTCCTCCTCGACCCCGACCCTTCTTCGCGCTCTCGCCGCACACACACCCTCGCCTCGAGCAGACCGCCAAGATGGGTATCAAGGGCCTCACCATGCTCATCAACAACAACGCGCCCAAGGCCATCAAGCAGGCCGAGATGAAGACGCTCTTCGGCCGCAAGGTCGCCATCGACGCGTGAGCTCCTCCTTCCCTCGTACTCTGCAGAGCCAGAGCAGCGGCAGCACGTTCGCGACACACGCACGCACTGACTCTCCCTGTCTCGCGCAGGTCCATGTCGATCTACCAGTTCCTCATCGCTGTCCGCCAGCAGGACGGCCAGCAGCTCATGAACGAGGCGGGCGAGACGACGAGCCACCTCATGGGCCTCTTCTACAGGTGCGCCCTTGACTGCAGCGCCACCTTCTCCTGCCGAACCTGCTGCTGACCTAGTCCTCTGTCGCGCAGGACGATCCGCATGGTCGAGAACGACCTCAAGCCGTGCTACGTCTTCGACGGCAAGCCCCCGCAGCTCAAGTCGAACGTCGTACGTCGCGCCTCCCCTCTGTGTCTCTGCACCAGCCACTTACACTCTGCCGCCTCTCGCAGCTCAAGAAGCGCTTCTCGAACCGCCAGGAGGCCAAGGAGGACGAGACAGAGGCCAAGGAGACGGGTGCGTCCTCTTCCCCTCGCCTACACCCGCATCCAGCCCGTTCTTGACTCTCCTCGACCCACACAGGTACGGCGGAGGACGTCGACAAGCTGAGTCGTCGCCAGGTCAAGGTGACGAGGGAGCACAACGAGGAGTGCCGCCGCCTCCTCACGCTCATGGGCATCCCTTGGGTCGAGGTGCGCCCCAGCTGTTCGCCTCTCGTAAACGCGTCCGTCCCTGACTCTTCGTCTCGCTTGCTCGCAGGCGCCTTCTGAGGCCGAGGCGCAGTGCGCCGAGCTCTGCCGTGGTGGCCTCGTGCGTCCCCTCCCACCCCTCCCCGGCGCGCGCGCATCGCTGACTCCTCGCCTCTGCAGGTGTACGGCGCCGGCTCCGAGGACATGGACACGCTCACGTTCAACTCGCCCATCGTGCTCCGCCACCTCACCTTCTCCGAGGCGCGCAAGATGCCGATCGACGTCATCAGCCTCGACGAGGTTCTCGAGGGCCTCGAGCTCACGATGGACAAGGTGCGCCCCACTCTCGCCCCTGTCGCCCACAGCGACCTCGTCCTGACGGCCTGCGCCCCTTTGCTCGAGCAGTTCATCGACATGTGCATGCTCTGCGGGTGCGACTACCTCGAGCCGATCAAGGGCGTCGGCCCCAAGACGGCGCTCAAGATGGTCAAGGACTACGAGTCGATGGACGACATCCTCGCGCACCTGCGCAAGGGCAAGAACCCGCCGCCCGAGGACTGGCCGTACGAGGAGGCCAAGGAGCTCTTCAAGAACCCATCGGTCAAGCCGGCGAGCGAGATTGACGTGCGTCCCGAGCTCGCCTACGCCCCTCTCTCTCTTTCTGTGGACCCTCCTGACCCTCTGGATCGACCTTGCTCGCAGCTCAAGTGGGAGGCGCCCGACGTCGAGGGCCTCGTCGACTTCCTCGTGCGCGAGAAGGGCTTCTCGTGCGTCCTCGCTCCCTCTCTCTTCTCCCCGGTCCGAGCTATCTCTTCTCGGTATTGCGACCCGACTCACCTGTCCTCGTTTCGCAGGGAGGAGCGCGTGCGCAAGGGTGCCGACAAGCTCAAGGCCCGCCTCTCGGCGAAGCAGCAAGGGCGTCTCGACGGCTTCTTTACGGTCGCGCCCAAGGACGGTGCCGGCACCAAGCGCAAGGTCCGTCCTGCACCTCCGTCTCTTTGCCGGCGCGTCGGCGCATCGGGCTTGTACTGACCTCGCTCGCCGTCCCCGCAGGCCGACGACAAGAAGGACTCGAAGGGCAAGAAGGCCAAGACGGACGCCAAGGGCAAGGGCGCCAAGGCGACCAAGAAGAAGTAGCTCGACGGGTCACCGTCGAGCTGTCGAGCTGTCCGTGTTTGAGGAGGACGAGGAGAAAGGACGAGGAGACGCTCCCCCGTTGTACCCCCCTGCTTTGCCTGCGCCGCACCGTTCCCGCCCGCTTTCACCCGATACCTGTTTGTCCTCTGTACTCGTCTGCAACGATGCTGCGATACCCTCGACCCTGAGCGACGCCGCGAGGAAAGTGCGAGCAACGCCGCGAGAAGACACCGAACGGGCTCTCGCCCGTCGCTCTCACTTTCGAGCGACGACGGAACCACGTACAGAGAGCACTGGCGTGTCCGTTGAGCGTCTCCTCGCGCTAGAAAGCTGCTCGTGGCGCGGGACGGACGGAGCAGGCTCGTGCGACTCTGTCCAAGCGGATCTCGGCTGTGCCGCTGCTGGTCGCCGCCCGACACGATACTACCCTGCTCAGTGACCAAAAAGACGGCCGGGCGTGGTCTGGTGAGCGCTACCGACTGAGAGGAACGAGGCGCAAAAAAAGCAACGATCCGGGTTTGAACCGGAGACCTGACGATATGAGCGTAAACTGCAGTCGACCGCTCTGCCACTGAGCTATCGCTGCTTGATGAGTGCCGGGCATGATTGCAGGAAATGCAGTCGCGCTAACGCTGCCACGTCAGCAGCGCTGAGACCGTGTGCGAGACGCCGCTCGAGCTACCAGCTCTAGTCGGCTCTGCAGTCTCGGTCGCTCGCGCACGATCGAACAAGACGTCTAGAGGTCGGCCTGCTCTCGAGTTCCGTCATGCGACCACCCGGCTCGAGCACTCGGCGAAGCACTTGGGGAACCTTGCGGGCGAGCAGCTCGCACCGAGCATGCGTGCATTCGGTGCATTCGTGCTGTCGAGATTCTCGAAGCAGGCATGACCATCGTACAGCACCCCGGCCGAGCGATTCCAGGTCGAGGAAAGGCCCAGAGAGGACCGTGCGCGCCAGCTCGAGCGCGTTGTCGGCGGCCGAAGCTGTGCGGTCAGACGGTCTGGGTTCGCCCTCGACGTCGGAGGACATGAAAGGCCGCGGCAGGGCTGCGCGAGGGTGATGCGGACCACCGGCTTTGTCGGCGAGGACAACGTGCACTTGCGCAGGCTCGCTCTGCATGGCGGTCTCGTTCTCTTTGTTCACCCTACGCCGTTCCTTGAACCTCTCGGCCACAGTGTCCGATGGCGTGCCTGCGACCCTAGACCCGCCCGGGGTGTGCCGGCACGAGCTTGCGCTGGGAAGGAGGGAGAGCAGGAACGAGTCCTCTCGAGCTCTCGGTACCGCTTCTCACGGACCAAAGCAACTCTCGATCGTCGCCCCGACCCAGGTGTTTGCGCGCACTCGCAGGAGAGTCCCAGGCGCCGCACTGCAGGAGCAGGAGAGCACGCAGAGCGAACGAGCGTCGCCAGTCTGAATCGAAACGCGAGGCTCGAGCGCCACCACGCCCGAGCACTGCGACGTTCAGAGACTCGGCGAGCATGCGGCAAGTGCGCAACAAGGCTGTGAGCGACAAGGGCTTGAATCTGGGCGGGTGCCTGCATAGAGCGATGCCCCTGCGTAGAGCGATGCCCCGACTTGCTCGGCGTCCTCGCTGGCCACGGCTCCTTTCAGATACCCTCGCTTGGTACCAGTCACTGCGTCGCCAAGCAGGACGACGCAGCCGAGCATGCGAGAGACGAGAGCCGGCGAGATCGTTCGCTGTAACGAGCGGTTTCCGGGAGGTCCGTGCGGTGCACAGAACCGGTTCTCAGCTCGTCGCTCGAGAGTGCACTCGACCCCGACGTCGCGTGGGATTCGCAGACGAGTCTGACCTTGCACGCCGTCGACGGCGCGAGGAACAGAGGGCGACGCAGAGGGCCTGTCGAGCCTCGGACGCACGCTCGACCTGACGTGGCCTCTCTACTCGCTGGCTGCGGACTTAATAGGCGGCTGGCGGCGCACGAAACAAGTGCCCCGATGGTGTAGTTGGTTATCACGTGGGTCTCATATTCGTCAGTCTGATCCGACTCTTTGCTCGCTTGCGAGCGGGAGGACGGTCAGGCTGCACTGAGATACGACCGAGAGCGCCTTGCGCTTGCAATCCCGAGGTCAGCAGTTCGATCCTGCTTCGGGGCACTCTCCTTTTGCCGCTCTCGCCACCCGCGCCACCCGCTCGCAAGTACCGGTGCCAGTTGGCGGTCGTCGGCGGCCCTCTTGATGCCGTCGTCGCCGTTCTCTCGCAACCGCCCGCCGTTCTCGCCCTCTCGCCCGCTCGAGGCCTGCCTCTCTCTCTCTCGACTGTGCTCGCGCAGTCGCTCCTCACTCCCTCACTGCTGTGACGACGCCGAGTCGGCCGTCGCAGCTCGTCGCGAGGGAACCGGCGAGGTCCGAGCGGACCTTCCCAAGTTGACGTGTCCGCCGTCTCCTCGACCGTGCCCGTCTCGCCTCGGACAGTCGCACGGGCGTCGCTCGTCGGCCAGAAACGTCAAGCTTAAGCGCTTCCAACCCGTCCCTCGTTCGTGCGGTGGATGAGCAAGTCCAAGCCTGGGCTCCCTCTTCTCCTCCGGTCGGTTCCCTTCGCCGACTTCCTCTCGCGTTCGATGCAGCCGGCCGTTGCGTCGCCTGATCGAGGGGAGCCGCGACCCTCTCTCGACACCTGGAGGAAAGCGAGGGCCGCACCGACCAATGTGGTCGCTGTAGATCCGCATCTTTCTAGCTCGGTCGCTCCTCTCGCGCTCTCAGCTCTCGCCTCGCACGACCACGGACATGATGAATGTAAAGCACAGTGAGGCTTGTCTAGAGTTGCCACAAAAAGCGATGAGAGAGAGAGAGAGAGTCACACACAAACACAAGCGCCCTGACAAGCGCAAACGACGACGCCGCGTCCTCCCGCTCCTCCTCGTCGAGCCACACGCTCACCACCGCGAGCCGCCACCGCCGTAGCCACCGCCGCCGCCACCTGCAAAGACGAGGAAGGGAAAGGGAAGGACAGGTCAGGACGAGGATCGGCGAAAGGGCAAGTCGACGAGGTCGAGCTCGAGGAGAAAGGGAAGAGGGACGTACCGTATCCACCGCCGCCGTACCCGCCACCGCCACCGCCGCCGTAGCCACGGCCACCGCCCCCGCCGCCACGACCACGGCCTCCACCGCCGCGACCGCCGCCGCCGCCGCCGAACTGGGCGATCTCCTGGAGCTGAGGCGGGACGACCTGCTTGGCGTCCGACAAGATCTTGATGAGGTCCTTGGCGAGACCTGCAGGACGAGCAAGGCGAGAGAGACGAGGGTCAGTCGGCTGGACGAGGCGAGGGAGAGGGACAGAGAAAGGTGGACGCACGGCCCTGGTCCGGGGTGACGTAGCTGTAGGCGGTACCCGTGGCGCCGGCACGACCGGTGCGACCGATGCGGTGGATGTAGTCCTCGATGCCGTTGGGCATGTCATAGTTGATCTGCGTGAGGCGAGGCGAGGGAGGAAGGAGAAAGGGTCAGTCGGCACGCTCGAGACGACCATGATGGCGAGAGAAACGAGGGACGCACGACGTAGCCGATGTCCTTGACGTCTGTGAGGACGGGCGAGAGAATGGGAGGGAAAGGGAAGGTTAGTCCTGGGCTCGCAGGCGAGGAACGCTTTCGAGGCTGGCATCTCTCGCTCGCTTTCGGTCGTGCAGCGCAGGCTCGTGCTCGTGCTCGGGGAGGAGGGAGGGAGAGCGAAGGACCGGCGGGAAGGGGCGTCGAGGGCGAGTCGGGTCGAGGCGAGGCGGACGAGGTCGAGGTCGAGGGGAGGGGGAGCCAGCAGAGCCGCACGAGGCGGGTGCAGCGTCGAGGTCCTTCGCCCTCCTCGAGGGCTCGCGTGGCAGTAAAGACGAGGCGACGGCGCACCACCTCGTGACTCCCTCTCGCGCGCAAGGGCGAGAAGGGAGAAAAGAGGGTCGGGCACAGGCGCGCTCGACGAACAGGACCGACGACAGGACGAGACGGGCGACGACGACGAGAGGAAGGAGGACGACGAGTCGCTGTACATTGCCGTGCGACCGACGCCTCCTGCAACGTACCCGCACCTGAGCGCAACCTGGACCCACCGACCGGCGCCTCGCTCCCGAGGGAGAGAAGCGAAGGAAGGGGGGCAAAGGAAGAACTCGAGGGCGAGCTACACTGTCGAACGACCGAAGCGCATTTGCCCTTGGCGACCGCTCCCCGTGAGGAGAACGGCGCCGCGAGAAAAAGAGACTAGGCCGGCGTCGCACACTTCCTCGCTCCTCGAACGAGGAGGGAGGCTCTTGTGCCGCATGCTCGGGCCGCCGCTCGCGAGGAGCAGCAGCCACGCACACGGACGGAAAGAAGGTACGACGCGGCTAGACGCGACGGTCAGTGTAACGCTGTGGCGCCTGCTCATGTCGGGGTGCCGGCGGGTGCTGGCGAGGGCGAGGTCGGTGGCGCTTGGCGTCGTCGGCGAGGTCGATGTCGAGGTCGATCAGGCGACGAGAGGCGTGTCGAGGCGGCGGTCGGGGGCGAGGACGAGGTCGAGGGCGGGCGAAGGCGGACGAGGGAGCACAAGCGAGCGACGCACGAACGAGACGAGGCGAGGGGTGCGGCGGCGAGCCCGAAGGGCCCGAGAAGGGGAGAAAGAGAGAGAGAGAAGGGACGAACCGAGACCACGAGATGCGACGTCTGCGGGAAGAGGGCAAGGTCAGGGTCTGGCGGATGAGGGAGCGAGAGGGAGGACAAGGGGACGCACCAGTGGCGATCATGATGGGGGAGCGGCCGCTCTTGAACTCGCCGAGGACCCAGTCACGCTCCTGCTGCTGCTTGTCGCCGTGGATGGCGAGCGCGGGCCAACCGTCCTGGCGCAGGTACTTGGTGAGGTCGTCGGCGACGCGCTTGGTGCCGATGAAGATGAGGACCTTGGCGTTCTCGGCCGAGATCTTCTCGAGGTGCTTGATGAGCTTGCCGCGCTTCTCAAAGTCGGAGCAGACGTCGACGATCTGGGTGATGCTGAGGTTGGCCGAGAGCTCGAGCGAGCCGATCGTGACCTGGATAAAGTCCTTGAGGTACGTGTGGGCGAGCTTCTGGACCTCCTTGGGCCACGTCGCCGAGAACATGAGCGTCTGGCGGTCGGGGCGGATCTGGTCGAGGATCTTGCGGATCTGGGGCTCGAAACCCATGTCGAGCATGCGGTCGGCCTCGTCCATGACGAGGTACGTGACGCGGCGCAGGTTGGTCTTGCCCGACTCGAGCATGTCGATGAGGCGACCCGGGGTCGCGATGACGATCTCGGAGCCGCGCTGCAGGTCGCGGATCTGGCCGCCCTTGGGCACGCCGCCGTAGACGCACGTGTTGCGAATGCGCGACGACGAGCCGAACTTGGTGCACTCCTCCTGGATCTGGACGGCGAGCTCACGCGTCGGGGCGAGGATGAGGACGATGGGGCCGTCGCCGGGCGCGAGGAGCGGCTGGGCGTTGATGTGGATCATGGCGGGGAGGGCGAACGAGATGGTCTTACCCGAGCCCGTGGCCGACACAGCGACGAGGTCGCGTCCCGACAGGGCCATGGGCCACGACTGGCACTGGATGGGCGACGGGGCGGTGAAGCCGGCGCGCTTGATCTCGGCGAGGATGTACGACGGGAAGTTCATCTCCTCGAAGTTGGTGACGGGCTTGGCGACGTTGTTGCCGAACACCTGGATCTCCTTCTCGCGGCGGAACTCGGCGACCTCGCGCTCCGAGCGAGCGGCGACACGGGCGTCCTCCCTGCGTGAGCGAGGCCACAAGTCAGTACAGGTCGGCGAGGCAGAGTAGTGAGAAAGGACGACGGCGACGCACTCGTAGAAGTTCTTCTCGAACTTGCTGAGCGATGCCGGGTCCCAGTTCTGGGCACGGAGGCCGGCGCCGAGGTTGCTCACTGCAGGAGGGGAGGGGTCAGTGCGAGGAAGGAAGAGTGGGCGAGGGGAGGTCGGGCAACGCACTGCGGTCGCCGCCACCGCCGAATCCACCGCCGCCAAAGCCGCCACCGCCGCCGCCTGTACGAGAGAGAACGAACATGAGAGTCAGTGAACGGTACGAGAGGACAAGGTTGAGCGACCCGGTCGACTTGTCGAGCTCGAGCTCGCGAGGGGGAAGCGGGGTCGTCGAGGGAAGGAGGACGCACCGTAGCCGCCGCCACCGTAGCCACCGGCACCGCCGCCGCCGTAGCCACCAGCGCCACCACCGTAGCCACCACCGCCGCCGTAGCCGCCGCCGCCGCCGCCGCCTGTTGGCAAGGGAGGAGAGAGGGACGAGTGAGCTCGGGGGACAAAGGGAGGCAGAGAGGAGGCGAGGGACGCACCGTAGCCGCCGTAGGACATGTCTGAGTCGAGTGAGGGTGGTGTAGAGAGGGTAGAGAGGAGAGAGAGCACCTGACTGGGTAAGTCTGGGCTGAGAGTGAGGGATGGAGGAGGAGAGGGAGGAGGAGGAGAGCGAGCGGGCGGGTGGACGCGACGCCGGCGACGCCGAGCCAGCTCGGACCTCGCACCTCTCGATCCGGCTCAGCCGCGCATGGCAGTCAGCCTGCACTGCCTCACGCACCACTGTGCAGCCGCTCAACCTCGACGTCCCTCACCATGGCCCCCGTCGTCGTGCCGCGCAAGACGCCGTGGTCGACCCACCTCGAGTTCCACCTCGTGTTCGACCGCCTGTTCAACTCGGACGGCGACCCGACCCTCCAGCGCGACGCCATCACCCGCATCCGCGTCTGGCTCGACCGCGGCAACTGCCCGCACCCGGTCGAGACGACGGCCAACCTCGTCGCCCTCGTCCTGCGCGACTCGGCACCCTCGTCGTCGTCGTCGTCGTTCAACTTGGCCGCGCTCGAGGGCGACCTCCGCCTCGCGTACGCCATGGCCATCGTCCGTGCGTCGTCTCATTCCTCGCCTCGGGCGCCTGTCTGTCTGTCACAAGCACGCGAGCTCACCCACCGAACCACGCGCAGCTTCGTCAACTCGCTCGTCGACCCGCTCCAAACGGCCTACTTCGCGCGCTCGATCGCCTCGCTCGCCGCCCAGCTCGGCCTGCCGCTGTGGTTCGTCGAGCTGCGCCACCAGGCGACGCACGAGGACCTGCCCCGCCTGTCGGTCCTGCGCGACGCCGCACGTCAGGTGCGCCCTCCTCCTCCTCCTTCTCAAGCCGGCCCGCTCAGCGTAGCCGCACATCCTGCACCGGGTACTCACTGTCACTCGCGGACACAGGCCCTCGACTGGTTGTACGCCAACTACTGGCTGCCGGCCCTCTCCTCCCTCTCCTCCTCTTCAACCTTGTCGCCGCTCGCGTCCCTCCCGCCCTTGTCCCTCTCGACCCTCCGCCCTCACCTCCTCACGACCTACAAGGCCCTCCTCAAGTCGTCGACACGCGACGCGTCGCTCGCAGGCCGCCTGCGCGCCGACATCCACAAGTGCTACCGCGACATCGAGCGATGGGTCGCCGAGAACTCGCTCGGCGGCGGGCCGAGGGGCCGAGAGGGCGCTGTGTCGGCGGAAAAGGCGAGGGAGAGGGCGCTCGAGGGCGTCGCAGAGGTGCTGTGGTCCGAGGGCGGGCTCGTTCCGCTCGCCAAGAAGTGCGTCACGCTTGCGCCTCCCCTTTCTCTCTCCTCCCTATTCTCGCCCTTCCCCGAGGTCGACGTACTGACTTGGAGGCTTGCGTGTCTCGCAGGAAGCGCCCGACCCCTCGTGCGCCGTCCCTCCCGTCGGACCTCCTCGCCGTTTGGACCCCTCTCCTCGCGCACCTCGACACGGTCTACGACGGCCAGCTCTCGCCCCTCATCGTACGCCACGGCCTCGACCTCCTCACGTCGCCGACGTCCGCCAACGAGCTCGACCGCTCGTACGTCGCGACCGTCGTCGCGTGGTGCTGCGAGCTTCTGAGGGACGCGCCGGTCGAGGCGCCGGCGAGCGTGGACGAGGACGACGACGATGAGGAGGACGCGACGGCGAGCGTCAAGGGCGTCATCAAGGCGTGCCTGCTTGCGCGCACCGCACCGTGCGTCTCCCTCGCCCCTGCCCTTTCCCTCTCGTCCCAGACGACCCCTGACTCTCCCTTGCCCCCCTCTGCAGCGCCCTCACCCTCGTCGAGGCCCTCCTCGCCTCGCGCTCAGCCACCACGCCCGAGGACGACCCGGCGCACGCGACGCTCGTCACGCTTCAGGAACGCGTCGCGCCGCTCGTCCAGCTCGCGCGCGCTCAGCTGCACGCCGCCAACGGCGACTTTGTGCGTCTCGCCGTCTCTCTGTCCCTCTCCTCCTCTCTTCTCAAGACCCTGAGCGACACAAGGCGACGGGTCTGACGTTGAGCGCACGAGCCGGTCACTGACAAGCCCTCGCACGCACCTTCCCTCCCTTTCCGCCGCCTCCCCCCCTCCCTCTCGTCCCCTCTTCCCTCTTCTCGCGCCCACTCTCGTACCCGCAGACCCAACCCCTCGACGCCGACACCGCCGCACCTCGCCTCGACGCCCTCGAGGCGCAAATCGACGCCGCACCCGCCGCCGCACCTCCTCCCGCCGCGACCACCTCGTCCTCCTCCCACGACGGCGCCGCCCCCTCGGCGGCGATGCAGCTCGACGCGCTCCCGTCGTCGCTCGGCGGCGACGAGTGGCCCCCTCGTGTGCAGGGGTGGAAGGCGCGCCCGGTTGGGGCATTCCCTCGCGGTGGGGTGCTCGCGCTCGACTTGCCGGCCGTGCCCCTGCAGGGGGTCGCGGTCGCGTGAGGCGCGCCGGTATTCGGACGGGTGGGCGAGGAGGGAGAGGGGAGGAGGACGTGCGGGGCGAGGGAGGTGGACGAGAGGGAAGGAGGGCGCGAGGGCCCGAGCGAGAGGACGTAGAGCCGGACGAGCACAAGTCATGACGACGAATGCGATTGCAGTGCAGAGCAGTACATACAACAAAGAGCTCGTTTCCTCGGTCCTCTCCTTGCCCCTCGAACCGTGAGATCCCTCCTGAACGTCCTCGAGCGAGATCATGAGCCCGGCTCGACCCGCCAACCGTGCGTGCGCCGCTCGAGCAACGTCGTGCGCGCCGCATCCCTCGAGCGAGTCTGAGTGGAGGGAAGACGGACGCGTCAGTGCCGACGCAACCACCGGTACGCTCGCGCCCACGCCGCTAGGCGAGGAGCGAGCGAGCCGAGGAAAGCGGCCCGACGCACATTTCTCCTGAAGCCCATGCCCCTCGGTCCCCTCCCATCGTGCCGCAGGACGTCTCCCTCATGCAGCGAGGCTGCGCCGCTGGACGCCAAGGTCGAGAAGAGGTGCGACCTGCAGAGGAGGGGGGAAGGGACGCAGCGTCAGTGCGAGGCCGAAAGGGACGAGGCAGGCGGCGAAGCCCGCCCAACCCGCAGAAGAAGAGGGAGGGCGAGAGAGAAAGAGGGGGCTCACCGAGTCGAAGCCGGGTCATCGTCGCTGCTTCTTGGCGTCGGCGCCGCCGTGCGCGTCGTCGTGCTTGCGCTTCTTCTTCTGCAGAAGGCGAGAGTAGACGTGAGCAGCGTGCAGGAGCAACCGACGCTCTGCGCTCTCGCCTCGTCGCCGAGGCATGAGCGACGAGCGACGCTTCGCAGCGAGCCCAGCTCACCTTCCTCCTCTCGCCCCCTGCGCCTCCCTGCCCGCCGACGCCGCTCCTCGCCTCCCACACGCCCATGTCGAACCCGGCGAGGGCACCTGCACGGAGCGTGAGGGCGTCGCGGACCTGGTGGGGGTCGAGTGGGTGCAGCGGCGGGCACGGGGTCGGGTCCGGGTTGGACACAAGGTGGAGGAGTGAGGTCGAGGGGTTGGGCGGCTGCGAGGACGAGGTGCGAGGGTGCGAGATGCGGCCTGTTGCGGTGAGGAGAGGAGAGAGAGAGGGGCACAAGGTCAGTCGGGCCCGGCAGGAACAGGCGACTCGCTCGCGGACGAGAGAGAGGAGGGGGGCGCACCGAGGACGTCGCCGACCATGTGCTCGTACGTCTTGTCCATCCTCGCACGCTTGCGCTTCTTGGTGCCGTCTGCTGCGCCGAGGGGCCCATCGGCGCTGTCGCCGCCGGCGCTCGTGCCGGAGCCGCCCATGGCGCCAAACTTGATGCCGCCGAGCGTGATCTTGAGGCCGCCGCCTTGTGGGGCGGGCGAGGGCGAGGCTGGTGCTGCTGCGGCTCCTGCTGCGGTAGCTGCTGGAGCGCCGGCGCCGGCGAGTGCGGGTGCGGGTGCGGGCGCGGGTGGGCCGGCGGTGGCCGAGGCGAGGGCGAGGTGCGGGTCGAGCGAGGGCGGGAGGGCTGGTTGCGGGATGTGGGACTGGGGGAGGTAGGGCCGGAGAAAGGTGTCGTAGACGGGCGCGAGGTGGAAGCGCGACAGGAGGTCGTCGGTGCCGGAGAGAGGGGAAGGGTGAGGGTCTGTTGTCGGAGGGCGGGGGCGAGAGAGAGGTGAGCGGGTGGGACAGGGTAGGGGTTACGGCGGGAAGGTGGGACTCACTGTCGAGCTGGATCAAGTGCCTGGCCCACATGGGCGGCTGAGGGTGGCCGGTTGATGAGGACGACGACGACGAGGCCATGGTCGACGGGACAGAGTGAGGGCCGAGTGACAGCTAAGCACTGCCCTCACTAGAGCACTCGAAGCACAGCAGCTCGAGGCGAGCGGGGTCCTGGACGAGAGAGAGAGAGCCAGCCTCGTCGTCGTCGTCGTCGTCGTCGCTCCAGGGTTACGCAAGCCTCTCGGGCTCGCTCTCTCTGTTCCTCCCTTCCTCGACCAGTACACTCGACCTGCTCACACCTCTGCTTGGCTTGCACCATCCGCCATGGACAGCCTCTTCACGGGCAACGCGACTCGCCGCCCGACCGTCAACCTAGGCGGCTCCAGAGCCAACAACCCGCACAACGACCTCGTCCTGCAAGCCAGGCTGCAGCGACAAGAGCGTGAATCTGCTCGCAGGAGAGACTCGGCCGCGCGCACCGTCCAGGTCCGTCCCATCCCCCTTCTCTCCTCCTCCTCCCCCTCGGCTCGGTGGCGCCCATCGCCGACCTGCCCTCGCACTCCACGTTGACGCTGTCTTCTCTCGCCCACAGGCCTTTTACCGCGGTCGCAAACACGCCCAACTCGCCCGCGACTCGTTCCGCTCGCGCTTCGACGCCCTCCTCCCGTCCTCGCCCTCGGCACCGCCTCCTCGACCTGCTGATGCCCTCGTCGCCTCGCGCCTCGTCGCCGTCTCGGCCGTGCACGCCAACAAGGGCGACATCAAGCGCCTCGCCACCTGGTGCAGGGCCGTCCTGCGCCCGCCTCAAGGTGCCACCGGTCCGTCACCTCCTCCTGCGTCGCACGCCGGAGCGCACTCTCGCCCGACGACTGACACCCCCAGTGCATATCATACAGACAAGGTCCCGCTCGTCTTTTTCCTCTTCCGCCCCGAGCACGACCCCGACGCGAGCTGGCCGACCCTCGTCCGCATGATCGGCAGCCTCCTCTTTCTCGAGGCCACCTCGGCACCCTCGTGCGTCCTCGTCCTAGTCCTGCCGAATCTCCCATACTGACACAGATGCCCATCCCCTCCAGCCTTCCACAATCGCCGCTCTTCCTCGAGCTCGCCAAAATCCTGTGCGACCCGGCGAGTTACGCCAAGTACGGCGTCGCGCCCTCGCTCGCCGCGCCCGACGCGCTCCTGCGCTTCCTCCTCGAGGAGCGCGACCTGTACGGGCGCATCGCCCACCTCGTCCAAGCCGTTGTGCGTCCCCTGCCTCGCTCCTCGCTCCACACCAAAGCGCGCACTGACCTCCTCTCGTTCCCGCCGTGCAGGACCGCCCTGCGCACCCGACTCTCGCGCCCTCGATCACGCTCGCCCTCCTCCCTTTCCGCGCCTTCCCCTCCCCGCCCTCGCCCTCATCCGTGTCACGCTCGACCTCGGCCGCACCCGAGCCGCACCCCTTGCGTACCCTCGCCCTGCGCCGTCTCGCCCACACCCTCCTCGCCGTCCCCGACCTCCTTACCTCGCGCCTCGCGCCCGCGCAAGTCGCGCAGCTCGGCGCTGTCCAGGGCTCGTCGCCCCTCCCCTTCTGGGAGCTCGTCGGTGCCCTCGCCGCCGCCGACTCGAGCAGCGCGAGCAGCGCCGTCGAGCCGACGCTCCTCGCCGCGCTCGCCGAGCTCGGCCTGTCGTCGTCGTCGCGCCGCATCAGCGCCGACAAGGGCGTCGTGCCCGGCGCCAAGGAGGTCCGCGACTGGCTCGAGGTCGTCCGCCGCGGCCTCGAGGCGCTCCCGCGCGACGTGTTTGAGCGCGCTGCGGCGGCTGAGCAGGCGCAGGACAAGGGCAAGGGCAAGAGCGTCGCGCAGGCCGAGGTCGAGGCCGAAGAGGGCGACGAGGACAGCGACGAGGCGGACGAGGGCGTCATCGAGCGCGCGAGGAGGGCTGTCGGCGCGACTGGGCCGGGCGGGGCGACGGGCGAGGGCGACACGATGATGGGCGGTGTCGCAGCGACGACGAGCACCACGACGGGCGCGGCGAGCGCCGCGGCGCGCCTCACGCCGGCCACCCTACGCTCCCTGTCCCTCCTCGCCTCGCCCTCCCACCTCGTCACCCTCCTCTCCCTCTCGACCCGCCACAGCTCGACCACGCGCCCTCAGCTCGCCCAGCTCCTCACGACCCACCTCGCGCTCCTGCCGCCCGCCTCGCGCGCCTCGACCCTCCACGCCCTCCTGTACGCGCCCGGCGCCGCAGGCCTCGCCCTCCCGCGCGAGCTGTACCGCGGCTACCTGCGCTCGGGCCCGCTCGCGCGCGCGATCGCGCAGAGCAGGGAGCGCACGATGGGCGTCGTGCAGGCGCTCGGCGCCGACGAGCACGCTCGCAGCGGCGAGTGGGCCGTCTTGCTCCTCGTCGTCGACATGTACAGCCGCGCGCTCGTCACGCTCGGCGACGACGAGTTCTACGCCGCGAGTGGCGGCGGCGGTGGAGGCGGAGGAGCGGGAGCGGCGGGGAGGAACCCGCTCTCGCTCGACGAGGTCGTCGGCCTGAGCGCCCTCGCGCGCAACGTCGCGTTCGCGCTGTACTGGTCGGCGGGCGACGCGACGGCGACGAGCGCGCCGCTCGCCGGTGCGCAGGGCCGCCGCGTCGTGAGCGGGACTGGGTGCTCGTGGGAGGAGGTGCGCGACGTCATGACGAGGTTCCTGCAGCAGGTGCACGCGAGGGAGTGCGTCCTCCTCTCCCCTCCCCTTTTCTTTGGTGTCGAGGGCCCGAGCGCAGGCCGCGAGACTGACCCGGACGACGTGCGCGCAGCTCGAGGCGGCAGTTTACGCCCGAGGGCCACTGGCTCATGACGAGCGCCATGGACATCAAGCACTTTGTCGAGACGGCCGTGTGCGTCTCTCTTTCTCTTCTCTTTCCGCCCCGTCCCTTCCGCCCAGGCAGGACATGCGTCACTGACCTCGCTCGAGCCTCTCACGCAGCTACGAGGACGAGCGCCTCGAAGCCGAGGGGGCCCACGACGCGCCGGCGCCGTCGCAGCCTCAGCAGCAGGTGCAGCAGCAGCAGCAGCGCATCACGAGCGACTCGGACGACGACATGAGCGACGACGACGCCGACGACCTCGCACTCGTGCGCACCAACCGCCGCACCGCCGCCGTCCCGTACCGCCGCGGTATCGCACGTCCTCAACCGACTCGCACGACGCAGCAGCTGTCGAAGCGCCAGCTCGCCCTCGTCTCGCCGCGCCTCGGCGTCCTCCAGAACGTGCCGTTCGTCATCCCGTTCGAGACGCGCGTCGCCATCTTCCGCCAGTTCGTCTCGAGCGACTTTCAGCGGCTCGGACTCGGCGACGCGTCGAGTTTCTCTCCGCGCTCGCGGCACCGGGCCGTCGTCCGCAGGGGCAACCACCTCGCCGAGGACGCGTTCAAGCAGCTCAACGGGCTCGGCGCCGAGCTCAAGAAGCGGGTCGAGATCGTCTTTGTCGACGAGCACGGCATCGAGGAGAGCGGCATCGACGGCGGCGGGCTGTTCAAGGAGCTACTCACGTCGTACGTCCCATCGTCCTCCTCGTCCCACCCTCCCCTACCTCCTCGCGAGCGTCACTGACCTCTTCCTCCTTTCCGTCCCTCGCGCAGGCTCAGCAAGGAGGTCTTCAACACCGACCGCGGCCTGTGGCTCGCGACGTCGCAGAACGAGCTGTACCCGAACCCGCACACCTACGCTCGCGAACCCAACCAGCTCGCGTGGTTCGCCTTTGTCGGCCGCATCCTCGGCAAGGCCCTGTACCAGGGCATCCTCGTCAACGTCAAGTTTGCGGGCTTCTTCCTGTCCAAGGTGCGCCCCCCTCTTTCTCTCTCTTTTGCGGTCGACTCGAGGACAAAGTCCCGGCGACGAGGCTCACCCGGTCCCTCCCTTCCTCCCGTGCGCAGTGGCTCGGCCGCCAGGCGTACCTCGACGACCTCGCGAGCCTCGACCCAGAGCTGTACCGCGGCCTCGTCAGCCTCAAGAACTACTCGGGCAACGTCGAGGACCTGAGCCTCAACTTCACCATCACTGAGGAGGGTCCGTCCGCTCGTTCTCTCCTCCTCGTCGCGCTCTGCGGCCACCGACGATACTGACTCGTGCTGCGCCCTCGCACAGACTTTGGAGTCACGCGCACCATCGACCTGATCCCCCGCGGGTCCGAGATCGCCGTCACGAACGAGAACCGGCTTCAGTACATCGTCCTCGTGAGCAACTACCGCCTCAACGTCCAGATCGCGCCGCAGTGCCGCGCCTTCTTCTCGGGCCTGAGCGAGATGGTCAACCCGAGGTGGCTCCGCCTGTTCAGCCAGAGCGAGCTCGCCGTTCTCGTCGGTGCGTCCCTCGGTCCCTCCTCCTCTACGTCGTCGTCTTCCCTCGACGGACCTCCCTGACGGTCTCTCCCCTCGCGCAGGCGGCACCGAGGACCCGATCGACATCGACGACCTGCGTGCGCACACCGTGTACTCGGGCTGGTCCGCCGACGAGAACACGCCGACGATCCGCGCCTTCTGGGACGTCGTCTCGAGCTTCGGCAAGGAGGACCGCGCCAAGCTCGTCCGCTTCGTCACGGCATGCGAGCGACCGCCCCTGCTCGGGTTCGGCCAGCTCAACCCGCTGTTCGCGATCCGCAAGGCGGGCGACAACCAGTCGAGGCTGCCAACGAGGTGCGCCCCCCTCATTTCTCTCTTCCGTCCTTCCGAGCCGGCCGACACTGACGTCCTCCCACGCAGCTCCACGTGCATCAACCTCTTGCGCCTCGAAGAGTACTCGGACCCGGCAAACCTGCGCGAGAAGCTCCTCTGTGCGTCCTCGCGATCACCTTTCTTCCCTCATTCCTCCCTCGACTTTTCCTCTCGCGCCCATCCAGCCCCACTCGACGCCCGTACTGACTGTCGACGTACACCTTGCAGACGCCATCAACTCGGGAGCCGGCTTCGACCTCTCGTAATTGTCGGTCGCGTCGAGCGACCCCCCCTCCCGACTTGTCTAGATCCGTCGCGCCGCTGTCCTTGTACCGACTTTGCACTGCCATTCCTCGTTACTCGGGATGCGTCTCCCTGCCTGCTCTGCGACCTCTCGAAAGCGGCGCACGGCGCAAAGCAGCGCTCGTCGAGCTGAAAGCGCAAATCGACGCTCTCGGACCTCCTCGCAGACCGCGTCCGCCTTGAGCCCCTTGGCTCTGACGAGCGCTTCCTGCAGCCTGCTGAAGGAGCAGCTGGCACCTCTTCCCGCGGCCGCAAAGCGCTCGACGCTGCTGCTCTCATCTTCGACCAATCAGCGCTCGCCTCCCGCCCGGCAGCCAGCCTCGGCTACGTCGGCTTCTGCACCAGCTCTTTGCGCCAGCGCAGCGCGCGCTTCTCGCAGCGACGGTGCAGGACTAGCCTCGGCTGCAGTCGACGCCGCCTCGCCTCCGTCTGGCCTCGTCCCCCGTCCAGCCACCTCGTTCCTTCCCTCATCCGGCGACGGTCGACGGATCGGGTCCGTTAGCACCTCGGCCAGTCGCCGGCGCACGCAGTGAAACCACGGCCTGTCTCGAGAACGGCAAGCAGTGCGCCCGCCGCGCCGGGACGACCTGCCCGTCCGAGGTTCGACCACCCGTCGTCGCCCGTCCACTCGACCATCGGCCCTGTCGACCCGCGACATGCTCTTCCCGCCCGAGCCAAAAGACGTGTCTCAAGACCCTGTCGCAGGCTGCGTCGAGAAAGGCCTCGCCGAGATGAAGTTGCCAGCCGGCGCGGCCGCGCAGAGTCGACCTTCAGCGGCGCAAGGTCGTCCGCCCCTCGTCCCTCGCCTCCCTCCATTCGCCTCGCCTACCTGTCGTCTTCTACAGCGCCGTCGTGCGCCCCCGCCTGTCGCCCCTTCCCTCACCCTAGTCGCTTCTCTCGAAGTACCCACCTCGGCACCATGATTCCCTCGCCGCTCGTCCTGTCGATCCTCGGCGCCGCCTTCTTCGCCGCACTTCCCGCCGTCCACGCCGAGCCCAACGGCCGTCGCGCCATCGCCCGCGCCGACGACGGCTACTCGGGCGCTCGTCGTCACCTCACCCGTCGCCGCCGGGACCTCTCGACCTCGGCGCACTCGGCCGCCATCGCCTCGCGCCAGGTCCACAACCCGCGCGACGCGCTCGAGCGGTGGGAGAAGCGCGACGAGATCGAGCTGGCTCGCAGGGCGACGCCGAGTAACTCGGTCGCCGTCTGCCTTGGCTCGGTCGCAGGATATGGTCAGTGCGGCGGGCAGGGCTGGACGTCGGACACGTGCTGCGTCGCAGGGTACACCTGCGTCTACTCGAACGACTACTGTACGTCCCCTCACTCTCGCACCTCTCCTGCGCGCGCCGTCGTTGGCGACGGGAGCTGACCTTGCCGCCCCCTTTCAGACTCGCAATGCCTCCCTTCGCCGTCCTCCTCCGCAGCCAAGGCGTCGGCGACGAGCTCGAGCAGCGCACCTGCAGCGACGAGCACGGCCTCGGCGTACGGCCAGTGCGGCGGGATCGGCTTCGCGCCCATGCTCTGCCCGGCGTCCTTCTCGTGCCAGTACGTCAACGACTACTACAGCCAGTGCCTCGTACAAGCCGCCACGACCCAGGCGACGTCGACCACATCGACCAAGGCGTCGTCTACCTCGACTGCGCCGCTCGCGACTGCGACCGCAATGGGTCAGTGCGGCGGTCTCGGCGCGCCGACGCGGCTCTGCCCGGCCGGTTACGTGTGCGACACGACGAACGCCCTGTACAACCAGTGCATCCCGGCCCCGTCATCGTCGTCGACCAAGGCGTCGACGAGCTCGACCACCGCGTCGGCGCCCCTCTCGACCGTCCTCCCGTACGCGCAGTGCGGTGGAGGCTCGGCCCCGCTCGCCCTCTGCCCCGCCGGCTGGAGGTGCGACGCGACGAACCCGTACTACTACCAGTGCGTGCCTCAAGACGTCTACACGTCCTCGTCGTCGACCGTGGCCGCCTCGTCCGCCTCGGCCCAGGTCCCGCCCGCCTCGTCGTCGACCAAGGCCAGCTCCACGGCCGCACCAGTCGTTCCGTCGACCTCGACGACCCCGATCGTCGCAACGCCGTCGTCGTCCTCGTCGCCGTCGAGCGTCGCGACCGCGCCGACTTCGATCCAGACCGCGCAACCTTACGGGCCCTGTGGCGGGCAAGGCGTGCCTGTCGCGCTGTGCCCGGCCACCTACTTCTGCGCCGTCATCAACTCGTACTACGCGCAGTGCTTGCCCGTCACGGCGTCGACCTTGTCGCTTGCGACCGCCCCGACGACCACGGCCACCTCGTTCTCGACCGTCACTCGCGCCTCGTCCTCGTCGATCAGCTCGACCTCCTCGGCGCCATCGGCGTCGGCTTCGGTCAACACGTGCCCGATCTCGAATGCGTGGGCCCAGTGCGACAGCGTCCTGTGGCTCTCGAAGGCCTGCTGCCCGACCAACTACTACTGCTCGTACCAGAGCATGTTCTACTCGGTGCGTCACACTTTTTCTCTCTCTCTCTTCCTCCTCTCCCTCGTCGTCGAGCGAGCGTCGGTCGTCGGCCGTCCCTCTCGGTCGACGCTCTCCCTCGACCATCCCGCTCGAGCCGCACTGACTCGGCGCTCCCTCTCCCTCGTACAGCAATGCGTTCCCGGCACGGGCTCGACCACGAGTGCGGCCATGAGCAGCACGAGCGCGAGCAGCACGTCCAAGGCGGCCTCGTCCACGTCGTCGTCGGCTACGCCGAGCGCGACGCCTTCCCAGATCTGCAACCCGAACTCGGTGCGTCCTCCCTCTCCCTCCCTCTCCCTTCCCTTCCCGCCTCGACTCTCTTCCGTCTGATGAACCTCGTACTGACCCCCCAAACGTCTCGCAGAGCGGCTCGGACGGCTGCACGCCTTACACCGTGTCGTGGTCCGGCGTCACCCTCCCGTCGCCCAAGGTCTTCACCGATGGCGGACACGTCAACTACCAAGCCGTGCCCAAGTCGCAGTACAAGCCAGGGCAGACTTACCTCACGAGCGGCAACGGCTGGACCCCGCAGAGCTTTGGCGGTGCGCCCAGCTCTCCCTGGTCCTCTTTCTCGAGCGGCGGGTCGCTGACTGCTCTTTTTCGCCGCGCAGTTCACTTCGAGTCGCTCAACAACCAGCCGTCGGGCGTCTACATCGGTCGCAACTTCTACGACTGGAGCCTCGCCGCCAAGGCGTTCCCGTCCGGCTACTGCATCGTGCGTCGCCCTCGTTCCTCCCTTTTTCTCGTCCTTTGCCCGACTGACCTCGTCCCTCTTTGCGCGCAGACATGGGTCCAGGTCGACATCTACAACCAGCACTTTGGCGAGGGCGGCCAGGCACCCATCTGCACTCCTTGAGCGTCGTCACGAGCCCGCCTTCGCGCCCTCCGAGGCGCTGTATCCTCTTCCCCTCCCCTCCCTCGTCCATACCCCTCTCTAGTCGTCCGTCCGCCGCATACCTTATACCTGTAGACTACCTGTAGCCTATGCCGTGTGCCGGCACCGGCCCTGTATCGCTCGCCGTGCCTTTCACCTGACGAGCCGAGACGGACCCGGAGAGCGAGAGGTGAATCTCTCAGCAGAGGCTTCGCTCGCTTGCGTAGAGCCGTCCTGCAACTGTCTACATCGTTCTCGACTGGCACGAGCTGTCCCACAAGCCATTGCCGAGCAGCGAGGCCAACCCTGGCTTCATCAGCGGCGAGGGGCCGCCTCCCTCTTTCCTCCATCTCGCCGGCCTGGGCCGCCTTACAGCCCGCCCCAGCATATGCAGATGCCTGTCGCTACCGGCGAGCGCGAGCACGAGCTGCTCGCTCCTGCCGCCGACGCCAGCCAGGCCACCTCCGCCGACCCAGTCGACCCGAGCAGCACCACGCTGTCTACGGCCGCCAAGGGCAAGAAGCGCGCTCGAGAGCCCGACAGCAAGGTGCGCCCTCCTCCCTGTACCATCGCGCCACGCGAACGAGCCGTGCTCACCACTGTTGCCCCCTCCCCGCGACAGCTCTCCCCCGCTCCCTCCACTACCGACAACGCGGCCGTCCTTCCTCGCCAAACCGGCCCGACTCGCCGCATCGACCGCGTCGTCTACGCCGGCTACGAGATCCGCGCCCTGTTCGGCTCGCCGTACCCGCTCGACGAGCTGCCCGGTGCCGCCGTCTCGGCGGCGGACAAGTCGGCGGCGGTCGCGCGAGACGGGCGCATCCATGCTCGAGACGCCGGCGGCAAGTTCGGCAAGAAGGAGAAGAAGGTCCACGCGGGCAACAAGGGCGAGGCGGCGTCATCGGTTGACGGCGCGCCGGCGGAGCAGCACGCGCTCGCCCATCCCGTCGAGCCCGAGGCGTCTGTTCCCGACACGCACGGTCTCGGCGTCGCGAGCGGCGTGGCCGGCCGTGTCGAACCTGTAGCCGAGGCGAGCGGCGCCGTTCCGCTGATCGGACCGGACCACAACCCGTCGAGCGCGAGCACGAGCCCGAGCGAGGCCGTTCCCGGCAGCACTCTCGCGCCCGAGCGGCCACAACCTGTCGTACCTGTCGCATTGGACGAGCAGCCTCTTCAGCCACTCGCCGCCGGCGCGCCCGTCGCCTGTCCACCTTCCGTCGCCGCGCCCACCTCCCTGTCCATCGACGCCTACCCGCACCCGCCGTCGTCGTCCACTTTGTCGCCGCCAGGGTCGGTCGACGACTCCCACCCGACGGCGTCGACGAGCTCGCCCAACATCCGCGCCGAGCGCGGCAAGCGCGGCCGCTTCCTTCCCAAGCCGCCCGGCGAGTCGAACAAGTCGAAGCGGGCGCTCGAGCGCGCCGCTCGGACGTCGCGACCTGCGCTCGTGCCGGAGAGCGGCGGCGAGCCGCACTTGACGCAGCGGCAGCAGCGCGAGCTCGCCCGCAAAGCTCGCGAGGAGCGCGAGCGAGAGATGGCGCGAGAGGGCGTCGAGCGAGGTGGGAACGAGGAGGTGCGGTTGCTCGTGTGCGACAAGTGCTTCAAGTACATGGCACTTCCGGCCGTCTTTGCGGCTCATGCAGTGCGTCCCCCCCTTCCTCGAGCGACTCTTGCCCCCTCCCGTCCTGACCTCTTGCGCCTTCTCGACGCAGAAAGAGTGCGCCGTCAAGCAGCCACCTGGGCGGCGGGTCTATCAGCGAGGCGCGATCAGCATCTGGGAGGTCGACGGCGTGGTGGCCAAAGTGCGCCCGCTTCATCCCCTCTCGCCTCGTTCCTTGTCGACCCTCTTTGACGATCTCCCTCGCCCGCCACAGCTCTACTGCCAGAACCTGTGCCTGTTCGCCAAGCTCTTCATCGAGCACAAGTACATGTTCTTCGACGTGCGTCCCCTCTCCCTGTCCTCTCTCGTCGGCGGCAGCAATGGCACGAGGATCTGACTCTGTACCTCGGCTCGCAGGTCGAGGGCTTTACGTTCTACCTTCTCACCGAGACGATGGCCAAGCAGGAGTGGGTCCTCGGCTACTTCTCCAAGGTGGGTCGCCAGTCTCTGCTTTCCTCGCCCTCATCGCCAAAGACGAGCGCGAGCTGACCCCTCTTTCGTCCCCTCGAGCGCAGGAAAAGGTCTCGTACGACGACAACAACCTCGCCTGCATCGTCGTCTTCCCGCCCTTTCGCCAAAAGGGCTGGGCAACCCTCCTCATCGAATTCAGTGCGTCGAGCACGTTCTCTCACGGTCTCGTTTGACGTGGACTCACCGGTGCGCCCTGCAGGCTACGAGCTCTCGCGCCGCTCGTCGAGCACGGCCGGCTCGCCCGAGCGCCCTCTCTCCGAGCTCGGCCAGAAGGGCTACCTCGCGCACTGGACGGCCGTGCTCGTGCGCTACTTTCGCGCCATCTTCGCCCTCAAGGGCGAGCCCCCCTCGATCGACACCCTCCTCGCCGCTGCGCCCGAGTCGACGCGCTCGCCGAGCAAGGGCGCCCTCAACGACGACGACGACCATGGCGAGCGGCGCAAGCGCGCGCGCCGCTCGAAAGGGTGGGACGGCGAGCTCCCTCCCGGCGCGGCGACGCTCGCCGGCTCGCCCGCCAAAGCCTTCACGCTCCGCGGCGGGAGCTCGCGACCGCGAGCCGGCGTCGTCGACCCGAGCGACGGCTCGTTCTCGTTCCCGACGACGCTCGAGGAGCTGTCGCGCGCCGTCAACCTGCGGGCCGACGACGTCGCGTTCGCTCTGGTCGAGTCGGGCTTGGCGCAGTACCGCCGAGGTGGGACGGCCGAGGTTGTCAAGGTGGAGGACGACGAGGAGGCAGGAGGAGCGGCCGAGGCGGGATCGAGTGGAGCTGGGGAGGAGCGCGAGCTTGAGCTCGTCGTCACGCCCGAGCTGGTCGAGGAGGTGGCTCTGCGCAAGGGCGTCAAGCCGATGCCGATGCTTGACGTAGCGTACGTCTGCAACATCTGAGCGAGTTTGGCGCGAGCACCGCAGCAGGAGAGCGTCGCGAACGAGCATGCTTGCGCGAGCTCGACGAGGAACGACTTGGGCTCGGGAGGCGGCTTTTGACGATGACTGCTCTCTTGCGACTCCTCGCGAGTGTCTGACATGCTTGACTTGACGAGGCTCTCAAGTTGCTCCGCGTCGCAAATGCTGCTCGGCCGCAAGCCCCCCTGCTGCCGCTCGGACCCGTCATTCCTGCCGATCGACCGCCAGCATCTCTGCCAACGGCTCGCCCGGCGCCAGCCCTGCTTGCCCCGCTCGTGCCACCCCCACCGAGCCATACACACTGCGCTCCCGCTCGTCGAGGTCGTCTGGGAGGAGCAACGCCGTGCCGCCTCGTGCCGCCGGGTCCGTCTCAGCCTCCTCCAGTCGCCGCCGCGCCTCGCTCGCCGACAGTCGCTCGCGCGCCGAGATGCGCAGCAGCGACTCGATGATACCGAGGAGTGCTGTGGCCGAGGGAGGGAGGTGCGGGAGGAGCGACTCGAGCGAGGTCGGCGGGAAGGATGCAAAGGTGAATCGGCTGAAGGTTGGGAGGTCGGCGGCTTCCTGTTGCGCAAAGGGCGTGAGTCCAGATCGTTCGAGAGATGCAGAGAGAGGAGAGAAACAGCGAGAGAAGGACGCACAGGCCAGGTCTTGACGGTCGGCGTGCCCAGAACTCGAAACACGCTCGCCGCGAGGACGAAATCGCTCGCCGCGCCCTCGAACAGCGACTCTCGCCGCAAGCTCGGCTCAGGCGGCGGCGTCGTGCACTGACGGTAGTACCGCTCGAACGAGTCCTCCGAGTCGGGCGACGGCGGGCGCGGGTAGACGAGCGGGCGGAACAGGTCGGCGAGGGTCGCCCCGAGGGCCCACAGGTCGAGGGCGAGAGGGTCGTAGGCGCGTGACGCGAATATGAGCTCTGGAGCACGATATGGCCTGCAGTCAGGAGCGCGAGAGTCAGTCTCGCGGGGTGGTAGAGAGGGAAAGAGAGGGACGCACCCAGTGCCGATTTCAAAGTGCATCTCGCCCGCCTTCTCGGCGCCCGCTTCGACGGCGATGCCCAAGTCGATGAGGACGAGTCGACCTCGGGCACTGAGCACAACGTTGGCCGGATTTATGTCGCGGTGAGCGATGCCGAGGTCGTGAAGGTGCGCCACGGCGGCGACAAACTGGTAGGCGAGCGAGGACGCGAGGGCCGGGAAGGTCGAGGGCGAGGCGCCGAGGGTGAAGGCGGGAGAGACGAGGAGGTCGGGGAGCGTGTGCGGGTAGTAGGGCGTGAAGAGGGTGACACGGGGAATTGGCGAGGCGCGCGTCGGCTCGAACAGGTACGCGTTGAGGAGCGAGAGGATCTGCGCGCGCCCTCGCCGTCAGTACTCTGCTAATCTCGTGACGTACGAGTGGGACAGGCGGGACGCACGTTCGGGTGGTGAAGCTTGGCGAGCAGAAGCGCTTCTCGACGAGGATTGCGCGGGACCCTCGTGTGGTCGTCCTCGGTCGTCTTGATGGCTGCGGTGCGAGCGACGCCGCCGCACAGCAGGTCGAGGGCGCGCCCGGGTCGCAAAGTCGCGAGGAGGATGGGCCGGCCCTCGCACGGGTGGATGGACGAGGTGTCGACGTCGACGGCTCGACCTTGCAGCGTCCCGGCGACGAGCAGAGTCGGCGGATTGTCGTGGTTATAGTCTGGCGGCGTCGCCATGGTAGTACTTGCGCCAGTGACGGCCCGCCAGAGTCGCGAAGGAAGCTGCGGCGCAACGAGGCGAATCAGTCAGGCTCGGAAACCGGCTCGAGGGGGACACGGTGGGGGGTCTGGGTGTACCTGAGAAGTAGCTTGATGCTCTAGTCGGCGCTGAATTGAAGTACAGCACACAGGGAGGTGTCCAGAGTGGGAGAACGGCGTCGAAGTGATGAAGTCGGTGCGAGACGAGATGTCCTCGAGCAGGCAGCAGAATCCCTGGAGCGGACTGGTGTACGGTCTTAGAAGCTGTGCGCGGAGCGCAAGTGCACGCTCGCAGCCGAGGAGAGCGTGAGCAGGCGAGAGGATGCGGACGACGAGGACGGCGAGGTGGGACGAGACCCACACGGCCTCGCCAGCGCAGCCGGCTTGCTGCTGGCCAGTGCATCGAGCTACAGCTACAGACGGTTCGACCCTGCCCAACAGCAGCCGCAGACGAGCTGCCCGCCCTCCTCGTGCCCGCCCTTCGACCGTCGGCCCGACCTCGCTCCTCGCCCACGAGCGGGACTCTACCTCGGCAGAGCCAATGCTCCTCAGAGTACCTCCATCCAGCTGCCTAGACGCCCTCGCCGCCGTGCGACCGCCAGCCTCCCCCTCTCGCCTCGGCCGCTTCCGTCTCGCCCACCTCTCCCGGCTCCCGCACCTGCCAGCCTCTCAAGAGCGCGGTCCGCCTGTCGCACGGTCGCTCAGCAGGGCGCACACCAAACGGCGCCCTGCAGCTAGGAGCGAGCCGTCCTTGCTCGGCCACCGCTCCCTCTCTCTCTCACTCTCTCGCTCAGCTTCTGTCGCACGCCTCGCTGCACCTCTCGCTTCCTCAGCTCTTGAGTCCGCCATCGTCTACGCTCAACATGCGGTCCGTCCCTTCCTCCTTCCTCTTCTCCTCGACCCTGCCGACGACCTCGAGCTGACCAGCCTCTTTTCTTCGTCGCGCATAGGAAAGCGGCCCGCGACTACCGCATCCTCACGCCCGACAAGTACGAGGCCGTCTACATCCCGTCGTGGCAGCCCTTCAGCCCCGGCAGCGGCAGCAACAAGGGCGGCGAGCGTGCGCCGCGGCAATCGGTCCGTCTCACACAGCCTCCTCGAGCCTGGAGCGACGATGCAGTACTGACTCGTCGTCCTCGCTCCACAGGCTCAGCGACAAAGGGTCGTCACGGTATTCGTCCTGTGTGTGCTCCTGACGGGCGTAGCCTGGGTCACCGTCCCAGCTCGAGTGAGTCGGCCTCTTCCAGCGTCTCCTTCTTGGCAGTAACTCTCGCCGCATCCTCAGCCTGACAGCGTCGTCGCTTGCCACAGATCTTCCTCCGCTCCCCCTACACCTGTCCGAGCCCGAGCTCGCCCCGCGACGCCGACGCCCTCATCTCGCCGCGCCACCGCAGCTCGCCCGTCCTCCTTCCTGCCGCCCATCCCGACTTCTCCCTGTCGCTCACCTACGACACGGCCGTCTGCAACTCGTTCGACATCGTCATCTCGCGCCTGGACAAGGACCGATGCGCCAAGGTCGAGGCGTCGTCCCCGCCGCCGAGCAACAACTCGGCCTTCCTCGAGTACGCTCGCACCCGCCTCGGGCCCGACTCGTTCCACCTCCAGGTCGACGGCGCCGAGCGACTCGCCGAGGAGGTCCCGAGCGAGTACCTCGGCAAGTGCGAGTACTTGTTCCGGTTCCGGCTCAACAACGCGGGCCGAGTTTGGGTGAACGCCTCGCTCCTGTACGAGGTGCGCCCTCACTCGCTCGACTCGTCCTTCCTCTCGTGCGTCACTGACACTCGAGAACGGTCACACAGAACTACGAAGCCGTGCGAGAGCGCGTCGTCGAGCCGGGCGCATGGCCAAAGGACCAGCCGCTCCTCCTTCGTCCACTCGTTCCCGCCCCGATCGAGCTGGACCTGTGCTCCTCGGCCTGCCCGCTCTTCGTCCCGTCTCACCTCGGCGACAAGTCACTTGCCGTCGTCTCGCCGGCGCACGGCACCCCAGCACCTGTCGCGCTCCCGTCGTGCGGCGACGCGGCCCGAGCGGGCAAGCTCCGAGGCGGCTACTTCCCGCTCGGCATGTTCGACCTGCTGTACCCCGACTACCGCCAGCCTGTCGGGTGGAGCTCGACGCGCCTGAGCGCAGGGCACACGCGCTGGGTCCCGTACGGCTGCGAGTGGCGCCACGACGGGCGCCGCTTTGCCGACCCGGCGTCGTGCGTCGACAAGCCGCACCGGGCCCTGTTCATCGGCGACAGCCACGCGCGAGCCGTGTTTGACCTCGTGTCGCACCGCCTGTCGGGCAACAAGACGATCGTGCAGAAGACGGTCAAGTCGGCGCACAAGAATGCGACGCACGGCAACGTACACCTCGTGCGTCCCCCTTCTCCCCCTCCCCTCGACGAGCAGCAGGACTCGGAGACTGACGACTCTTACTGTCGACAGGACTTTACCTTGTGCGTCTCCTTCCGCCGGTCCTCGTCCTCCACGAGCTCTTGGCCGTCCCTTCTCAAGGATCTCGCTCACCTTGCCTCACCGGCCAACAGCTTACCGCACCTCAACAAGACGTTCACCTGCGAGGCGCACGGCAGCTACGACTCGGTGACGGTCAGTACGGTGAGCTGCTCTCGCCCTTTCGAGCAGCGTCCTCCCTCGCTCGAGCCCCACTGACTCGCCAGTTCCCTCCTTCTCTCTCCTTCCTCCTTCTCCGTCGCTCCCACCCGCCTCGTACACTCTTGCAGGGCACTTGGCAAGCCGCTGTGGACTGTGCCACGACCGACAAGGTCCTCGCCGAGCTCGAGCGCCTCTTTACAACCTGGCCCCGACTCGCGCACGAGTGCCGCCGCCCGATCCCGAACCGCAACATCGCCGTCCTCGACAGCAGCCGCTCTCGCACGACGAGGTTCACGTACCTCAACATGCCGGCGTTCCACCCGCAGCTGCAGCGCCACGACGGCCGGACTGGAGCGCGGCTCAGCTTCTGGAACGAGCGGTTCGGGGCTTTGGCGCGCAAGAACGGCTGGGACGTCGTCGACGTGTACTCGCTCACCAAGCCCGTCGCGATCGACATGACGCTCGGCGATGGCGTTCACTGTGCGTCTCTCGCTCGCTCTCTCTGTCTCTTCATGCGAGGTCAAGTCGAGCCTTTACCGACCTTTCCTCCGACGACAGATGTCGGCACCGACGCTGCAGAGCCTGCAGCCGACGACGTCATCGACAGGCTCGGACTGTGCGGAGAGACGGGCTCCAAGGGCTGAGGGTTGTCGAGCGAGCGCGATTCGCGAGGCGAACGTCGAGGAAGGGACGAGGAGCAGTCGTAATACCAAGGGCCCGTTCTCGGTTCTCTCCCGCGTCAGCCTCGAGCCCGTACTGGGAAAGGTCCAGGCAGCGAGAAGGAGAGCGCAAGGCGACGTTGACCGGCTTGCGCTCGCCGTCGGCGGGAGCGAGAGAGGCTCGTCCTTCGTTCGCTGTGCCGCCTCTGCTCAGATGGCCGACGCTGCTCGCGCAGTCGTTCACGACAGCTCGCCGGAGCAGTACGAGTGCGTGCACTGCTCGGCCGAGGTCCCGTCGTTGTGTGCGTCGGCCTCATCAGCTCCCTCGTCACCAACCCGTCCTGACTCGTCGTCACACGCAGTTGTCAAGTACTCGGATCCAGGGAACACCTCTTTGGTCCAGTGTGCCTCGTGCGGCCAGCTCGCCGACGTCCACCAGTCGTTCCCGCTCGAGGTGCTTCTCCTCCTCGACCTCGTCCTCCTCAAGTCGCCCGTGTACCGCCACCTGCTGCGCAATCGCGGCGGCGCCACAGCGCAAGACCGCCACAAGTACCAGCTCGCCCAGTCCTTCAAGCTTGGAGCCCTCGTCCTGGCCGTCGACACTCGTGCGTCCCCACTTCTTGCCCTCTCGCCGAGCCGAAGCTGACTCCCTCGCAACCCTGCAGTCGTGCGCTGTTTTGGCACCGAGACGGCGACCGAGTCCGAGTTCCTCGCCCTGTTCGCCAAGACTGGCGCGTACTGCCTCGTCGGTGCGCTCCCGCTCCCTCTCTTCTCCTGGTGCGACGTTCGGCGACTGATCCTCCTCTCTCCCCTCGCAGAGACGCTTTCCTTCCTGTTTTGCGTGTGCATCGCTGCGGTCATTGTCACACTTCCTCGAAGCTGCTGGCACGAGTGCGTCCCACATCCTTCCCCACCTTGTCGACGCGCGCTCACCCAAGTCCCCGCGCAGCCTTCGCCTCGTCCCGCTCACCTACTTCTACGCGTCCCTCCCCGTCGTCCTCTTCCTCGCCATCACCTCGGTCATCTGGCGCGACGAGTACCTCCCCTCGTCGTCGTCGACCTCCTCCCCAGCCCTCCCGCCTTTCCTCGCCCCGATCACGACCCGCCTCGACGCCCTGTACCGCTCGCATCGTGCCGGCACGTCGACGCCGCAGCCGGCCATCGTGCGCTACGCGGCGAGCTTCAGCCGGGCCAACTTGCGCAGTCCGCTCGCCGAGGTCGGCAGTGCGAGGGGCTGGGCGAGCGAGGCCGTCTTGCGCAAGTGGGTCGGCGGGCAGAGCGCCGTCGTCGCCTTTTCCGGTGCGTCCCTCTCGCGCTCTCTCGCTCTCTCTCGAGTCCTCGAGCGAGCGACACTGATGATGAACTCGGTCGCAGTGCTGCTCCGCACGAGCAAAGCTCGGTCGGCGGTCGTCCTCCTCGTCGCGTGGCTCCTCCACCTCGTCGTCCTGCACGCCATCGACCCGTTCCTCTCGTGACCCTTGCCGATAGCGATCCAGGACAAAGGAGTTTGCGTTCCAGCCGCTCGAGCCCGACTATCTACAACTCGTCTCGCCGTCCTCGTCGCCCGACCACGGCCCTCGCCATCATCCTCGCACCTTCAGCTCGCCTCGCCACCGCTCACCTCGCTCTCCTCGCGCCACTCCCTCCCCGTCCACGTCCCTCGGCGCCACCGCTCCTCGACCTCCTCGCGCGACCATGCACCTGCGCATGCGCCGCCTCGCGCTCGCGCTCGTCCTCGGCGTCGCGCAACGGCGGCGCCCGCGGCAGCGAGACGTGTGTGTACCCGACGTGCGCGTGCGACGGCGTCGGCGGGCCCTCGGCCGCAGGAGGCGCGCGAGGCGCAGGAGGGAGCGGCGAGGCCGACTCGTACGCCCTGCGGCGCGGCGGCTCGGGCGGCGAGTGGGCCGGCGCGGCGCTCGAGACGCGTGGGGCGGGGGGAGGAGGAGGGGCGATGGCGACGAGGGAGGGTACGGTGCGCTCGCGCGAGGGGCGTCGGTCCAGCCTCGGAGCGGCGGAGCGGGGCGGCTCGAGAGGGCGGCGGGAGCGGCGTGCGTGGGAGCCACCGCGCTCGGCGGCGAGAAGGCGGCGTCGGGAGGCGACGAGTACCGCTTGGCGAGGAGCGACACGCGCGATGACGAGCGAGCGTGTGTCGGCGAGGTCGAGGACGACGGCGCGGCAGGAGGAACGGCCGGCTGCGGCAGGTCCCGCTCGCGCTCGCGGTGCCCGTCGCCGCCCGAGGCGTACTTGGCGCTCATGCGCGCGACAAAGCTGTCCTGCCGCTGCGGCGTCGAGCCAGCCCTCGCCCTCTCGTCGCCCTGCCCGTCCCTCCTCCGCCCAAACTCGTCCACCGCCGCGACGACGCCCCTCTCACCCGCGCCATCCCCTTCCGCCGCACGACTCGACGCTCGAGCAGGCGTGCTCCCGTACCTCGGCGTCGGGCGGCGCAACACGCCCTCGACGGCGGCGCTCCTCGTCATCGCGCCGTCGTCCCGCGGCGGCAGCGGCGAGCGCGGCGGCGCGCCGTCGTACGGCACGGGCGACCGCGCCGCCGTGTCGCGCTCGCGCTCGCGCAGCATGGGCGAGCGCGCCTGCGCGTCGTGCGCCCACTCGCGCGGCAGCGACGGCGCCTCGCGCGCGCCGGGCGCGGCGTCGCGGAACGTGTCGGAGCGGAGCGTGTCGCGCCCGTCGGACGGCGAGGCCGGGTATCGCGAAGACGAGGCGGGCGGCAGAGCTGGACGGGGCGTCGTCGCTGTGTCGCGGTGGGTCGAGGGAGGAGGGGCGAACGAGACGCCGCCGCCGCCGCCGCCCGAGGACGAGGTGCGCGAGGTGAACGAGGGCGCCGACGAGACCGAGGGCCGGGGCGAGTGCGCGCCGCTGCTCGTCGTCGTCGTCATCGTCGTGGCGGCGGTTCGAGTCGTCGACGTCGACGGCGCGCGCGGCCCGCGCAGCGTGCCCGAGCGACCCGGCTCGTCGGCCCGAGCGCCGTGTACCGCGCTCGCCTCGTCGCTCGGCGCGTGTGGCGACACGAGCGGTCCGCCACGCCCGCCGACCTCGTCGTCCACCTCCCCCTCGCCCTCGCCCAGCTCGTCCGGCTCAAACAGCCCCGCGGCGCTCTCCATCCCGACCTCGCACCACCTCGCGGCGCTCACGACCCTCCCGAGCGCTTGCCCGCCGCCCCTCTTGGCCGCGTCGATGCGGCTGCGCCACTCGTGCTCGGCGAGGGAGCACGCGGTGCGGCCGACCTCGCGCGCGACGAGCTCGCGGCGGGCGGCGATGGCGTGGGCGTACGACGCCTTGATCGCCGAGATGTGGGACGAGAGCGACGACAGGGTCGACATGTACGACGAGTGGTGCGACGTGAGGGTGTCGAGGTGGGCGTGCCGGTTGCGTGACGAGGAGGAGGAGGTCGTCGAGGTCGAGGCGGACTGGTACGACGCGGTGGCCTTTGCGACTTTGGCGTCGAGCGAGGCGATCGTGTCCTCGTACACCTTTTCCTCCTTCTGCAGTCGAACGTTGACTCGTCAGTGTCCGGTCCGAGAGAGAGAGAGAGGGAGAGAGAAGAAGACGGACCGCGGTGCGTTTAAAGTACTTTGCGGCCGAGTCGTTGAGCCTCGTACTCCTTGTGGAAGCCCTTTGCGTGCTTGAGCTCGGTCTCGCCGAGCGCATCGAGGAGCGTCGCAGCGGCGCCGAGCGCCTCGACGACGACGTCGCTCCTCGCTGCGCCCGGTGGTGCGCCCTTGTTGGCGTCGCCGATGAAGCCGCCGGCGAGGTCCTTGAGGGCTACGGCGACGCGGCGCTGTGCCTTGGCGTGCTGCAACTTGAGGCTGCGCAGGTCGTCGAGGGCGACGAGGAGGGCCGAGAGGGCGGCGAGCGACTTGTGGAGCGTCGTGCGGTCGATGCCGCCTGGCGGCGCTTGGGCTGGGTGCGGCTGAGGTGGGAACGGGTAGGCGCTGCTGTTCGTGGCGGAGGTCGACGAGGCGGAGCGAGGCGAGGCGAGGGGCGTGGGCGAGAGGCGAGGGCTCGAGCGGGGAGACGCGGGCTTCGAGCGCGAGCCTGGCGGCGGGGCGAGGAGGAAGGCCGGGTCCGAGGAGGCAGTGCCACCGCCAAAGGTGCCCGAGATGCGCTTGAGCATGGCGGGGCGCACGCGTGAGAGGGAGGAGACGAGGAGGGAGGAGCGACGAAGGCTCGGTCGACGCGGCGTCGGCCACAAAGCGGAAACCGCGGGGCGCTCAGCTCGCCTGCCTCGCGGCCGAAGCGAGACACGGCTCGAGCAAGCGCGCAGTACAGCTCACAGGCTCCATGCAGCACGGCAGCGAGAGCCGCACGCGAGAGAAAGGCGAGCAGCCGCGCCGTCGAGGAGGAGGAGAGGGAGGCGCTCGCAGCTTGTGTGGCTCGCGCGGGGGGTGTGGGAGCTTGGCCGAGCTGGTGCAGCATGTGCTTGCACTCAGACTGGCGACAGAGGAGGAGAGCGACGGCGAGTTGAGCGGCCCCACCTCCTCCTCCTCGCCCTCTCGCGCTCCAGCTCTCCCCCCCACCGAGCCATGTCGAGCACAGCAGCACAGCCGCCCGCACCACCACCGCCACGGCAGACCGACTTTCGGCGGCGCGCCGTGCTCCCCTCAACGCAGCGCAACGTCGGCCAAGGCGCAGCTGGCGGCCTCGACCTCTCGAGCGACGAGTACCTCGACCGCATCGAGGAGGAGCTCAACCGCCGAGTCGACCACGACACTCTCAGCCTCGTCGACGGCATGCGCGACTTGGTCGCACTCGCCGCGGTGAGTGCATGCTCCCCTCCTCCTCGTCGGCAAATCTTCCCTCTCGCCCCTCTCCCTTCCTCCCCAACTCGCTCCCAGCAAAGGTCACTCGCTGACTCGCCTGCCTGTACCGCAATGCGCCACCCTCGACCATCACCTTCCTGAACCGCCCTCGCCCTCAGCTCGACCCGTCCAACCCGCCGCACCCGTCCGCCTCGTCGCACCGCGCCCTGTCGTCCCAACTCAAGACCGAGCACATGCTCCGCTCGGCCCAGTCGCTCCTCGCCCTCGCCCACACTCTCAAGCTCCTCCACCTCTTTGGCGACGGCGAGGCCGGCCATGTCGCGCGCGAGGGCAGGGACAAGGAGCTCGTCGACGACATTGACCGGCTCAAGGAGCGCGTCAGGGAGCTGGCGGGTGAGCAGGGTGGGCTTGACGGTGCGGCAGGGGCATAGCTGGGCAGCGCGTGCGAGGCGACACTCTTCTCGTGCGTCCCCCATCCTTTTCCCTCCTCCCCCTCGCGTCCCTCCCCCTCCCCTCCCCGCCGCACCCGCGCGGTGGGAGATGACGAAAAAGGCCAACAACCAGGCCGATTTAACCCAGCTCGGTTTTGCCCCGGCGTCAAACCAAGGCCCGTCGTCGTCCTCGGACGGCGGCGAGTCGACGACCGGGGATATGTTCACAAACTCCTACTCTGATCCCCCCACCCTTTTTTCGCCGCCCTGCGCACCCTGTCGCGTTGAGCTGAGAGGCTCGGCGAGCGGTGGCGTGCGGCGACGGGCGGGCGCAACCCTGCAACTTCCTCGAGGCGTCGTCGAGCAGCGCACTGACCTGCCTTTGCCTCCCCTCGTCGCACAGACCTCGCCTCTGCGTCGCCTGCCTTTCGATCCCGACTAGAGCTCGTCGTCGCGCTCGTCTCGCCCTTGTACAGACTCTCCGCTCTCGTAGAGCTGCTCGAACCTTGTTGTTGCATTTCCACCTCGTCGCCGTTTTCTCTCTTTCAGCTCCCGTCCCTCTCTGTGCCTCGAGAGCTGTCCCGCAGATGAGCGAGAAGAGAAAGCTCGAGCGCGCTGTCGGTGGCGCACCGAGCGGCTTTGATCCGGCAACGACGATGCTCCTCGAGCAACAGCGAGAGCGAGCCGAGATGGTCTTGCCGCCGGTCCTGCCTGAGCAGGGCTGCAGACAGAGCATGCGTCGGCGCACGACTGAGATCACGAGCCTGACGCGAGGAGACGAGTCTGACGAGAGGAGCGGCGACGAGGGTGAGCGGGCCCGAGCGAGGGGTCCGAGAGCGTGCGCGAGGAGGAACGGCGACGACGAGCGCTCACGGCTTGCAGGACCGCTCTCGAGGACAGATCGAAACGTGCGTTGACATTGCGAGGTTGACTGCGTAGGACGTAGAGCGAGAAGGAGAACCCGAGAGAGGACGAGAGGGGAGAGAACGACGAGTAGGGAGGAGAGGGGGGAGGGGGAGAGAGAGAGATGCACTGCTTGCGGGGGAGAACTATGTGCGCGACCCGCCGGTAACCGAGATAGGATAGGAGAACGAGGAGAGAGAGAGAGACGTTAAGCGTGTCTGGGTGGAGATGGATAGGGGAGGGACGATGAGGAGGGAACGCTCAGGAGCGGAACGACGACGACGACGAGCCGGCTGCATGACAAACAAGTCAGTACAGGTTCACGATAGAGAGGAGAAAGAGTAGAGCGGGACGCACCGGACGAGCCCTGGTCGAACTGGTCGTCGAGCCTCGCGAGCGCCTGCGCCCCCTTTGCCGTCCTCGGCGTCGGCCGCGGGTACGCCCTCTTCGGCGCCGGCCCCGTCGGGCCCTTCTTGGTCGTGCCGGCGTTGTGGATCGTCGGGCCCATCAAGCCGCTAAAGATGCCCTTCTTGACCACCTTGGCCGTCGTCTCGGCCGCCTTGTGCGCCGCCGCCGCTGCGCGCTCGGAGCTCAAGCGCGTCTCGTTCGACGTGCTGGTCCGGATCGACGACGTGTCGCCGGCGCTGCTGCTCGCCGTGCTGCTCGGGCCCGGGCTGAGCGACGGCGTCTGGTTCGACGCGAACCCGCAGCCGTCGAGCGCGCCGTTCAGCGGGCCGTACTGGCCTGGGTCCGACTCGGGGATCGAGTCGAGCGTGTTGGCGCTCGCGACGCTGCCCTTGCGACCCATGTCGCTCGCGATGCTTCCCTTGCGCCCGGCGCTCCCGCCCGACTCGCTCGCCGTGCTGCCCTTGCGCCCGATCGAGAAGCCCGAGCCGAGCAACCCGCCGCCGCCGCCGCCGCCGCCGCCGCCGCCGCCGCTCCCGTCGGTCGAGCCCGAGATGCTCGCCTTGCGCATTGCCTCGGTCGGGCCCGGCCCGAGCCCGAGCCGCATCGCCGCCGTCGAGCGCGCGAGGTCGGCCTCGGCCGCCAGCCGTGCCGCCTCGGCGCGCTGCCGCCGGTCGCGCTCCTCGCCCTCGCGCCACGCCTCGGCGATGCGCGCCGGCGTTGACGACGAGATGCCCGTCGACGGGGGCGACGAGAAGGTCGGCGACGACGCGCGCCGCAGCTGCTCGTGCGGCGGAGGTGGCGGGAGAGGCGACGAGGGAGGGATTGGAGAGGGCGTCGAGCGCGACGAGATGGCGCCGAGCGAGCCGTGTCGCTGCGGGTAAGACGACGGCGTGCGGGGCGTCCAGGTCGAGCTCGAGCCGGCGAGAGGCGAGCCCGACAGGGGAGAGCCCGAGGTGACGGGGAGGGACAGTTTCGGCGATGCCGTCCTCGACGAGGGGGCGCCGTGCGAGTGAGGAAGGGGAGGGAGGACGACGTGAGGGGCGACGGGTGCGGAAGACGAGGGCGGGACGTAGGACGGCACGCCGCCAGAGGTCGTGACGAGGGACGACGCCGACGAAGACCCGACCGAGGAGCGGCTGTACGGCAACGACGACGAGTCGTGGTCGAAGCCCGTGTAGTTGGACAGGTTGGTCATCGACGAGCCTGCGGGCGGCAGAGGGTGGACGAGTGAGTCACGTGCGCCATGCTGGCGGGACCGAGAGGGCGCAAAAGACGACGGCGACGCACCTTGGCTCATGTCCGACAGCCTCGGCTCGTCCTTGCTCGCCGTCCTCCTCACCTCGACGCTGTGCGCGCTGCCGCGCCGCACGCCGAGCATGACCTGCATCGCGCGAATCTGGAGCGCGACGCTGTCGCCGAGCGCCGCCGCCTCGTACACCTTGGCGGCCGTCTCGGGCTGCAGGTTGAGCACCTCGTGCAGGGCCTGGACGACGAGGGCGCGCAATGAGGGCAGGATCGAGTCGTGTGACTTGGTGAAGGCGAGGAGCGAGGTGAGGACGGGGAGGGACCGCTGCTGGCGGGTCGACAGGGCGAGCGTGTTGAAGAACTCGAGGAGCGCCTTGACGTCGCCCGACGCGAGCGGTAGCTCGAGCGAGCGCGGCGTGATCGGGAACAGGCGAGACGGTGCGCGCGACGGCGCCCCGAGCAACGAGAGCTGCTCGGCGGACGAGGCCCTGGGCGGGACGGGCGACGACACGCGCGACATGGCGCCGTCGATCGGCTCCTCGTCGTCACTCGAGCTGTACGCGTCGGCACTCATCGACGTGCGCGGCGCGTGCCCGTCGGCGGGTGCGCTCGCCGCCTCGACGGCGCGCAGCTCGTTGGCGAGCCACGGCCACCGCGCCTCGAGGAGCTTGCGGCTGCAGCCGAGGCGCTCGCGGTCGCCGCAGATGATCGTAAAGTCGAACAGTTGAGGCTGCGCCATCGTGAGGAGGCTGAGCTGCTGCTGGACGGGCGGGATCGGCTGCGATGGCGGGATCGAGACGCCAAAGCCCTCGAGGTCGACGAAGGCGACCTGCTCAAAATTGGTCTGCGCGGTGGAGGTATCAGTGACTGCGCCTCGAGAGACGGACCGAGAGAGGCGAGAGGGGACGGACCTGGCGCGCGTTGTAGTCCTCCATCATGTCCCGGCTCGCGTCACCGACGACGACGAGCGTGTTTCTCCAGCCGACCGCGGGGCCCCAGCTGCCCCTCCCGAGCACCTTGTCGAGCGGGAGCGCGCTCCACTGCATCGCGGCGCCGTTGCCCGACTCGAGCGGGTAGTGCGCGCCGACGTCGAGCGACCAGACGACGAACTCGGCGCGTTTGACGCCGACGTGGGCGCCCGACAGGACGAGGTGGCGGCCGCAGAGGTAGGCGTTGGGGAAGCGCAGGCCGGGCGGGAGCGTCGGGTCGCCCTCCATGGCGTCCGAGATCGACAGGTAGGCCGGGTTGCGCAGCGAGTCGTGCACGGCCGGGATGAGGTCGAGGTCGCGGCGAGGGCTATGGGCGCATCCGCTCGCTGTCAGTACCTGATCTAGACGACGCGACGCAGTCGAAAAGGGAGAGGGAGCGCACCTTGCGAAGTTGCTGTTCGAGTAGACCCATACGGGCTCCTCGCGGTCCTCGGTCGGCTCGAGCGAGTGCGCCGAGTGCACCGTGACGGACCCATCGCTCGCGACGCGCTCCTCCATGGGCGCAACACCGACGGCCGCGACGGCTGCGACCGAGCGGTACGTGCCGGCCTTGCGCGGGAACGGCGCCTCGGCGACCCACTCCATGGCGTCGAGGTCGAGGACGGCGAGGTCGGGCAGGTAGTTGTTCTCGTAGTCCTGCCCGCCGAGGACGACGAGCCGAGACGAGTGCGTCGCCGGCTCGTGGCGGAACCCGGGCGGCGAGGGACGAGAGGCGACAGTCGTGACGACCGACAGGTGGGCGTAACGGGGCGAGGGGCGACTGACGCCCGACGCGAGCGACGGCGACGGGAACGACCACGTGTGCGACTCGGTGTCGAACACGACGAGCTCGTCGAGCGTCTCGAGGCGGCCGCCGGCGCCTTGTGGCGGCGACGAGAGGGCCGCGGCCGGGTCGGCGACAAAGGTCTGGCCGCCGAACACGACGAGCTTGTTGCCCCACGCCTGGGCCGAGTGGAAGTAGCGCGGCGCAGGCCCGCGTGACGAGGTCGAGCCGGTCGAGGGGGGCCACAGCTGGGTCCACCTCGACGAGCGCAGGTCGAGCGCGAACAGCGAGTTGACCATCTCGCGCGAGTGGACGGGGCGGCCGCCAAAGACGTAGACGGCATCGCCGACGAGCGTGACGGATGCTCCGACCTGCGAGAGGCGAGAGTGGGTCAGCTCGATGGCGCACGGAGAGTGGGAGGGGGAGCGTGAGAAGGGGGCGGTGCAGGGTCGGCGACGAGGAACTCACAAGCGGTGGAGGGCAGTCGCCCTTGGTCCGCCTCACGGTCGACGTGAGGTCTGCCCAGTCGGCCATGGGTGCTCGAGAGGATGGCGCGGCGAGAGAGCCAAGAAGGGTGCGGCGGCCGGGGTCGACGTCGACAGATGGAGGCCGGTCGCGTGGTGCGGACGACGGACAGGAGGCCGCGTACGACGAGGTCGGTGTGCGCACGGCCACGCGCACCGCAGTCCCGTGGACTTGCCGGCTGCTGCGGGCGGTGAGGAGCGAGAGGCGAGCCGACGAGGCGGCGGCGGAAGGCGGACGAGGAGGACGAGGAGGGGAGGGCGAGGGCGAGGGACCGCAGCCGCTTGCTCGCCGGGAGCGCACGGCGGTGTCGAGCTGCACGCCTTGTTCGAGTGCGGCGCTCGATGCGCTGATGAAGGGCGCGAGCGAGGCGCGAGCGGCCGGGAGAGTCGGGGCCGTCGCCGCTCTGGCCTTTGGCGCTGCCGGAACTTGCGGGGCTGGGCTAGCGCTCGGCACGCGCAGGGCGAAGGTACACGCGCACAAGGCAGAGCAACCGAGCAGGCAGTGCGCTCTCGACGGACGGCGAAAACCTCTCCCCGTCGACTGCCCTGCCGCGCCTGTCGTTCGACCCTTTGCCTCCCTCGTGCGTGCGACACGCGCTTGGCCGTGAAAGCAGGTCCCCTGCGAGCGCGACGGCGCGAGAAGTGCGGAGCAAGGCAGAGCGAGGGCGGAGCAAGCCAATCGCAGCCGCTCGCCCCTCGCCGACGACGCTACTCGAAACCGAGTCTGCGCGCAAGCTTCGTGATCGAATGGATCTGCGCGCACCCCGAGCTCGCTGCCGAACCCGACAGGCGAGACTCGAGAGGCAATGGGCGCGTGCAGGTAGGTACTGACAGTTTGTCGTGTTGCAGATCTGAGAGAGTACAAAGCCGTCCCGGTGCCCTCTCTCTCCCCTCCGTTGCGCTCCCACGCTTTCAGGCCGAGGTGGCCGCCTTGGCGAGGTCGGCGAGAGCCTCGCGGCGCTTGAACTTGCCGTCCTCGACAACGCCGGCGTCTGCGGGCGCGACCGAGCGAGGTCAGCTTGCGGCCTGTCGTCGTTCGCGCACGCACGCAGAAGTGGGAGAGGGACAGAACGAGGGACGCACCGGCGTCGGACGACCAGGCGCCGGTCCAGGCGACGAAGGTCGAGTCCTTGTGCTCGCCAGTCGTGACGGGCGAGAGCGTAATGGTCGAGATGACCGACGAGTACGACAGCGCCGGCTCGCTCGTGATGACCCTGCAGGCGTGTGACGTCGGTCAGGCTCGGCGTGCGGGCGCCAGCAGAAGCAAGGCGAGAGGACGCACGAGTACGAGATCGAGTGACGGAGGGCTGCGAGCGAGAGGAGAGGGCGCACGGGCAGGAAAAGTCAGGCCATGTTCCTCGTCCTTAAAGAATGGGGGCGAGAGACGTACACGAGTGCTCCTCCTGCTTGATGTGGAGGACGGTGCCGTCCTGCAGGCGAGGAAGGCGAAAGGGTCAGATTCGACCGCCCTGAGAGTCTCATGACCGCCTCCTGGCTCAGAGACGCACGTTGAACTTCCACTCGTAGCTGCAGACAGGATGGCAGAGAGTCAGTGCGCGGCGCAGGACGAAAGGAGAGGGCCAAGGTGCGCTCGAGGACGACCAGGGGGTCGACGTCGCCGAGGCGCCTCGACCGCCCGGCGGCCGTGGCCAGATACTGCATGGAGAAAAGAGGACGCACACGTCGGCCTCCTCGCTGACGCCCTTGGGCGCCGCACCGGAAGACGCGAGCTGGCTCCACCACTTGCTGAACTCGCCGAGCTTGATGAGGTGCCAGACTGTGTGCGAGCGACGAGGGGTCAGGACCTGGCTGGCGTCTGTAGTGTAGACGACAGCGACGCACCCTTGGCGAGAGGAGCCTGGATGACGGCAGCCTCGTATACGTGATTCGAGGTCGGCGGGGACATGTTTGCTGCGGGGCGGGCGAGGGAGGGCGCGAGAGGGTCAGCTGGGTCTCGAGAGTGACAGTGGGGCTCGCAAAGCTCACCTAGAGCGTGCGGCGGGTGTGTGTGTGTGTGTGTGTGTGTGTGGGAGGAGAGGTGAGGGGGAGGAGATGACGACTGGGCGATGAGAAGGAAAGGCGGCCCGATTTTCCGCGACGCACTTGAGGCTGTTCTGTCAAGCTCTCGCACGCTGTCAATTGCTCTCTGACAGGCTGCGCAGCTGCGAGCGTACTGAGAGCGAGTTGCAGGAAAATCGCCTCGAGCCAATTGAGTTTCGTATTTCCGCCGCCGCGACAGTCCGCGCGCTTACTTGTAAGACGAGCAGTAGAACGTGCTGGTCGAGCAGCGTAGCGGAGAAAAGACGCGAGACGGCGACACCGCCGTCGCGAGAAGACGGCGCACGAGCCTCCGTTCACAGGCTCGTCGTCCGCTCGAGGCGACGGTCCGCCGAGCGTCGACGAGGCTCTTCCCGCTCGTCGCTATTTTGTTCCTCGTCCCTGCTGGACGTGCGCTGTTTGAGCTTGCTCGCCCGAGTCGATCCTGCCGCCACGGAGCGTCGATGCGAGCGCGCGACGACGCGCCGCTCGGTCCTCGCACGGGCGCACAAGGCGACCGTCGCGGCGGCTGTGCAGTCAACGCTGCTCTCGGTCGCTCTCGAGGCTCTCGACGGGCACAGAGGCGCGCAGTACTGAGCGCGACGAGGTGGAATGTGGAGGAGGATTGGCGGCCCCGGAGCTTTGGGGCAAATCGGAAGAGACGCCACGCCCGTGTGCTCGCTCGCTCGCTCGCCCTCTTCTCTCCTCTCTCCCCCCTCCCTCTCCCTCACCACCACTCTCTTCTCGCCTTCTTCTTCTCCCCGACTCGTCTACTTTCACACACCGTGCGTCCCGCTCTCTCTGCGGCCTCCCTCGCGCGCCCTGTCGCCGTCGAGCGCATCGCCGAGGGACGCGTCCCAGCCCTCGGCACCAAGGCCCCCCTCTCCTCTTCTCGCAGCACACACTGACTCTCGCCTGCCCTCCCTGCGCCTCTCCCGACCCCTTCCCCTCGACAATCGACACGCTTTCGCCCTCGAACCGACTCGCCACAACGCCGTGTCGCCGTCGCGTCCACCTTTTTCTCGCGCGTCCGATTCCCCCTCCTCCCTCGGCCAACACAAAACGCGCCTCTCTCCATCACTCGCCCCTCGGTCCTTTCCGCACCCGACGACGCGTCATTCGACCGCGCACAGATGAAGTTCACCACCGCCGCCTTCACCGCCTCGGCCGTCGCCCTCGCGAGCCTCGTCACCGGCCAGTCGGCCACGATCAACACCCCGGACCAGCTCTTCACCTGCGAGCCGGCTGCCCTCAGTGCGTCCTCGCGATCTCTTTGCTGCGCCTGCTGCACGTCGTCTCGATCACCCGCGAGGCGCGTGCGGCCGGCGTCGCCGCGGACTTTCCGGCGCCCCTCCTCCCTCGGACTCGCGATTGACCCGCTCTGCCCTCCCTCCCCCTCCTCTCGCACAGCCTGGACCGGCGGCACGGCCCCGTACTTCGTTCGGTGCGCTCCTCTTTCTCCTCCTCGACTGCCCACGCGCCGACGACTGACGCGATTGCACGACCCCGCAGCGTCTACGAGGGCGGCTCGACCACCGCTGTGCGCTCCCTCATCCTTCATGTCGCGCATGCGAGTGCCGCATTGACTGATCTCGGGACCTCGTGCAGCTTATCGAGACGCTCCAGTCGTCGGTCTCGACCAACTCGTACACCTGGACCGTCAATGTCCCCGCCGGCCAGTCGGTGCGTCCTCCTCTCGCTCTTGGTCGCACTCTCTCGAGATTGACTCGCTCACTCTCTCCCCTCCTTGTGCAGGTCACCCTCGGCCTCACCGACAGCACCGGTGCTACCGTCTACTCGGCTGAGGTGCGTCGTCTGCGACTCGCTCTCTCCGGAGCAGGCCATCCTGACATGCCCTTTGCCCCTCGCGCAGCGCGCTGTCACCGAGGGTTCGTCGACCTCGTGCATCGGCCAGTCGGCTTCGGGCTCGGCGGGCGCCTCGACCGCTGCCTCGTGCGTCCTCGTTCCGCCTCTTCTCCTCGCAGCCCTCACGCTCACTCTCCTTCCCTCCTACAGGTCCGCCATGAGCTCGGCTACCGGTGCCGCCTCGTCGGCTGCGGCGGCTGCTTCCTCGGCGTACGTCCCACCCCTTTCCCTCTCGCGCCCTGCCCTCGCCGCGCCTGATTGACCTCTTCGTCCCTTTTCTCAACAGCACCTCGTCGGCTGGCGGCCGCGCCTCGTCGGCCACCTCGGCTGCTGGCTCCGCCGCCTCGTCGGTCGCTGCCGGTGCCTCGTCGGCCACCTCGGCCGCCGGCGCTGCCGCCACCGGCAACTCGGGCGCGTCGACCCTCGCCCTCTCGGGCTTCGCCGGTGTTGCCGCCCTCGGCGTCGCCATGCTCGCCTAAGCGCTTGCACCTGCACCTTCCTTCTCCAACCCCCAGCACGAACAAGGACACTCTTTATGCCCCGCACGATCTTTGCGCCCGTCCTCCCCCTCCCTCCCTCCCTCACCGCTCGATGCGGCGTCCCTTCTCTCGAGGCTCGCTCCACTTGGCAGTCTCTCCCACCCTCCCTCTCTAGCTTTTGATGCCCCCTCCCTCCTCTACACGTCTGTAAAGCCTTTTTGCCCGGTCCTCTCGCTCTCCTTCCGTCGGCGTCCTCGTGAGCAGAGAGTCGCACATGAAGGGAGAGCAGGAGCGAAAGGAGAGATCCTCCCACTCGGCGCAGCTGTCGCTCTCGACTCGTCGCTCTCGCTCGACTCGGCTCATCTCGTCGCGAAAGGGAAGCTCTGGCTTGAGAAGGACGAAGAGAACGACGTGTTGCACTCGGACCCCCCTCCCTCTCGCGCACCCGCCGCTCCGAGATGCTCATCGCGCCCATGTGCAAGGCCCGATCGAAGTGTGCGTGGTCGGCGTCTACGAACGCGACGACGATGCCGCCGTCGGCTGGGCGTGCGGGCCCGTGCAATAGTCCGCCTTGCCGCCGGTGCACGTTGCCTCGTACTGGCTCTCTAGCTCCTTCAGCCTGACGAAGGCGTTCGCGCCCCCGATCATGGCCAAGCACAAGGTGTCGTCGGGCGCGCAAGAGAGCACCGGCGGCGGGTCGAGCGGCGGCGCGGCCGACGACGAGGCCGGGGCCGAGGGAGCGGCGGTCGCTGTCGGGCGCTGGCTCGCCGGCACCGTGACGAACCCGCTCGGCGTCGGGGCGGCCGAGGCTGTGGCGGCGGCGGCGGCGGCGGCGGCGGCCCTCGACGAGCTCACGTACGTCGACTGCTTGGCCTGGTTCGACGCGACGACGGCGTTGCGCATGCTCGAGATGCTCGAGTGCCAGGCGGCCTCGGCAGAGGCGACCGACGCGACCGAGGCGACCGACGCGACCGACGCGACCGAGGCGCGCGAGGAGGCGACGTAGGCGGACTGGCGGGCCTGGTTGGCGGCGACGATGGCGGCGCGGTCGAAGGGGACCGCCTGGGCAAGGGTGAAGGTCGCGAGGAGGGTAGAGAGGGTGGCAAGGACGTGCATGCTGGCGGGAGGACGGGTGGAAGGGGGAAGGAGAACGAGGGAGGGAGGCGTGCGTGGGAGGAGGAGGAGAAGGAGGAGGAGAAGGACGCACCGCTCAGTCGGCTTTTGAGCTCATTGCGCACCGGTGACGGCGCGAGAAGAGGGACCCGAGCCATATGGTCGAGTCGCAGAGTGTCGCTTTGTCGCCTCGCGTCGAGCAAGGAGAGAGAAACGAAGAGCCGAAGCAGATCAGGGGAAACAAGCGGTGCGCGCTCGCCCGGGCGACCGGCAGCGGGGCGTCACCCAAGGTTTGCGTCACGCACAAAGGCGTCGCTCCTCGGAGCCACAGCGCTCTAGCTGGAAGCGGCAAGCGCGCGAGTCGTCGTCGGCGCGAGGAGGCAACCGCGAGGACGAGGGCAAGTCGAGCGTGCGGTCCCTGGCGCCGTGCGCGGGACAGCCGCAAGCCGAGCGAGCAGCAGGACCACCCTTTGTCCTGTGCGAGCTGCGCAATCCGCACACGAGGCCGCGTAGAAGTCGAGAGGTCGTCGAACTGATGAGGGCGGGGGGAAGGTGCAGGAGGGAGGTGATGAAGGCCTCGAGGCGCGCCGCCGACGCGCCCAGTGGGTAACATGGTGTACGCTGGTGGTCTCAGTGAGCGCACTGGCCTGCAGAGAGGAGCGGCGGGTAGCTGTCGAGGCGAGAGTGAACTCGCTGCCGACGACGTGCCTCTCCGCGCCCTCTCAACCGGCTCGTCGCTTGCCAGCGCGCAAGATGAGCACAGCAGCGACCAGGCCAAGCCTTGCACCCCGCCGCAGCTCGCCCCTGTCCTACTCGTCGCCGTCCGGCACCTCTGCACCTCCCTCGACCACCCCGCTCCACCGCAAGGTCACCCGCCTCCTCTCGGCCAACTTTGAAGACGCCGGCACCCGCGCAGCACTCGACACCCTCGGCGAGCTCGAGCGCGCAGAGCGCACCGACGCCCAGGGCGATGAGCGCGCCGGCAGGAGCCAGGTGGGGGTGCAGAGGGGGATTCGCTCGGCCCTCAAGCGCGGCGGGCTGCGCAAGGAGGTCGACGGCAAGATGACCGAGGGCAGCAGAGAGTTCCTCGACGCCTTTTCCGAGGTCAACGACGTGCGTCCCCTCTCCCTCGCCCTCCTCCTCCTCGACCCGGCTTCCCCTTCGTGGCTCACTCGCTCGCTCGTACCCACCGCGCAGAAGCTCAGCATGCTCCAGTCGCATCTCGATGCCATGCACGTCTGCTGCGACGAGGTCCAGACCGAGCTCGACAAGGCCAACCAGGGCACTCGCTACCTCCTCGAGCACGCCGAGGGTCTGCGCCAGCAGCGGTGCGTCCCTCACGTTCCTCCCGTCCCTCACTCGTCCTGATACTCATGTCTCTCCCTCGCCACGCAGCGCAACGACGACCGTCCAGCAGTCGCTCATCCACGTCTTCCTCGCCCGCTTCACCCTCACCGAGTCGGAGCTTCGCGCCCTCACCTCGCGCGACGTGCCTGTCGGGCCCGAGCTCTTCGCCGCCATGGACAAGACGGAGCGGATACGCGCAGACTGCAGGGCTCTGCTCAGCGGCGAGGCCGGCGAGGGAACGCAAGCTGGGTGCGTCACGCTTTTCCCCTCCCCCTTGCCGTGGACGAGGTCGGCGAGGCTCACGAGGCGCCGCGGCACACAGGCTCGACATCATGGAGTACACGTCCCAGCACCTCGAGGCCGGCTACGCCAAGTTGCACAAGTGGCTCACGTTCGAGGCGCGCGGGTTCGCCAAGGACGTCCTCGAGGTGTCGGCGACCGTGCGCGAGGCCGTCGCTCGGCTCAAATCCCGCCCCGAGCAGCTCTCGTGCGTCAACCTCTCTCATCATCTTCCTCGCCCTCTCCTCGTCCCCGAGCCGACTCTCTCGCGCCTGCAGGGAGGTGCTCTCGATCCTCGGCACGACCCGCTCAACCTCGATCCTGAACCTGTTCCTCGACGCGCTCACCCGAGGTGGGCCCAATGGCCTGCCGCGCCCGATCGAGCTGCACGCGCACGACCCGATCCGGTACATCGGCGACATGCTCGCGTGGCTCCACCAGGCCATGGCCGGCGAGCGCGAGTTCCTCGAGAGCCTGTTTGGGACGAGGAGCGACGACGAGAGCCAGAGGAGGAGGGTCGGCGAGGTGCACGCGCTCAGCCGGCACAAGCGCGTCAGGACGGGCGTTGACGGCATCGTCGGCGGCGTCGTGAGCGATCGGGACCGGGTCAAGAAGCTGCTCGACCGCGACCTCGAGGGCTGTGGGAGGCCGCTCAAGGTGCGTCGCCGCTCTCCTCTTGGTCGAGATCGTGTTCATCGTGACCGTGTTCCTGACTCGACGTCGCCTTGACGCCCGCAGATCCGCGTCCAGCAGACGATCAAGTCGCAGGAGTCGCCCATCATGGCGTACCAGATCTCGACGCTCATCCACTTCTACAAGGTGACGATGGAACGCACCGTCGGCGAGGACGCCCTCATGAGCACCGTGCTCGGCGAGATCATGCAGCACGCCTACGAGGTCTTCTTCGAGACGCTCTACGCCCAGGGCCGGAGCTTGCTCCGCTTCATCCAGGTGCGCCCTCGCGTCCTCTGCCCTCTCCTTCCCGCCTGGACCCGAGCGAGACCTGACCTCGCTCCTCTCGTCCCTCTGCAGCCTCCTGCCGCCGCCCTGTCGGCCCCGACCCAGCTGCGCGACGTCCTCTCGACCCTGCGCGAGATCATGACCGTCTACGCCTCGTCCCTCCTCGACGCCGATTCGGCCACGCCTCCACCTTCCTCGCGCGAGGTCGAGTTCCGCCCCGTCCTCGATGCCGCGCTCGACCCGGCGCTCGACATGTGCGCGCGCATGGCCGAGATGCGCGCCGCCGAGTGGGACCGGAGCGTGTTCTGGGTCAACGTCGACGAGGCGGTCCTGAGCGCGTTGGAGCCGTTCGCGTTCGCGCAGGAGCGGCGAGAGACGGTGCAGAGGGATGAGGGCGAGCACGTCGAGCTGTTGACGACCAAGCACGTGCGTCCCCCTCGTACCTCTCTTTCCCTCGCCACATCCAGTATTGACTCGTCCTTTCGTGTGCGACAGTACGGTCACCTCGTCGCCGAGTGCGGCCTCGAGCCGATCCTCCTCGCGTTGCGGACCAAGGGCCGGCCTCTTGTGCGTGCTCTGCCGACCTTCCTCTTCCTCTTCCTCCTCCTCCTCGAGCCCACCAGACGCCGTCCTCATCCTTCTCTCTCCCACAGACTCCTCTATCGACCCTCCCCGCCGCCTCGGTCTCGTCCCTCCTCGCCTTTCAGCAGACCTTCTCGTCGTTCCTGTCGACGCTCGACCCGCTCACCTCGCCCCGCCTGTCGCTCCTCCCGCCGCACATCGCGACGGCGATTCACGCTGAGGCGCTCGCGCGCGTCAGCAAGGCGTACGCCGAGCTGTGGGACGCCGTCATGGACCCGGACGAGGGTTACCAGGGGAGGGAGACGCTGCTCAGGAGGAGGAAGGAGGAGGTCGAGATGCTCTTGGTCGTGCGGTAGACGGGTTGGGCTCTGCGCGCATTCGAGACCGTGTTGCCGAGCCCTCTGGCGCTGCTTGAGAGAGTCCCGCCGAGGAAGAAAAGGCGAAACTGGCCAGCGAGGCGATGCTCGCGGCGACGCGTCCACGGCGCGAAGCTCTACTGCTCGCTACACCTCGCCTCTCGCCCCCAGCTCGCCTACAGCAGCACCGCAGGGCCTCGCACGCCCGCAATACACGCCCTTGGCCCGCGCCCGACTCTCCCGACCCTCCACACACCGCCCTCCCTCTTCATCTCCACCACCTCGAGCCGACCCTCGTGCCTCTCGACACAATGACGGTCCAGTCGCGCATCAACCCGGAGGAGGACCAATACCTCGACCTCGTGCGCTCGATCATCGAACGCGGCGAGCGCAGGGCCGACCGCACCGGCACCGGCACCCTCAGCCTCTTCGCCCCGCCTCAGCTCCGCTTCTCCCTGTCCAAGCCCTCGACCAGCACCACCGCCGACCCCGAGCTCGTCCTGCCCCTCTTGACGACCAAGCGCGTCTTCTCGCGCGGCATCATCGAGGAGCTCATCTGGTTCGTCAACGGCTCGACCGACTCGAAGGTGCTCGCCAACAAGGGCGTCAAGATCTGGGACGGCAACGGCAGCCGCGAGTTTCTCGACTCGCGAGGGCTCGGGCACCGCGAGGAGGGCGACCTGGGTCCCGTCTACGGGTGCGTCGGACCGCTCTCTTCCCTCGTCCCTCTCGCGCTCGCCGCCTGGCCAGCCGAGCTGACTTCGCAGAACGCTCCTCGCACAGCTTCCAGTGGCGACACTTTGGCGCCGAGTACAAGACGTGCAATGACGACTACACGGGCCAGGGCGTCGACCAGCTCGCCGAGGTCATCGACAAGATCAAGAACAACCCGACCGACCGCCGCATCATCCTCAGCGCGTGGAACCCGGCAGGTGCGCCCTCTCCTCCCTTCTCTCTCTCTCTCTCTCTCTCTCTCTCTCTCTCTCTCTCTCTCTCTCTCTCTCTCTCTGTGCGGGTCGAACCTGACGAGCTCTCGCACGCACAGACCTCGCCAAGATGGCGCTCCCGCCCTGTCACATGTTCTGCCAGTTCTACGTCAACCTGCCGCCACCGTCCTCGCCTCCCTCGACCAAGCCCCGCCTGTCGTGCCTCATGTACCAACGCTCGGCCGACCTCGGCCTCGGCGTCCCGTTCAACATCGCGTCGTACGCCCTCCTCACCCACATGATCGCCCTCGTCACCGACACGGTCCCGCACGAGTTCATCCTGCAGCTCGGCGACGCCCACGTCTACCTCGACCACGTCGAGCCGCTCGAGAAGCAGCTCGCGCGCACGCCGTTCGCGTTCCCCGGGTTCAGCTGGGCGAGGACCAAGGACGAGGTCGGCGGCATCGACGGGTTCGAGCTCGCCGACTTTGTCATCGACCCGAGCTACAAGGACAACAGCCACGGCACGATCGCGATGAAGATGAGCGTGTGAGACTGGACGAGGTCGGAGCGGTGGGCGCGATGAGCAACCAGGTGCGCCCGCTCCCCTTTCATCCTCGCCGTACCGCGGCCCCGACGTCGCCCTGGAGCAGCGCATTGACTCCTTTCCTCGCCGCGCAGAGCGTCTGTATACTTGTGTGCAACATGATGTGCGTCTCGTGCGTCCAGGACATGCGCGCTCGCGCCGGCGCGAGCGACTCGGCGAGAGCGACTTGGCGATTCTTGCTCTGGACGGCCGAGAGCGCCTCGAGGCGGCTTCCAGGAGCGTCGCGCTCTCCTAGATAGCTGCAGCTGTCCTTCGTTCTAGCGCAGGTCGAACGCCATGCCTCAGAGAGCCACGGCCGACCTTGGCGACGTCGACGTGGCCGGGTCCGTTCGGAACCTCGTCCTCCTCGCGCTAGCTCTCTCACGCCTCGCCTTTCTTGCCCTCTTGGACCGCCATGTCGACTCGCACTGTCGACGCTGCCGCGACATCATCGACGACCGCAGAGTCGCCGCCTCGCCTCTCCTGCGTCGTCTTCGAGCGCTCGGCCGACGTCGCACTCGGGCTCGCGAGGACGAGGGAGGAGCTCGAGGCGCGAGAAGGGGTCGACGGACTCGAGGCGAGCGACTTTGAGCTCCGAGGGTACGACTCGGCGGGGCCGATCAAGTTCAAGCTGCACCCGTAGCGAGGGAGCGCGACTTGAGAAGGTCGCCGTGCGCGCCCGCCTGCATTATCACTCTTTGCCGCCTGTCTCTCGCTCTCGCTCTCTCTCGAGCACAAGAGAGAAAAGAAAGGAGAAGAGAGCCCCTCTCGTCGTTGCAGCTCTCGGCGACGCTACTCTCGAAGAAAGGAGAGCGCGCAAAAAGGGCAAAACGAACACGGCTGTGTTTCGAGACAGGGGCATGGTGGTACGGCAAAGGGCGGCTAGTCACACACCGAGGAGGGTCCATGCGGGGGAACAGACAGACGGGGAGGCAAAGAGGGGGAGCGACAATGCGAGGGAGAGGGTGGGAGAGGGCGACGCTCAGACCCGGGGACCGGCGGCGACAACTTCCGGCGCGCACTCGTTGGCGTAGCGCTCGAACGCCTTGGTGAACATGTCCTGTTTGCGCACGAGACGACGAGTCAGTGAGGCTGTCGAGGGTGCGAGGAAGGGGAACAGGGAGGACGTCGACGCACAGCAAGCTTCGTGACCTGGGCCTTGTAGCCCGCCTTGTCGCTCCATGCCTGCTCCGGGTCGAGCAGCTCCCTGCAGAGATGAGAAGGGAAAGAGAGTCAGTGAGGCCGTCCTAATCGAAGGACGACGGGAACGAGCCGGCGAGAGCCCGCCGACGCGCACTCGCCGCTGGCTCTCTCGAGCTCGAAAGGGAGAGCGAGACGCACGAGGGGATGCCCTCGATCTTGGTCGGCATGGCGAGGTTGAACACCGGGTTGGTCTTGTACTCGGCGTTGGCGAGGCTGCCGTCGTGGATGGCGTCGATGATCTTGCGCGTGTACTTGAGCGGGCAGCGCTTGCCGACGCCGAACGCGCCGCCCACCCAGCCCGTGTTGACGAGCCAGCACTTGGTGTTCTGCTCCGACATCTTCTTGCCCAGCATCGCGGCGTAACGAGACGGGTGGAGGACGATGAACGGCGCGCCGAAGCAGGTGCTGCGGAACCGCGATGAGGTGGGTCAGGATCTCGCTCGCCTCGTCGTCAAGGGTCGCAGAGAGAAGTGCGAGGACGCACGAGAAAGTCGGGGTGGGCTCGGCGATGCCGTCCTCGGTACCCGGCGTCTTGGACGTGTAGCCCGAGAGGAACCAGTACTGCGCCTGGTTGGCGTCGAGGAGCGACACAGGCGGCAACACCCCGAAGGCGTCACAGCAGAGATAGATGACGTTCTTCCTGTGGACGAGGAGCGAGGAGAAGAGGCCCGAGGTCAGGGAAAAAGGTCGGTCGAGGAGGAGAGGAGGACGACGGCGACGCACGGCTGCGCCGAGGACATGCAGGGGATCATGGCGTTCTCGATGTACTGCGTGAGGGTGGCGGCGTGTCAGTGAAGGCTCATGAGAGGGGAGAGGAGGGGGAGAGGGAGAGAGACGGACCTCGATCGGGTACGCGCAGCGCGTGTTCTCGGTGATGCCCGTGTCCTCGTAGTTGGGCTCGCGCGTCTGGTAGTCGTACGTGACGTTCTCGAGGATCGAGCCGAAGCGGATGGCGCTGAAGATTGCCGGCTCCTTCTCGGCGTCGAGGCCGACGCACTTGGCGTAGCTACAGGGGGAGGACGAGGAGGCGACGAGGTTAGTCTCGACGACGCCGTGCAGGAGAGGGAGAGAGAACAAGCGACGCACCAGCCACCCTCGATGTTGAAGACGCCCGAGTCGGACCACACGTGCTCGTCGTCGCCGATGAGGGCGCGCGAGGGGTCGGCCGACAGGGTCGTCTTGCCCGTGCCCGACAGGCCGAAGAAGAGCGACACGTCGCCGTCCGGGCCCTGGTTGGCCGACGAGTGGAGCGACAGGTTGCCGAACTTGACCGGCTGGAGGTAGTGCATGACCGAAAAGATGCCCTTCTTCATCTCGCCCGCGTACTCGGTGCCAAGAATGACCATCTCGCGGCGCTTGAAGTTGACCTCGACCGACGTCTGCGACGTCATGCCCGCCGTGAACCGGTTGGCCGGGAACTGGCCCGCGTTGTAGATGGTAAAGTCGGGCGTGCCAAAGTCCTCGAGCTCCTTGGCCGTCGGGCGGATGAGCATGTTGTGCATGAACAGGGCGTGGTAGGCGCGCGACGCAATGACGCGGACCTTGATGCGGTACTTGGGGTCCCACTGTGAGAGAGTGCGAGAGTCAGTGACTGGACAGAAAGAGGGGGAGGGAGAGAGAGGAGGACGCACGCCGGCAAAGCCGTCAAAGACGTAGACGTTGTCGCGCGTGTTGAGGTAGTCGATGGCGCGCTCGCGGTTGATCTCAAACGTGTGCTCGTCCATCTGGATGTTGATCGCGCCCCACCACACGTCGTCCTTGCTCGTCTCCTCGTAGACGATGCGCTTGTCCTTGGGCGAGCGGCCCGTCTTCTTGCCCGAGAAGTTGATGAGCGCGCCCGAGGCGGCAATGACGGCGCCCTCGTACTTGATGGCGTCCTCGTACAGCTGGGCGACGGGCGCGTTGCGCTTGAGGTGGATCTTGTCCATGTCGAAGCCGGCCTCGGAGAACATGGTCAGGTCCTTGCCGAGAAGGCCGTACGTCGGGTGCTGCGACCTGTAGACGTCGGTGCGAAAGTCAGCTCTGCGTCCTCGAGGCTGCAGGGCGCTGCGTGTTGATGCCGGGTCGACCGGCCCAGGCGAGCGTCTCCCCACATGCCGCCGCCGGCCGTCGCCCTCGACAAGTGAGGCGGCAGGAGGGGAGGAGAGGGTGCTGTAGAGGCCCAATGGTGCCAGACAGGCGGCGCAGGGTGCGCGGCGAGCCTCGCAGGCCCTCGAGGAGCGGCGCGGCAGGTGACCCGGCAACCTCGCCGACCCGCGGTCGGCTCAGTTCTCGACGACGACTCGTCCCGAGAGGATGCGGCCCAGTTCTCCGAGCTCCTTCAGAGCCAGAGAGCCAGGGGCGGGCGCCCAACTGAAGAAAGGAGGGCGAGAGGGAGACGGGCGCGAGTCGGGCGAGGCCGACTCGAGGAGAGGAAGGGAGAGAGAGAGAGGGACGCACGGGTCGACGGTCGGCTCCTCGCCGTGACGATCAGGGGTGGCAGTGCGGTGAGGCATGGTGGACGGTGGTGTCTAGGCGGGTGCGAGACGAAGGTGAAGCTGGACCGGCGAGTCGAAGGGGGGGAGGGTCAGCGGCGGCTCGCGCGAGCTTGCGGGGTATGGCAGGGGTTGAGAAGGTGCTCACAAGGATGAAGAGCTTGAAGGTAGCGAGCTCGAAGCAAGGCAAAGAGTGGTGGAGAGGAGAGAGAGGAGGACGAAGTCGGAACAGGTCGTCGTCGTCCAGCTCGCCGGAGGAGGTCGGGCGCAACTTCACGCGTGACCCGGTCGAGCGCATACACTCGAGCCCGCCGTGTCCTTGCATCCGCGCACCTCTCGAGGCAGCACGGGAGAGCGCAGGCGCTGCTCTGTGTAACGCACGCGCAACCAGCCCCACTTGCGAACAGCCCGACCAACTTGCGGAGCCAAAATCGATGGCGGCTTGAGCGGGAGCCAGATCCGACTTTGGATCCTGCGGACCGCGGCTTCCACTCGGCGCTCACTGATTGGTCGCAGAGTGCTTCGGAAAGCTTCGCCTGCGCACGTCCGGCAGGTTCGTCGTCGCTGTACCAGCTCTCTCGCACTCCAGCAGCTGCTCAGTCTCGACTCGAGAAGGCGCAGACCCTCAAGCCGGGCACGCGGTCCGGCCGAGCGGGCGCGCGCCGGCATGCTCTCGCTCGCGCTCTCGCACCTCTCTCTTGCGACGGCACTCTTACTGCGGGCTCTGCGACGCGGCGAGCCTGCTCCTGAGATGTATCAGCAGGACGCGCGCGGGACATATCAACCCCAGCCCAGCGCCAACTCGTGGCTCGTTCCCTCATCAGCTCGCCTCCTCCCTCTCCTCGTTCCTCGGCTCCCGCTCTACCGACGAGCGCAAGAGCGCTCGATTTGATGCGATCAGGAGACAGCTGTATGCACTCGGCATCGTCTCCTGACCCCGCATCGAGCTCACCGTCGCTTCGGACCAGGAGGAGCGAGCGACGAACGCGCTTCGGTGTGGCCGACCGCGCGAGTTTGCTCGTCGCCGCTCTTCGCCAAAGCCTACGCTCGCCAGTCTACCACCAGGCGCCAGCTCGTCGCGCAAGCCTCGCCCTTCCACCCTCGTCCCTCGCTCACCTCCTCGCCCTCACCTCCTCCTCGGTCCGCCCGCACCCTTCCGCGTCGACACTCAACTTCTCGGCAACGCGTCGACCACCACACTCGCTCCTCGAGCTCGACAGCCAGACATGGCCGCCGCGACCTTGATGCCGCTCCTCGCCCAGTCGTTCGTCGACCAGGCCTCGCAGACGACGTTCGACATCGTCCGCGCTTCACCGAGCGCACGCGTCGCACCCTCGACACCCTCGCCCTCCCGCCCGGCTCGCTCGCCCAAGCGGGTCACGCCCTCACCGCGCTCGAGGAGGTTGGGCGTCAAGGAGAGCCCGAGGGACCAGGACGGGCGGCCGGTCGAGGACATCAAGTCGTGGAGCGACCAGACGCTCGCCGAGCGCTACCAGGTCCGTCCCGCTGTTCTCTCTGTCACCGAGGAGAAGGAGGTTGCGTTGCTCGGGCAACGGGCTGACCCAGTCACTCGAGCGCGCGCAGTTCGTCGAGGAGGTCCGTGCCGACACCCCCTCTCCCCCTCTTTCAGCGACGAGGTCCGTGACTGATCGACCCTCTCGTGCTGCGCAGGTCGGCTACGGCAATTGGGGCTCGGTCTGGCAGGTCCGCTCCAAGCTCGACGGGCCCGACGTGCCGCCGCAGAGCGTCAAGCTCGTCCACCGCAGCCGCAACCCGACCTCTTCGGCTCGCGTAAGGGCTCTCTGGACCGAGTTCAAGTGCGTCCTACTGTCCCTCTCGACGAGCGACGACGGCGAACGGTACAGAGACTAACGCTCGGACCTTGACAGGTGCATCCGGGCCTTGCGCAACTCGCCGCACCCGAACCTCATCGCCTTCCACTCGTTCATCGTCACGCCGTCCTACGGCCTCGTCGTCATGGACTTCCACCCGCAGCTCATGCCTGTGGCCCTGCCCGAATCGCGCGCCAAGGGCTACTTCCGCCAGCTCCTGTCGGCCGTCGAGCACCTGCACGCGCACGGCATCACGCACAACGACATCAAGCCGAGCAACATCCTCCTCAGCCACAAGGACCTCGCGCTCGGGCGGCCCATCCTCATCGACTTTGGCTTCTCGCAGCGGTACAGCCTGAGCGCGCCCGACCGCTTCCTGTCGTCGCTCAGCTGGGGAACGCCTGGTGCGCCCGCCTTTCTATCTTCCTCTCTATCCCGCTCGGTGACTGGGACTAACTCAGACTTCTTTCCACGTCGCAGAGTACCTGAGCCCCGAGCGGGCCAAAGGGCTCGTGCACGACGAGCGCCTCTCGGACATCTTTGCTCTCGGCGTGCGTCTCTCTCTCCCTTGTCAGCCTCTCTCATCGACGGTCGACTGACATAGTCTCGCACAGGTCACGATGTACGAGGTCGTCGTCGGCAGGACGGTGCGTCCTCTGTCCTGTCACTCGAGCTGGTCGAGTCGAACCTGACCGACTCGTCGTGCACGCAGCCGTTCGAGCAGTCGGAGGACGAGACATTTCTCAACCGCGAGCAGCTCGAGATCTACTGTGCGTCAAGGTCCTCACTTTTCCCGACAAGCGCGGCGAGCGGGACTGACTCGGCCGCCTTTTCGCCGCACAGACCACCGCACGACGACCGGCAAGTTCTACGGCGACTACCTCATCTCGACCGAGCTCGAGGCCCTCGTGCACCTCATGACCGACCCGTCGGTTCACCTGCGCATCCAGAGCTGCGCGACGGCGCTGCGGCACCGCTTCTTCGACCAGTCGGGCTCGTCCTCGAGCCGTCGCGCACCGCGCACGCCGTCGAGCTACAGCACCCCGAGCCGGTCCAAGCCCGGCCGCAAGGCGGTCTTTACGCCCTCGTCGACCGTCGCGAGCGTCAAGCAGAAGAGCGAGCACGCCTCGCCTCGTCACACGCCCAAGAGCGGCGGCGGCGCGTTCGCCATCTTCCAGGACCCCGAGGCCGCTCCGAGCCCGGCGCCGTCCTCTCGGTCGACCTCGTCGTTCGCGCCTCGTCCTCTCGCGCTCGCGAACCGCGCGAGCACCAACCTGTCGCCTGCGCCCGAGACGCCCGTCGTCAAGAAGCCCGTCGCGCCGCCCGTTCCCGTCTCGTCGACCGCCACCGAGCCGCGCCCGACGGTCAAGTCGCCGCCGGCGCCGTCCCGCATCCCGGTCCGCAGGACCGACGTCGTGTCGCCCGTCGCGCCGGCGAGCGCCAAGCGCTTCGTCTCGAGCCCGCTCACGAGTCCGATCCGCTCGGGGCCGGGCGTGCGGCCGCGCGTCGTCTCGCAGCCGCTCCTGTCGTACGTCCACCAGCGGCATGACGTCGAGGTCGCGGGCACGTCGGCTGTCGCCGCCGCCGCTGTCGTCCGCGGGCCGACGAGGTCGGGCTCGCTCAAGGCGGTCAAGCGCAAGCCGGCGCCGACCTTCTCCGAGCTCGACTGCGTCCCGACGCTGTCGTCGAAGAGCTCGCGCACGTTCGTCGACGAGGAGGCCGAGCAGGAGCAGGAGCAGGAGCAGGCGGGCCCGATCGTCAAGCCGGTCGTCGTCGACGAGGAGCCGAGGAGCGCACCTACCTCTCCTGGTGCGTCCCTCCTATACTCTTGCGGCGTCAAGTCTCGACTCACAGCCTTTCGTGTACTGCAGTACTGCGCAACGAGGACGACACGTCGTTCACAACGCGCTCGTACATGATCGAGATCGGCAAGACGGACGGGCGCTGTACGTCCTCCTCCCTCCTCCTTTGCCGGTCGTAGCCCAGGCCTGACAGGCTCTCGGTGTCACGCAGCATCGCCATTCTCGAAGGGTGAGCTCCCCCGCCTCGGCAAGTCGTCCAAGGCGCTCTCGTCGAGTGCGTCCACTCTCTCCAACCTCGACCTGTCCAAGCGGTCCTGACGCCCGCTTTCTCGCAGCCTTGCGCAAGCTCTCGGTCAAGCACGTCCACAAGGCGTCGTCGTCCATGTCGTTCGCGACGCTCAAGCAGTCGCTCGGTGGGCGCCCTCAGTCGTCGACCGGCGAGTCGACCTTCGAGATCATTGAGGCCGGCAGGGTCGAGGAGCGCAGTGCGTCGTCTCGCATCTCCACCTCGTGCACCACCTGACGACTTTTCGAGTCTCACAGACGCTGTCACCCTGCCGCTCAACTTCAAGACCAAGCCGCTCGCCGATTCGCCTCCTGCGAGGTGCGCATGAGCCTCTCCCTCTTTCTCCCTCTCTTTTCCTCGCCGACCACCTCTTTCTTCCCAGGCTTCGCCTCAACTCGCTCGCTCGCCGTGTGCAGGACGTTCTCGATGTGCGCAAACCGGTCGACCCGTTCCAGATCAGCCCGTCGTCGCCCTTCTCGACGCCCGAGTCGCGCCCCTCTCCTGCTGCCGCCAAGTTCTCGCAGCCGCTTCAGCCTAGTGCGTCCCCTCTCGTTCACTTCACCAATCGAGATACTGACCCTCGTCATGATCGTCCCCAGCGATCCCTGCGCCGTTCAGCTTCAACAGCACGACGCCGCTTTCGTCCTCGACCTCGACCTCGACCTCGACCGAGGCGAGCCACTCGTCCTCGTCCAGCACGCCTCTCTACATCTCGCCGCCGCAGCGCAAGTCGTCTCTGCGCATCCGCGCAAAATCGCCGGCCGGCAGCGTCTCGACCTTGGGTTCGTCCTGCTCGAGGATCTTGAGTTTGGGAAGGTCACTGACGTTCCTCGATCTTCCTTCAGCATCGCCCATCTCGTCGCCCAACTACTCGCACGACGACTTCAAGCCCGGCCACCGCCGCATCCCGACTGTGCGTCTGCTCAAGCATCTCGCCCTCTCTTGTCTCTCGAGTACTGACGCTCAAACTCGGTCGCAGGCCATCCGCAACCTCCCGTCGGTCGTCCTGCACGAGTCGGCCGACGACGCCGACTTTTCCGAGTCGGATTACTCGCGCGCCGACACACCGGCTTTCGACCGCGTCGCGAGCCCGCCGCCACCGCCCAAGATCGTCGAGCCGTCGAGGCAGCTGCCCACCTGTGCGTCCTCGCCCTTGTCCTGCCTGGTCGACCTTCCACCCTGACTCGCCACATACTCCTCTCGCAGGGGTTCCTGACGACGTCTCGTCTGACGAGGGCTCGGACGCCGACGTCGACGAGCCGACCATCAAGCTCGTCGCCGGTTCGCCGTCGCGCACGAAGCGCAAGTCGAGCCGCACGACGTCAATGCGCACGCCGACCAAGGGCACGTCAACTGAGCGCCACGAGTCGGCCGTCAAGGGCGCCTCGGACGACTCGCCGTCGCGCCCGCCATTCGGCCGCAAGGGCACCTACGAGTCGGTCTCGCCCGTCGCCGCCGTCGCCAAGGGCTCGATCACGGCGCCCTCTCGCCCGCCGTCGCCGTCGCACTCGGTCCTCCCGTTCACCAACCTGCAGCACCTGCGCTCCGACTCGCAGTCGACGGTCGGCACCCTCGACAGCGCCCACTCACACTCGCGCTCGGCGTCGCGCTCGGCGACTCGCGACGGTCCGACCCGCGGCGGCAAGACCAAGGGTCTCCACAAGCGTTCGCGCTCGGTCCTCTCGTTCTTCTCGCTCTCGCTCGGCAGCGGCGCCGGGCCTGGCGAGGTCAACGACGGCGCGCCGACGCGGCCGAGCTCGCGTGCGAGCAACCTCTCGAGCCTCGCGTGGAGCACGACGAGCCGTGCGCAGCTCGACGAGGGAGCCGCGTCGGCGCAGGCGGCGACGGGCGGCGGCAAAAAGGGGAGGAAGGGCGGCAGGCTCCGCAAGGTCATGAGCAAGGTGTTCGGCTAGCGCCCGTCCTTCCTCTCTCTCTCTCCCACCCCCTCTCGTTCTTTATCACGACCCACAACCCATGTACACCCCGATCTATCTCTCAAAAACCCTCGACGCCTCTCCTCCCTTGTCAGTTTCCCTCCCCTCGGCCGGCGCAGCGCGCACCTCTCTCGTCCCACCTTGTCACGCCCGTTCGTTAGCTTTCAGTGAGCACTCCCTTGCGTCGAGCCTCTCGGTCTGGACGCCTTGCAACGCCTCGTTCGCTACCGCTTTCTCGTTCTCGCTCGTCGACCTTCTCAAGTTGCGCTCGCTCCCCTTTCTCTCGCTCTCTCTCGCTCTCGCAGGCCCGCTCGCATGTGATCAAGCAAGTCGTCCTCGTGCGTTCCAGTCCAGGTCGTGGGATAGCTACGAGAGGAAGAGAGGGCGACAGACACGGCAAGGGGGCGCGCACGCTCGAGAGCGGCCAAGACAAAGGTCGGCGCGCGAGGAGGGCCAGAGGGCGAGGGCAAATCGTCGAGGCAAAAAGGGGGCGAGGCGGGAAGGGGGTAGGGCAGGAAGGGTATGCGGGTGAAAGGACGAAAGGGGAGGGCGGCGCGTGCACGAAGGCGGCGGCTCGCCGGCGAGGAGGGGCTGGATGCGGCAAAAGAGGAGGAGGACGGCACGCAGGGAGGGCGATGTTTACAGAAGACGGCGCGGGTATGCGGGTATGTGCGCGGGGGCGAAGAAGTAGGCGGATCTAGCGGGCGAGGGCGAAGGAGAAGGAGGGCGGGGACGTCGAGAGGATCAGGCCTCCTCGGTCGCCGCGTTCTGGCGGGCCCAGTTGCGCGCAAAGATGGACGCCTTGAGGAACTCTGCGAGAGCGAGAGCGAGGGTCAATGCGAGTCGAGGAGGGTCGAGGAACGAGGACGAGGCGAGGGACGCACTCTTGGCCGAGTACTTCTTGAACACGAAGCGCTCCTCGAACCCAGGCTGCGACAGGTTCTCGAGCAGGAAGCCGGCCGGGACGAGCAGCTGCACCTCGGTGTACTGCGAGTAGAAGACGAACGCCTCGTTCTGCGCGCGACGACGAAGAAGGGGTCAGACTCGGCGACGGGCAAGAGACGAGGGGAGAAAGAGAGAGAGAGGGACGCGCCCAGTCACCTCCGAGCATGCGGCGCGAGAGGTACATGCCGACGGCGGCAATCATGGACGGCTTGGCGCGCAGGAAGCGGTGGTCGAGGAGCGTCACCTCCATGAGGAACTTGGACAGGGTGCGCGTCTGGATGTCGTAGTCGTCGGCCTTGGAGATGCGGCGGACCCACGAGTAGGGCGTGCAGTACGACGAGATGTTGAACTCGAGGCTCTGGAGGATGATGCGCTCGCCCTTGAGGATCTCCTCGCGCGAGTAGCCGCCCTCGGTCATGAAGACAAACTCCTCGACCGACGGCGCCATGATCTCCTCGTACTTGGCGGCGACGAACATGGCCGTGACGCCGACGAGCTGGAACTTGATGAGCGACACGACCCGGTTCGACAGGAAGCGGTCGATGACGTTGATGGCGATCCACAGCGTCTCGGGCAGCATGTGGTACCGCAGGTGGACCTGGAGGAGCCAGTCGATGAGCGTCGTCCGCATCGACCTGCGAGACGTCGAGGGGGACGTGTCAGTGACCGCTCGCCGATTCGGACTCGAGAATGAGAGGACGTCGCCGACGCACCACTCGATCTCGGTCTGGTGGTCCATGTAGCGAGGATTCGGCATCGACGACTCCTGCGTGACGGGAACGAGCAAGTTGTCAGGACCAATGCGCAGGAAGAGACGAGGACGAGCCGGGAGGCCCGTCCGCCGAGGCGAAAGGAAGACGGAAGGGGACGACGACGACGCACCTCGAGCTCGCTCATGTACTTGAAGATCTCGTCGCTGTACTCGGCGACCATCGAGATGTCCCACCAGTCGACCTCCTCCTTGAACTCGCGCTTGAGGACCTCGAGCACGCGCTCGCTCTCCTCGGCCTCGGCGGGCTCGCACAGGGCGAGGAGCCAGTCCTCCGGGTCGAGCTCCATCGCCGCACCGCCCTCGCCGCTGCCGCCCTCGACGTCGTCGTCGCCGGCGAGCACGCGCACCTTGTCCTCGTGCGCGGCGGCGCCGTGCGGGTGGGCGTGGCCGCCGCCGAACGCTGCCGCCGGCTCGTCGTCCTCGTCGACGCCGAACTCGTGGTCGATCTCGTGCGCGCGCTTGACGCCGTGCTGCGCGTGCTGCTGCTGCTGGTCGACGGCCATGTCGTCCTCCCACTTGCCGGCGATGCCGAGCCCGACGGTCGGGACGGCGCCGTGCTCGCCCTTGGCCTGCGGCAAGACGTGCGACGGCCCGGCGTACGCGCCGGCCCACTCGCCCTGCTCGACCTTAGGCGCAGCGGGCGCGACGGCGGCCGGCTGGGTCGGAGCGCGAGCGCCGCCGGCGGGAACGCGTGCGGGACGGTGCGTCCTCGCGGCGGCGGCGCCAGCGACAGGGGCCGCGCCGGCGCGCGCACCGGTGCCGATGGCGAGGCGACCGATGCCGGTGCCAGTCGATGAGGGCGGTTGCGGAGCGGCGGCGGCGGTGGACGAGGCGACCGACTGGCCCGATGCGGCGCGAGAACGGGTTGTCGGCTTGGCGGCGACCTCCTTGCTCGTGCGGTCGACGTGAACCTGTTCGTACACATGGTGTCAGTGTCCATTCTCGACACGAGGCCTGCGAGCAGGTCCGCCCGCACACAAGGCGCGCGAGTCGACCGAGTTGAGGTGAGGGAAACGAGCCGAGACGCACCCTGAGAGCTGCACCCTGAGCGTTGCTCACGTCGCCGAACGCCCGCCTCGCACCCTGCGTCGCCTGCTGCGTCTGGAGGGCGACCTTGCCCGCGGGCTGGGCCGTGACGGCGGCCTGCTTGCCGGCGAGGGCGGCCTTGCCCGGAGCGACGGCGACGCCGACGCGACTGCCACCGGCGGCTGCGGGGGCGTTCTCGTCTTGACCTTGAGGCGGCTGACCGAGGCGGACGGGTGCGCGGGCGGCACGGCGAGGGCGCGAGAGCTGTGGTGGGTGCATGCGAGTCGACCGAGGCGATGAGTGAACAAGGGGAGGGAGGTGGGAGGAGAGAGTCAGTGACGGCTCGAGGCGGGGTGCTGCGGCGCGCACGCCGTTGCTACAGGTGCTCTGGAGCTGGTGCACACAATGCAGACCGCGGAACACGGCGTACGACGAGGGCGAGGGAGAGGTAGAAAGTGGACGGACCTTGGCCTGCGAAGCGGTCGACGACATGGCTCTGACCGAGTGCTTGAGCGAGCTAGGGTGTCCTGGCGGGTGCTGAGGCGCTGTACGGTGCTCGGCGCGGCTCCTGGCGGGAGCGAGGGCGAGGTAGGGCGAGTCGACGAGGGAGCCCAAACAAGGGAGGCCGAGGGCGGTGGACGGCGACGCAGGCGGTGCGGGTGATGCAGAGGGCGACGCGCTGGACGAGGGGTGTACTCGCAGTCGGCTTGCGCTTGCAGCTCGTCTCGGAGAGGGCGGGAGGGAGAGAGGGAGGTGGGAGGAGGAGCGCGGCCAAACACAAGCCAGGGTGACGAGACCCGCGCCAGCCTCTCTCGCTGCTCCAGTGTGTGTTTGCGCTGCTTCGAGCTGCTACCAAGAGTATCACACGAGACTCTGGCACACCTGCGCGGCCGCAGAGTCGAGTGAGCCGGCCCTTCTCCTCCTCCGCTTGCTTCCGCGGACTGAGCCAGTTCGACCCGGGAACCAGCTGCCTTTCGAGCGCTTGCACCACTCTGCTGTGCCCAAGACGAAAGATGGAAGATATCGAGCTTCTATGGCATCTAGCGCTCGCTGCTCAAGCCTAGAGTTCGGCGCATCTACACAATCCTCGACCCGACCCAGCTGCGGGCCCCTGCTCGCCGCCCGGCTCTATGCCTCGCCCCTCTGGACACTCGCGGCGTCCTGCTCGTCGCGCAGGACCTGCCGCGCGAGGACGTGGAAGTGGGCGAGGCCGGACACGCTCTGCAGCGCCGGCGGGTTGGCGAACCTGCGAGACGGGCGCGACGGTGAGCATACGCAACCTCATACTGCATGCTCAGACTCGCGAGGAGGCCGAGACCCGAGACGATCCAGAGAGAGAGAAACGAGCCGACGCACCATGCCGTTTCCCACCCGTCCTCCTCGGGCCACCTGCGCTCGACGAACGCTCGCACCTCCCGCTCCGGCCCATCCTCCTGCCCCCTCGCCGCGCCGGCCTCCTCCTCAGGAAGGCCTCGCCGTCGCCGCCACCGCCGCTGCGCCGCGCCCGTGAGCCCGCCGAGCCCCTTCTCCGACACGTGGTCCCACGTCCCCTTTGTCGGCGCTACGAGCGCGGCGCCGGGCTCGCCATCGGCTCGAGAGGCGAGAGGGTTGCGGTGCGAGGGGCCGGACGGGGTGGATGTGCCGCTTGCGGGAGCAGAAGTCGAGGGTGAGGAAGACGCGGGGAGGACCGAAGGCGGCGGGATGCAGAGGAGGGGGCTGAAGAGCGGGAGGTCGACCCAGACAACGTAGTGCCTGTGCGACGAGGACGAGGGCGGAAGGGATTAGCTGGCGAACCGCGGCGAGGCCGAAGCGAAAGAGGGACGCACCGAACGTCCCGGGGCATCGAGTACTTCCAGTCGTTGCGGCGCACGTTCACCTTGTCGTCCCGCTCCCAGTACTCCTTCCTCCTCCCTCGCCCGCTCGTGTCGGCACGTTGCTCACCGTCATTGCCCTTGCCCTCGCCCTCGCCCTCGCCCTGTCCGTCCTGCTCGTCCGGCGCCGGCGCCGCCCAGCCGAGCCGCAGCCGCAAGTACGCCTCGGTCGAGCCGTATGCGCGTCGAATGAGCGGGTTGAACTCGTGGACGTAGAGCTTTTCGAGCTCGGGGTGGCGGTTTAGGGCGGCGAGGTCTCTGTTGTGCGAGGGGGAGGAGTCAGCGGGACGGGGACCCCGGGCGTGCGAGAGAGGCGAGAGGAATGGGGACGCACTCGCTCGCGATGGTGTCGCACAAGTCGTCCCAGCTGTACAGGGGCGGGAGCGTGTCGGCGAGCTGTGTCGCCCGCCGCAGGATGGCCTCGATCTGGTCGTCGACGTCGGCGTCGACCATGGCGGCGGTGGGCGAGCACGAGCGGTCGTGCGGCAGGCCGACAGGAAGCAGAGCGCGCCACACGCAGCAGGCGAGCTGGACGAGCGGGTAGCGAGGAGCGAGACGCCCGACCTCCTCCTCAAACAACGTCGAGCGACGAGGTGGGGCAACCGTCTCTCGCACGGCTTTCCGGTCCCTCAGGCGTGTTCTGGAGAGGGCGTACTTGCAGCCAGCAAGCGTGCGCCCACCGGCTGCGCGCAAGGACCGAGCGAGGCCAGGTCGCTCACCGCGAGAGTGCTCTCGGGCTCGCTCCGCCCCGCGCCCTCACGGAGCCAGATGAAGCTGCAAAGTGGCGATTGCAGATCACCGAGGGTTCTTCTCCTCACCGCGCGGCCTCGAAACGAGGGTGCTCCTCCTCCTGGATCCCCTCCCCGAGTCGTCGTCGTCATTCCGTACCGACACTCCTTCCTCCCTGGATGTGTACCTGCCCTCCCCCCTCGAACGAACCCCTCGAACTGCGAGCGGCGGGTACCTGCGACGCGCGAAACGCCGGCGACAGATCTGTACAGAGAGAGAGCGAGCGACGGCTCGCAAAGGAATTGAGACGAGCTCGAGGCGGATGCTCTCGAAGCCAAGGGCGGTCGCAGCCTTAGCCAGGTCCGCCGACGTGCGCCGCGAGACCTGCCCGGACGAGGGCGTCCGTGCGCCCGCCGTGAGCACTTTGGTGTGCGGCGAGCGAGACTTGCGAGCTGCGCAGCTGTGCGAGAGTGAGATCTACGAGCAGCTGCTCGCGAAGAGGGGACCGCTGATCGAAAGGAGGGAGCTCCGCAACGGCACCGTACGCGGAGAATGCGCAGCGCGTGCGCCGTTCGACCGTTGCCGCCCTCCTTCTCGCTCTCGCCCTCTCCTCCCTCGACGACCCTGTTCTCGGTTGGCGCCACGAGCCACACACGGTCACAGGGATGACCCTCCATCACCCACAAGCGCGCTCGCCGTCGAGCTTCGCCTTCCCCTCGCCCTCGCTCTCCACCTCGGCACGCTCGCCCGCACGCGACCCAGCACACCCTCGAGGCGCGCCCTCGCTCGGCGCAGCGTTCCAGTACCCGGTCCGCGGCGACTCGCTCCAGCAGCACGGCGCGCAGCACGCGACCCAGGCCAGCACCTCGTCGTCGTCGACCACCTCGAGCAGCTCCAACTTTCGGTCGCCGTCGACCGCGCGCTCGGCCGTGTCGAGCACATACACGAGCTTCACGAGCGACTCGTACGACCACGACGACGCGTGCGACGACGGCTATTCGGACGCCGGCAGCGTCCTCGACTCGCTGTACCGCGACTTTAGCTCGGCGCGTCTCGACGACTCGCCGCCGCGGTTCCACAAGCACACGCCCAGCTCCGACTCGACCATGCAGCTCCGCGAGCGCACCCGGTACCGCTCGTCCGCGTCGTTCGCCCCGGGCGCCGTCGCCGCACCCTCGTCGGCACCTCCGGGCGAGCCGCCCCACCACCACCAGCTCGAGGGCGCGTTCGGCCACCTGTCGCTCGCGCCGTCCTCCGCCGCCGGCCCCGACTCGCACATGGACCTCCTCGCCGCCCTTGCCGCCACGTCGTCGGCCCTCGACCGGTGCTTCTGCGGCGCCGAGCCCGAGGAGGACTCGATCTACTGCTCGCGCGCGTGCGCCCAGGCCGACGCGCTCAACGCCTTGTGCGGCACGAGCTCGAGCGCCGAGGACGCCGCGAGCAGCTCGGACGCGGCGAGCCTGCGCAGCGGGTCGAGCGGCGGCAGCGGTGAGAGCGGCGGCGGGATCGACTCGCACTACCGCCGCGTGAGGAGGGAGGAGGAGCGCCGGGCCAAGGAGCGCGAGCGCGCCCAGCGCAAGGAGGACAAGGCGCGCAAGGCTCGCGCACTCGAGGAGCGCGAGCGCGTGCAGGCCGGCGAGCGGCAGAGCGCGGCCGGCTCGCTGCGCCGGAGCAACGGCGACGTCGGGTCGTCCAGGTCGTCGTCGCACGAGTCGTTCGCGCCGCCGCCTCGCACCTCGTCTCGACGCACACCTTCCCTCTCGTCGTCCGTCTCGTCCCTCGCCTCGTCCGCCGCGCCGTCGCCCATCTCGCCGGCGTTCCCTCATCACGCCGCCTTCCCTCCTCACCGCGCCTCTTCCTCCTCCTCGTCGCCCTTCATTGTCGAGCCCCCGACACCCTCGACCTACTCGTTCCACGACGCGCCACTCGGCCCTGTCGCCGAAGAGGAGCTCCTCGCCCGGCCCTGCACGCCCAACCCGAGGGCGCACCACCAGTCGTCCGGCGCGCACTCGCCGGCGAGCCCGGCCCACCTCGACGCGAGCGACATCTACTCGTCGTACCTCCTCACGACGCCTCAAGCCGGCGACAAGCTCCGCACGCCGACGCAGCTCCCGCACACCTACTACTCGGGCTCGGGCTCCGGGTCCGGGTCCGGGTGCAACTCGACGCCGCGCGCCGCGTTCCCGCACACGCCCGGCGGGCCCGACGACCTCGACAACTCGCCGACGCAGCGCGGCTCGAGTACCGGCGCCGGCGCGGCGGGCACGGCGGGCGTCGGCCTGCGCATGCTCGAGCTGTGCGACTCGGACGACGAGTACGACGAGGACGAGGTGGCGCCGCTGCGGGTCGGGCACCGCCGTGCGGCGCCGCTCGGTGGCGGGCACACCAAGGGCAAGCTGTCGTTCGACGACGTCGTCGGGATCCTGAGCGGGTGAGGGAGGGTTTTCCTCTCGGTCGTCGACGCCCGACTTTGTACCACTCGTCCCTCCCCTCCTTTGTTGCTCTCTCTCTCTCTCTCTCTCTGTCACCTTTTGTCGGACTAGACGCGCATTTCCTCCCCCGTAGCATTCATCGCTCTGCAACTCTCTTGTAGCAGTTCCTCCCTCTCGAGACGGGCTCGTGCACGAAGCTGAGCGACCTTCTCAAATCCAGGCAAGGCTCTCCTGCTCGACCTCTCGCCTCTCGTTCGGCACGAGAAGTGCGCTCCATCGCCACAGAGGAGGTCTACGCACCCATGAGAGCGTTTCGAGCGCGTGTCGAAAGCAAACAAACACGCTGCGACGCCCTCGAGGCGGGGCGAGCATTCCGGGCGGGGCGAAGCATGCCTCGGTCGGCCAGGCTCGCTCCCGCTCGGCCGCAGCGTCGACGAGATCGAGCTTGCCGCCTTTGCGAGGCGCGGCTCGCGACGACGAGCACGGGTGGAGGACGCAGCGGCGGAGGAAGCGCTCTCGCTTCGACCTTCCCAGCTCACGTTCTTTGTAGCCTGACGACCGGACCGGTCCTCTCATGGCCTCTGGAGACGTGTCCAGAGACGAACCCGACCCACGACGATAGAAAGCAGGAGTTGAGCGCGACGAGAGCAAGAGGGGTCAAAGCGCGACCGCTGAAGCCGTGAGCCGGCGGCGGCATCGTCGCGACTCGCCGGCGCACAGCGACGCCGACCACGACGCGAATGCGGGACCCGGGACAGTCGACGCGAGGGAAAGGCACGCGCGAGAAGAAGGTCGTCTCGGCATGGAAACGGCGTCGCCCGCGTGCCCTTGAAGCGGTGCGCGGTGGGTTGCGATTGCGATCGCGGGTGCGCAGGAGACCCGGCCGAAGTCGAGCGAGCCCTTGCGACGGCAAGCCAAGGCTCCCGGAGACAGCAACGGCGCCGCGTAGACGAAGACGAGCGGGAGGAACGAGCGCTTTCGCTCTCGCCAGCCGGCTACATACCGCGCCCTCGTTACCAGCAGCGCGCAGCGTGCTCCCCCGCTCTTGCCTCGGCGCAGCGATCCCCTCTCCTTGTCTTGGCCAGCGCACACCCCGCAGGTCCGACTTTCCTCGCCGGCAGCTGTCGGACGACGCGTCGCCTCGTCGACCCTCCCTGCGCCCGTCCAAGCCCTCGAGGTGCGCTGCGCTCGCTCCTGTACGCGTCGAAACCACGACTGACCAGCTCGCGAGCGCGCAGAACCCGCCCACGGCGCGACCTCGACTTGATCGCTCGCCGAACTCGCCGAGGACCCCAAGATCCTTCTCTCGCTCGCCCCGACCTCGAGCCAGCCTCGCCACGACCACACGCCCTCTGCCCGCACCAGCGCGCCCGATGGAGCAGCCGCCAGCCTCGGCGCCGTCGCCGCCGCCGCGACCCCTCGGCTCGCCAACCGCCAACCGGCTCGCGCTCGGGAGAGCCGTCCCACGCCCTCTCGACCTCGCCAGCAGCCGTGCCCACTCGTACAGCAGCACCACCCCGTCTGCGAGCAGCACCTACACCTCGTCGCCCCCGACCGCCCCGGACTCGCTCGTCAGCCCTCGAGCTCAGCTCGCATCGCCCACCACCCCCGACCGCGGCACGACTGCCCTCGCGGGCAACACACCGGCTCGCGATGAGCGGTCTGCATCGGCCGAGGGCGCCGACCGGCCACGGGCGCATGCGCACGCCCCCTCGCCGACTTCCTCGCCCGCCCTCGCATCCCTCACCTCCCCGCCGACTGCCGCACGCCCATCCACCTCGACCTTTCCTTCGCCCGTCGCAGGCTATGCCGCACGGCGAGCGTCGGGTAAGCTCCCTGCGTCGGCCTCGACGACCTCGATCGGCGGGCGCAGCGTCCTCGGCTACACCTCGGCCGCGAGGCGCACGGGCTCGCCCTACCGCGGCGGCGGCAGCGGCGCCGGAGCCACGCCGTTGGGGACGAGCGCGGGAGCTGGAGCGGGACCAGCAGGAGGAGGCGGTGCAGGCGCGAGCGGGACTGGGATCGGCACGACGAGCAGCTCGCGGTTCCTCCTCACGGTCGTCCCGCCCGAGCACTTGCCGCACGACCCGCCGCATCCTCGTACCAACCCTGCCTGCTCAGGCTATGGCCCACCAGAGCACTTTCGGTGCGTCCCGTTTCTCTCCTTCTCCTCATTTGCGCCGCGAGGGAGAGACGTCCTGACGCTTCTCGAGTGCCCGCAGACGCGGCACCCTCGTCCCCCTGTACCCGACCTTGTCGTCCCAGCTCGCCGCCATCGCTCGCGAGTACGGCCTCCCGTCCTCGGGCGGCGTCGTCCTGTACCTGTTGTCGACGACCAACCCGGCGACGCAGCAGCCGTTCCCGCAGTCGGCCGGCTTCGCTGCGGAGGGCGGTCCGCGCATCAGCGACGGCGCGTGGAACCTCCTGTGGGCGCAGCTTATGGCCGAGGAGGAGGCCGAGCGCGACATGCTCCTGTACGAGCAGCAGCAGCGCGAGCACGACCTGCTCGACTCGGACAACGCGTCCGACGACGACGACAACGACTACCGCCCGCCGCCGGTACCGCCTATCCCGTCCGAGCATGCCGCACCTCGGCAACGCGAGCAGTCGGAGGACGCCGGCATCTTCTCGGACGAGCAGGAGCAGGAGCGCGTGAGCCAGTCGAGCGTCGACGGCGGCGCGAGCGACGGCAAGGCGCCTCGAGCCGACAACCGCGTGTCCGCCATCGCACGGGCCGGCCTCGGTCGCGGTCCACCGCCGTCGACGACGTCGCCCGGCGCCGGCGTCAAGCGCTTCTCGTCCTTCCCGACCGCCGCTCACCCTTCCCTCACCCGCCGCTCGTCGCGCCAATCCCTGCGCTCCGCCTCGCACCGCACGGCGGCACCGCGCCCCTCGAGCTACAACTACGCGACGGCGCCGCCCTCGGCTCGCGCCGTCTCGTACGGCTCGTCCCGGTTCGCGAGCGGGCCGGCGTCGCTCTTCTCGCCGTCGACGGTCGGCGCGTCGGCCTTCCTGCCCGGCTACGGCGCGTCCGTCGTTGTCGGCAAGGTCGAGTTTGACATCCACGCCGGCTCGCGCCAGGGCAAGTGGTACGAGGCGTGGCTCGCGAGCGCGTCGCAACCGGCGAGCAGCGGCACGAGCAGCGTGTCCACCCCGGCGGTCGCGTCGTCTGCGCCCGCCATGGCGTTCGAGCAACCCCATCAGTCGTGGCACGAGCTGCAGCTGCCGAGTCGGGTCGCGAGCGCGGCTCGTTCCCAGGAGTCGGCGGCGCGAGGACTTGGCATCGTCGCCGCGCCGCCTGCGCCCGAGCCGCACCTGTTCGACACGGCGACGCTCGCCTCGGCAGCCCTGTCGAGCTCGTCGCTCGCCGCCATGGCGGGGCACAGCCCGACGGGCAGCTCGCGCGAGCGCGCACTCGCCCCGGACGAGTCGTCGCCGGTCGAATCAGAGCCGACACCGCTCGCCGAGACGGTCGCCCTCCCGCCTGCGCAAGAGTACGCGTTGCCTATCAGCAGCCCGTACGCCTATTCGTCCATCGTCGACCATCTCGCGCCTGCCTCATCGCCCGACCGCGCCCAACTGCGTGCCGCCGACACCTCCTTCGGCTCGCCCGCTCCGCTGTCGCATGCGCCGAGCTCGCTGCCGTCGCGACCAGCGTCGACGACATCCACCGTCATCGAGGGCGACGACAGCTCGTCGAGCGAGCACGGCTCGATCGGCTCGCACCCGGCCGGCGGCGAGGAGGACGGCTACGCGCCGCTCGAGGACGAGGACGAGGCCCAGCTCGCCGTCAAGCCGGCTGCGAGCGACGCCGACTCGGACGAGCTGCGCTACGGCAGCGCCACGGCCGAGGACGGCGGCGTGCACGACGAGCCGGTCCGCGGCGACCCGCTCGCCGACGTGTTCGAGTCGGACGAGGCGACGTGGCGCTCGATCGCCGACGACGACTCGTACCCGCGCCTCGAGGAGCGCGACGCTGTCGAGACGACGGGCCTCGGCATCTCGGGCGCTCGCAACGTCGCCGAGCTCGAGCCCGTCGCCGCGCCCGGCATCCTCGAGCGCCGCGAGCAGGACGAGACGCTCGACGAGCGAGGGCTGCCACCGCCGCAGGACGACGTGCGCGACGTCGTGAACATGCTCAGCTCGACGCCGACGACGGCGACGCACCCGATCAACCTCGCCTCGCCGATCCGCCTCGACTCGTCCGGCGCCGCCGCGACCGGCACCGGCGTCTTCCCGCCGTCGCCCGTCCAGCAGGTCGCTGCCCGCGAGAGCAACGTCGGCCACGGCCAGGAGGACCGCTCGTCGCCGTTCCTGCCGTCGCACTCGGCGGCCACGTCGATCAGCACGGTCAACTTCTCGGTGCGCCCGCCGTCGACGATCGCGTCCATGTCGCCCGAGTACGTCCAGAACCGCAAGCAGCGTCAAGGCTGGACCAACGTGCCCGCCGTCGTCGACCCGTCCCTGTCGACCTCGTCGTCGATGTCGTCCATCTCGGCCGCAGGCGCCGCGAGCGACAGCGCGCGCTCGTCGAGCTCGACCGGGCTCATGGACAACCTCAACGATCTCGAGCGTGCGCTCGCCGACTTGTCACCTCGCGCGAGCGCACGAGCGAGGATGGGCGCGCAATCTCCCGCAGCCGTCCTCGAGGCGGCCGGCGAGGCCCCGTCGCGGGCTGAGCCGCCGCGCCCGGGTTTCCCGCCGCGCACCTCGTCTCGCGAGCAGACCGAGGAGGGCGAGGCGCCGTCCGCCGTACCCGCATCGCCTGCGCCGCCGTCCTCGCTCCTCGCGAGCCGGCCGGCGTTCCGCTATCGCGCGCCGAGCTCGCCCGGCGGTGGCAGCGAGGCCAGCGGCGCCAACGACGTGCCGTCAGCAGCAGTCGAGCTCGTTGCTCCTGCCGAGCCGGTGCGCATCCCGCGCTCGTCATCGCTGTCCAAGCCCGAGGCCCGTGCGCACCCCCAGCCGCACCTCGTCGCGCTCCCGCCGTCGCCGATGCCGGCCAACGTCGCCACCTTTGCGCACTCGCCCGACGCTCTCGACGAGCCGCTCCCGGCCCTCCCGTCGGCGAGCCCGTCGTGGCCTGCCGCACCACCTCTGCCGCCCTCGCCCTCGCCACCTGTCCAGCCGTTCGACAACTTCTTGCCGCGCGCCGCCGCTCCCGCTCCTCCTCCACCTCCACCGCCGCCCGCCGCCGAGGACCCGCAGCCGTCGCAGCCTCGCTCGCCCGGCCCGAAGAAGAGCGGCTTCAAGTGGGGCAGCCGCAACAAGAGCATCGACGCCGGCAAGGCCAACGCGGCTCCTCCTCCGGTCGGCGACGCACAGTCGCCGTCGGGCGACGACCCGAGCAGCGGCAGCGGCGCCAAGAGCCCTCTCGGGTCCTTCTTCGGCAAGTTTGGCAAGGGCGACAAGAAGGGCTTCTTCCGCCGCAACGACTGTATGCTCTCCGTCTCTCTGCGTCTCTATCTCGTGGACGAGACTGACCTTGCATCTCTACAGCCACCTCGCCCGAGCCGCCTGTCCCCGCACCTGCCGCCGACGCTGCGGCGCCCGTCCTGCCCGCCCTTCCGCCGCGTCAGCCCTCGCTCGACGCCGAGACGGAGCACTTCTTCTCGGGCGCTGGGCGGCCTCGCCGACCGTCCGTCTCGACCAACTCGCAGCCGCCGTCGAGCCTTGTCGAGCGGGAGGCGCACGCGCCGCCTGCATCGGCGCCGGTCGTCGTCGAGTCGGCCTCATCGTCGCAGGAGCAGGAGGCCCCGGCGTCAAGCCTTCCTCCTCTCGCCGAGCTGTCGCAGACGCAGCAGCGCGACGAGCTCTTTGGCGTCGCCCCCTCGACGCCTGCGCCCACCTCGGCGACGCAGCAGTCGCTCCCCCTCGCGGCCCACGCCCTCTCGCCGCCGGACTCGCAGCACACCTCGTCGCCGCCTCCCGCACACCTCGACTTTCCGGCGCCCCCTCCCTCGACGGTCGCTGCGGCCACGCCGCACGAGCCGCCGCGCCCTCGCGCCTCGTCGTCGTTCGGCTCGCCCTCGCCTCGCGCGTCCCTGTCGGCCCAGTCGACCACGTCGGCGTCGTCGTCAGCGGCCTCGGCGTCGACCCTCCTCTCGCCGACCCAGCCCGCCTTCCCCTTTTCGAGTGCGCTCCCGCCGTCGCCCGCGCTCGCCGCCACGGACGTGAGCCCGACCGACGCGCCCGCCACGCCTCGCCCTGCGGCCCTCTCCCCTCCCTCTTCCGCCAACACGGGATCGGGCCTCGAGCTCCCCGCCGCGGCGCCCGCGACGCCTCGCTACCCGGCCTCGGCGCCCGTCACGCCCGCGGCGTGGCACCTCTCGTCGCGCGCCGCGCTCGGCACGCCCTCGCCGAGCTCGGTCTCGACGTCGGCCGCGACGGGCAGTGGCGCGAGCCCGTCGGGCGCGAGCACGGGCGCGAGCGCGAGGAGCCGTGCGAGGCTGAGCGCCGACATCGAGGGCCTGCTGAGCCAGATGCGCGAGATCGACTTTGCACTCGAGGACCCGCCGGCGACCCTTGCGTCGACATTGACGACGACGGCGGCGGCGACGACGACGGTCGAGCCGGTCGACACGGCGTCGAGGTTGCTGGACGGGCTCGAGCGCGACCCGGTCGAGCCGCAGCGGGCGTCGGACGCGGCGCTTGACGAGCCCTCGCCGTTCCCGACGCCGACGCTCGTCGAGCCCGACGAGGACACGTCGCTCGTCTACGCCGGCGGTGCCGCGACGCCCGACCTGTCGTCGTCCCTGTCGTCGTCGCTGAGCGGGTTCGCGACCCCGCCGCCGCCCGTGCGCGCCTACGCCGGTGTCGGCGCCGGCGCAAGCGCGTCGCCGGGCCTCGGCGCGGTCAACGTGAGCCTGGGCGTGCCCGGCTTTGGGGCTGGGGACGACGGCGAGCTGCCGAGGCCGCTCAGTGCCGACTTGAGGGCGATCGGGAGCGTCATGACGCTTGGGTGCGTCTCGCTCTCTCTCTCTTGTCTCTTCGTCGAGCGAGAGACACCTCACTGACATTCTTCGCTCTCCCTCTGTCCCTCGTCGCACCCGCAGCTCGCCGCCAACGAGCCCCGAGCTCACCTCGCCGCGGTACGACCCGCTCCAGGTTCAAGCCTCGCCGACGCGCGCCTGAGTTGATGCGTCGGCGCAGCGGTCAAGGACGAGGACGAGGAGCACGGTGACGATACCCTGGGCGATGTAGAAGATTCCACGTGCGCGCGAGAGGCTCGAGCGAGCCTGAGATGCCTCCGACCCTTTCATCTTCTCTTTGTCTGTAATCGCGACCTCTCTCAACATGCAGCATCGTCCTCGTCGTCCTCTGAGAGTCTCTCGAGCGCTCGCGATCGAGAGCTGTCCTCTCGAGAGGCGCGAAAGGAGACGACGAGCTGTGGCACAACTACAGGCGACGGCGAGCCGAGGCGAACGAGGAGAGAGCAGGAGGGGGAAGAACTACGTGACAAGGACGTTGCGATAGGGTAGACGCATAGTCGGAGCGCGAGAAGGGAGGAGGAGAGAGAAGGGGTATGCTTGCGAGAGTTGCGAAAGAGGGTGGCTGGGGGAAACGGAAGGGTGGCTCGAGAGCGAGCGGGGTATACAAGACGGCGGGAGGGACGACGACGACGACGACGGCGAGAACTGCGAGGGCGGGGCGAGAGACCTAGACGAGGGGACGCGAGAGAGAGAGCGAGCCGCCGCTCACAGCAACGTGCACCTCCTCTTCCTCCCCGCGCCTCCTCCCGCCCCGCCCCCTGCGCCGGACGCGCCGGTCCGGCTGGAGCGCCGACTGGACGAGTTGGAGCCCGACGACGCGAACGCGTCGGCCTTGATCATCTGGCGCACGACGTCCTCGAAGATGGCGGCGACCTGCGGGGCGGGCGAGGGGGAGGGGTGCGCAGGAGCGGGAGAGCGGGAGATGGGGCACGAGGGAGGGAGAGGGGAGGCATGTCAGGATGGACTGACCAAGAGGTGCGCGGCGAGAAGAAGGGAGAGAGAGAGCGAGGGACGCACGTTGATCTCCTTGCGCGCCGACGTCTCGTAGTACGGGACCTGCGCCACAAACTTGCGTAAGCCCTCGCTCGTGCGGTCTCGAGAGACCGAGCGCGAGAGAGAGAAGGCAGAGAGAGCGGGACGCACGCCGCCCCACGAGCGCGACAGGTTGACGGCCACCTCGCGCCCAACTTGTCGCTCGTGCTGCAGGTCGAGCTTGTTGCCGACGAGGACGACTGGGACTCGGGGTCGCTCAAGCTGTTCCGGGCGATGACGAGGTGTCAGTGGCTCTTGTTGAGAGCGGACGAGGAAGATAAGAGAGGAAAGAGGACGAGCGGCGCACGGACCTTTTCACCCATCGCTCCTGCCCTCGCGCCGGCCCCACCACCTCGGGCCGCCGCGGCCGTGCCGTGAGTCGTCTCCTTGATGCGCTGGATCTGCTCCCAGATGGTGTGGAGCTCTGCGACGCTGTCGAGCAACGTGAGGCTGAAGACGAGGAGGAAGCCGTCGCCCGAGCGGACGTAGAGCGACGAGAGCGACATGAACTGGTGCGGGTCCAGGGAGAGGGTCAGTGCCGTGTGACGAGGTAAGGAAAGGGAGAGGGAGGGAGAGAGAGAGGGAGGAAAGACGAGGGGACGGACCTGCTCGGTACCGGCGGTGTCGAGGACCTCGAGTGCGACCGTGATGCCGTCGACGTTGAGGTTGCGCCTGTAGCTGTCCTCGATGGTCGGGTCGTACCTGACGGGCGGGCGGGCGTGTCAGTGTGTGTGTGGTCAAGGGAGCGGCGAGGGGGGAGAGAAGGACGGACGCCGAGACAAAGATCTGGTGGATGAAGCGGACGGTGAGGGCCGACTTGCCGACGCCGCCGCCGCCCATGATGACGACCTTGTACTCTGGTCTGTGGCGCATGGGAGAGGAGGGTCAGTCGCGAGTGGTGGAGGAGAGGGAGGCTGTGCTGTGGGTAGGTGCGCAGGTTCGCGAGGGGGACGAGGGCGCCAGTCGCGGTGCGCTCTGTTGGCGGCCTTGACGGCGTGATCGGCTGGGCAGGGTGGCCTCAGAGGGGCGAAGGTGCGGGGCGTAGTCGACGGACAAAGGCGAGTTGACGGACGAGGGCGAGGGTCGGCGGCGGCGGCGTGGCGGCCGCGGGTGATGGCGGGTGGGTCGCGGTGTGGGTAGCAGGTTGCTCAGGTGTAGCACTCGGCGGCCCACTGGGCGGTGTCGGACGCGGCGAGGTGGTCGTCCCCCCACTTGAGGTCGATGGAGGAGGGGGGCGAGAGGGGAAGAGAGAGGGGACGCACAAGGGCATGGCAGTGCTGTGGTTGGGGCTGTAGAGCACACTCTGGCAGTCGGTAGCCTCACTCGAAGCCTGAGCGGATGAGGGAACGCGGACCACCTCGTCGTCTTCATCTCACCTCTCCTCCTCCTTCTCCAACCTCGACCCAGCCCCGCACCAAGAGCCCACACGACCATGAGCACCAACTCGCTCAAGTCGCTCATGGCCGCAAAGCGCCAACAAGCCGCCCGCATCTCGGCCCCCTTTGCCCGCTACTCCAACTCGGGCCAGCTCTCGTGCTCGCTCTGCCACCTCGCCATAAAACACGACTCGCTGTGGTCGGCCCACGTACAGTCAAAGGTCCGCCTACTCTCCCTCCTGCTCCTCCAACTCCCCGTCTCACCTCGTCCACCCCGCCCCGCAGACCCACCGCGTCAAGGTCCAGCAGCACAACGCCGAACAAGAACGCCTACAGCAACAGTCGCAGAAGCGCAAACGCTCAGACGACACCGCTGCCTCCTCCTCCAAGCGCTCCCGCCCCGCAGGCGACTCGCCCAACGACGACGACGACAACGGCGCCGACGCTCCTCCTCCTCCTCCCGACAACAACGCCCTCCCGACCGACTTCTTCGCCGACCCATCCCAAGCCCCGGCACCTCGAGCACCCTCCCCCTCGACCTCGACCTCTGCCGCCCGCGCCGCGCCAGCCGACGACGCCGACCCAGACCTCGACGACTTTCTCGCCTCGCTCGGCGCACCCGACGACGCCGCCGCTTCGTCCTCCACAACTGGGGGCGCCCCGACGACGGCGCGCGCGACGATCGCGGCCGCGCCCGTGCGCTTCGAGTTTGGCGCGCCCGTCGTCGCTGCCGAGGGCGAGGAGGACGAGGAGGCGGCAGGTGCGGGCGACGACGACGACGAGCCCAAAGAGACGGACGACGAGCGCGTCGAGAGAGAGGCGAGGGAGGAGCGCGAGGAGCTCATGGCGCGCCTCGAGGAGGAGGAGCGGGAACAGCGCGAGGCCGACGACAAGGTGACGGTGCGTCTTGCGCATCCTCTCTCTCTCGGTTCCCAGCCTAACGAGCGTTCCCTCGCTCTATACGCGGTACTGATGCGGAGTTGGCCTGCGCGAAACGCAGGCACTCAAGCGGCGGCTCGAGGCGATGCGGGCCAAGCGGCAGGGGAGGAAGGGCGGCGCCGGGGCAGGCGAGGCGTGAGCGGTTCGAGGGGTCGCTGTCGTGCAACGTCGAGGCGCTCTTTCATGCTTCTAGTGCGGCAGAAAGAGTGAGGAGAGCCTGCAGCGAGAGCGAGCCGCTTCCTCCGCCAAGTCGGTTCGCGTGTCGGCCTCTCGGTTGCTCTCGAGACCGCCTCGCCCGCGTGTGGCGAGCAGCGTACTCGCACCCGAGCACTCGTACAAAGAGCAGCAACCGGCACCGCCGCAGCGCCGCTCGCCGCCCCTGTGGCCTCCCCACCTCGACCCCTCCTCATCAGCAACCCGCGCCCTCGCCGGCCTCTCGCACCCGACAGCAGCACGCGCACGGTGCACCGCGACTCGGCCCACGATGGACTGCCTCAAGGCCGTCCAGGCGTACGTCGACAAGGCCATCACGTCGACCCCGGGCATCAAGGTCCTCCTCCTCGACTCGGACACGGTCCGTCTCCTCGCCTTTCCCCCCCCTGCCCCACAGCCTGTGAGGGAGAGACTCATCACCTCGTCACGCCGTACACAGACCCCGATCGTCAGCCTCGCGACCACCCAGAGCCACCTCCTCGCCCACGAGGTTTACCTCACCGACCGCGTCGACAACCCGTCTCGGCACGCGTCCACCTCCTCCCTCGCGCCATCCGCGCCAGGCGCCTACCCGCCCGCACCAGGCGCAGCAGCACGCGGCGTCGAGCGCCTCCCCCACTTGCGCTGCGTGTGCCTCGTCCGGCCGACCGACGACAGCGTCGAGGCGTGCGCGAGGGAGCTCAGCGAGGGCAGGTTCGGCGGCTACTGGCTCTGTGCGTCGCTCTTCCTCTTCCTCTCTCGGTGGGCGCACGGGCTGGGGCGAGAGCGAGCGGGACTCGAGCGAGGAAAGGGCCACTGACCTTCCCTCTGTCGCCGCCCGCAGACTTCACCAACGTGTTGACCAAGGCGCAGATCGAGAAGCTCGCAGAAGCCGACGAGCACGAGCTCGTGCGCGAGGTCCAGGTGCGTCCCGCGCTCCTCCCTCCCTCGTCACCTCGTCCTGCAGTACCCTCGAGGTGGAGCCTCGCTCACTCTCCCTCGTGCGCCCGCAGGAGTTCTTCGCCGACTTTGCGCCCCTCACGTCGTCGCACTTTTCCCTCAACGTCCTCCCGACCCCGCTGCACCCGTCGCCGACCCAGCGCACCATGCCCTTGTACGGCGCGAGCCCGGCCACGTTTTCGGCGCACGCACCCGCGCTCGCGCGCCACGTCGAGGGCCTGACGGCGCTGTGCCTCGCGCTCAAGAAGCGGCCAATCGTGCGGTACGAGCGCATGAGCGGCATGGCGCGCCAGCTCGGCGAGGCGCTTGTCGCCGCCATGAACGGCGCGGGCGCCGGCGGTGCAGGCGGTGCGGGCGGCGCGAGCGACTCGGCGGGCCTGTGGGACTTTCGCAAGACGGCGACAGCACCGTTGTTGCTCGTGCTCGACCGCCGCAACGACCCGGTGACGCCCCTCTTGACGCAGTGGACGTACCAGGCCATGGTGCACGAGCTGCTCGGCATCACCAACGGGCGCGTCAGCTTGGAGGGCGCGCCAGAGGTCCGAGACGAGGTCAAGGTGCGTCGCAGCGGCGGTTCACTCCTTTCCGCGTGCCGGTCGAGCAGGTCCAGGGTCCTGACTTTTGCCTCGTCCCTCTTCCTCTCCCTCTTCCTCGTCTCCTCGACCTTGCCGCCGCCTCCCCTTTCGATCCCTTCCCCTCGCCCTCTCATCTCGCGACCACATCGACGTCTGCCACCCACACCGACGGCACTCGCCCCGCAGGAGATTGTCCTGTCGCCCGAGCAGGACGCCTTCTTCGCGCGCAACCTGTACGACAACTTTGGCGACCTCGGCGCGCACCTGAGCAGCTACGTGCAGGACTACAGCACCCGGAGCGCGACGAGCCAGGCGGGCAAGATCGAGACGGTCGCCGACATGAAGCGGTGCGTCGGCCTGCTCCCCTTCCTCGTCCTCCCTCTCTCCTTTCAAGAGCACGCAGGCTGATTAGTCCGAGCGACGCGCACAGGTTCATCGACGAGTACCCCGAGTTCCGCAAGCTCGGCTCGAACGTGTCCAAGCACGTCGCGCTCGTCGGCGAGCTGTCGCGCCTCGTCAACGAGCGCGGCCTGCTCCAGGTCAGCGAGCTCGAGCAGAGCCTGGCGAGCAACGAGAGCCATGGCCCTGACTTGCGGGTGCGTCCTCCTCTTTCTCTCCCTCTCTCACATCGCGCACTCTCTCTTTGCCGGCCGAGCAAGCCGACCTGACCCTCCTCGCCGAACGCTCGCAGGCCGTCCGCGAGGCCATCTCGGCGCCCGAGATCCCGTCCGAGGCCAAGCTCCGTCTCGCCATCCTGTACGCGCTGCGGTACCAGAAGGCGCCCGGGCAGCAGATTGCCAGCGTCGTCGAGCTGCTCAAGGCGCAGGGCGTCCAGGAGGCCGAGGTGCGTCGCCTCGGTCCCTCCTCCTTTTCCTCCTCTCCGAGCGAGAGGCGCTCAGGTGACGACGACTCAGAGGCCGCACTGACCCGATTGCGTCGAACGCAGATGGTCAACGTCATGCTCGCGTTCGCCGGCGCCGACCAGCGTCAAGACGACCTGTTCGGCAACGAGAACTTCTTCTCCAAGGGCAAGTCGGCGCTCAAGGGCCTCAAGGTGCGCCCCGCTCTCTCCCTTTCCATCTCCCTTGCCTCGTTTCCCAAGTGCGGGACCTGAACGAGGAGGAGGAGAAACAGGGCGTCGAGAACGTCTACACGCAGCACACGCCGCACCTCGCAGAGACGATCGAGCTGCTCCTCAAGGGCCGGTTGCGCGAGTCGAGCTACCCGTTCGTCGACGGGCAGGGTGTCGGGCCGCAGGGCATGAGTCGGTGCGTCGCTCGGTCCTCTTCCCCCCTCTCTGTCGTCGCCGGTCCCTGGCCTTGTGTTCTCGCCCTCACTCGACGAGTCTCTGACATTCTCGTCCACCTCTCTCCCTTCCCTCGTCGCCCCCGCACGCGCATTCGACCTCGTGCCGCTCCCCTCGCAGGCCGCAGGACATCATCGTCTTCATTGTCGGCGGCACGACGTTCGAGGAGGCCCGGCACGTCGCCCAGCTCAACGAGCGTTTTGCGGCGGGCCAAGGGCTCGCGGGAGGAGGGCCGCAGAGCATGGTCCCGCAGGGGACGAGGGTCGTGCTCGGCGGGACGTGCGTGCACAACTCGCGCAGGTGCGTGGCCGGCTCTCTCTTCCTCTCGCTCTCCTCTAGTCGATCAAGGGCAAGGGGTTGATCCAGATGGCCACTGCCCGCAGCTTCCTCGAGATGGTGCGCGACGCCGCGTTCGCGTTCGGCCCGTCGTTCGGCGCCGCACCACCCTCCGTCTCGCTCTCGGCGTCGACCTCATCCTCCTCCGGCCCCACCGCCATCCCCCCACCTTCCTCAACCCCTCAAGGTGCCTCCCAACAGGCGCCCGCACCGCGCGACAACTTTGCGCTCAACCTCGGGCCCGTGAGCCTCAACGTCGGCGGGCAGGCGGGCAACGCGATCGAGCTCGGCGTCGATGCGGCGAGGGACGGACTGAGGGACGTGTGGGGGAGGGTCAGGGAGAGGGTCGAGGGCGTCAGGCTCGGGTGAGCGGGCGTGGGCGTGGGCGAGGGTGGTTGAGGAGGAGGATCGAGGAGGAGGGACGAGTTCGAGTCGGTGCGGCGGCGCGCCGCGCGGCCGCAGCTGTTTGTGTTGCTATGACAGACGCATGCTCAGGTCAGTTCGAGAGCAGCAGAGCGAAGTTTGTCGCAGGTTTTGGCGGCCCCACCCTCGCTCGTCGTCGTCGTCGGCGCTCGTCCTCCCCTCGACCACCACACCTCGCCCCGCTCGACCTCAGCCCACCAGAGAGAGCGCGGGCACGCCCATGAGCGACCCACCGGCACCCGCAGACGCCCAGTCTGCCCTCCAGGCGCAGCTCGACGCCCTGCGCGCCGAGCACACGCGCGCCCAACTCGAGGCCGACCAGTCGCTCCACGACCTCGCCTCGCGCCTGTCGGCCACCGAGTCTGACCTCGCCCGCGCCAACGAGGCGACCGAGCTCGCCCAGCGCGACGCCGCAGAGCAGCGCGCGAAGGCCGACGAGGCCGCACGGCGGGTCGGCGAGGCGGAGGACCGCGCGAGGGGGGACGGCCAGGGGCGAGACGAGCTCGTCAGGAGGGTCGACGAGGTCGAGCGCGAGAAGCGCGAGCTGCTCGCCGTCATTGACCGCGAGCAGGCCGACAAACGGTCGCTCGAAGGTGCGTCCTCGTCTTCCCTCGTTCACGAGCCAGTGCGGGCCGACGGCGTCTCTCTGCGAGGTTGCCAGGTCTTGCCTGAGGGCCTTGCACCTCTCGAGAACGGTACTGACACCATGTCGCCTCTACAGAATCGCTCAACTCGCTCCGCGCCAGCTACTCGACCCTCCAGGCCGCCCACTCGGACCTCGAGGGCAAGCTCGCCGAGACGACCAGCACGTCGCGCACCTCGCTCCTCCGCCTCCAGACCCTCCAGAGCACCGTCACCTCGCTCGAGGCCGACAAGTCGTTCCTCTCGCAGGAGCTCGAGCGCGGCCGCCAGGAGTGGAGCGCCCACCGCCGCGAGAAGCACGCCGCGCTCGTCGAGCTCCAGAGCCAGCTCGACACGGTCTCGATCGACGCCCGTTCGGCCCAAACCTCGCTCGAACAGCTCCGCACCGCCCACGAGCAGCTCAAGGCGCGCCACGCCGACACGCTCGCCGACCTCGCCTCGGCGCGCGAGGAGCACGGCGCGAGCGAGGCCGCGTTCGCCACCGAGATGGCGAGCATGCGTCGCCTCGTCGACCTCATGGAGAAGCGCGAGGACGAGCGCAAGAAGCGCGTCGACGACGTCGAGCGCGCCCTCGACGAGGAGCGCGCCGCCCTCGTCGAGCGCGAGGCCGAGCTCCAGGACCAGCTCCTCCAGGAGCGCGAGCGCGCCGACGCCCTCGAGGCGCGCGTCGGCGAGCTCCGCGAGGCGCTCGAGCGCGGCAACGCGCACGCCGCCGCGCACGGCAACGGCTTTGCGCGCGACGACTCGCCGGCTGGCAGCGTCGGCTCGGCCTCGGCCTCGGCCTCGGCGTTCGCGCTCAGCCCGTCGGCGCAGCGGGCCGTGCGCGGGCAGAAGAGCGGCAGGAGTTACGCCGAGATCTACGGCGAGTACGTGCGCATGGAGGACGAGCTCGCGAGCGAGCGCGCCGAGACCAAGCGCCTCGGCGAGTGCCTCGCGCAGATCCTGGGCGACATCGAGGAGCGGGTGAGCACCGTCTTCCTCTCTGTCTCTGTCTCTGTGCTCCCCCTCTCGTCGGGCAACGAGACTGACTCGCCCCCTCGTTCCCGTCCGCAGGCCCCTCTCCTGCAGGAGCAGCGCGAGGAGTACGAGCGCCTCTCGGTCGAGGCGACCGAGCTCGCGTCGCAGCTCGCCCAGGCGCTCACCGACCGCGACGGGAGCGAGCGTCGCGCCGAGTCGCTGCGTCTCGACGTCGAGCGCCTCGGCGGCGAGAACACGATCCTGTCGCAGCAGCTGTCCGACCTCGGCCGCCAGGTCCGCACCCTGTCGCGCGTCCTCGCCGTCCACGACAACCCGTTGCTCGAGGGCGCCGACGCGGCCGAGTTTGACGAGGACGAGCAGGCGATCCAGCGCCGCGCCGAGCAGCTCGGCGACACCGACTCGGTCGTGAGCGCCCACCTCGTCACGTTCGCCACCATCAACGAGCTCCAGGTCCAGAACCAGAAGCTGCTCCGCATCACGCGGCAGATGGGCGCCCAGCTCGAGCAGGGCGAGCAGGACGCGCGCGCGAGGCGCGAGGGCGAGGAGAACGCGGCCGTCGCCGAGGCGCACGAGCTCATCCTCCGCCTCAAGGACGAGGTCGAGGCGCAGCGCGCACGCACCGAGGCGTTCGAGAAGGAGCGCGACATGTTCCGCAGGATGCTCAGCGTCCGCGGTTCGGGCTCGGGCTCGGGCGCCGGCGCGACCGACGGCTCGTCGTTCGCCGCGGCGGCGGCGGCGGCGGCATCGGCGGCGACGACGGCGGGCGACGGCGATGCGGGTCGGCTCCTCGCCGAGGTGCAGGCCAACTTTGACGCGTACCGCGCCGAGATGGCCGTCGACACGCAGCGCCTGCGGGACGACCTCGTCCAGGCGCAGAAGGACGCGGCGCAGGCGAGGACCGAGTTGGCCAAGAGCAAGGCGCAGAGCGAGTTCCTCGCAGGTACGTCTCGCTCGCCTTCCCTCCCACCCTCTCCTGGTCGTCGGCGTCTCGAGCGCGACGAGCCTGACCCTGCCTCGTCCGCCCGCAGAACGTTTCCGCCTCCTCAACGAGTCGTACGAGCTGCAGAAGGGCGAGATGAGCCAGATGAACAAGCGCACCCTCGAGCTCCAGCAGACGATGGCCAAGCAGGACATGGCGTCGCACAAGGTGCGTCCACCTCGAACGCCGTCCGAGCTCTCGCAGGGGGACGGACCTGACTCGTCTCGTTCCACAGACCACCGAGGACATGCTCGAGCTGCGCAGCACTGCCGACCAGCTTCGTCACGAGAACACGAACCTCAAGAGCGAGCGCTCGGTCCTCAAGAGCGTCGAGCAGCGCCTCGGCGAGGAGAACGCGGCCCTCAGCAAGGAGCGCGCCCACCTCGCCGACCTCATGCGCAACCTCCAGACGATGCAGAACGAGCTCGAGCGCAGCGGCAACGACGCTCGCCGGCGACTCGAGGAGCAGGTCAACCGTCTCGAGGCCCAAGCGTGCGTCCCCTGCCCTCCCTCTCTGCCTTGCGCGACAGCGACTGACTTCTCGACGTGTCTCGTGCAGAGCCGACCTCAAGGACAAGCTCAACCAGGAGTCGGACAGCAACCGCCAACTCGCGCTCCGCAAGGAGATCGAGAGCAAGACGTTCCAGGAGCGCATCGACAAGCTCGTGCGTCCCGCTCTCGCCCTCTCTACCTCCCCGTGCCAGGTCGAGGCAGCGACTGACCTTGCTCGCGCACGACGCAGACGGCCGATCACTCGACGACGCGCGAGAAGCTCGTCGCCGCCCAGACGTCGCAAGAGCACCTCGAGCAGCGCGTTCGCGACCTCGTCCTCCAGGTCGAGGCCAAGGAGGAGAAGCTCGTCATCTTCGAGGGCCGCTCGTCCTCGGGCGAGACCGACACGACCCGGACCGTCGAGGAGCAGCTCCAGGTCACGGTCGCCGACCTTCGGTGCGTCTCACGCTCGCCGCACTCGTCCTTCTCCTCTCGAGAGCAACGTCCTGACCCTCGACTGTCGCAGCAACGAGCTCCGCACGGCCAAGGCCGACCTCGAGCGCGCCAAGGAGCACACCAAGCAGTACCAGGCCATCGCCGAGACGCAGGGCGAGAGCCTGCGCGAGGTGACGGCGACCTACGACGAGTACAAGGCCGCCACCGAGTCGTCTATCGCCGAGAAGGACGTACGTCCCTGTCCCCTATTCTGCCATCGTCGCGGTCGTCGTCGTCGTCGTCGTTCAGGCCTAACGCATCTTCTCACCGGCCCATGCAGAGCGAGATCGTCAGCCTTCGCGAGCGCCTCCACTCGCTCACGCAGGACATCACGGCGTCCAACACGCAGAACTCGGAGCTCCACAAGCAGATCGAGGCCGAGCGCGTCGCGTTCGAGAAGGAGCGCAAGACGTTCGAGGACGGCCTGACGTCGCTGCGCGCCGCCGACCAGAGCGCTCGCGAGGCGCAGCTCGCCGCGCAAGACGACCTCCGCCGCCAAGCGCAGCTCGCTCGTGACGCGCACGACAAGTACGAGCGCGAGCTCGTCGCCCACGCCGACGACGTCAAGAAGCTCGCCCACGTCAAGGACGAGCTCAACGCGGTCCGGGCGACGGTCCGCGAGCACGAGGCGGCGGCGCAGGTCGCGAGGGCCAACCTCGCGAGCTCGGAGGAGAGCTGGGCGCGGCAGAAGGGCACGCTGCAGCAGGAACTCGCCGACGTCCGCAAGCGGTGCGTCCCGAACCCTTTCCTCTCTTCTCGTCCTCGATCTCTCCCCGACTCCCGACCTGACAACCCTCTTCCTCGACAGGTGCGACGAGCTCAAGGAGCAGAACTCGACCCTGGCGCAGCACCTCGAGACGGCCTCGGCCTCGGCGACGCAGCTCCAGGCGCGCCACGCCGCCGTCTCGGACAGCGCCGCAGCTGCGGGCGAGGCCGGCGGCGCCGACGCCGACACGATCGAGGCCATCACGGCGTCGCACAACGCGTCGGTCGAGCAGCTGCGCGAGGTCATCCGGTACCTGCGTCGCGAGAAGGACATCATCGACCTCCAGCTCGAGTTCAGCAAGCAGGAGGCGACTCGGCTTCGTCAGCAGCTCGACTTTACGTCGCGCAGCCTCGAGGAGGCGAGACAGTCCCTCCAGGAGGTGCGTCCTCTCGTTCTCTCCCTCGTCGCCGGACTCGTGGACCTGACCCTCTCTCGCCCGGACCTCTCTCTCCCCCTCTCGCAGGAGCGCTCCAAGACGGGCGACTCGCTCACGAGCTCGGCCCAGCACGCCGAGCTGCTCGAGTCGATCCACACGGCCAAGCTCCTGCGCGAGAGCAACCAAACGCTGCGCGACGAGAACGAGGCCAACCTCCGCAAGGTCGCGACGCTCGACACGCAGCTCCGCCAGGTCCAGGGCGAGCTCAACCCGCTCAAGGAGCACGTCGCGACGCTCCAGGCCGAGGTCAAGTCGAAGCAGCACCAGATCCGCCTCCTCGAGGAGGACAACGAGCGGTGGAAGACGCGCAACCAGACGATCCTCGCCAAGTACGAGCGCATCGACCCCGAGGAGCTCCAGGTCCTCAAGGCCGAGGTCGACAAGGTGCAGGCGGCGCTCACGGCGTCGCAGGCCGAGCGTGACGAGATCTCGGCAAAGCTCACCGAGCAGACGAACCTCGTGCGTCCCCTTTCCCTCCTCCTCCGCTCTTCCGCCTCGTCCTCCCCTCCTTCACGGCATTGTTCACCGACCTCGTCTTCGTCGTCCCTCCCGTCGTCGCCGTCTGCAGGCCGAGTCGATGCGCGCCAACTGGCAGACGGGCCTCGAGCGCTTCAAGGGCCTGCAGGCGCAGGCGCGCACCACTCGCGACGAGCGCAACGCCCTCGTCAAGACGGTCGAGGAGCTCAAGGCCCAGATCGAGGCCGGCGGCAACTCGGACCAGGTCGTCGCCGCCGCCACGGCGCAAGCGCAAGCCCAGTCGCAGGAGGCGCTCGCCGAGCTCCAGGCTCGCCTCGCCGCGACCGAGAGCGAGAAGGTCGCGCTCGAAGCTCGTCTCGCCGAGCAGGCCGCCGCGCTCGCCGCGCTCGAGGGCGAGAAGACGAGCCTTGTGACCGAGAAGACGACGCTTCAAGCCGACCGCGACGTGAGTCCGCCCTTCTCACACCGTACCCTCCTGTGCCCTCGCGCAGGACTGCGCTCACTCGTTCTCTCGTCTACAGCGACTCGCTGCTCGCGAGGAGCCCATCTTCTCAGACAACGTGCGTCCCTCGTCCTCTCCCTCTCAGCCTCTCCCTCTCTCCCTCTCCTTCTCTCCTCCCTCATGTCCCGCCCACCTCTCTTCCCTCCCAACATCTCTCTCTCGTGCCGCCCGTCTCAAGACCTGCGACTGACGGTCCCTCCCGTCCACAGCGCCGCATGAAGGCCGACGCCCGCCAGCGCCAAGCCGAGCTCGACGCCGCCCAGAACGAGCTCAAGTCGCTCAAGGAGACGCTCTCGTCGGGCGACAACGCCGCCGCCATCGAGGCCGCCGTCCAAGCACGCGTCGCCGAGGCCGTCCCGGCACCCGCACCCGCCACCCCGACCGACGAGCAGGTCGCCGAGGCCGCCAAGAGCAAGATCGCCGCCGCCGAGGCGCAGTTCGCCGCTCAACGCGACGAGGCGGTCGCCAAGGCGATCAAGGAGACCACCATGCAGCTCCAGCAGCAGATCGAGGCGATCCGCGCCGAGCTCGCCGCCGCACAAAAGGCGGCCGCCGAGTCGGCTGCTGCCGCCGCCGCCGCCGCCGCCGCCGCACCTGTACCGGCCGCCGACGGTGGCGCTGCTCCTGTCGTGTCGACCGGCGCGAGCGACGAGGACGTCAAGAAGGCCGTCGAGGCCGCTGTCGCCGAGTCGAAGAAGCAGCTTGAGGCCGACTTTGAGAAGATCAAGGCCGAGTCGACGGCCGAGGCGGTCAAGAAGGAGAAGGAGACGATCGAGCGCCTCACGACGGCTCTCCGCAAGGCGCAGCAGCAGGCCAACGCCGCCGCGGCCGCCGGCCCGTCGTCATCGTCGCCGTCCGCTCCGGCGCCCAACGTCGACAAGCTCGTCGCCGACAAGGTGGCCGCCATCGAGAAGGAGCGCGCGGCGGCGCAGCAGCAGGCGATGCAGAAGGCCGTCGCGGCCGCCCTCGAGCGCCAGAAGAAGGAGCACGACCAGCTCCTCCAGTCGACCAAGGAGCAGATCGAGAAGCAGGCGGCCATGAAGAACAACCTCTTGCAGAAGACGGTCGCCGGCCTGCGCCAGAAGCTCGCCGACAACGGCATCACGACCGGCAACGCCGCTCGTCCAGCTGCTCCGGCCGCCGCCGCCAACGCCACCCCCGCCGCGACACCCGCCGCGTCGACCTCGGCTCCCGCACCAGCACCCGTAGCAGCGTCAGCCGTAGCACCAGTCGCAGCGGCGCAGCCGGCCGCCACGCCGCCAGCACTCGCCGGTCCGAGCCAGGACGGTCGGGGCGGCGCGGCGGCAGGTCGAGGCCGGGGCGCCCAGCGCGGCGCTCGAGGCGGCCGCGGTGGCGCAGCAGGTGCGCGTGGCGGCAAGGCGGCGGGCTCGCCTCCTGCGTCGTCGCCCGCGCAGGCCGCTGGCAGCTCGTCGTCGGCGGCGGCGACCGGCGCGCCGGCGACTCCTGCGCTCACCCTGCGCGGTGCGGCGGCAGCACAGCGCCCTGGCGGCGTCCTCGGCTCGCTCCTCGGCGCGGCGGGTGCGCTGAACGCGGCGAAGCGGTCGAGGGAGAGCGACGGCGGGTCGGGAGGCGAGGGAGCGGACCAGGCGAAGCGGCCGAAGGGAGCTTGACGGGTCGGGCACGCACTTGAATAGCTGGCTCTCGTTCTCTGTACCTAGTTCCGTACTCTTGTCCTCGTTTATGCGAGCGCCATCGGTCTGCGAGAGAGAGCGAGGGAGAAGCTGGGCTCGCGACTCGAGAGAAGGTGACGGAGGAGGAGGTCGAGAGGGCGTCCGCCTCAGGCCGCCGTTCGAGAGGCGTGGCATGCTGCTGCGAGTACAGCAGAGCGACTTCCTGGCAGTCCTGTGCCCCTGCAGCAGCCGAGAGAGCCGTGTTGGCTCTTCATCAGGTCTCGCGCTCGCTTTCGGCTCTCTCGTCACGACCACTCACGCCGGCGAGCTTCCGACGCTCGCGGTGGACAGCGACGCATGCGTGCAATGTCTCGAGCTTTACGCCAGCACGCCCGCGAGCCTGTGGAGCCGGCGCGATGAAGGCGAGGCCAGCCACTCGTCGCCGGATGAGGGAGGTGTCGCCCCGTCCGCTCCTGGCGGTGCCTCAGCCGCGTGCGGAAGCGCACAGAGCGTGCGGGCGCCGACCTCGACAATCCCGCGCTCATGCGCCGCCGAGCGGGCCAGCCCTCGCCGCCTCCCTCCTCCCCTCCCGTCGCTTCTCCCCCTCGTCGCCTACTCGCCCGCTCGCTTCGCTGGTCGTAGCCAGAGCACGGCCCTACACCTGTACCCGCACCACCGCCCTTCCCAAGGTCTCGCCGTCCACAACCGGCCGTCTCCCTCCTCCCCTCGTTTCGACCACCCTCGCCCCCGCACTCTCACTACCGCCGTCCGCGAGTCGCTATGCGCACCACCAGCCTCGTCCTCCTGTCGCTCGCGTCGGCGTCGACGTTCGTCTCGGCCAAGGCCGACGGCCGCAACTCGCTCGAGACGCTCCTCGACCGCATCCAGCACAGCAAGACTGGCACCTCGCCTTCGCCGGGCAACACGGCCAAGGTGCCCGCCGTCGCAGCCGACGAGGACGACGTCGAGCCGGCGGCGCCGACCGCCGAGATGAAGGACCTGTCCCAGGACGAGGGCGCTCGTGCGTCGAATCGTTTCCCTCCTCGTCCGAGCCTGAACCGCAGAGAGCTGACCACGAGCACCGCCCACAGCCGCCGCCAAGATGGTCAAGCGCAACCGCACCAAGGACCACGAGCAGAACGCCAAGCGCTGGGCCGACCTCGTCCTGCAGTACGACCCGCTCGCCGTCGTCGCCAAAGCTCGCACGAGCCTCACGACGCCCGCCGCTCAACCCTCGCCCTCGGTCGCCTCGGTCTCGAAGCGCATGACGACCACGCCGGCGGCTGCGCGCCACACGCCGGCCGAGAAGCGCTGGATCTGGGCCAACTCGGTCATCCAGGACGACACGCCGGCGTCCGAGGTCCCGCCCATCGGCGAGAACGTCAACCAGCTCAGTCAGCGTGCGTCCCTTTTCTCGAGCCTACAGACGATCGCGCAGAGCCGCCCCATTGACCTCACGCTCGATCTGCAGCCGCCGTTACCATCTCGACGCCCGACGCCGTCCTCGGCGCCCCAACCTTCCCGGCCGTCGCCAGCTCGACTGTCGCCGACTCGCCTGCCGCGCCTACGTCTGTCGCCGACGCGGGAGCGGCTGTCGCGGCACCCGAGGCGGCCACGACCTCGACGTCTGCGCCTGCTCCCGCCCCGACCTCGTCCGCCCTGTCCTGGTGGGACCCGACCGAGTTCTTCCACGATGTCGAGGCCGGCTTCGAGAAGCTGTTCGGCCTCGATCGCGACGACCAGACGTCGTCCTCGGCCGCGACTGCCTCGCCTACAGTCTCGACGGTCGACGTCGAGAAGCGCTGGGTCTGGGCGACCGGCATCATCCAGGACGACACGCCCAACGCGCCGCCGATCGGCGGCAACTACAACATGTTCGGCTCGCAGGTCGTCCCTGTCAACACGCCGTCGCTCTCGCTCGCCCTGCCGTCGTTCGCCCCTCGCCCACCTCCTGCTCACGCAGCCGGCGGCGTGTTCTCGAGCCCGGCCAACCACGACATCGCCGCCGCGCCGCCCGCCGATGCGAGCGTCGGCGACGGCCACGACGCCAACATGCCGTCCGTCGCGGCGCAGCAGACGGTCGTCGGCGCGGCCTCGTCGTCGTCGGTCCCGGTCCCGGTCACGGCGAGTCGCCTCTCGCACGCGCAGCGCATCGCCGCCGCCCGTGCGAGGCATGCTGCGCCGGCGACAGCCCGTATGGCCAAGGTCAAGCGCGGTGGGCACGCCTGAGCGCCGCATCGAGCAGGACGCGCTCGCCTCGAAACAGGCTCGAGCCATCCCTTCTTCCTCCCTTCCTCCTCGATACCCCGTTCTCCTGTCCCTCTTGTTCCATTTGACGCTCCGCATTCGCCTCACCACACACCTGTAGCCTTACCCTGTCCACGACCTCGTCTTTCCTCGCGCAAAGCTGCCTTTGAGCGTTTCGCTGCCTTTCTCTCGCCTCGTCCCCTCCTCTCTCTGCGAGACTTTGTCTGTCTGAACGCGAACGAATGCAAGGTCGTACAGAGAGCGAGAGTGAACTGCTCCAAGTGCCGTGCAGCTGGTCCGCCCCCTCTCCTCCCGACCCGCCGTCGCTCTTCCTCGACCGCTTCGCCGCGTTGAGCGCACCCGCCGCGCCGAGTAGCGAGCCAAGGACGCCTCCAGGACGCTGTGCTGCCGCCGCACCGCGCAGGGTGGGCGCAGGAGTCGCCGGCGCGCCGGTCGCCGCCGCCGACGAGCTGCTGCCGGCCTGCGCGGGCGACGACGCAGGAGGCGAGCCCGCCGCCTTGCCGCCACGCGCACCTGCTGCGCCGCCGCGGCCGCCTCGAGCGCCGCGCTGCGCGCCCCGACCTCGACCTGCCGGCGCGCCGCCTCCGTGTCCTCCGCGTTCATCCTTGCTCCCACCGGCCGCTCCACCGGCGCGACCGCTCCGCGGACGGGCTGCTCGTACGATCGATGGCGCACGCGAGCGCGCACGCTCCTCCCGGCGACGAGCGGCGCCCCTGTCCTTGCTCGAGCCTGCTGGCCGAGCCTCGTTCGTCCTCCGCTTGATGGCTCGCGTCTGCGTCCTTTCAGCTCTGCTCTGCGCCGTTCACAGCAAAGCAGGAGCGCGACGTCTCGAACGGTGAGCTCCCTCGCACACTCTCTGTCTGGCGCCAAGAACGAGACTGACTCCTCGCCGCAGATGCCACGCCCGAACCTCGCCGAGCTCGACCCGCCCAGCCTGCGCCGCTCGCCCAAGATGCTCGACATCTCCAGCTTCGACCTCGATCCCGCCGTACCTCGCCCGACCCGCGACCGCGCCGACAACCTCGTCGCCTCGCTCAAGCGCGCGACCGCTCTCGTCGAGCGCACCGTGCACGACACGACCCCGTTCGCCACCCTCTCGCTCGCCCTCTTCGGCAAGGTCGTCCACGAGCTCGACCATGTCGTTCAGCTCGTCGAGGCGGCGGCCGCTGTCGAGGCGACGGGCGAGCGCGACTCGCTGCCCGTTCGAGTCGAGGAGAGCCGCCCGACGAGGCGCTCGTCAAAGGTGCACGAGCCCGTCGGGCACAAGCGCGAGATTGGGCACGAGGAGCAGGGCGAGGAGCAGGGCGAGGAGCGTGCGAGTCGCCCACCTCGCCACGAGGGCGAGTCGAACGAGCACGACCAGCCCCGGCGTCGAGAAGGTCGTCCTCGCGACGAGCAGCGCGACGAGCCTGTTGTTGCGGTGGACCAGCCGCGCGATCGCCGCGACGCACTCGAGCGCCTGTCGCACGACGGCCGCGTCCACCGCCCGTCATCGTCGCACGCTCGCCGAGACGAGGCCCCGCCGCACAACCGCGCCCGAGTCGACCGCGTTCCCTCTCGCCCTGCGTCCGCCACACCCGCCTCGCCCATCTCGTCGCCTGTCGACGAGCCCGCCGACAAGCGGCGGTCGATCTCGCGCGCCGCCTCGCGCCTCACCTCGCGGGTCGTCTCGCCGCCGCCGCCGTCCGCCCCTCCTCACGACGAGCCTGGACCTCCCGCGCGCCGTCACATCGACCGCAAGGCTACTCGCTCAGCGGCCCAGTCGCAGCCGTGCTCGTCGTCGCCGGATCCGTCGGCGAGTCGTCGCCGCGAGAGCTCGTCCGCCCGGCCCAAGTCGCGCGCGAGCTCGGCTGCGCCTCGCCGCGATGACTACAAGCCGCGCGACCTGCGGTCGAGCCCTCTCGACGGTCCAGCAACGCGCCCAAAGTCGCGCACGTCCACGAGCACGGCGAGCAGCCGACGTGCGCCGACGCTCGAGCCTCTTCCTCCTCGCCGTTCGTCGTCGCGCAGCCGCTTCGTCGCCGACTCGTCCGCGTCGGACGATGACGAGCTCGTGCGCCGCCGCACACACGTCGATGAAGGCGACGAGCCCGCGAGTCAGCCGCGCTCGCGCTCCAAGGCGCGCTTGGCGGCGCGGTCCTCCAGCGGCCGGTCGGACGACGCTCGCCGCGCACTCGAGCTCGCGTCGGCGCCGCCGCCTCGGGCGATGGGCTCGGACTCGGACGACGAGGGCCAGGCGAGGAGGCCGTCGAGCGCGGCGCCGGCGGTCCGGCCGGCCGTTCTGACCGGCGCGCGAGTCGCAGCGGCGGTCGTGCGAGCGGTCGAGGGCGGCCCGGGAGGGGGCAAGCAGGAGCTCGCGACGCTCTCGCTCGTGTCGAGCGAGTACCGCGAGCCATCGCAGGCGGCGTTGTACCGCGTCGTCGCCGTCACCTCGACCCGCCAGCTCGACCTCTTCCTGCGCACCATCGAGTCGGCTCCTTCTCTCGGCGCTCTCGTTCGCGAGCTCAAGATCCAGCCTCTCGACGCCGACCTGCCGACGCCCCAGCCCGAGCCGCTCATCGACCCGCTCAGGCGGCTGTTGAACCGCCTTCCCAACTTGACCTCGCTCGACGAGGACTTTACCGCCGGCGACTGGGACGTCGGCGACCTCTCCACCGGTCGCGACTACCTGCTCACGGTCTTGTCGCCGTGCAACCTCGTCCGGTTCCGCAGCGCCAAGGCGTGGTTCGAGATCGGCGCCCTCTTTGCGCTCCTCCAGACGCAGCCGCAGCTCGTCGAGCTCGTCATCGGCGGCGCGGCCATGGACCGCGACTGGGTCGGCACCAAGCTCCTCGCCACCCTCGCTTCGTCGTCGTCGTCGCCGGCACCGGCCGCGTTGCTCGAGTCGATCGAGATCGGCCAAGTCATGCACGAGGACACCCTTGCCGTCCTCCTGCGTGCGACGGGCGGCGACTCGGTCGGCCGTCTCTCGAGCGTCCGCATCGGGTTCCAGTCGCTCGGCGCCTCGGACGACGACACGCCGCTCGCGTCCGTCCCGGCCGCGCTCGCCCTGGTCGGCTCGACCGTGACGCACCTTGCGCTCGCCGCGCCGCGCAAGGCGAGCGACGACTCGTCCGCACTCCTCGACGAGGTCGTCGCCGTACTGCCTCGTCTCGAGGTCCTCGAATGGACCGAGGCGACCGACCTCGCGCCCCTCGCGCTCGCCAAGCCGACGGTCCTCGTCCGCCTCCCGTCGTCGCTGCGGGTCCTGCGCGCGCGCTCACTCGTCTCTCTCTCGACGAGCGCCGTGCTCTCGTTCCTGCACGGCGACGCACCGCGAGCGCTCGAGGTCCTCGACGTCCAGTGGGCGCACGGCTCGTCGACCGCGGAAGACCTCGCCAAGGAGCCGTGGTTCAAGCCAAGGCATATCGCGCGCATCGAGGACGCAGCAGCAGAGCTCGGCATCGAGTGTCGTGTCGGCAAGGGCGACGAGGCACTCGCTTTCGGCAGGGCCTGAGCTCGACGTCGGGCGAGTTGAGCAAGGACGAGGGGAGAGGGGCTCGAGCGCGCGAATAGACTGCAATGCCGTTCGAGAAGCTACTACACATAGCGCAAAAGAGGAGAGAGGGGGAGAGAAACGCGAAGATGAATTCTGGACAGGGCGGGATGGGATGCGAGGGAAGAGAGAGAGAGGGGAGGGAGGAGAGGGACGAGAGGAAGGGCGAGGGCGCGACGGACGCCGGTCAGGCAGTCGTCGCACCACCTCGCGCAGCTCCCGCCTTGAGGCGCATCATCTTCTCACGCAACGAGTCGACCTTGGTCGTCGGCGGGGCGGCGGCCTTGTCCGGGTTTGAGAAGGTCGACGCGAGCGAGACGGCGCCGGCATTCTCGTCGATGGCGCCGAGGGCGGCCCTGCGCGGTGCCGTGTCGTGCTCGGGCTTGAGCGGAACGACCGTGTCCTTCGAGACGGGCTTGGACGAGAGAGGGCGGGCAACGCGCCGGGCAGAGGAGGGAGCGTCGGACGACGAGAGGTTCTCTTTGTCGACAGCGACGGTGACGGCGCGCGTTGCGGGCGCGGATGCGACGTCGAACTCGTTGGGCGCGGGGCGCTTCTTGCCGATCGAGGGAGGAGCGGGTGCCGAGGGAAGAGGTGCGGCGGCGAGGATCGAGGCGGACTTGGCGGTGGTGAGGTCGCGCTGGAGGGTGGCGACCTTGGCCTTGAGGCGCTCGATCTGGGCCGTGTAGCGCTTCTGGACCTTGAGAGCCTGCGAGAGAAAAGAGGAAAGTCAATACAGGCGTGCACGGAATGAGAGAGTCGGAGAGCGCGGACGCACCTCGATGAGCTTTTCGTCGGCCTCCTCGACGTCCAGCATCTTGATCTCGAGCAGCTTTTCAAGCTCGGCGATACGCTCGTCGAGCTCGGCGTTTGGCGGTGCTGCGGCTGCCGAGGACTTGAGCGCGTTGACCTCGCCGAGGAGCTGCTGGACCTGCTCTTCTGCCGCCGCCTTGCCCTGCTCGCACGTCTGGAGCGCGTCGATGACCTCCTCGAGGTTCTTGCGCGACTGCTCGGTCGTCTGGTGGAGGCGAGTCTCGAGGTCTTGTACGGCTGCGAAGGCACAGGCGGCAAAGCGTCAGGGTCTGCGGCGTCTGTTTCCGTGGGGCAGAGGGCGAGGAAGGCGAGGACGCACTCTGGTTGAGCGAGCCGACCTGGCTGCGCACGCCGTTGAGCTCGTCCGTGAGCGCGAGCGCCTCGCCCTGCGAGCTCGCGCTGAGCTGGCGGAGCGTCTGGATCTCGCGCGCGGCGTGCTCGGCCGTCGCCTGCGCCTGCTCGAGCGAGGCGTGCGCAGCTTGCGCGGCTGCGCGCTCGCGCAGGACGAGCTGGTCGAGGGCCTCGAGCTCGGTGCGCGTCTCCTGGAGCTGCTGCTCGAGCGAGGCGACCCGCGAGGCCGTGCCGACGGCGTCCCGCAGCTTGGCCTCGAGCGACTCGATCTCGGCTTGCGCGACCTGCGCAGACGCCTCGAGAGCGGTCCTCGACTCGACGACGGCCTGGAGCTGCGCGCTGGATGCGGCGAGCTGCTCCTCGAGGCGGGACGTGCGCTGCTGCGCCTGCTCGTGGACGATCTCCTTCTCGTCGACGGCGACTTGCAGTCGCTCGACAGCCGACTCGAGCGTGATGATTTGCCCTTCGAGTGCCGAGCGCGCGCCGACCGACGAGGCGTGCTCCTCGCGCAGTGCCGACAGCTCGGCGGCGGACAGCTCGAGGGCGCGCTTGGCGGCGGCGAGGTCGTCGTTGCTCGTGGCGAGGTCGGATTGGAGCGCGACGACGTCGCCTTGTGCGGCGACGAGGGACGACTGCGTGTCGGCGAGAGAAGTCTGGAGCTGAAGGAGCAGCGACGAGTCAGGGCTGTACCCGAACGAGAGGAGGCGAGGCAGAGGAAGCGGGGACGCACCTGAGCGACCTGCTCTTCTTGCTCTGCGAGACCTTGGACGGCGGCACGAGACGACACGAGGTCGGCCTGCGCAGTCACGAGCTGCGACTCGAGCTCGGCGGCACGCTCCTGCAGCGCGACCGCGGTCACCTCGACATCGGCGAGGCGGTTCTCGGCGGCTCGAGCGGCGGCATCGGCGCGGTCGCTCGTCTGCTCGAGCTCTGCTGCGCGCGCAGCAGCGGCGGCGAGCTGCTCTTGCTGCGCGACCATGTCGGCGCGCACCTCGGCGAGCTGGTTCTCGAGCGAGGATGCCGACGCTGTCGCCTCGTCGGCCTGCTGCTGCGCGTCGACGAGCTGGACCTGGACGGACGCGAGTTGCTGCTCGAGGTGCGAACGCGTGGCGAGGGCGGCATCGAGGTCGGCCTGGAGGAGGTCGAGGTCGACAGACGGCGTGTCCTGGAGGATGGAGCGAGTCGAGTTGTCGTCCTCGGCGCCGTCGACGGCGTCCTCGTCGTCCTCGATGGCGACGCGAACGGCGAGGTTGAGCTGAAGAAGGGCGATCTTGCGCTCGTAGTTGTTGATGGTGCCCGACTGCGCCGAGATCCTGCAGGAGGACGAGCCGAGTCAGAGGACGCACAGCGACGAGAGGGTGGGGGCAGAGTAGACGAAATAGGACGACGCACTGGCTCTCGAGACCGACGACGTCCGAGCGGAGCGTGTCGCACAGCGCCGCAAAGTCGTGGAGCTGGTTGCCCTCCTGGATCTCGCGCCCGAGCTGCGCCGCCGAGAGCAGCCGCTCGAGCTCGTCGATGCGCTCGCCCGCAGCTGCGGCGACCGCCTTGTGCTCCTTGACCTCGAGCGTGGCGGCGTCGAGCTCGGCCTGGATCGACTCGAGGGCCGCGTGAAGCTCGATGTTGGCGGCTGTTGCGGCGTCGAGGTCGTCGCGAACCTGCAGGGACGAGGGACGAACGTGTCAGAGGGAGGGGCGCATAGGTAGATAAAAAAAGAGGGAGGGAGCGCACCGATTGCGAAGAACGGACGGCCTCCTCCAACTCCCCCTCGACAGCCCTCGCGCTCTCCCGCTCTGCGCGCTCCTCGTCGCGCGCCTTCTGCTCGTCGGCAAGTCGTCTTGTCGTCTCCTGAACCCTGCCCTCGGCGGCCTTGAGCTGGCGCGCGACGTCGTCGAGGCGCTCCTCGACCGCCTCCTTCTCCCGCCTCGCCTCCCTCAGCGCGTGCTCCATCTTGGCGTTCGTCTCGCACTCGGCCTCGAACGCCGCCTGCTTGTCCATGAGGTCGAGCCCGAGCGTGCTCAGGTCGGCCGCCTTGCTCTCCTCGGCGTGGCGCAGGCGCTCCTGCAGCAACTCGACGCGCGTCTTGGCCTCGATGCGCGAGAAGTCGAGCCGCGAGCGCAGGTCGTCGCGCTCCTCGCGCAGGCGGAGGACGAGGATGGTCGGGTCGGCCTCGGGCGAGAAGGCGAAGGAGCGGGCGAGAGGGGTGCTCGGCGAGGGGGTCGCCGGGACGGGCGAGAGCGGTGTCGGGGTGTCGTCGCGGGACGAGGTCGAGAGCGAGAGGTTGGCCTGGGCGTTGTCGAGCGAGTCGTGCGCGTCGGACAGGCGGTGGTGGGCGTCGTCGAGCTCGGCGCGCAGCTGGTCGACGGTCGCCTCTGCCGCCTCGGCGCGCTCGAGCAGGGCACGGATCTTGTCCTCGGCGTCCTGGTTGCTCTGCAGCGCCGCCGCCTGCGAGTCGCGCAGCTCCCACCCGAGCGAGTCGAGGCGCGCCTCGGTCTCGCCGAGGATGTGCCGCAGCGCGTCGGCCTCGACGACCTGGCGCTCGAGCTGGTCGACGACGGCTTCTTGCTCGCGCAGGCGCGCCTCGAGCTCGGCAATATCCTGCAGGGCCGCGAGCGACGCGTCCTCGGCGTGCGCGCGAACGTCGTCGAGCTCGGCGGCGACGGCGAACAGCTCTTGCTCGACGTGCTCGAGGCGTGCGGCGCTGTGCTCGAGCGCGTCGACCTGGGCGTGGAGCGCCTCGCACTCGACCTTGGCGGCGTCACGAGCGCGGCGCTCGTTCGCGAGGCGCTCCTCGGTCTCGGTGAGGTGCGCCTTGGTGTCGAGGAGGGCCTCCTCGACAGCCGCCGTGTCCTCCTTGGCGGCGACGGCGAGGGCGCGCTCGCTCGCGACGGCGCCCTCGAGCGCCCTCGCCTGCTCCTCGGCCGCGTGGAGCTGGACACGCAGAGCGGCGACGTTCTCGTGGCCGACCGACGCCGCGAGCTGGGCGTCGCGCTCATCGAGGGCGTGACGAAGCTCGACCGCCGCGTTCTGCGCTCCTTGCAGGGCGGTCTCGAGCTCCGTGACGCGGTCGCGCGACTCGGCGAGGTCGACCGGCATGGTCGACAGCTGGTCGAGGCGGTCCTCGGCGGCGCGGGCCGACGACGCGTGGCTGTCGCGCTCGGCTTCGACGGCGGCGAGGCGCGCCTTGACGTCGAGGTGGGCCGAGGACGAGCGCTCGGCGGCCGAGGCGGAAGCGCCGGCCGAGTGCTCGAGCTCCTCGATGCGCATCGAGAGCTCGTGGATGAGGTGGTCCTTCTCGACGACGGACGCCTCGAGCTCGGCGATCTGGGACGAGAGCGCGTCGAGCGTGGTGGACGACTGGGCCGACTGGGCGCGAAGGTTGCCGTAGGCGGACCTGCAGAACTCGAATATCAGTCGCGGTCCTTCCGGCGGCAAAGAGAGAAATCGAGCAGGCGCACCTCGCTTGGTCAAGGTCCTGCTTGACCGTGTCGAGCTCTTGCTCGAGGGCCGCCTTGTCGACGGCGAGCTGCTCGGCGGCGGTCGATTGGTCGACGAGCTGCGATTGCGCGTCTTGATGCGCCCGGGACGCCGAGGCGAGTGCGACGACGAGCTCGTCTCGTCTGCAGGGGGCGAGGGCAGCGTTAGTCGAGGCTCGCGAGGGCAGGGGGGCGAGGAAGAGACAGGGTGCTGGACGTACTCGGCCTCGACAGCGGTCATGCGCTCCTCCAGCTCGCCCCGACCGGCCCGTGCCAGCTCGACAACCTCCTCGCGCACCGGCGCCACCGTGTCCTGCTGCGCGACGCGCGCCTCGAGCGCCACCTTCTCGGCTTGAAGCTCGGCGATCTGGGCCGACAGCGTCGCCATGTCGGCGTCGAGCTCGTCGAGCGCCGCGTCCTTGTCGTCGAGGGCGCGGCCGCACTCGGCGTGCTCGTCGTCGAGGAGCTCGAGCTCGCGCGCGAGCTTGTCGCGCTCGGCCTTGACGTCGTCGTGCTCGAGCAGCTGCTCCTCGTGCCACGCGAGCTCGACCTCGAGCTCTTGCACCTCGTCCTGGAGCGCGGCGGCATCGTCGCGCGCCTCGGCGAGCAGGCGGTCGAGCTCCTCGCGGCTGCCGTCGTCCTGGTCCTGCTCCTCGGCGCGGCGGCGTGCCGCCTGCGTCAGGCGCGCGACCTCGGCCTCGAACGACGCGCGCTCCTCGTTGGCGGTGCGGGCGAGCTGGGCGATCTCGCGTTGCAGCTCGTCGCGCGTCGCCTCGAGCTCGTCGCGCACGTCCTCGAGCTCGCTGCGGAGCTCGCCCGACTTGTCCTTGGCCGAGCGCTCGAGCGCCATGAGGGCGTTCTCGGCGCGGAGGAGGTCGTCGCCCTTGGCGCGCAGCTTGGCCTGGGTCGACTGGAGCGTCGCGTCGGCGTCGGCGGCGCGCTTCTCGGCGGTGGCGAGGGAGGACTCGAGAGCCGATATGGTGGAGCGCGCCGAAGAGAGGTCGGCCTCGAGCTGGGCGAGCTTCTGGGCGGGGACGCCGGCGGGCGAGTCGGCCGTGACGGACGTGCGGCGCGACATGCCGGGCTTGGGGATGGCGGAGTGGCTGGCGAGGCTCGAGGGAGGGCGAGGTGGGCCGTTCGAGCCGAGGACGGAAGGAGGGCGGATCGACTTGGCGGATGAGGAGGAAGGCGTGCTGGACGTGGTGGGCTGGAAGCCGAAGCGGCTGCGGGTGGTCGGGCCAGGCTTGACGTCGGGTGCCGTGACGGACTGTCGCGAGGCCTGTTGAGCGAGCAGAGTCAGTCAGGCTCAAGGTTCAGGGACGGGAAAGGGTTCGAGGCGCACCGGTCGAGCGATCTTGGACGCGGTTGTTGCGGTCGTTGCGGTCGAGTCGACAGGTACCAGGCGGTTCTCCTTCTCCTTCTCGAGGTCGAGCTGAGCGCGTTGCAGCTCGGTCGTGAGGGCGTGAACGCGCTTCTCGAGCGCCGCCTTCTCCTCGGCGATCTTAGACGGCGCAGCGGCGTGAGCTGCCTGAATCTCGAGCTCTGTGGGGGCACAAAGGGTCAGCTCACGGTGCGGGAAAGGGAGGAAAGTGGACGGGCAAAGACGCACGGTAGTTGAGGCGCTTGAGCTCGCCGTGCTGGGCCTTGACCGTCTCCTCCGACTCGCGCAGCGCCATCTCGGCGTTGGCCTTCTGGTCCTTGAGCGTGTTGTAGGCCTGTGAGCGGATCGCGAGGGTCAGTGTCGATTGTGGAAAGGCAGGGCGAGAGGGCGAGTGGGCCGCACGTCGGTGCGCTTGCGCAGGGCGTCCTCGGCCTTCACGGCCTTTGCCGCCTCCTGCGATGCCTGCATGCGGGCGCGAAAGGTCAGCTCACCGCGTCGAAGGCGCACAAGGGGAAGAGGGACGCGGGACGCACGCGAGCCATGCCCTCGCGGACATCCAACTCGAGCTCGTGGACGCGGTGACGGAGCTTGAAGGCCTCGTTGCGCTCCGAGTCGAGTTCAGTTTCGAGCTTGAGCTTGGCGCGCTTGAGGGTGGCGACCTCCTTGTCGAGGGGCGTCTCGTCGGCGGCGAAGCCAGCCATGGCTCTGGACGAGGTTGACCGACGCGGACGAGGGAGGCGGGCGAGGGTTGCGGTGCTGGGTGCACTCGTGCTAGCGGGCTGTCGAGGTGCCCTTGGGCTAGTGCAGCTGCGCTCTGGTGGAAGGCGAGCGGTGTGCGGGTGACGAGAGCGAGTAAACAACAAACGAGCGAGCCTCGATGAGATGAGGCGGCGCCCCCCGCAGCTCTCCCTCTCCTGCCGCTGTGGGCTTGCACGCTTGCTCAGCCCTCTTAACGGCCTCCTTGGAGTGCTACAGAGACGTGACCACCCGCGTCAGAGCGTCGCAACCGCTTCATCGCCTCCTCCCTCGCTATCCCCATCTCACGACCTCCCGCTCGCCCTCGTCGCGCTCCGTGTGCGACAAACTCCCCACCAGCCGCTGCAGCCCCACCTCGGTCCGCCCACAGCGCCGCCACTTCTGCTGCTTGAGTGAGCGGGTCGCTCGCCGTCTCGGCGCCGCACTCCTCTCGTCCCTCAGCTGCTGGCGGACCGGCGTCCGCCCTGCTGGCCACCGGTTCGTCTTCCTCCTGCTCCCGCGATCGAAGGCGCACACGGTGAGCACAAGCCGCAGCGCAGTCGCCGCCGTCGTCGTCCGGCTTCCGGAGGCTCGCGTTCCCCACCTCTCGGCGAGCGGCCCGCCGCCCTCCTCCCTCTCCATTCACCCGCTCGCGAGGCTGTTCGAGCCCTTCTCGCGTGCGGGTCAAAGTACATCGGCCTGGGCGGCTCCCCAAGGCGCCCCGCCTGCCGCTCGCTCTCCGGTCTCGCCACAACTCCGACCTCGCTCGCTGGGCTCCCTCTTCTTCTTCTCCGCTTCTTCTCGCACCTCTCTGCACCATCATGCTTCGCCTCAAGGTCGAGGACCGTCCCACGCCCAAGGAGGTCTACAACTGGCGCGTGTACCTCGCCAGCGCCGTCGCCGCCTTCGCAGCCGTGGTGCGTGCTCTCGTCCTCCTCCCTCTCACTGTCAGAGCGACTACTGACGCTCAAGCCTCTCGCAGTTCATCGGCTACGACGGCGCCTTCATCGGCACGGCTCTGAGCTTTGCCAGCTTCAAGGAGGAGTTTGGGCTTGTCGGCCTGCCTGCGAAGAAGCTCGCCGACATCAGCGCCAACGTCGTCTCGAGCTACCAGGCAGGAGCAATCGCGGGCGTTATCATGTGCGTCTGTACTCTCTCTGCCTTCCACCGGCTCACGAACGCGAGCGTGAGCTCACGCCACCGCCCCGTCCTCCCTCGCAGCGGTTACCCGGTCGGCATCTTCCTCGGCCGTCGCTGGGGCCTCATCGGTGCGGCGAGCGTCTTCAGTATTGGCGCCGGCATCATGCTCGCCGCCAACTCGTCGACCGGGCTCGCGCCCATCTACGGCGGCCGTGTCCTCGCCGGCGCAGGCATCGGCGCCGCCTCGAACCTCGCCCCGCTCTACATCTCGGAGGTCGCGCCACCGGCTGTGCGAGGTCAGATGCTCGCGCTGTACGAGATTGGGTGGCAGGGTGCGTCGGCTAGTCCCCTTTGAGACGAGGAGGCTCGTGCGCAAATCTCTGACTCTCGTTCCACCCTCGCCCGCAGTCGGCGCCGTCGTCGGGTGCGTCTCTCTCTCTCTCCCTTTCTCGACGTCCTCACACCTCGTTCTCCGATTGACATGCGTGTCTTCCACAGCTTCTGGATCAACAAGGGCGCTCAGGACAACATCGCGCCGGGCCACACCCAGTGGCTCCTGTCCTTCGCTGTCCAGCTCGTCCCGTCTGGCATCTTCCTCGCGGGCCTCGTCTTCCTCGTCGAGAGTCCGAGGTGGCTCATCCGTCGTGGGCGCCGCGAGGAGGGCCTCAAGAAGCTCTGCTACCTGCGCCAGCTCCCGCTCGACCACGTCTACATGCGCGAGGAGATCGAGATGGTCCGTCCTCTTTCCTTCTCTCTCTCTCCTTCCCCTCTTCTGGACACTCACGTTCTCGTTGCCTTGGCAGATCGACGCCGCCATCGAGCAGGACGAGCGCGTCCTCGGCACGGGCTTCTGGGCGCCGTTCCGCGTCTTTCGCGACAAGTCGCTCCTGTACCGCCTCCTGCTCACATGTGCGTTGTTTGCTTGGCAGAACGGGTGCGTCATATCTCCTTCAACCTCACGAGCGAGGAGGAACAGGTACTGACGACCTCGCCCCCTTCAGAACCGGCATCAGTGCGCATTTTTCTCGACTTTTCCCCTCTCGACCGTTCCTCACCTTTCCTCTTCGACAGACGCCATCAACTACTACTCGCCGACGATCCTGCGCAAGTGTGTCCCGCTTTCTCTCCATCCTGGGCGCCTCTCGCGAAAGAAGGCCTAAGAGCTGACCTTCTCTTCCTCCCCGCAGCATGGGCATCACTGGCCAGAACACGTCGCTCCTCACGACCGGCGTGTTCGGCTCGATCAAGTGCGGCTTGTCCATCGTGTGGGCGTTCTTCCTCGTCGAGACGATGGGTCGCAGGAAGATGCTCATGATCGGCGCCGTCGGTTCGTCCCTCGCGATGCTCGTCATTGCCGGTATCACCAAGACGGTGGACCCTGTCGCCAACCCGACGACGTCGGTGCCGCCGTCCGGCATCGCGAGCCTCGCCTTCCTCTACGTGAGCTGGCCCCCTTCCTCGTCCCCCGTCCTCCTCGAGACCTCGGCGGGCGCTGACTCGCGTCGGGCCCACAGGTCTGGACGATCTTCTACGCCGTCAGTTGGAATGGAAGTCCGTGGGTCGTCGTCGCCGAGTCGTTCTCGGGCTCGATCCAGCCCGTCGCCCAAGTCTTTGGCGCCGGCTCGAACTGGCTGTGTGCGTCCCTCCTGTCCTCTCTCTCCCTCTCTCCCCCTCTTCCCCTCTCTCCCCCTCTTCCCCTCTCTCCCCCTCTCTCGAGCGCACAGTGACTCTCTCGAGCGCACGTACTGACTCTCTCGAGCGCAGGGAACTTTGTCATCTCGCGTGCGACGCCGACCATGTTCCTCAACATGGGCGCGAGCGGCTTCGGCGTCTTTCTCTTCTTTGGCCTGTGCACCGCCGCTGCCGTGCCCTACGTCTACTTCCTCCTTCCCGAGACGAAGAGTGTCCCGTGCGTCGGCTTGTCCTCCCTCTCTCTCTCTTCGTCCCCCCTCCCCTCCCTCCCTTCTCTATCCCTCCTCCCTCGCCCCGCCGACCTCTCGCCATGACGGGTACCCTCGACGAGACGTGAGGTATCGTCACTAACGCTCTCGCCTCGTCACCACAGCCGCGAGGAGGTCGACCGCCTGTTCCGCAAAGGCCTCACGCCGCGCCACGCCAACAAGATCGTCCTCGCCGAGCTCGCCGCCGAGCGCGAGGGACACACGGGCGCGTACGCCGGCGGGCAGGGCCACGGCTCGAGCGGGCTCGGCTCCGAGAAGGACAAGGGCGAGGAGGAGTTCTTCGAGGGCGCGAGGTCGCCGGCCTGAGCGCGGTCTTTTGCTTCTTCTCGGTTCGGTCTGTAGCTTCACCTTCCTTCGGCCTCTCGTCTCTTTGTACGCCTGCAACCCGTCGACTCTCTTTGGTCGTCTCCTGCGAGGAGCTCCTTCGCGCGATCGAGAGCGAGGAGGAGAGGGTGCAAGCGTCGCTGTTCGCAGGGGAGGATGGGGACGACCAGTGTCTGACAGGCTCTTGGACTCTATCGAGGACATTGCAGAGCGCTCGTTGAGCCGAGAGGAGCGAGGTCGCTCGGTGCAGGCGGCCGTCGTCCACCTCGCGGCCCTCCTCCTGCTCCACCGCTCTGCTCCCGACGCGAGACCGCCAGGGCCGCTCATCATGGCACCTACACTCCCTCTCGAGCTCCAGCTGTTCGTCATCGACCTCGCCCTGCCGCCCCTCACCCGCAAATCGCTCGCCGAGCTGAGCGAGCTGATGAAGACGTGGACCCTCGTCGACCGCGCCTGGCACGCGTACCTGGTCGCCAAGGTGCCTGTCGTGCCCCGGCTCGTCCTGAGGGAGGACGAGCGCGACGTCGCCGCGTTCGAGCGGTTCCGCGAGGTCGTCGAGGCTGCGGGCCGGGTCGTCGAGCACTGCGAGCTCGACATGCGGCGGTGGAAGGGCGAGATCCTCGAGGGCCACCACCTCAAGAACGCTCTGCGTCGCTACAAGACCGCCTGGGTCGACTTGCCGTGGACCCCGTGCACTTGGCCGCTCGAGCATCTCGCCGGTCCGTCCTTTTCACCCAAGTCGCCTCGACAGAGCGCGCTCGGGAACTGATCATCTCGCGCTCTGCAGGCCTCACTCGCCTGTCGATGAACGACGATCTGCATGAAGAACCGCCGACGCTCGCGACCTCCGTCAATGCTCGTCTCGAGCACGTCGCCCTGACCTGTGTCGACCTCGCCGACGTCGACCTGAGCGGCGCCCACATCAAGTCCATCCTCTTCAACAAGTGCTACCGTATCGACTCGCAGATCTTTTCTGCGGGCTTCCCGTCTCTCGAGGTCCTCGGCATCGTGGCCACGTTCGCGGGTGAGGCGGTTCTCGCCGCGAGGGACCCTCCCGCCGTCCCTGCGACACGTCCTGATCTCGCTCGACGTCAACCCGTCTGTGCTGCTGGCACATGTCACCTTCCCGCCGACCCTCGACACCCTCACCATCCGCCACCCCGCCGACGCCTTGTCCCGCACCAAGTCGTGCGCGCTCTCGCCCTCGTTCGTCGAAGCCAACCTCGAGCACATACGCCAGGCTTGCGCCGCGAGCAACACGGTGTTCACGGTCATCGAGGCGCCCGAGGACGACTCGGCGTTCGACCTCGAGGCGTGGGCGCTTTCGGTCGGCGGGTAAGGAGGGCGAGGGGGTGCAGCAGGAGGAGGGTGGTCGAGAGGAGCGAGGTCGCGGAGCAGCAGCTTGAGCATGCAGTGCACGTCCATGCGCTTGTATCGAGCGACTAACGAGACCGAGAGGCGAGCTGCGAGCCACGCGAGCAAGCGTTTTCCGAGTCTGTGCCGCTCAGGCCCTCTCGCTCGCTCGAGCTCAGCTCTCCTCTCTCGTCGACTCGAGCGCTGTCGGTCCTTCTGCGACGTCTCGTCGTGCGCCTCATCGTACTCTCAGAAGCTGGCCCGAGTCGAGAGCGCGCGCAAGAAAGAGGGTCTAGGCTGCAGATTACACGTGCGACGCCGAGCTCGCTTTTGGGCATCATGGAGGAGAGAGAGAGAGGACGAGGGGATAGGGTGATGGACATGGTACGAGGACGACGATGGCGAGGATGGGGGAGAGAGGCATGGGCGTGGCAGAGCGCGAGGAGGAGGGACGAGCGAGAGGGGCGAGTCGTCGCTCAGTCGAGGACGGACTCGAGAGGAGCGTAGGCGCAGATACAGAGGCGACCTGCAGAGAGCGAGAGCGAGTCAGTGAGGCTCAGACGAGAGCGTCATGGAAGAAAGAGAGAGAAAGGGAGACGCACCGCCAAACTTGCGGCCGGCGATGGCTTTGAGGGCGGCCGTCGTCTCGTCCTCCTTCTCGAACAGGACAAAGACCTTGCCGAGGTCCTTGACGGCCTCGCTCGCCTTGATGTCGACCTTGCCCGTCGCCGTCTTGACCGGTCGCGGGATCTTTACGTCCTCGACCTTGCCAAAGTTGCTGCACTCGTCCTTGATGTCGTCGACGATGTCGGCATAGTCGGCGTCGCTCGTCAACTCGTCGACGCTCACCATGTTGAGGATCTGGAGCACGCGCGTCGGCTGCGCCTCGCCCTGCATGCCCGCCATGATGCTCGCCGGCGGTGCGCCGGGCGCGCTCGGGATCCCGCCCGGGCCGCCCATGGCATCGGGGAAGCCGATGCCGCTGCCCGGCGGGCCGGGCGCCTTGCCCGGAGCGGCGCCGAGCTGAGCGCGCTGCACGACGAGGAACCGGTCGCCGAGCTCCATGCCGTTCAGGCCCTGGCAGGCGACCTCGGTCACGGCCGGGTCGACGTACTCGCAGAACGCAAAGCCCTGCGTGCGCATCAGAGAGAGAGAGTCAGTGAGACGGATCGACGAGGCGAGGGAAAGAGAGAGGGAGAGAGGGAGGCGCACCTTGGACTGGCCCGTGCCACCCTCCTTGACGAGGTTGAACGCGCGCAACTCGCCAAAGCTCTTGAGGAGCTCCATGACCTGGTCGTCGTTGAGGTAGGTCGGCAGGCCGCCGACAAAGATCTTGTTGACCGTGTCGGGCACGTTGGTCGACACGACGCCGGGCACGTGCGGCGCCACCTCGTTCGGGTCGGCGCCGAGGTAGTCCTTGGGGCGGCGGATCTTGAGCGCGCTGTTGGCAAACACGATGCCGTCGAACGCGAGCGCGTTGGTCGTCTCTTGCGCGTTGCGGAACTGTGTGCGTGCGGCGGGGCGAGGGAGAGAGGGTCAGTCGATGAGCGAGGAGGAGGGCGAGCGAGGGGGACGCACCTCGACAAAGGCGTAGTTCTTCTCGTACGACAGGTGGACGCTGATGACGGGCTGGTCGCCCTTGAGGCCCAAACCCTGGAGGTCCTCGCTCAGGTGGCCGTCGCTCAAGAGGCCGTTGCGGGCCATCTCGCTGTTGAAGAACTGCTGGAGCGACTCCTCGGTCGCCTCGACGCCGACGTTGCCAACGTACAGGCGGCGCGACTGGCGGGCCTGGGAGCCGATGGGCGCGCCGGGGCCGACGGTGCCGAACACGGGCGGACGGTAGAACAAGGGCGGGTTGTCGGTCGTGTCGGCGCCGGCGGGCAGGTACGGCTTGGTCTGGCCGGGAAGGTTGAACATGCCTGTTTACGAGGAAGGGGCGGTGTCAGTCTCGAATGGCTCGTTGTTCTCGCTGGAGAGAAAGAGAGAGAGAGACGGACCCGTCATCTTGGCCTGAGTCGTCGTGTAGGTCTCCATGCCGGGCGCCTTGACGTCCCAGGCGGTAAACTGGCGCTTGCGCTTGCTGATGGGGATGGTACCCTCGGGCGTCGGGCTCCTGCGACCGCGGTCGTCGAAGCCCTCGAAGACGGGCGCGTCGCGACCGCGAGGTGCGCCTCGCCGTCCACCACCACCGCCGCCGCCGCCTCCACCGCCGTAGCCGCGACCCGGGGGCGGTCCCCTGCGGTCGTACCCGCCGCCGTAGCCTCCACCGCCGCCGCCGCCGTAGCGGTCGCCGTTGTAGCCGCCGCCGCCGCCCCTCGGGGGAGGAGGAGGGCCGCGTTCGTAGTCGTCGTAGCCGCGGCTGCGGCGCGAGTCGTCGTACCCACCGCCGCTGCGACGGCCATAGTCCCGGTCACGGTCGCGCTCGCGTTCGCGGTCGCGCTCGTAGTCGCGGTCGCGGTCTCGACGGTGCGAGGACGAGTGGGAGCGGTCGTCGTCGTAGCGGCGGGACGAGGAGCGGTAGTCGCGGTCGGCTCGGTCGCGGTCTGCGCGGTCGGGGGAGCGGGAGCGGCGGCGCGAGTCGGAGTGGCGCGAGGAGCGGTCGTCGCGGGAGGAAGGGGGGAGGACGCCCTCGAGGAAGGCGTCGGCCGAGCGGGCTGTGGGTGGTCCATGGGTGAGTTCGAGTTGGGCAAAGGAGAGTAGACGAGCGCACCTGGGTCTGCCATGGCTGAGCACGAGAGACGGACAGCGAGATGAGCAACAGCGAGAGAGGTCAGACCAGGAGGAGGGGAAGCTCGTCGCCCTGGCTCGCCTCTCCCTCTCGACGCCCAGCGAGTGCAGCAGAGCCATGGCCCGCTTTGGCCTCGACTCGGACTCGGACTCGGACTCGGACCACCTCAGCGTCGCGTCTGGGTCCCGCTCGCCCTCTCACTCGACTCGGTCCCGCTCCCACACCCTCGAGCCCGACCACGGCACCGACCACGACGACGACGACGATGCCCCGCCTCGACAGTCGCTGTACGACAACCACGACGACCACTCGATGGGCTCGCAATCAGCCGACGACGACGACGACGACGACCACCTCGCCTCGTCCAACCAAGACGACTCGTTCTCGCCCTCACCCTCGGCCAGCCCGGCACAAGCACCCCGCTCCCGCCCTCCAGCAGTACGCCGACCTGCCACTACCACCACCCGCACCCGCTCGAGCGACGACCCCGACTTGTCGCTCAACTCGACCTCCTCCTCCCCTCCTCCTCCTCCCACCTCTCGCCCTCAACAGCCCCAGCGCGCCGCATGGTCCTCGTCACACCAGCCCAAGCTCCGCATCGGTCGCGGTACCTCGGCCCTCGAGCCAAAGCGCGCCGCCGTCATGCAGGCCTCGCTCTTCCACCAGCACGCCAACGACGACGACGACGACGGCGACCTCATCCTCGAGCCCGCCGCCCTCGACCGCGACCCCAAGCGCACCCGCGTCGCCGACTCGCCTGGACCCGCACCCGCACCCGCACCCGCGCCGGCGCCCGTCCCAGCGACCGACCCGGCCCCGTTCCGCCCGCTGCGCACCTACTCGCGCCCGCCCCTCGCCGACTCGACGACGGCCCACGGCCGCGAGCGCAACCTCGTCGACGCCGGCCTCGCCCTCAGCCGCAGCTTCCGCGTCGGGTGGGGCCCGGCAGGCGAGCTCGTCACCCTCAAGGGCGTCTACCCGCCGGCGCAGGGCGCTGCGAGCGACTCGCTCAAGGTCGACCGCGTCCGCCTCGTGGCCGTGCGTCCTCATTTCTTTCGTCTCTCGCGGACTCGTCGCGCAGCGCAGACCCTGACGCAGGACCCCCCTCCAACAGAGCACCGACCCCGAGCCCGCCCTGCGCCTCCTCAAGCTCCAGCTCGCCCACTCGGACATCTTCCCTCCCTCGAACGCCGACGGCTCGTCGCCCGACGCCGGCACCTCGGCCCCGCTCGCCGTCCCGTCGCCCGACCTGCGCTTCTCGCACTACGCCAACCTGTTCTCGAACCCGGACTCGGCCGCGGCGCGCGCCCACCAGTCGGGCTCTGGCCCCAAGCCCGACCCGGACGAGGCGCAGCTGTTCAAGCTCGCGAGCGTCCTGTTCGACGAGGTGCCCGACCTCGCCCTCCCCGAGTCGGACGGCGCCGGCTCGCCCCCTGTCACGCCGCAGCAGCGCGCCCACATGACGGCCATGCGCCGCCGCGCCCAGCTGTCGGCCTGGCTCGAGGACGCGACGCGCCCTGCCGTCGAGGCGGCGCTGCACTCGGCGTCGTCGGGCCCGTCGTCGTCGTCGTCGTCGAGCAGCGGCGCCGCACGCGTATTCGCGCTGCTGTCGGGCCACCAAGTCGCGCGCGCGTGCGACGCCGCCCTCGAGAGCGGCAACGTGCGCCTCGCGACGCTCGTCGCCCAGGCCGGCTCGAGCTACGCGCCGCCCGACGCTCAGCTCCAGGGCGACCTCGCGCTGCAGCTCGCCAAGTGGCGCGAGTACGGCGTCGACGCGCCGCAGCTCGTCGACCCGGCGTACCGCCGCGTGCTCGAGCTCGTGAGCGGCAACGTCGGGGTCAGTGAGGGCCGCAAGAGCGGCGACGACGGCATGGGCGTCCCCGAGACGCACGTCCTCGAGGGCCTGACCTGGGTCCAGGCGCTCGCGGCTGGCTTGTGGTACGCGCCCGACCCGGACCAGGGCGACGGCGAGGCGGCCGTGCGCGACGCCGTCGAGGCGTACGAGCGCGCGTTTGCCCACGACGAGCGCGTCGCCCAGCCCGTCCCGGCGTACCTTGCCTCTTCGTCCTCCCCCTCTCCCTCCTCTCCCTCGTCCGCCCCGAGCTGGGCGCCCCTCCCGTCGGAGGCGCACGCTCCGCCCCGCGCCGGCACGTTCCACCTCCTCAAGCTGTTTGCGTCGCCCGTGCACGCGCTCGAGGACGCGCTCGCGCCGCGCAACTTTGGCCCGGCGCCGACCGACTACCGCCTGCCGTGGCACCTGTACGTGCTCCTGTCGCGGGTCCTCAGGCGGCGCGACTGGGAGGACCGCGAGGTGCTCGACGACGATGCCGAGGCGATGCGCGAGGAGGGACAGGGCGAGGCAAGGAGGGAGGGCAACAGCGTGACGGCCGACCGCGTCACCGAGGCGTACGCGGCGCAGCTCGAAGCCGTCGGCGAGTGGGACTGGGCCGCGTTCGTGCTGCTCCACATCGAGCTCGAGGACCGGTGCGTCTCCTTTACTCGAACCTCGCCCTGTCTCTCTCGCGATCGCAGCACGGTCACTTACTCTGAAAACATCCCCGATCCTCCACCTACACAGGCGCACCAAGGCGATCAAGAACCTCCTGGCGCGCCACGTCGACGAGCTCGCCGACTCGACCTCGCCGCGCGTCGACTTCCTCCTGGCGACCCTGCACCTCCCCGCCGTGTGGCTCTCGTCGGCCCAGGCCGACGCCGCGCTCGCCAACCCGCCGTCGCGCTTCACCGCCTACACGCTCCTCCTCGCGGCGCAGCGCGCCCCCGAGGCGCACGCCATCGCGTGGGCCGAACTCGCGCCCGAGGCCCTCCTCCGCAACGACCCGTCGCTCGTGCGACGCCTCCTCGCGCCGTTCCACGCCGACGACGACGCGACGGCGGGCAACGTGGCCGGGTGGGCCGACGCAGGCGGCGTCTTTGTCGCGTACCTCGACGTGCTCGACCGCGCGGCGCACGCGCTCCCGCACCTCGACGGGCAGCAGGCGCACGACGTCGCGCGCGTGCTCGCGAGGACGCAGCGCCTCGCGCAGAGGGCGAGGAGCGAGCCGCGCACGAGGGGCAGGACGCAGCTCCGGCTCGCGCTCGACGACATGGTCGGCCGGCTCGTCGTCCTCGCCAAGGCGGCGGCAGGTGCTGGTGCGCCCGTCGTGCGTCCCCCCATCTCTCTCAGGGTCTCTTCTCTCTCGTACGGCTCGAGTACTGACTCACGCGCACATGCCCGCAGGCCCTCGAGCGCGCGCAGCCGAGCCTCTTGCCCGACAGCGAGCGCGCCGTGTGGATCCAGGGCGCCAACAAGGCTTTCTGGGAGGCGAGCCTCGCGAGGGCGGTCAGTGCCTAGTGCGTCGAGGTCGAGCAGGGGCCCGAGGGAGGACGCTTTGCAAGGGACAAGGTTGTTTTGCCGTTGTGTGCTCGCGCGCTCGGCTCGCAAGGTCCGAGAAAGCGCGAGATCGAGAGCGGCTCTAAGGGCGCGACCTGTGGCGAGAAGGAGAGTAGACGAGCGGCGTGCAGGCTATGGCAGCGCCGAGGTGCACCAGGCGAGGTGGCACTCGATCGGGCGGACTTGGTCGTCGCGCGGGGCGGAGAGAGAGCGAGAGGCTCGCTCCTCGTCCGACCTCTCTCGACACTCGCCGAGCTAGCTGTACGGCTGCAGCACCACATCAGATTCCTTTCGACCACCGCCGAGCCGTCGCACGCGCACACCGCGGCCTGTTCGCCCTCGTCCCACCGTCGTCTCCGACTCGTTCAACAACTCGTCCCCGGCTCGCCTCACGGCCATGGAGCGCACGCCGTTCGTGCCCGTACGCAAGCACAAGCCGTCCAACTCGCCCCCGACCTCGCCAGTGCCGCGCATGCCCCGCTCGCCAGCCTCGGCCGGCGGGTCGTTCCTCGGCGGCCCTCCTCCTCCTCCTCTCGGCGCGAGCACCGCCCACAACCGCCTCGCACCCGCCCATGCCGACCCGTTCGCGCCAGCATCACCTGCACTCGGCCATACTGCCCTCCTCTCGCCGCCAACCGCCGCCCCTCGCATTCGCGCCAAGCTCACCCCGTCGGCCGCGCCCCGTCGCAAGGCCCTTCCCGGCGCAGAACGCGCCGACGTGCCTCTCGCCGGCGGCGGGTACAGCCCTGTCAAGGCTCGCCCCGCCGCCGTCTCGTCACCGCTCCTTGCCGCACCGGCGGCGGGCGGGTTCGGCGCGTTTCCCAAGGTGACGAGCGCGAGCCTCGCGCAGGCGAGCGAGTGGGGCGTCGACGCGGTAGCAGGAGGGCTGCAGAGCCTCCGATTGAAGGAGCAGAGGGTCATGGCGGGCAAAGGGGCCGGGAGGGACAACGTCCTCGTCTGCGTGCGGTGCGTCGACCGCTGTCCCTCTTCTCGCACGAGCCTCGGGCGGTGAGCTCACGACATCCACGTGCCCGCAGTGTGCGCCCTCCTGCGGCCAAGCTCGCCGCCGCCGCTGCGCAAGGAGCCGACGACCGCGCGTGGAAAGTCGACGAGCGCACGGGCAAGCTGCAGCAGTTCGCCGGCGGGCCCGAGTACACGTTCGGTCTGTTGCCCTCGCTCCCTCTTCCCTTCTTCCCGCCGGCCGACCTGACGCTCCAAGGTCACACAGACTCGATCGTGACGGCGTCGAGGAACGAGGTCGTCTACGAGGAGGCCGGGCAAGACTTGGTGCTGTGCGTCGGCCACTCGCTTCCTTTCTCTCTCGCCGCCTCGCCGCTCACACGTCCTCTCGGTCCCGCAGCGCCGCCATGGAGGGCTTCGACGCCGTCATCTTCGCGTACGGCCAGACGGCATCGGGCAAGACGTTCGTCCTGTCGGGCAACGAGGCGAACCCGGGCATCATTCCGCAGGCCGTGTCCGACATCTTTACCTACATCCGCGACGTGCGTCCCCTCTCTCTCCTCCTCTGCAACCTCGAAAGGCGTCGACCTGACTCGCCTCGGGCCCACAGCATCCCGAGAAGGAATTCCTGCTGCGCGCGTCGTACCTCGAGATCTACAACGAGTCGCTCAAGGACCTGCTCGACCCGACGGCCGGCCCGCTCAAGGTCCGCCAAGACGAGCAGAAGCGCTTCTTCGTCCACCCACTGCGCGAGGAGGTCGTCACGACCGAGGCGCAGGTGGCGGCCCTCTTGAGCCGAGGCGCCGACAACCGCCACGTCGGCCAGACCGACTTTAACGAGCGCAGCTCGAGGTCGCACAGCGTCTTCCAGATGGTGCGCCCGCCTTTCTCTCTCACCTTGCAGGCGCACGAGGTCCTGATCCCGTCCCTCTGCGCCCCGCAGACCATCGAGTCGCGCGACGACCCGTCCTTCGCTCCGGCCGGCACCCTCCTCACCTCGCCGCCAGCAACGCCTCGCCGACCCGGCGCCATCCAGACGCCCAACACGCCTCGACTCGCACCTGGCACCGACGGCGTCGTGCGCATGAGCCGGCTCAGCCTCATCGACCTCGCCGGGAGCGAGCAGGCGACGAGCCAGATGGAGAGGCGCAGCGAGGGCGCGTTCATCAACAAGAGGTGCGTCGTATCGCCTCTCTTCCTCGCCCTCGCATTCGACATCGTCCTGATTTTCTTGTCGTCGTTGCAGCCTCTTGACGCTCGAGAAGGTCATCGCGTCGCTCACGAGCGAGGCCAAGCAGAAGTGCGTCTCCCTCTCTCCCGTCCTCGTCCTTCCTCTCCTTTCTCTCGCTCACGACGACGTTCTGCAGGCCGCACGTCCCGTACCGCGACTCGAAGCTCACGCAGATCCTCCAGCCGTCGTTGTCCGGCGACGCTCGGGTCGCCGTCATCGCCACCATGAACCCGTCGCCGTCCGCCATCGAGGAGACCAAGTCGACGCTCAAGGTGCGTCTCTCTCGCCGATTATGAGCCGTGAAAGACGGTCCTGACCCGTTCCTCGCCGCCGTCCGCAGTTCGCGCAGCGAGTCAAGAAGGTCGTCCTCAAGGCGGTCCAGCACGAGGTCGTCGACGACAAGGCGCTCATCACCAAGTACCGCTCGCACGTGCGTCCCCTCCCTCGTATCTCGCGCAGCCCTGAGCGAGAGCCTGACCCGCCTCGCCGTCGCAGATCGCCATGCTCGAGGCGCAGCTCAAGGCGACGCTCGACGCTCCTCCTGGTACGCCCTCGCAAGCCGACCTCTTTGCCGACCACAGCCGAGTGCGTCTGCCTCTTCCTCTCTCTCCTGCACGATTGAGCGCGACCTAATTCGATCGGGCGGCCCCCCTCTCGCAGCAGAAGAAGCAGGCCGATCGGGTGCACGACCTCGAGCGGCAGGTCGAGGAGTTCCGCTCCCTTTTCTTGACGAGCCAGAACATGGAGAAGCGACGCTTGAGTGTGCGTCATCGCCTGTTCCTGCCGTCGTCGTCCCGAATGCGCGCTCACAGCGTCCTCTGCACCCTCCCGCAGGCCCTTCCGCCTCGACCCGTCTCGCCCGTCAAGATGATGCGCCCCTCGTCGCCTTCGAGCACCGACTCGACCCTGCAAGAGCGCGTTCTCGACCTCGAAGACGAGCTGTCGGCCTTGCGCGAGGAGCGCGACTCGCTGTCGGACCGCGTCGCCCAGCTCGAGGCCGACCGCCTCGCCGCCGCCGAGACGTCGACCGACGCGCGCCTCGCCGAGCTCGTCAAGGAGAACCAGGAGCTCCTCGTCATCGCGCGCAACGCCGACGTCGAGGGCGAGCTGCGGCGGCAGGAGCGCAAGTTTGAGAGGACGCTCGAGCGGCACAAGGTGTACCAGGGGGGCCTCGAGGCGACCCTCGAACAAGAGCGCAAGGTGCGCCGAGCTCTTCCTCTCTCTCTCCTGCCCTACCCTCGCCCGGACCGACTGACCTTGTCGCCCTTGCTCGCCCACAGCGCGTCGCCCAGTTCGAGCGCTTTATCCTTCAGCACCTCGCCTCGCAGACCGACCTGCTCGCCGGCCGGCGACGCTCCTCGGCTGCACACCTCCCGACTTCTGCATCCGTCACCGGCTTCGTGCCGCTCATGGCCGAGTCGCCTGACCTCGACGCCATCTCGCCCGACTTTGTCGAGCTCGACGACCTGCAGGTGCGCACCCTTCTCTCATCTCATCCCTGTCGAGCCACCTCTTCGACTCGAGCATGACCTGATCCCCCTCTTGTTCACTCGCCGCAGTTCTCCAAGCAGGGCCTCGAGACGATCAAGCGGTCGGGCTCGCGCCTGTTCTGAGCCTCTCCCCTTTCTTCGTCCCTCGTGCTGCCCACGGCGCCGTCTCCTGTTCATCTGCCGTAGACTCGACCATCGTGTTGTACTCGAGCCTTTCTCAGCTACCTCTCGGACGACGAGAGGAGAGCAGGATCGAGAGCAAGCTCAGGTTGAAGCGGTGCGAGCGCGTTCTCCTCCTTATTGCTGCGGCCACCTTTCCTCTCGTGCCAAGTTGCTCGCTCGCCTTTTGCTCGTTGCTCTCGCGCCGCTTTCTCGGTTCTTTGGACGCACGAAAAGTCTTTGCAGCTCGCCGAGTACGAGGAGAGAAACACTCGGTCTGTGGAAGCCCAACCCGCCTCATTTGCCTTCTGACCGTCCGCCCGTCGTCTCACTCCCCGCGCACCTCGATGCCGAGCTTGACGTCTTCCCTCTCGCCCTCGCATCGCAAGCTCTGTCCGGCCTCCCGCCCCGCTCGCTCCACCCCTTGTCCCGGCTGACGGCGCACCTCGAGCCTGCCACGTCAGGCACGGGCGCGAGCGCCGCGCCGCCGCGTGACCCGATGCGCAGGGGTCGAGCGTGCTGGACAGCCGCGACGGCAGGAGAGGGCAGCGGAACTCGGACGATGCGAGCAGCCTGGTCCGCACGCCGCGTGAGGTCGGCGGGGCGGTCGAAGCGACACGACGGGCTCGCTTACATTCTCTCGCGGTCGATTCGGGGGTCGCATTACACCAGATTTCGATTGCAGTAGAGGAAGCCGAGGTATCGCGCGTCGCCATGGTTGTTCGGGGACGAGAGGCGGGGAGGGTGGACGCGGTCGGGGGAGGACAGGGTTGCAGAGCTGACCTCGGCGCAGGCGGGCCATCTGCGAGGGAGAAGGGACTCGTGGTCAGCTCCACGGCGCCTTCAAAGCATCGGCGCTGCACCAAAGAGGAGGGAAAGGCTTCATCGCCGGGGCGGGGAGGGGAGGAGAGGAGGGGAGGACGCACCTCGACACCGACAACCCGCGCGAGCGCGTCGACTGGCTTGACGTAGCGCATAAAGAGCATAGAGCGGGCAGCGCATGCCTCCAGAGCCCAGCAGAGCGTGTGGGAGACGAGAGGGTGCCCTCCTCCTCCTCCTTCCTCGTCGCGTTCTCCTCTCGCCTTGTCCCACTCTCCGCTGCCGCGAGCTGGCCAAGGACGCGTCACAGGTGTACCTGCTGCCCGTGCGCCGACCCACCGCGCAGCTGTCGCGTCGCTTTCCTCGCCTCGCTCGACGCGCGCGCCCGCCTCCTCGCCTGCAGCGACGACAGCTCACCGCTCGCCGCACTCGGAGCGCACAGCCTCGAGCTTGCTACGAGCACCTTCGGACGATGCACTCGAGTCTCGAGTGCAGAGCGACCCCTGTCGACTCGCGTTCGAGAGCCCCCCACTTGGTCACTCCCGCTCCCGCACCGCGTCGACGCGTCGTCGTCCCACCAGCCGTCACATTCGGGAGTCGACCAGCCTCGCGCACGCGCAAGAGTGCTTTCAGAGCGTTCGTGTGATGGTGGCGAGACGGTCGAGCTCGCCCTCTTGCCCTGCCCTCCCTCTCTCTTCCTCCTTCCCACCACTCCCCTTCCCCATCCCCTCCCCCCTCCTTGCGACCATGCCTCGTGCTGCCTCGTTCTTCACCTTTGAGCGTGCTCGCATGCTCGCTGCTCCCTACCCGCTCCTCGAGGGTCCTCGCCTCGCCGTCCGCCAGGCCCACCTCGACCGCAGCTGTGACGAGCGCGACCTCGCCGACCTCGGCCGCCTCCCGCTCCACCCTTGGCTCGTCCACGCCGCCAAGCTCGACTACAAAAAGGTCATGGCGTCGACGGCCACCACCTCGTTCGCCCTCGTCGCCACCTCGACCGCCACGGCCGACCGACGTGACCTCTCGCCTACGCCGCGCCCGCTCAAGCGCAAGGCCGACGACACGGACGGCGCTTTTGTCGCCGACATGACGCTGCCGGAGAAGCGGTGCCGGTACGTCCTCCTTTTCCCTTTCTTCCCCCTCCTCCTCCTCCTCCCGACCCGACTGCACCCCGCCTCCGCTCGGCTCGACGCCGATCAGCGAGTCCCGACTCCTGACACTCTTCCCGACTCGCGCAGGCTCACCAAGGAGCAGTACATCTGCCGCATCGCCAAGGGCTACAACCGCGAGATCACCTCGGACGACGAGGAGAAGACGAAGCTCGCCGTCGCTCTGGCCCGCTTCCACGAGTTGTGCGTCGGCCTCTCCTCCTCTCGCCCCAGTCCGCCACTGACACGACGCCTCGTCTCTTCCCCAGCTGCGCGATCGACAAGATCCTCAAGGCGAAGAAGGAGCGCCAGGCCGCCATCACCTCGGCCCTCGTCGACCACCTCAAGGGCCTCGAGGACTGCTACCTCATGCTGTGCGTCTCTCTTTCTCTCTCTTCCCCGCCTCTCTTTCGTCGTGAGTCTTTCCTGACGACCGACTGTCCTGCAGCGCCAAGGACGCGGGCGAGCTCGACGCTGCCCCGCTCAAGGTCGAGCCGGCCAAGCCCAAGAAGAAGACCTCGCCGTGCGTCGCCTCCCACCTCTCTGTCGCCCCCTCGCCCACACAGAACGTGACCTGACCTTTTCCCTCTCTCCCGACGCAGGTCGGCCAGCCCGTCGATGCGCCGCTCGACCGAGGAGCTCTTCCCAGACGACGAGTACGTCCCCGACGACCTCGCCGACAAGTACATGACGCCGGCCGAGATCCGCCGCTCGCTCCGCATCGCTGCACGCGCCGAGCACCTCGGCAACGAGGCGTGGGCCGACCTCTCGGACTCGGACGACTCGGACGACTCGGACGACTCGAACGAGGACGACGTCGACGTGCTCGTCCTGTCGGACGACGAGGACGTCAAGCCGGTCGTCGCGCGCCCGCAGTTGCCCGAGCGTCGCCACAAGCACAAGACGTACGAGGAGCCGATCGTGCTCTCGGACGACGACGAGCCGGCGGCGCCCGCCAACAAGCGCGCGAGGTGCGTCCCTTCTCGCCTCTCCCTCTCTCGTTCACTTCTCGACTCGACCCTGACATCGCTTCTTCCCGGACCACAGGACGTAGTTGTCCAAGCAGTGCCCGATCGACCATTTCAGCAAGGTGCGCCCTCCTCTGTCCCTCTCGCCTTCTCGCTCGAGATCCAGACTGACCCTCTCTCTCTCTTCACGGCACTCGCAGCTCGACCTCATCAAGCTCATCCACGACATCATCCCGATCGACTCGACGACCAGCACCACTGCCGCAAGAACCACCGACAACCTGTCGACCTTTGTCTCGCCGTACCCGTCGTGCAGTGCCGGCTCCTTTCTTTCGACGAGGCGCCGCGACCGTCCTGGTGCGCTCGCTCTCCTTTCCTCTCTGTCGGTCTCGCGGCCACCTTTATTGACCGTCTCTGTTTCGTCCTCGCAGCCCTCGCGCACGACGCCGTTCGACCGCCTCCGCTGTGCAGACCCTCGAGCTTCGTCTCGGGTTCGCCAGCTTCACCTCGACCATCTCCTCGGCCTCGCGGCAAGATCCTCGACCGAGGCCTTGCTCGCCTTTCGCCATCGTCCTCGTTGTGCCGTGCCGGCATTGCCGCACGGTCCTCCTTCTTCTTCGTCCGGGTGCCGCGACCGTCCTGGTGCGTCGCCTCTTCCCTCTTCTCGCCCTCGAGCCACTCTTGGTCACGTGTCCTGACTCTCTGCCTCTCCCTCGCGCCCCTGCAGCTCCTCAGCACGACGCCGTTCGACCATCCTCGCCGTGCAGACCCTCGAGTCTCGACTCGGGTTCGCCGGCCTTTCCTCGACTCGACCTTTTCTTGCGACACGGCGTGCTCTCTCTATTGTGTCCTCCTTGCGAATGCCAGAGCCTGGTTTACCCATCTCGGGCCCGTCGTCGAGAGAGAAAGAGAAAGTCGAGCGGCCTTCTCAAGTCGAGAGAAGCGCTCTCGACGACCGGAAGAAGGAGCTCGACACGCCTCTATTCCATCGCCGTGTACGTCTGCAGCCCTCGCGATGCTGTCTCCTTTAGCTCCTCGCCACCTTCTCGCTCGCGCCGCCCTTGCGCACCTTCTCGCGCCACTGTTCGTCCCACTCGCGGCTCACCTCGATGCCGTACTCGGCGCACACCGCCCTGCCCCTCCTCGCGAGCTCCTCCTGCACGTCGTACAGCGACACCTCTGCGCCCTCGGCGAGTCCCTCCCTCGCCCGTACCACGCGCCGAGCGTCCTCCTCCGACCGGCGCACGAGCCCACCTTTGAGGGCGGCGGGCACGTTGGCCTCGCGGCCGAGGAGCTCGAGGTAGTAGATCGTCGACAGCAGAGCCGTGTCGTTGCACGTTGAGCCGGGCAGCTCCCGCACGCGACCCGACCTGACGGCCGAGCCCGAGTCGGGGTCGAAGGGCGTAATCGGAAGGCGCGAGTGCGGCTGCGGGAACTACATACGGATTTGAGCAGGGTCAGTTCATCGGGACCTGATGCACGTAGAAGGGAGCGAACAAGGGAAAGCAAGCCGACGCACTGCTGCCTGGACGCTCTCGTCGACCAAGACCGTCGTCCGGATACCGTCGAGGGCCTCGATGCCGAGCCCACGCCAGACGATGGCGAGGTCCTTGACCGTGACGACGTCCCGATTATAGTCGAGCGTGTCGAGGCCCATCGACTCGCGCGGGAGAACGAGGTCGAGCAGCGGCTCGTTGTCGGCCGACTCGGTGGTGGCGACCTCGCCCTCGGCGGACGTATCCTTGGCCGTGCTGGCGACGCTCGGGGCCGGCTCGAGGCCGATGGCGTGGAGCGCGGTCGCCAAGTTGTAGATGCGCATGGCCGAGAAGACGACGATGCGGACCTCGCGCACAGGCTCGCGCTCGAGCCCCTCGGGCCGGCGGCGGCGGTACAGGTAGGCGAGGAGCGTCGACAGGTACGGGCGCACGATCAAGGTCGAGTTTGAGCTGCTGACGCGGCACACAAGGGTGTAGCTCGGCGAGAGGACCACGACGAGCGGCGGAGGGCGAGAGGCGGCCGCGCTCGACGCCAGGGTGACGCCGCTCTCGTGCGCGAGGTCGAAGTACTGGGACGAAGGCGGACTCGGCGACACGCTGGGCTGAACACGCAGTCGGCCGATGTCGCTCTTAGTCGCCGCCCTGGTGCCCGTGCCAAGATGGGCGCGACGAGCGGCGAACGGCACCGAGGTAACTCGAGCTGCGGACAAGCCCTGTGTCGCATCCCAAAGGTCAATTGTCGGCACGAGATAAAGAGAGAGGCAGGGAATGGGCGCACCTCGCGACGTTGCTCGGCTCGAGCAGCCAGCTCGCAAGAACCGCAGGTCGGCGACGCCCAGTTGATGCGACTCGAGCTGAACGAGGAGCCACAGGTGCGGCAGGTGTACGTCGCCGGCATGCTGGACGGCCTTGCGACGAAGACGAGTGGGCGAGGGAGGTCGAGAAGAGCCGAGGCGAGGAAGCGAGACGAGATGAGGGGCGAGCTCGCTGTCGCTGGCGCTAGCGATCTCGGACAGACCAGACGAGCGGCGAGGCCGAGTACGTCGGTGAGGAACGGACGAGCCGGACAGCAGAAGCCGGCAGACAGGAGAAGCTGGGGGAGGAGAGCGGGGTCGCGTCCGCGGTCCTTGCGCAGCGTCGCTCGGACCTTGTCTCTCGAGGAAGCTGCGGCTGGGTCGAGTTGCACGAGGGAGAGAGGTACAACAAGTACGACGACTCGGATTGGGTACAGGGCGAGGAGGAGGAAGAGGTTCAACGACTTGCGCCGGCGGCGACTGCGCTGTGGAGGGGACGACGAGGCGAGGGTCAGGGTGACGACGTCGAGGGGACTTGTGGGTCGGCGAGAGGAGCACGTACTTGGTCCTGGTGAGGTTGTCGATGTCTGCGGCGCGGCAAGAGGGAGAGTGAGCGGCTAAGCGGGCGCGAGAGGTGGGAGGGAGGAGGACGCACAGGTCTGGAGGGTGGCGTTCTCGGCCTTGAGCTTTTCTGCCTCGCCCTGGACCTCGCCGACTCGCTGGAGGAGAGCTGTGTGGGGGCACAAGGGCGGTCAGCGGTGCGGCGGAAGAAGGAGGTGCTCCCCCACGCGGACGAGGACGAGGCGAGGAGAAGGGGGCGGCGGCGCACCTCTGAGGCCGTCCTGGCGGTTGACGATCTCTCTGTGGGCACAGGGAGCAGTGTCAGTCGGTCTTCGCACGGGCAGAGAGAGCGAGAGGTGCGACTGACTGGACGAGGGCCTCCTTCTCTGCGACGTCTGCGGCACTGAAGCTCTCTGCTGGTTGGACGAGAGCGGGAGGTGGGCCCCAGGCGTTGTCTGCGTCGACTGAGCTGGCGTGTGGTCTGCTCATGGCGGGCTGAGAGCGTGGCGACGAGGTGGTCGACGACGCGGAGCTGGGTTCGCTCATCTCTTCCTCACTCGCGTCTCGACCACGCCCACCAGCTGCACCAGCGACGAGCTAGCACTACTCTCGAGCTCGACACCCACCGCCCCCGTGCACGCGCCACCTCGCCAGCTGCCGGCCCACCCTCCCCTTCCCTGCACCGCCCTCTCTCCACTTTCTTTCGTTTGACCCTGTCCACCATGGGCGCCAACCAGTTCGACAGCGCCACCTACCTCCGAGGACTCGGCTGGGCAGGTCCCGGCTCGTCCCTCAACAACAGCGCAGCCGGACGCGCAAAGCCCGTCACCGTCGCCCAGAAGAAGACCCTCTCCGGCGTCGGCCGCGACCGCGACACGTCCTTTGCCTGGTGGGACGCCGTCTTTACCTCGGTCGCAAAGAAGGTCACCGGCGACAAGGTGCGCCCCGCTTCCTCTCGCTCTCGTCGGCCCGCGAGTCGAGCCCAAGCACTGACCCTCCCGCCTCGACGCAGACCGAGCACCACCGCACCTCGACCGGCATCCTGTCGCACCGCCCACCTCCTCCCGACGGCAACGCCTACGAGCCCCTCACCGACGCGCAGAGGAGCGGCCTCAACCTCGACGCCATGGCCGCCGTCAAGGTCGAGCTCGCGCGCCGACAGCTCTACAGCGGCTTCCTGCGCGGCACCGCTCTCAGCGGGTCCGGCGGCGACGACGAGCGCAATAAGGGCAAGGGCACCGGTAAGGAGAACGGCGCGGCGGCGGGCTCGAGCGACGACGAGGACGACGCCGGGTCGTCCAAGAAGCGCAAGCGCGACTCGGCGGCGGGACCCGGCGGGAGCGACGGGCGCGCAGCGCGCAAGGAGGAGAAGCGCAGGAAGAAGGACGAGGACAAGGCGGCGCGGCGGGCGGCCAAGGCGGCGCGCAAGGGCAAGGCGCGCGCCGAGGACGAGCAGGACGAGCGTGCGACGGCGCCGGTCGCCGTCGTCGAGGAGACGGTCGAGGCGACGACCACGTCGACGCCCGTCGTCGAGCTGGCGCAGGCGTCTCTGTCCAAGGAGGAGCGCCGCGCCGCCAAGAAGATGCGCAAGCTGCTCGAGCCCGGCTCGACCGCGACCTCGACCTCGACCTCGGCCCTCCCCTCTCTCGCGTCCAGCACCGCCTCGTCCTCGGCCCTCGCCTCGACTTCCACCACCCCTGCACCTGCCGACACGCCACTCGACGCCGACGAGCAGGCGTACGTCGAGGCCAAGGCGGCGGCCAAGCGGGCCGAGAAGGAGGAGCGACGGCTCGCGCGCGCGGCAAGGAAGGCCGGGCGGGCTTAGGGCGGGTGTGCAGCTCGCGCAGGGCAGGTCTGCGACACTGGAGCGGGCGCGCGAGAGCCGGGCGTGCGCCAGAGGGCGCTGTTGTTGTCATTCTACCCTTGGACTCTTGCCGGCCGTCCCCAGGTCGCGGCTCTGGCCCGACTCGCGTCGGTCGGGCACGGCTACTTCTTGTGCCTCTCTGCTATGTGCTCGTGCCTCGAGCGTGTACGCTGCTTGCCTGGGTCGAGGCGATTTTTGGCCGGCTTCACTCGGGGCGCGTGCGCTGTCCGCCGTCCGCTTCTTCGTCCGCCTCCTTTACTGATCTGTCGTCCCCGGGCTCGCGGAACTCTGTTACCCCGCACACGGACGCTCGACCGTGCCCCTCTCTTCGACAGAGGCCCCAGAACCTGATCCCTGTCGTCCAACCTTGTCCTCGCCGCCCTTTCTCCTCACTCTTCCGCCCTCAACTCGCCTTTCCTCGTCAAGAATGGCGCCGTTCCCGCTCCAGCGCAAGCGCAGTGCGACGCTCGGGTCGACGCTGAGTCCGGTGTCGGACTCTGCGCAGGTGCGTCCCTCTCTCGCTCTCGTCGTCGTGGGGAACGTGGGCGGTCGGTCGTGGGACATCGCCTCGAGCTGACCCTTGTCCTCGTCGTCGTCGAGCAGGGCATGTCGCGCACACAAAGGGCGCTGTCGAGGCTGTCGAGGCTGCGGCTGCCGTCGATGCGGGCCGAGTCGAGTCGCCCTTCGCTGCCGCACACGCCGGCGTCGTCCAACTCGGTCGACTCGCGCCCGCTCAAGCACGCTCGCCGCCAGAGTCGCTCCTTCTCAACCTTCTTCTCGTCCCCTCTGTCGCCCTCGCCCTCGCCCTCGCCCTCGCCCGCGCCTCCCTCGTCGTCGTCCAGGCGCATCGCCCTCAAGCGCACCAACTCGTTCCCGGCGCTCATCGAGTACCCCAAGTCGCCAGCCGCCTCCATCTTCCCCGACAACCTCGACCGCGACAGCTGGGGCGCCCCTCGCGACGTCACGCTCCGCCTCGAGAAGGCCAACCTCGAGTCGACCTACTCGCCCGCCGCGACGACGGCGACGACGGCGCCCATCGTCCCCTTCCCTCGCTCAGCCGCACCGACCCATCACCACGCCCAGACGCACCGCTCGTTCCGCCTCGACGACGACGACCTCGTCGTATACGACACGCCGCCCGAGGTCTCGCGCTTCTCGTCGTCGACCGAGGACCACTCGTGCGACACGACGACGACCATGAGCGTCTCGTCGTGCGCCTCGTCGTCCATCGTCGCCCCGCTGTCGCACCGCGCCGTCCTCGACGTCTTTACGGCACCGAGGGACAGCGTCGGCGAGCCGCTCGACCTCGACTATGAGCTCGAGAGGGGCATCCCGCGCTCGTCGCCGCCGTCGCCCCAGGTCTACCGCCACCAGCCCGTCGTGTCGCACCCTCACGCGTACCTCGGCGACGTCTCGATGGCCTCGCCGACGCCTGTGCCGAGAGGGCCGAGCGCGCGCAAGTGGGCCAAATCGTCGACCTCGTCCTCGTCGCGCGACGTCATGGACCCGGCGATGGAGGGCTTCTCGTTCGCGGCAACGTCCGCCGTCGTCCTCGGCGCCGACGCGCTCCTGTCGAGCAAAAACAGGCCGACGCCGCCGCCGACGCCGCGCATCGTGCCCGTCGGCGCCAACACGCCGTCGCCGTTCCTCCTGCCGCGCCCAGTCGCCGCCGGCTCGCCGTCGCTGTCGAGCCTGATCCTCGAGGACCTCACGACCGAGTTCAACAAGGTCGCGCCCGTCGAGCTGCCGTGCGGGTGCGTCCCTCCTTCCCCCTCTTCTCGACGCACGGACCCTCACTCACGCATCTCGCCTACTCTGCAGCTTCGACCTCCCGTCGACACCCATCTCGCCCTCGTCGCCCGTCTGGCACGGTCGTCCCGTCCCGACCTTTGCGCCGTCGCCGCCGTCGACCCCTCGTCCGGCGGCCGGTCCCGACACGCCCACGCCCGTCGCCTTCCCACCGGCCTTCCCCTTCCGCTGCCCCTCGCCCCCGCCGAGCTGCGCCCGCAAGCCGAGTCGCACGCAGGTCGCGCCCCTCTCGATCTCGCCCTCGCCGCTCCCTCGCACAAACTGCCCCTCGACTTCCTCGACTTGCACCTCGACCTCGACCTCGTCCAACTCTCTCTCGCCGTCCCTCACGAGCACCTCGTCCCTCTCACTCTTCTCGCCCTTCACTTTCGGCTCGGCGTCGGCGTCGGCGTCCGACATGGGCTCGTTCCCCTCGCCGCCGACCTCGCCCGCGTCGAGCACGGCCTACTACCCTCGTGGCGCCGGCCGCATGAGGCCCAAGGTGCTCCCGCCGAGCCCCGAGTCGGTCGTCATGGTCGAGGCGGTGTCGAACCGTCGCTTCTGAGCCGGCGAGGGCGCAGCGAGAACAGCTCGGCGCCGGCGCCGGGCCCCTTTCCTTCTTTCCCCCGCCTCTCAAAAGAGCTCCCTTCTCCTCCTCGACCTCTCTCTCTCTCTCTCTCTCGAAAAAGTCGCACAATGCGCCAGTCGCTCGTGTGTGCAGCCCTTCCCTCGTCGCTTCGTATCGTCCCCCGGATCCTTTTTGTCAGTTCGCCTGTTTCGACCGTCCTCCTTCTTCGTCTTTCCTTTCGCCCCCCTTAGTCCTCGCCAGTTCCCCGTCTAGAGCACGACCTTAACGCAACTTCGTCAGTCAGTCCTTCCTCTCGTCCTGTCGAGAGCTTGAGAGAACGAGAGCGAGCATTCTACAGCTCGGGCAAGCCGATTTCCAGTTCTCGTCAGCTACGTTCTGCGTCTCGCTCAGCTAGCTTTACAGCTCAAAAGGGAGCAACGTCATCCATGCAGCGACGCAACGACGAGCGAAGCTGCGCAGCTCTAGCGTAACTCGCTCTGACGGCCGTCAGATGAGAGGCTCGAGCGAGCTTGTGTCGAGGTTTCCTCTGCAAAAGCCCTCTCTGCCGACGGTGACGCGCTCGACACGATGAATAGGGACACTGTTACACCGCTGAGGAGCGCAAGGCGCGCTAGGAAGGACAATGTCGCCGACGGCCGGCGAGCGCGCGAACGGACAAGAGATCTGTGCATGCTCCTCTCTCCCTCGCTCCCTCGCGCCGGCCTGCTGCAACGCCGACAGCTCCGACACGTAAGAATCCGTTCTGCGCGGACTAGAAGACGGGCTGCGGGCAGGTGACGCCGACGAGCGAGGTGGGCGGCGTGCGGCCGGTCTGGCGGTGCCAGTGCTGCGAGACGAGGAGGATGTTGGCCTGGTCGGCGACCGAGTTGCCCGACGGGTAGTACATACTGCGAGGGTACGAAGGAGGTGGGCGGGCGGCAAGGGGAGGAAAGAGGCGAGGCAGGAAGGGAGGAAGAGAGGGAGGGAGAAGGGGAAGGAGAGGAGGGACAAGGTCAGGAGGAGTTCTTCATCGAGGCTGAGAAGGGGCTTGTCTACACTCACGAGTAGCCTGTGTAGGGAGAGAGGGCACGTCAGTAAGTCTCGAGATCGGCTCGAGCGAGAGGCTCGTTTGAGTAGGTCGCCAAAGGCTTTGGCGACGAGGACGCACCGTCGTTGTGCGAGACGTAGCGGCAGCACTGCGGGTCGTGGCCCATGACGTTCCAGATCATACTGCGAGGCGGGAAAGGGAGGATGAGCGGCGGTTGGGCACGGTCGGAGAAAGAGGGGAAAGGAGGACGCACTCGCCGATGTTCGGTTTCTGAGATTCGATGTAGTTGAGGTAGTCGGACAACGGCAGCGAGCTCTGCGTCGTCGTCCAGTCGTACTCACCGATGAGGAACGCCTTGCCGAAGTACGTGTTGGCGAGTTGGCCGACCTCGTGCTGGATGATGCCGCTGCGAGGACGCACGGACCGTCAGTGCGAGCTCGCGCCCTCAACCACGCAGAGGGACGACGAACAGGTTGCGTGGGTAGCCGTGATCCGTCATCATCGTGATGTAGCGCGACTGGAGGCCAGCCGCCTCGGCGTTGTTGGTGTCTGCGCGCTCAGGAAGGAAAGGTCAAACGAGGAAGGGCGAGGAGAGAGGGGCCGATCTAGACGCACAGTTCCAGAAGCCGTTCGTGCCGTCCATGATGAGGTGATTGCGGTCGTATTTGGCGATGATCTGGACGGCGGCGAGGCGGGCATCAGTACAAGGACTGACGGCGGCTCGAGGACGAGGGTCGCTCGAGCGAGTGAAAGGCTGACGCACACCGCGGACGGTGTGTGTCCAGGTGAGAGGTGGCCACATCTCTTTGTTGATGTACCCTCTGGAGGAAGGGCAGCGAGTCAGCTCGTCGTCGAGGCGAGAAAGAAAGAGACCGCGAGAGAGCCTGGGACTTGCCCGAGCTCGTTGCCGGTCTCCCAGCAGAGGATGGTCGGGTCGTTGGCGTAGGCGACGCCGGTGTACGAGTTGATGCGCGAAACGAACTGCGTGACGTAGCTCTGCGGCGTCGAAGAAGATCGTGAGCCACTTGGGAAGGTCGAGTTGAGGACGGACGAGGGAAATGAGGAGGACGCACAGTGTAGGCGCTGATGACGCCTCGATTCGTGTAGAAGGCTGCACCACCATTGGCGAGAGAGCCGCTGCGAAAGTTGAGGAAGTCGTACCTGCGCGAGGAGCGGTCGTCAGGGGACGAGGGACGAAAAGGAGGGGAGCGAGAGGCCAAGGGGCAGACTCACTTGCCGCCATGCTGCGAGCAAGGGTATCGAGAGAGTCAGTAGGGGTTCGAGGAAGGGCGGCGAGATACTCGACGCACGTAGTAGGCATCTGCGGCGCGAGACGAGCTGGTCAGCTTTTTTGCCGTGGACGAGCGGCGCGAGACGAGGGCGCACAGTTGTCGGTCAAGGTCATGATGACCCGCAGACCGTACTCTCGTGCCGCATAGAGTACATAGTCGCGAACGTCCCACTGCGACGCAAGGAGCAGGGTCAGTACGGGCGTCGAGAGGGAGCACGAGGAGGATCAGACTTGCCGCCGCCTCGTTGATGACGGTCTTGGTCGGCTGGAGGTTGTACGGGTTCTTGCCGAGGTAGGTGCCGACCGAGATGCCGCACGTCAAAGCGCGAATCTGCGGGCGAAAGGGAGCGAGTCAGTGAGGCGGTCCGTGACGTTCCCGCGGGACGACGGCGACGATAGACGACTTGCCGTATTTGCGCCCATGGCCACTGCGATAGCCAAAGCTTCGCGAATGCGCGCCTTGTCGGTGTAGGAGCCGAGCGGACCGTAGTTCTCGTCCTGAGAGGAGAGGAAGTTTAGTCGCTCGAGAGTTTTCCGCGAGAGGGAGAGAGACAGGACGGACCTGGCACAGCCAGTAGATGTCTGCGACGACGTGTGTGGGTGAGCGAGAGTGACTCGAGGGGAGCAAGACCACGGAGCAGAGAGGGTCTAGGGAAAGAAGGACGCACTTGGACCGACGACGACGAAGGGCTTGCCGTCGAGCGTGAGGAACTTGTCGCGGAAGACGGCGTGTCGGACGAAGGACGTCGGTTTGGGCAGCGTGCCGGTGCCGCTGATCATGGTCGGTGCGACGTAAGGCGGCGCGCAGGTCGAGGCGAGGGACGTCGTCGCGGCGACGAGAGCCCTGGTGGCCGTCCCGCCGCCAAACTGCCCTGGCGGTCGCGTCGTCTGCGAAGAAGAGCTCGAAGCGGTGGGCGAGGCCGTCTCGACGGCGTAGGCGGGCGTCGTCGTCGGGCGGAAGGTGGTCGCACGGTCCGGCGGGTACCGCTTGTCGAGGTCTCGCCGGTGGAGCGGAGCGTCGTGATGGCCGACTTGGGGAGCTCGGTAGAAGCCGTCGGCGCGAGCACCTTGCAGCGCGAGTGCTGCGAGGGCGACGATGGACGCGTACAACATCGGGACGAGAGCGCGGCTTGGCGTGGACGAGGAAGGAGTGACGAGGGTGGGACGAGGGGGAGAGGCAGCACGCAGGTGCGCGGAAGGCGAGCGTCGAGCCGGGCGACAACACGCCAAGGAGCACGAGGCGACGAGGGCAGAGCGACGAGGCAAGCAGCAGCTGCGTCTCCGTTTCCCCGGCTTCCACTCGTCGTCGATCGCGTTTGTTTCGCCGCGGTCGGCACGCTCCGGAATGCTTGCAATTGTCAAGCGCAACGCCGGCGGTAACTAGATCCGGACCTGGGCTCGCGTGGTCGAGCCTCGACGGAGTGCAGCAGAGTGCGCGCTCGAGCCTGCTCGTCAGAGTTTCGACGTCGCTCTCACTCGTCACGCTCGACGTCGCATCGGCTTGGAGATTTGGCACGATCGCAGCGCTGTCCGTACAGACCGTCGCCGGCCGGCTCGCTGCGGTGAGAACGAGCACGACTCAGGGGAGGTCGAGGTGCGAGTGTGATCGACCAGGCTCGGAGGGCTGGCGGCCGGCGGCTGCTCTGCGCCCGCTCGACCCTGATCCACCACTGCCTTGGGTCGCACACAAAAGCACCCGCTCCAGCACCCCCGCGAGGCGCAGCAAGCCCACCTGCGCGCGCCCTCCTCCTCTTCCCCCCCCCTCCCTCCCCCGCTTGCCGCTTGGAGACGTTCGGTCCGCACCCCCACCGCCAGCGCGCGCGCCATGGTACTCAACCTCGACCAGCACCCACGGCAGCAGTACGACACGCCCTTGAGCGAGCCCGGCACGCCCGTGCGCGCCGTCCTCCTCGGCCAACATCCGCAACGTCAGTCCGCCTCGCTTCTCCCTCTCTCGCCGTCGTCTCTAGGCTCGCAGGCTGACAGCATGGATCCACTCGTACAGGGCTACTCGCCGTCGCCGACTTGATGAACCAGGGCGACGTCGTGCGGGTCGTCGCAGGGGTTGCCGACATCCTGGTCCGTCCACCGTCCTCCTCCCCCTCTCTGCCCCCTCCCTCCGAGCCGAATGCTGATCGCGTTCTCACCCGACAGGATTGCGGCGTAGTCCTCAACGCGCAGATCCCCCGTGTTGATCTCCTCGTGCGTCCCCCTCCTTCCTCCCTCCTCCCCCTTCCCCCTCGAGCTCCGCCGACGCATCCGTTCCGACCGGCGTACCTGACCTCCTGCTTCCTCTCGCAATGTCCGCAGCTGTGCGGCGGCTATTTCGAGTTGACAGAGGTGCGCGACATGCTCGCCGAGGTCGCCAACGACAACTTGCGACTGCTGAAGGTTCGTCTCGCCCCTCCTCTCTCTCTCTCTCTCGGCCTCCTGTGCACCACTGCGGTCCGCGAGCTCACTCTCGACCACCTGTACAGGTCCCAGACGGCCTCATGATGGATCACGGTGGCCCGCCAGCCGTCCAGAAGTGGATCGAGGAGCAGGTCCGGGCCAACACGTTCACCCCGGTCCGATGAGCGAGCGTACTGCGGGCGCACGCAGCGCGAGCGGGATCGCGCTCGCCCGTGCTCGCCGTGCGCGACGAGCGCCGGTGGCGGCAGAGCTCGAGCGGACCGAGACTGGGAGGCTGGACTTGACGTGAGGATTCAGAGAGTGGACGAGGAGCGAGAAGAGCGGTCGGCGAGAGAAGAGGGACGACGAGCATTTATCGGGACACGCACTGTTGTACGCTCTTGCACTTTCACGCCTCAAACTGCACGAATCGGCGAGCCGGCGGCGAGTGAGGTCCGAGAGCGAGCGAGCGAGAGCAGATCTCTCCTCCTTTGCTCCTCGACTCAACTACGGGCTAATCAAGCTGTGCGAGTACAACAACACGTCGACGAAAGGTTCACCGCGCACCGACCTCGCCCGTCACGCCCGCTCAGCTTCGAGCGGGCCCTCGTCTGCGCGCCGCCGCTCGTCCTCGTCCTGCGCGTCAGCGCCACCGGCTGCTCCCTCGGCCGGCCGCACACCCTCGTCCGCTGCCTCTGACCCGCCGCCGCCGAGCGCTCGACGCTCCGCTTCGCGGACGACGCGCTCGGCCTGCGAGTGCCACCACTCGCGCTCGGCCTCGACGTCGACGTCGTCGTCCCGCCGCTCGTCGTGCTGCCCTCGCCCGTCGTCGCCGTCGCCGTCGTCGTCGTCGTGCGCGCCCCGCTCGACAAAGAGCACCTCGCGCGTGCGCACGTCGCCGACGCCCTCGAGGCCGCCATCGCCGAGGCGCGTCTCGAGCACGGCGCGCGGCGCGTACGGGCTCCACACGAGGGCGGCGGCCCTGCGGGTCGAGGCGGGGCCGGCGCCACCTGCTGCGCCGCCTGTGCGGCGCACGAGGAGGAGGACGCGCGTCGAGGGGACGTTGCTCCACGCATGGCCGAGGGCGGCCTGGACGCCGCCGCCGGACGGTCCCGCCGGGCCGTCGACGCGCCACGGGAGCTTGAGCGCGGCGCTCGAGGTCGACGCGGCGAGGCCGGAAAAGTGCGTCGTCTGGGTGCGCGAGTACAGCTCGAGCGGGAGCGCGAGCTGCTCGTGCGGCGCGCCGGGTCCGAGGAAGGCCGGGTGGAGCGGGCGCTCCTCGGCGGGGCTGAAGGCGTCCGACACCTGGTTGACGACGACGACGGCGCAGCGATACTCGGCCGCGAGGCGCTTGAGGGCGTCGCCGAGGGCGCCGAGGTCGCGCGCGCGCTGGGCGAACGACGACGACGAGGTCGCGGTCGCGTCGGCGCGGAACGGGGCCGCGATCGAGTCGACGAGGACGAGCTTGATCGGGAGCGGCGGGCGTGGCGGGTGCGGGCGCGACGCGAGGACGACTTGCGGAGGTCGAAGCGGCGCAGTCGGGTCGCGGGCGAGGGACGAGGGAGGGGACAGGTTGAAGGGAAAGGGCGTGTGCGAGTCGGCGTGGGCAGCGACGCGCTCGATGCAGGCCGGGGCGTGGTAGGCGAGGACGGCGGCGAGCGTGTCGAGGTCGGGGGCCTTTTCGGCGTGGACGTTGTCGAGAAAGTCCCAGGCGGTGCGGGCGTGGCTGGGCGGGAGGCGTTGTGCGTAGTGGTCGGCGAGCTGGAACAGGCGGGACGAAGGGACGGTGCCCTCGCTCGAGATGAAGAGGGCGCCGCCGCCGAGGCCACCTCGGGAGGGCGGGAGCTGGGCGGTGAGAGCGAGCTGGAGGCAGAGGTGGGTCTTGCCGGACGACGAGTGGCCTGCGACCTCGGTGAGGGTGCCGGTGCGGATGCCGTTGCCGCCGAGGAGGAGGTCGAGGGCTGGGTCGCCCGTCGTGAGCGAGGTCGACGGCTCGACGAGGGACGCGACCGTGTCGTCGTCTCCCGGGGCGAGGACGGCTCTCGCGAGTTGGTCGAGGAGGATGTGGCAGTCTTGCGGTGCGAGTCTGGTGAGGCGCGCGAGGTGGTGTGGCGAGAGGACGAGGGCCTCGCTCGGGTGGATCAAGCCGGCGCGCACGAGGTGGGCGCGGTACTTTGGGGCGAGGGCACTCGGCGGGAGAGCCCTCAGCTCTGGCACCGAGTGCATCGGCGCATCGAGGGAGAGGGGGACAGAGCTGGGCCAGAGCCGCGAGAGGAAGACGACGAGGAGGAGGAGGAGAGGGACGAGACTCTCTCGCTCTTCACCCTCACCTCTAGCCTGCACAATGTGAGCACCATTCTACTCGCAGGCCCTCATCAGCCACCCGCAGCCCAACACAGACCAACCCCGCTCACCTCGTCCCCTCTCGCCGCCTCCCTCCCCTTTTCCCGCCTCCGCCTCATCTCATCATCGCACTCGATCCCTCGCTCGAACCACGCCACCGCCACCACAGGGTCCGCGTCACTGAAGTTCCCGACGATGCGTGGTCCTCGGCCTCGAGCGACGCCGGCTCGGACGTCGACTCGGTCGTCTCCGACTCGGACCTCCAGCTCGACCTGTACGACCCCTCGCAAGAGACCCTCAAGGACCGCATCTATGCCCTCAAGGACATGGTCCCGCCCACCACCCGCGCCGCCGTGTCGGACGCCGCCGCCTCGGCCAAGGGCTGGCTCGGCTGGTCCGCGTCCAAGGCCGGCAACGCCGCGTGGATCGTCACCACCACGGCCCTCCTCGTCGGCATGCCTCTCCTCCTCTCGATCGAGGGAGAGGCCGCCCTCGTCCAGCAGGAGAAGGAGTACCTCGCCCAGGTCCGTCCCCTCCCTCCCTCGCCCCCTTCTCCCTCGTCCTCTCACTCGAGTCGAAACCCCTGACTCTTTCTCGCGCCCGCACACAGCCTGGCGCCCCGAACCCGTACGGCGCCCCGGCGCAGCCCGGCGCACCCGCACCGGCCGCCGCTGCCCCGGGCGGCATCGTCCCCGCCGGCTTCTGAGCGCGCTCTCGACGCTCGAGCAGGCGCAGGTCGGCGTGCGGGGGCGCTCGTCGACGGAGGAGAGTGTCGAGACGAGGACGAGCAGAGGAGGGACGGACCGTGCGGGTCCCATGTACAGCCGTGTCGCAACTCGCCTTTTTCCCGCATCCTTGTCGTCGTCGCCTTGCGGTGCGAGAGCGACTCTCGCGCCCGTTCTCTCGCTGCGACCCTCGCCTCGACGAGCGTCCTTTGCACGTGTCGACGCAGCTGCCAGTCGAGCACGAGGCGCTGCTAGAGGCGACTGGGCGCGCTCAGTGCGAGGAGGCAAGCCGCCTCCTCCCCCGGTTCCCGAGCTTGTTCGAGTTGAGCGAGCCGCGAGAGCAGGACACGAGCTGGACGGCGAGAAAGAAGCGCCAGCTCGCACGGTGTCGACGTGTGTGCCAGGCCGACCTCGGCCTGCGAGGCGGACGCAGCCTCGGGCTCGCCTCAAGTCGCCTCGCCGCCGCTCGCCTGCGCCAGAGCTGCGCCGCACCCGCCAGAGCAACCACAGCACCGCATCGACGCACTTGCGCGCACCCACCAGCCCCGCCGCGAGCCACCGAGCGAGCCGCACCGCCTCCACCTGATTGCGACTCGTCCACCAGCACGAGCGACAACGATGCACTGCTGCTGAGCTCCGAGTACACGCCCAGACCCTCTACAGCACCGGTGCGCCCACGCTCCCTCCTCTCTGCGCCCGTCCTCCCCCGCTGACCCCCCTCTCGTCGCCTCGACCTCGGCGTACGCAGCTCGACAGCCCGCCAGCGCACGCGCACCCGCACACACGGCCGCCATGCACCTCCTGGCATCGGTTGCGCTGTGCGCCCTCGTCCTCGCCGTCACGCTGCGCTTCCTCGCGCCGGCCCTCCTCCACCTCTTCCTCTTCCCGCCCCACCTGCGCATCTCGCACCTCACCCTCTCGTCCATCCGCGGCGTGCGCCTCACGACCGGCCACGGCATCCGCATCGACGTCGACTGTGTCACCTTTGCGCGCGCGAGGGGCGACGAGCGTGACCGCGGCGCGTGGGCCGTCCTCCGCGTCGAGGGCGTCAACGTCGTCGTGCCCCTCGAGGCCCTCTCTCGCTCGCGTGCGCCCAAGTCCAAGCGCTCGTCGCACCACCCTCCCCCCCCTTCCCCAGCGGCACACATCAAGGCCGCTCCCCCTCATCCTCCTTCTCCCCCTCGCCGCCGCCGCCCTCACCCTCTCCTCGCTCTCGCGACCCGCCTCGTCCCGCACCTCGCGCACCGCTTCGCCCTGCGTGTCTCGCCTGTGCGCATCTCGCTCGGCGGCGACGGCAACGGCCCGACCCTCGAGGCGAGCCTCGTCGCCGGCGTCAGCTCGTCGCACCGCCCGGCCCGTGCCGCCGCGCCCTCGCCGTCGCGCTCCCGCACCCACGCCCACGCACACGCGCACGCGCTCGGCATCGGAGCGCACGAGCTCAGCGCGTGGGTGCGCATCGCCGGCGTCTCGCTCGTCGACGGGCCGGCCTCGCCGGGCAGCGCCAGCGCCGCAGTCGAGCACGAGCGGCGCAAGCCCGCGCTCGAGCTCCCCGGCGCCATCGAGCTGCGCGCCGCGCTCGAGCTCGCGCGAGGGCGGTGGGAGCCGCGTGAGGGCGGCCTCGAGGTGACGCTCGCGCCCGTCGGCGGGCGCTGCAGCGATGCCGCCGCCGACGAGCTCGAGGCCGGGGCGTGCGGCGCGAGCGAGGTCGGCGGCGAGCTCAACGGCCGGGACAAGAAGGCGCGCGAGGGAGGGCGCAGGCGGCACGCGCCCGAGCGTCGGGCGCAGGACGATGCCGAGGCGCACGAGGGCGCGCTCCTCCTGCGAGTTCAAGAGCTCGAGAGCGTCCTCGACCGCGTCAAGACCGCGCTCGACGACGTCAAGGCGCAGCAGGGTCCGCCGCTCGAGCGCGCAGACTCGCCCGACGGCGCCGACCTCGAGGCGGCGAGCGCACAGCGCGCCAAGGCGGCACGCGCGCGCAAGATGCCGCGCCTCCTCGGCAGCGTCGACCTCGCGCTACCGCCCGTCGTCCTCGCCGCGCACTATGCCGCGCCGTCCTCGTCGCCGGCCGACGCCGCCAACGCCGCCGAGAGCAAGGCGCGCCCGTCGACCATGTCGCTCGCGCTCGCGCTCCGCGGCGCGCGGGTGCAGATGCGGCGAGGGGCGGCGTGCAAGGAGCACGAGGGGTGGATCGCGCAGGGAGAAGAGGCGTGGAGCGTCGGGGCCGAGTGGGCCGAGGTCGAGGGGCGGATGAGGATGGGGCAGCTCGTGGACGAGGATCGAGGTGCGCCCCTCTTTCCCCTCCCTCTCGCGACTTTGACACGCATGAGACCTCGAAGCCTGACGTATGACCGCGCGCAGATGAGCTCCTGACGGGCCCGAGTGCCACCAAGGCCCTCTCGCTCGGCGCCTCGAGGATCGACCTCTCGTCGACCTGGATCCCTTCCTCCTCCTCGGCACCTCCTCCTCCCAATTCCTCGACGTCTACCGCCGACTCTTCGGCTGCATCCGCGCCCTCGACCGCACCACCGCGCAACCACAACGACCCGCTCGTCGTCGTCGAGGGCCTGCTCGGTCCCCTGCGGGCACACGCCGCGTTCGAGACGCTCGCCGCCGCCGTGCGCATCCTTCACTCGCGCCCGGCGCGTGCGTCGGCCCCTCGCACAGCCGCATCGAGCCGGCCCGCCTCGGCGTCGCCGTCGTCCTCCCCATCGGCGGGCGACCGGCCGACTTCGCGCCGCGTGTTCGGCCTTCCTCGAGTCGTCGGCGCGCTCACCCTGTCGGGCATCGAGCTGCGGCTCCAGGGTCCCGTCCTAGCGCCGTCCGAGCCCGACCCGGCGCGCCTCGCCGCGCCCGACCCGGACGACCCATTCTTCCGCAGCTGGGCGTCGCCCGAGCTCTTGTGCGTCAGCGCGCCGCGCGTCCGATGCGCGTTCGGGGCGCAGTGGGACGAGCGCAGCGTGAGGAGGAGCGAGGTCGAGCGACGCGCGGCGGACCGCGCGAGGCGGCACCACCGCGGCGTCGAGCGCGAGCGGGCCAAGCGCAGCTCGCAGCGCGAGGAGGACCGGGACCGAGAGCGCAGCAGGAGCAGGAGCAGGAGCAAGAGTCGCGTCGTGCCGGACGAGCGGCCCGGCATGCGCCGCACGGCGACGAGTGCGCTCGAGGACGAGCTTGGCGTGCCGCCGCCGCCGGCGCTCTCCGAGGACTACTCGCGCAGGCGCATCAAGCCGCTCAAGGTCGCGCCCAACCTCAACAAGGACCTCGTGCGTCTCTGCTTCTTCCCCTTTGTCTACCAAGCGTGCCCTGACCTCGATCGAGAGCGCGCAGGACCAGTTCTCGTTCGAGTACGCGACGCGCCTCTCGGTGACGGCCGACACGCTCAACGTCTTTATCCTCGCGAGCAACCACGAGGAGCACGAGCATGAATCGGCGAGCGCCTACGACTCGGACGACTCAACGGCGTCGGCGCCATCGACTGCGGCGGCCGACGACGGCGACGCTCGGCAGCCTCGCATGCGCCGGCGCAGCACGTACGGCATGCCGGCGCTCCCGTCCGACCCTGTTCGACTCGACATCCTCGCGCTCGGCCCTCTCGAGCTCACGTCGGCCGTGCGCGCGCTCGGCGACGAGTCGCTCGACGACGCGGCGGGCACGCACCTGGTCCCGTGGGTCGACGCCGCGACATGCCGCGGCGAGCATGGCGTGCTTCTCGAGACGATCCAGATCGACCTGTGGCGGCCCGTCGTCATGGGCTGTGTGCGCGACCTCGCGTCGGCCCTGATGGCGTCCAAGCGGTCCCTGGCCTCGCCGACGTCGGCGCCGGCCAGCGACGCTCCAGCTCGGCCCTCGTCCGCCATCCGGCCTCTCGTCGACCTCCTGCCCGCCGACCAGAACCTGTACATCGCGCTCGCGTCGTTCGACCTCCGCATCGCCGGCGCCGACCCCAAGGCCGACCCGCACTCGTGCCGGGGCGTCGCCCTCCACACCGGTCCGCTCGTCCTCCAGTACCTCATGCAGTCGGCGCACGAGCCCGGCTCGGCCGGCGACTACGCCGCGCGCGCGGCTCTGCGCCTCGCCGAGGACGTCCGCATCGAGGCGAACGCGAGCGCCAACCCGGACACGCCCGGGCTCGGCCCGCCGCCGGTCGCGCTCGCCAAGGTGAGCCTGCACGGCTGGAGCGTCGACCCAGTCGTCGATGCGCGCGCGAGTCGAGGACGGCGCCGTCGCGGCGTCGGCAAGTACGGCGGCGGCGGCGGCGGCGCAGCAGGTCAGGCGCAGCGAGGCGGCGACGAGCACGCCCAGCACGGGCCCGACTGGGAGCTACGTGGGCGAGCCGTCTAGAGCTGTGCGACGTATCCC